ATATCCATGGCTGTTACCATGGATTATTCCGCTGTCGAAAAAAAAGGCCAGAAAGAAGAAAGGGAAGACGGGAGAGAGATTGCCCATTTTCGAAACCCTTGTATCAAACCAGCATTTTTCACTCGAAATGCCTGGGCCCGTCTACTTGTGGATGCGAATCCTCCCGGTGGACGATACTCCATGTTCATACTTTCATACACAGGGGAGAGAGACAAGGGCTCTGGGTACCGTAACCTGCTGTGCCGCTGCAACCGCAGGGGCGAAGCGCACGAGTGCAATCTTGTTTACCTGCGTGCTGTACCCGTACCCGTGCCTGTACCTGGAACGGTCCATCCCCCTCGTTACGCATTACCCATCGCCCATTACCCTACCATCACGCTGTTGTTGATGTTGCTACCGTAGCCTCGTAGGCGACTCACTCGGCCGGGGGTCATCAGGCTCTGAGAATCGGGATTAATTTGGGAATACGATGGTGCAGTGTGCAGTGTGCATTGACGGATCGCCGTCCAGCGCAGAGTATCACCCTGATCGGAGTCGATCAACAGACCATTTTGCTAGGCGAAGTGTCTGTGTTGGTGCTGGTGTTGTTGTTTGGCGCATGGAGTAGTCGTAATCGCAGTCGCATTGTACTGCACTGTATCGGTAGCAGTCAATGATGCGAAATGCAGTACTACTTCGGTGGCCGTGTAATTGCTTGGAATTCTCGCTCATCCGGTTCTAAGAGAGATGCAATGCGATTGGATTGGCGTCATAACTTTTAACGGCCTTCTTGTCTGGGGTTGCGCCCCGGTAGGCAGCAGCATTCTGTACAGGTCTAGTGATGGCATTCCCAAGCCCGACCAAGGACAATGAGACAAAAGAACGCTAGAGTGAATCGGTTTTGGGGACGGAAACTCTGATTTCTCTGTAGCTCATCAGCCAGCACTCAGAAGCCCAATTCCAAAGACTGAGACATGCACTATCCGTAGCAAAGACAAGGCCAGGGACAGAAACAGAAACAGAGTCGGGGAGATTGATACAAGCGACTCCGCCACGTTTTCTGTCTCTCTCTCCCCCAGCCGAGCCTCCAAAAAGTCTCAAGGCCAGGCCACCCTCGTAGAAATCGTAAAGCGGCTGCTTTGGGTAAACGGTGCATGTTCCACTCAACGAGGCTGGTGAGCCGCTTTTCCTTCCTCTGGGCTTTCCTGCGCCTTTTCCAAGGTTGGATTGGATTGGATTGGCTTGGCCTAAAGATAGGTACGTAGTTGGTGGTGACCCTGGCTGCGATCATCCCCGCTCTGTGATGCAAAGTGCAAAGTGGGGGAAGATGAGCAAGGGTGTCAATGTCCGCCATTTTAACGTGAGAGAGAAGGTTTTGCAGTGTTGAAAAGGCGGAGGACCAGGGGGGGAGTGAAACTGTCCATCCAGATGGAGAGCGTGCCTTTTTCCCCCCTTCCTTCCTTTCTTCTTTCCCACTGACGTTCAATGCGGCACAAGCGCAACGGCTGCTTGGGAATATCGCCGAGGGGGAGCCGACAGGTTGGGAAGCCACACTCTACACACCATCACTATCATTATCATTATTATCACCCGTCACTGAACGTCGACCATCGAACATCGAACATTGAGGCTGTAACTAGCGGATAATGAAGCCATTCTCAAGATACACACCCTTCCTGCCAACACAACACAACTCAACTGAAGTTAACGTAACGTCCGTCGATGACAAGAATAACTTCAAGTTTCAGCCTCAGGGACTTTGTTTGTTGCTGCTGCTGCTGATATCCCGGGGAGCTTCGCATCTTGATGCCCTTTTTCACATAGTAGTTCGTTGCATGAAGTTTTTGTCGTGTTCCCCCAACAACATCACGACACCTGCAAAAACAAAAATAACATACCACGACTTTTGTTCGATTCTGCCTTGCCTCCGTCTTGTCTCTCCCTCCTGCACATCCATCTCCATTCTCTGGTCCCCTTCGGCTTTGACCGATCAGGCAGACTCTTTGCTATCTTCAACACAATGAATCATCTTCCCTCTTCCAGTTACACGCAACCAAAAGACAATATTGCGCCTCGACGCTACATATTGGCTTTTATCACTCCATCATTCGATCCCGCGTATGCAATTCTAGCTTTGCGATGTATCATCCGTTCACTCCGCTCCCCCAGGAAACTAACTGCAGCACATACGCTACGTCGTTGAGGACACCATCACGGGTAGGCGTGGAAAAGTGACTGGCGACTGTCTCTGTCTAAACCGAATACATACAAGGCTGAGCGCTCGTCACAAAATAGTTTCCAGAAGTGCCGGGACAACCTTTTGCGATGCCGTTGCATCACATGTCGTGCTAGGCTTTGATTACAAAGATGCACTTGTGCTATGGAATGGCTTCTTTTGTCTAGAGCTTTAGGTCGGCGCTATGGCATCCTCAAGATTGTCGAGCGTGTCAACTACGAAGCCTCAGGGCTTAGTTCTTGACTCGATGATGATCGCTTTGACTTTGCCATCAGATCATCACCAGCCTCGACTAGCAAACCCCCTAATACGACGAATACGCAGTTGACGAAACTTGCTTGTTTTCTCCACAGCCAGTCTCGAGCCTCATCTTCTCCCCGTGGCTAACCCCACGCCTTTAACAACCGACCAGCGACGGATGTTAGCGGTGCCGGCGGCCGAAAGCCACAACAATGTCCGTACGGTTGATTCCACATGAAATAGTCAGGTAGGTACTATCTACAGCAAACCCAAAGACTGCTTGGCGATCTTCAATAGTCCGGTCTTGACTAACAAGTTCGGGTTATTAGTCGGAGTCCAAGGTGACGTTGAGTTCGGCTCGAAACCTTTGCTTTATTAGGACGGCCTTTTGCAAAAGCCACCAAAACAACCCGTGTCTTGCTAGGCTTGCCAAGCCTTGGTTGGGACTTCTCCTTTTGATGTGTCAAGTTTCTAGTTTGTCCCAATTGCCGCTATGCGAGTGCGAGAGCGAAGACCGAGACACTGTCTCAAACATATTCCGCCTTCAGTGGAGGTTTGGTTGAAGAAACTCTTGGCAGCGAATGGCTCAACTCCTCTTTTGGGGTGAAACCAGCCGCTGCAGGACATCTGGAGCCAAGCTCAAGATATAACTACATCAGCGGCTTGGATTCTTCAGGCGTACAGCTATTGACGTCTATTTGCTGTGCCGTGCTGCATACGCTATGATCCTTCGGTCCCGAACCGTTGAAATTACAGGCAAGGGGTGATTAGATATTAGATGGAGTTTAGATAAGGCGAAGGAGATAAGGATCCTTCGACATGAAGATCCGAGGTGCAAGATGCAAGTCTCAAGATGGGATAGGGCCCTGCTTGCGCCCTGTCGGGGAATTTTGGCCGCTCCGATCCTGACATTTAAGTAGCGTTTCCCTGCTTTGCTGGTGTAATTACCACAAGTGCATTAGCATCGCCATTACCCCTTAGTAGAGCGATGATCTTGTGGTAACTTCTGCATTGCATGGCCCCCAAATCTATGAAAAGGGAGTAGCTAGTGAGTTGTGTAAGTGAAGGTGGTAGGCCTGAGCGGGTAAATCGGACCGCAGATAGCAGTGCAGAGTCCAAAATCTGCCTACTACGTACCTACCTATCCTGCTATTCTAGCTACTAAGGTAGCCCCAGGTAGGTAATTCAACATCTCACTAAAGGGTGGGGAAGAGAAACTTGGCTTTTGAGGCGGGCGCTCCGCAGCCTAGAGACTAGAGTTCGGTCAGAACCCAATTCCAATTACTCCGTCTTATGATACATGATAGTGACGTAGGTCTCTTGTATTGCTGTGTCTGATTAGTCCCTTTTGTGAATGCAACATTGCAATTCACCTGCCTTGTGACGATGATCTTTGGATCTCAGTGTGGTTTATAATGTCCAAAAGGTTCTAGATTAAGTTGATTCCATGTTTTTGTTTTCAGTCGAGAGAGTGTGAAACTATCATCTTGTTCCTCCTCAAGGGTGTACGGCGTATCCAGAGAGTTTAAAGCACGGCGATCAAAGGACCCTTGATAATCTTCAAACTCCACCGCGAAGGATCACCAGCTGGGTTATTCGCGAGTGGTGTAGGAGTACGGATAGCCCTTACCAAACACCATAAACTCGCAACTTGATAGCAAAAAAGAATGTTACAAAATTGCCTTAAAAAAATGAAAGCTATGGCCAAATCAAACTCTTTTGTTCCACTCCAGAAATCTCATTTGTTTGAAACTATTCCAGCCGTGCACATAGTCCATGCACCGCACGGCTCAACTCTTGACCCGGGACCTACCCTGGACAAACCCGCGATAATCAAATCAGAAACAACGGGCCGATCCCTTCGTTTCTTGCTGCTCTCGCGGCAAAGCCATTTAATACCGACTGTAAATAATAATAAAAAAGCTATGGCCATCAAAATGAAACTCGCGAGGCAGATTCTTTTTTTCTACCGCGCGGTAGTTCCACTCTTGCGTTCCATGATCGACAATTTTGTTTAGTGGTTTCATTCAAGATTCGACCCCATCACCTTCACAGCCAATATCTGCAATGCAGCCACAATACGGAAATCACTCCAGTTTTCGTTTAGCGATGAATTACAAATATGCAGCCTCCTTCAGCCTCTTCCGCTTGAGGTGAGCTGCATGAATTATAAATCATTCGCTTTCAAGTATCAAGTAGGCGAGAAATGATTCCATGCCGTGACCATGATTAATAACACTAAATTAAGCCTTTGACGATGAGTAAGCATTTTAGTTGTGCAATATGCTTCCAGTCAATGACACAATTTCGAGATGAAGAGGTGTGGTATACAAACAGTGACAATACTGAGAAGCAAGTGTTGATTTGTTGTCCATACCGTGTCAGTTGACGGCTGAACTCATAAATATGGCATCTCTACGCTGCTTAATGACGAGACACTCACTCACAACATGTACGCCCATTCCTTGTAACTATAAGCCACCATCATCAACATTGTAATCTAACAGCAAAAGCACTCCTCACTATCCCCAGGCGTAGTTACTCAATGGCTCGACCTACCGGCCTCATCGCCTCCAAAGGCATTGAGCTCCTCAGCTGGGGCACACCCAACGGCCTCAAAGCCCAGATCCTTCTCGAAGAGCTCCGCGATGCATATGGAATGGACTACACCATCCAGGGCATCAACATCAGTGACAAGGCCCAGAAGGAGCCCTGGTTCACTGCCATTAATCCCAATGGTCGTATTCCCGTGCTCGTCGACCATGACAACAATGATCTCGCTGTCTTTGAAGGAAATGCCATTCTGAGCTACCTGACAAGAAAGTACGACCCCGAGAATAAGTTCTCGTTCAAGATTGATGACGATGACTATACCCGTGCTGAGTCGTGGATTGGGTGGCAACACGGTGGTGTTGGGCCAATGTAAGTGATAGCCATTTGCAGAATCAGAGGGTATATACTTACACACAACAAGGCAAGGCCAAGCAAACCACTTCCTCGATGCTGAGCCAACAATGCCGTACGGTATCCAGCGTTACGTCGGCGAGACAGAGCGTCTATACGGCATCCTCGACAAGCGCCTCTCAGAGCGAGACTATGTAGTTGGTCCCGGCAGAGGCCGCTTCTCCATCGCGGACATCGCCCTGATCGGCTGGACAAACCGTCTACCAAACGGCACCATCCCATGGGAGCAGTTCCCCAACGTCAAAGCCTGGTTTGCCCGTCTTCTCGAGAGACCTGCTGTGAGACGCGGTATGCTACTCCCAACCAACAAGGAGAAGCCGACGGGGCTGGATCCTGTGGACGAAGAGACGAGGAAGAATCGTGCAGAGCTTAAGAAGACCGTTGATAAAGCTAAGGAGCAATTTGGATACAAGTATTACTCGCCATAAACTGAGGATGTCTTGGGATGAAGGAGAAACGGTGGGATTAGTTAAAAGGAGTATGTGGCTAAACTGAACATGAGTACCATTATGATAATTGAAAGAGATGACATAATAAGTAAAGCAAAGAACTCAAAACATACAAAATGCTCAGAGGAAGTTAACATATTCGTATCTCGCCATCAACTGTAGTATGGTGCTGGTCATCTTCCAAACGAGGTGTGTATCCAGACGGAACAGAACGAGATAACATGCACTTCAGGAGATATTGCCTGATAGACCCTTTTCAACCTTTCCGCGGCTTCTCAAGTTTCCTTGACCACGTTTCTTTCGCCACACATGTATTTGATGAGCTTAATACCTGAAACCATTTGAATTGTCATGTTACATGACAGCACTTCTGAATGTAAAGTTATGTGTTATGTATGAAGGTACGAAACAAAAGATGAGAAATAGCATCACCATTAATATGTTCCGGATAGCAGCTACGGCGTCTCTTCCATGGTTGAAGTAAAATTTAATAGTGAATATATCTCAACTCAAGCTCAACTGACGGTTGGGCAGAATCTGCATTTGCTATAATCACCGCTTCATCAAGAACAGGTTCACACATTGCGATAACTGAGTATTTACAAAGATTACAAAGAGACACCTAAGTTCCTGGTCCATAAAAGGACCAATGCTATGTTTTTTTTCAAAGTCTTCAATTCTTACAATGTACATCCCTTAACCTGACAAACACCGTGTCTCTGATGCAGGACGCCCCATCCAACGCCAAAACACCCCAAACCAGGCATGCCAAATGACTCCCATGCCTCCACCCAAGTCTATCCAGCGCCTCTTAAGCCTGCAGTAGGCTGACTACCCTTATACCAGTTACAGAAACCTGCTGTTGACCAATCCTAGACCTTCCATGATATGTCCAGACGCTGAGCCTGTTTTAAGAATCTAGTCCTCATACGGTCCAGATCTGGTCTTTGAAAGGAACGACCAAGATACGGAGACAAAAGAGGTAAGTAAGAATAATGATGCGCAGGCCCTTGCTACTCCATGGCGGATCGACAAGAGCCCCTTGACCAGATTTCGAGGTATGTGAAACTGAACGCAAGTCCCATAACCGTCAGCGGCGGTAGAGGAGAAATCAGCCAGTGGCTCTGCTGGAGTGCTGGTCTTCTCTCGGTACTTCGAGCCGGAGGGGTTGCGAGTATCAACGATGCAATATGCTTTTGATCCCTTCGCTTTTCCCAGAATATCATAAAATAAATTTCGCCCGTCCTTCATGAATCGCCGTATCAATGCACAAGGGGTATTGTCACAATAGGGAGAGCTGAGTCTCCTAGATATTAGCCTCTCCTTCCTTACATGTTGGACACACCAGCCGAGTTGGGGTCCACGACGTTGTCTGATAGGTTGATGAGTAGTTGGGCAAGGCATCTCTTGGTTGCTGCGTCATCGCGAAGTACCGACGAGAAGGTAGCATCACGGAGTGGTTCGGGAAGGCATTGTCGAAGAGCTTCACGAGCACGAGCGTTATCACTAAGTCTGGTGACAATGTTAGAGGGATGCATACTTGAACAAGGCAATCATGTAGGACTCACCGGAGGAAGCATCTAACCACATGCTTGAGAAGGCGAGCCGTTTGGGACTCGACAAGTTGTGCAACCATATTACTTAAGACGGTACCAACAGCGTAGAAACGTTCGTATGTGGCGCAGATATAGTTCAGGCCATTGTCGTCTAGAAGAATCTTCTGAACGATGAAGATAGCCACGGTCTTGCTAAGCTCCGAACCTGTCTCCATAATGCGCAAGCAGAGAGGAATGATCTCTGTTGTCAAGAGAAAGTTAATGACCTCGGAAGAGTCGTTCTTGACAAGCGCACCGATTACACCGAGACTGGTCAGGCGGAGGTATTCGAAGGGGCGAGATTTAGAGGTTGTGTTAAGAAAGGGATAAAGAAACAGAGGGATGTGCGCTATACGGTTTGTTAGTGGTCTGGGGTTTCGAGTTGGGTCAAGATGTACTTGCCATTAAGGAAAAGAGTCCTCGTGTCGTTGTGTGATGCAACACACTGAAGAAGGGCAAGAGCATTGCAAACACGATTCGAGGCAGCTGCAGTAAGCTGAGATGGGTTGAGAAGAGTGTAGACTGAAATGATTTCCTGGAGGAGAGAGGTCATGACACCTGTACAATATGTTAGCCGGCTTCTTTCAACCAGGGCCATGGTGACCCAAGGAGCCACAGCTTGGGCACGCACCAAATGAGTGCCACAGGATCAAGGCCAGCTCAGGGACTTGCTCGCGCTTCTTACTGAGCTCTAACAAAGCTGCCTCGCGAGTGTTCTCATTGAGAAGATCGGCTATAAATGCCATAGTACGTCGGTTATCCTCCGAGACGTTGTTGTGATCGGCATCCTGACCGTGACCAGGCATCTGGCCTGCGCCAGCAAGGCGGTTGAAGTGCTGCTGCTGCTGCTGCTGTTGTTGCTGTTGAACTGCGGCAGCAGCGGCGGCGGCGACCTGCTGTTGCTGTTGCTGGGAATGGGCATGATGCGCGCCTTGCTGCTGGTGCATCCAAGCCGAGTCGCCGCCCTGAGGGAACTGATGGTGTCCGTAGACGTGCGCCGCGGGCATCATGTTGGGCGTAACGTTTGCGTAAAGAATTGAAGATTGGGTAGTAATGTATTGTGACTCGAGGGTCTCAGAGTTTGCCTCTTCGTTGACGATATAATCTTGGCTGAAGTATCGGTCGATCGTTCGGCGCAGTAAGGGTTGAAATGGTTGGGTTTGTTCGAGGGCGCAATGCGGAGGTACACGAAGCGGTTACAGCAGCAACGGGACGAATGCGGACGGAATGAGAATAACCGAGTTCAAGAAATAACGGGTTGAGCTATGTTCAGTGGAGGTCGAGGTGGTCGAGAGTCGAAGAAAGGGTTTATCGTATAGTTTACTGATAGTGGAAAGTGTCGAGATCGTGGGAGGATCAAACCCAAGGTGAGATCGTTTGGCGGGTTGGTTTGTGGTGGTGGTTGCAGGTGCGACTGGGGCAAGAGCGATTCGTCTGCTGACCTGGGATTGGCCAGCAGCCTGCTAGCCCGTTGGCCTGCTACACATAACAGAGCTCAGGCTGTGGCAGGCAAAACCGGCTGTGGCATCGGAACATGACGCTTGGACCAGTAAAAGGTACCCCTGTAATAGCCAATCGCGCAAAAGGCTACATGGCCATGCGAGTGCGGGGAGGTTACTTTACTCTATCACGCCAACCCTTTATCTTTCAGCCTTGTCCTACGAGCCTCGTCACAACTCCATCTTGTACTCACGCTCCAAGACTCGAGGGTTCGTTCCTGAGTAACATGGATAATGACTAGGTATCATCGCAGGAGGGGGGGTTTTTGGATATCCTTAGATGGCAAAAAAAGTCCGTTATTTGGCTGTTCTAGCTCCTAACAAACTTGAGTAAAATTAAACATAACATTGATGGATGGCCTTAACATCATCATAACAAATTTATTATTTTGTCATCTAAAGATATCTAAAAACCTCCCCTTTCCACGTTGGTAGCCTTTTACTCGATAACGAACAAGGGATAGTCACGGCGGAATGGAAAACACCATCAGCATAGAATCTCCAATTACCTTTCATTTTCGCCTTGCTCTGAAGCACCTCTCCCCTATCCTTGCAAGTGTAATTTATAAATCATTAATACTGCTATGTGCTTCCTTTATAACGGGCCATGCTTGAATCAATAAAAAAAAAGCCATCAAACCCCTATACGCTTCTTATACAACCAACTACATGTATAGTGCCTCTCTCGCTTGAAATAGAAACTCGGCGGTACCCAGTCGAGTGCTCTCATGTCTACGAATAACGCTGCCGCTGCCCAATTCTTGCCCCAATCAAACTCCAATGTTGCAAATATCTGCTCAATAATGCAATTGATTACAACCGCAGCTCTCGGAGAATCTGGTCCGCCATACTCTTGTATTGCCAGGTGTTGCCTGTAGTTCGCTTGAACTGAATGCCGTGCAACGATAGGAGCGGCACCTTGACAATAAAGATTTCAAACTCCAATACCATGCTTCCTCCAAGGTCACTTTGCACTTGCGTGCTCGTTTCTCCCGGAACACGCCTTGATGGTCCTCCATTCTTGCCAGGAATACTATCAAGCGAAGTTTCAGAGTTGGAAAAGCTGCGGTCCCGATCAGATCGTCCCGGAGTTCGCGGTGTAGTGGGAGGTCGTTCTGAGTCTCGGAACTCGTCTCGTTCACGTTCACGATCGTCTCCCCGCATAAGACCTCCAAAGCTAAAGCGTCGTCTATGTCCTGGGGTGTTGCCAGGACTCATGGGCGGATCCTGCACCTTGTTGAGGTCGATACTGGGGGAATGACGGCAGACAAAGCCGCCCTTGATCTCCGTGTAGTCCACATTCAACTGCCGCAACACTCGCTTGATGTCGGTTCGGATCGCAGGTACTGACTTGCCGGATGTCGTCGACACGCTGAAAAGTCCCTTGAGGAAGACCGGCTTGGCGAGCTCAGTATCGTCTAATCGCTCTGTGGACACACCACTCTGCTCAAGTTCCTGGTCCGTCTCTTCAGGCACATTAGCCTCTTGGGCAGCCTCCCTCCTCGTGCGACGTTGCTGTATACTTTCTCTTCTAGCATGGCCAATAGACTTGGCTCTTAGACTCACAGACCGAGAATGGCCGTGGGTGCGGCGTGAGCTGGAGGACTCCTCGTTCGCCACTGATTGATCAGAACCACTTGTCGGTGGAGCATCCTTCCGTCGCCTCAGGTCTGCCGAGTTGACGCTAGTCGAACGCCCTAGACCACTGCGCCTGTTGTCCTTTGTGCCGCCAGCTGACATGGGCGGGCTAAGAAGCTCACCATGCTGACGACGGTCGCTGCCAGATGGAAGTTGCGAATCCGATGCATCCTCCCTTTCGCGCCGGCCACGTCGCATACTGAAGCTCTTTCGGGGTACCAAAGGTGAGGGTTCGGCCGGTGAATGGACTTGAACCACAGGAGGATGTGATCGATCTTTGTCCAGACGCTCAGGCTCCCTACGTTTGCGCGTACTGAATCGACGCAGAATACCAGCTGCAGTACCTTCCTTCTTCTGAAGTTGCTCAACTCTCGGTTCGGCGGGTGGTGCAGGAGATTGCTTCGGTGGCTCTGGCATGTCGTCTTCGCCGTGCGTCCTTGCCCGGGGCCTACTTCTTCCACCGGTAGGCTTCTCGCCTGGCATCTCGTAAGCACCGGAGTTGGTGTAAGCTGCTTGAGGAGTCGCAATTTCTGGCACAGGCTCTGGTTCCTTCGCCTTCTCCCTTTCGCGTGCCTCACGCTCCCTCTCCCTCTCCTTTTCTCTCTCCTTCTCGCGCTCCCGCCCCTTCTCCCTTTCCCTTTCCCTTTCCTTTTCTCTTTCCCTCTCGCGTGATTGACCCGCTGCTGGTGGAACCATGTCGGCATGGTCGCGATCCTGTTTCTCCTTGACGAGGTAGTATATAGACAGGAGGGGACTAAACGCGTTCATGGGATCGTTGCCGATCTGGAGCGCCTCGGAACTAGGGGCCGACAAAGTGTCGCGGCTGGTGCCAGAATTTCTGCGCTTATAAAAGTCGAAGCCAAACGGCCTCTTCTTCTCAGCATCCTTGGTAGGCTGAGGAAGGTCCTTCTCCCTCTGATATAGCTTAATAGCACGCTGATATTCCTCGGACTCGATAATTTTGGAAAGTTGCGCATTAATGCTTTCGGGTGTGCCAAAATTGAACCCTTGCATAGCAAGAATGACCTCTGGCTCGAGAGGAGTTGTTAATGGCTCACGAATGGGTAGGTAGTTATCAGGGGGGCCGTTGAATCCCTTGGCCATCCAGGGATGCGTCAAGACCTCCTGCATTGACGCTCGCTGCTTGGGGTCCGTAACGAGCATACGGGAAAGGAGATGCTTGCATTCTATAATCCAGTTAGGGGACGATGCCAGAGCAGAAATTGAGAAACATACCGCTTGATAGCCATGCGGGATAATCGACAAGGCCTCTTTTAATCTTGGCATGGAGCGCGGGCATGCTTTGGTCATCGAAGGGCACTTTGCCACAAACCAGAACATAAAGAACAATGCCAAAACTCCATACATCAACTTCAGGCCCAGTATAAGCTCTGGCCTGCAGCAATTCAGGAGCAGCGAAATATAAACTTCCACAGAAGGTTTTCAGGTGACCGCGGGGAGCAAAAAGGTTGCTTAGACCGAAATCGATAATCTTGATGTCGCCAGTCTTACTGATAAGGATGTTTTCAATCTTTAGGTCTCGATGCACAATGCTGTTCCTGTGTAGATAGTCTAGAGCACTTGCAATTTGTCGGCTAAATTTTCGGGCTTGTTTCTCTTTAAGCTTGCCGTGGGAAATAATATAGTCGAGCATCTGGCCGCCGTTGACGTATTCGAAAAGCATATACCAATGGTGGTTGGTACGAACGACATCGTGAAGGGCACATATGTGGGGGTGATTCAGAAGGGTACTGATAGCGGCTTCACGGGCAGTTCGAATTTCCTTGGATTGATCGGCGCGCTCCTTGTCAGCACGAGACTGATGGCCATCGTCGGTCGAGCCACGAGGGATAATTTTACATGCGACCTGATAAGTTGGGTACCGTTAGGATTATGTTTATGAAGAAGAGCATCATTGCGACCAAGGCAGAGGGGCAGGTAATGCGAATATCCGAACGATAAGATGATACGTTGAAAGTAAACGATTTAAGATGAAGAAAAAGTCTATAACATACCTGTTCGCTACCGTCTTCCTTTCGGGCGAGCTTAACTTTGCCCATACTACCGGCGCCAATAGTTTTGCCTAGCATCCATTTTCCAGATTGAGTCGGGATAACGGTACGCGACCTCGCGTGTTTGGAGGTCGAAGTACGAGGCGGCGCGTCGGCATGGCCAGCATTTCCATTGCCAGCGCCATTGCTGGGAGCACTGGCGGATGGAGTCATATCGGGCTGAGGGTTGTGATGGTTGTTCTTGGATCGTTCAGAGCTCCGTCGATGGGCCCGCGAGGGATCGGGGCCCCTGGCCGGGGATGGTTGCTGGTCTTTACTCGAGGTTCGCTGATGGGTTGCGTTTGCTTTGGAGGCTAAGCGTGAGGATTCGTAGTCATTTTGCGGAACAGGCTGCGGCTGGTGGGAGCGGGCGGATGAGGAAGTGCGCTGATGATGGTTATGATGAGGGGGAAGATGCGAGTTGGCGGCGTTGGAACCAGAGCGGGAGTGAGAGTGGGAATGGGAATGAGAGCGGGAGGCGTGGGCTTGGGACTGGGGTTGGGCCTGGGAGCGAGATTGAGAATGAGAGTGAGAGTGAGAAAGCTGGCGGGTGTGAGATTGGTTGTAGTTGGCACCAGCTCCAGTTCCAGTGGGCGTGGCTGGTGCAGGCGCTGCTGGGGCGGCTGAAGCGGAGGAAGAGGGAGGAAAAGAGGGAGCTGGAGCCCGACTGGAACGAGATGACCGAGTTGAATGAGTGCGGCCAGGTCCTCGTGGTGATGCATCTGCCATGGAGGCAGAAGCTGTTCTTGTGCCCATGGTTGTTGTGCTGTGTTGTGCTATGCTATACTATGCTGTATTGTGTGGTTGTAAGATATCGGAGGTACGGAGTACTGTAGACGGTGTGAAAAGGCGGAATGCTGGTGATGGGATGGACAGAATGGGTCCCAAGCTCTCCGGGGTTTGCTCAAAATGGTAGTGAGCTGTCGTGAAATCAATGCCCAAGTAGGTAGGGAGAATGACCCGATTCGAATCTCCAGGTGTTGAATGGATTGAAGTTACAGATCCAGCGGAGTTGTAGCGTAGTTGCAATTTCAGTCTATCTCGGTAAGATTCTTGGTATTCCGGGGCTGTTGTTGAATGCAATGCGATGCATCCGTAATGAAGAGACAGAAATGTCAGAATTGCCTGGTCCCTGTCATGAGCTCAAGGCCCTCCCAGGTTGCGATTTGATCTGACGAGGGTGTGTGATACTGACAAGCGTATGAGAAACAGAACGCAGACTCAGACTCAGACTCATACGCTGACAGAATAACGCCTGGAATAGCTAGATCTAGAACAAAGTGAAGCTGCACTACATGTGAAATGTAGATGGCACAAATAAGACAAATGTCGATAAATGCAAAGCAGGATTCGATCAATATCAACTAGCGGTGCCACGACAGTGCAATGCCGGGTAAGATATAGCCTGGTAGGACCACCAATGGAAGGGGAAACAACGCAAAAGTGCAAATAGATGTGGTGTAAGAGTATGGGTAAGAAGAGTAAAAAGGTCAGATCTCGTAGAAAACACAAAGAACAGCACAATGTCCGTCTGGCCCTTTCAAGAACGAGAACAAAGCACAAGGTTCTGAGTCGGGGCGAGTGGGAAATAGAAGCAGCTTATTAGGTACCAAGCTTGGCTAATGGATAGGTAGCCCAGACTACCTATGGATATTGTAGCTAAAAATGACATTGGGCCTGGCGGGCAACAGCAGCTGCTCACCTCTTGGATGCCCAGGATACACCTGGGTCCTGGATATAATATGCAGGTTGCCGAGACTTCACCACCAGTCCAGCTACCTCTGAGCTAGCACAACAGGGCATCTCAGTCGTTTCAGGGGACTTTCCACTTAGGTCGCAGGTAGCTTCAACTTTCCACCAACGGTCAGGCCTTGGGTGGGGATGAGGCATCTCGCTCTAGCTGAGCTCTCATTTCGCTGGCTGTCAAAAATGGATCTATTTACTTGCTAGTTAGTCAGTAACCATGATGATGCTCCGTAATGTCGGGGCAACTGGTCTCTATTTGAATTAGTGGTGGAATACTACGATCGATCACACTATGCAGTAGTTGTTAAATATCTTCATATTCCATGGTAGACTGTGGTCGTTCGTTCCACGGTATCTCGATTGTTAGTCTACCCGTCTACGTCTACGGGTACGTTCCCTGTTTCTAGCAACACCAAATTCAAGCCAAGCAATTGCATCCGACATCAGCTAGCCTATGGAGTACTGTACCAGCCAGAACACTTCATCTTTGGCCTCTCAAGTGGATATGTCGCAAAGTGCAGCAAATTTACGTGGCTGATTAAACGAGGGGTTGGAGGCTGGGGTTTCAAGGCTAGAACCAGGTTAACATATAGTCTCCTTTTACGGCAAATGTGTCTTGGAATGACTGGGTTGGAATGCAATAACGGTTCCAGGTCCAGAAGAAGCAGAATCGAAGCAGCCACAAGACGGACAAGTGCAGAAGAAGTTGACACTTGTGTTAGATGTCGGTGGCATGGGATGCGTTGCGATGCAGTACGCCCCGTTTTCGTGTTCACCAGCAGCTCATCAAAGTCACTACCTAACTTAGTAGCCAGCCACCTCGCCGTGCTTGGGCGGAATGCCAAGACCATACATCAGCCGAAGGTTCCTCAGCCTGTGAACGAGAGACACACATAGCTCATTAATTCATTGTGTATGTCTAACTGCCATGACTGGAGCTGACATTTGTTAACACATTGGAACTAAGGAGACCGCGTAAAAGACTTCTTGTAGGTATTAACCGAAATGTTCTATTAAAAAAAACGATAAACATCAAGCCCAGGCAAGATTGATTGTAGATGACGTCTCATGACATATTATGTCATGGCTCAATATTGAAACAGTTCTCTTAACATGGAGGCTGGCTCTTTTTAGCCACATCCCTCCAACAACGGTCCTCGATTGACAACGTTTCACACGGGTGCACTTGCATACCCGATGCTGGAGAAACTCTGAAGTTGCATGGAAGTTCTCCAACACCTGACAAAGCCCCCTGTCATAAGGTCTTGCGTCAGGGCAACCCTAAAGGTTAGGTAGTTAGAAGGTTCCATTGTTAGTCCTTCGGTTTAAACTCAACTCCTTATCGATAAGGCCAATTTAGACGTCGCGACTCCAGCTTCGCAACGCAGCTTCCATCATCGCAAACCTCGAAAACAGCCCGGAATATTTGTGCTCTCTTCACTCATGAAGTAAACACTCACTTTCAATGCTTCTACGTAAACTACGCGACACGTCGACATCCCAGTCTCATGTCATATAAACGATCTCGCACGACCTACGAAGCCGATCTTCATGCACCTTTTGCAACCTTCGGCACTCCTCTCCCTGATGACCCTGATGCCCGAGACGATGGCTCGTTCGTGCCAGTCTGGAAGCAGGAGGTGAGAGATGATAGGGGACGAAAAAGGCTTCACGGCGCATTTACTGGTGGATGGAGCGCAGGGTAATACTTCTATAATGCTCGTCTTAGGACCTTACGCTGACCATTCCAGCTATTTCAATACCGTTGGATCCAAGGAGGGATGGACCCCGTCGACTTTCGTCTCGAGTCGGAACAACCGCCACAAACCCGAAAATGCACAAACACAGCAGCGAGCAGAAGACTACATGGATGAGGAGGATCTTGCTGATGCCGCTGAAGCCCAGAAAGTGCAGACTGCTCAAGCCTTTGCTGGACTTGGCTCCTCCAACCAGGATGCCAATGCTGGGGGGTTGATGGGTTTACTGAGAGCTGAAGGTGAAACCATGGGCTTGAAGTTGTTGCGACGCATGGGCTGGAAAGATGGGCAAGGTATTGGACCGAAAATTCGCAGAGGTGCCCGTCTTGAACTGGGAGACAAGAGCGCTGAAGTTGCCGAAACACATCGTTTTGCGCCAGATAACGCAACGATGATACAATTCGTCCGCAAGAATGATCGAAAAGGACTGGGCCATGACGGTGAAACCAAATTGACGAGCCTGAACCCGATCACAGCTGCGGCTGACGACGAGGACGAGGACAATGCTTACGATGCTGGTGTACGCAGCACCTCTCTTCTTTCCTCGCAGAAATCTAAGACGAAGCCCGGTCGTGGAGGCATAGGGGTTGGCATATTAAACGACACTGGTTCTGACGATGAAGACCCCTACGACATGGGACCGAAGATCCGGTACAACCGCATTGTTGGTGGTGACAAGAAAAAAAAGAAAGCAAAGAAAGCTAGCGCTGCCGTTAACCCTGCGCTGAAACATGCACCAGTTTTCGTATCTCGGACCGCTCGAGCTGGAAATGGGCTTGGACGGTGTTATGACGGACGGTTGCCGCTCGATGGTTTCGTGCTTGCAAAAATTACCGAGGACTTGTCCGATCTTTTGTTAGAATACAAGCCGCCCTCCGTCCCAGAAGGATGGGTATCTTCGAAAATAGTTTCGGATCGGGCGACCGATTCGGATTACAAGTCAGCAGCAGATGCTGCGAAAGCGTCTACTCATGATGCAAAGTCAAGAGCAGCCCTTCTTGGAGAAAAGAGCTTACCAGGGAAATCGGTCTTCGACTATATCACCAGCTCAGCACGAGATAGACTTGCTACAGCATCCGGGAACAGAAGTCTTCCCCAGGGCTTAGGAGAAGTACCAGAAGGATACTCCATGTCAGAGGAGGAAAGACAACAAGGAGTATGGGATGCAGCACCCACATTGGATCGAGAAACCGCTGTTGCAGCAATCTCGCGAGGCTCAACTGGACCCTATGCAGACAATGAGGAGAAAAAGGCACGCTATAGAACCTATTTGGAACATTTTGCGACAGGAAACCAGCCGTTGCCATCCAAGCCCAAGGGAATGGCATATGACGACTTTGCAAGAGAGTTATCGGAGTTCCATAACTGCGCCAGGATCTTCAAACCGATGACAGGGTTCATGGCATCTCGTTTCACGACAGCAAAAACATCATCGACCGTCTCAGCAAATGATTCTGAGACCGATCTGATGTCAAAACCCGAGCCAAAGGTCGCCGACCCTGCAGAAGAGGCAGCCAAAGTTGGCATGTATGGCAAGATGACTCGAACAGTCGCGGACTTTTATCCAACAAGACTACTGTGCAAGAGGTTCAACGTTAGGCCACCCGCGCACTCTCAGCCAGAAACGGAGGCGGAAAATGGCTCCACAAGGGGCCGTGATGCAGGTTCAGGCCCTATGGAGGAAGTCAAAATGAACCCAACGTACCCGGCTGGAGATGTCAAGTCGATCGAAGCCGCCCCTCCGAGCATCACACCGTCAGCTCCTACGCCTGAGCCAGCTATCAACCCAGACAAGAATGAAGCAGTTGAGGGCACAACAGCACACGATGAAGTTCTTAGAGCAATATTTGGAGATAGCGATAGCGAATAATTAATACCATGTTGATAAGTCACTATTTATAGGAACATCTGATGGGTGTCTTAACCGTTACTCGTTATGTCACTGATGTTCGAATTCTAACGCCGTAAGGCATCCATCTTTCTTCAGGGTGCCAAAAAGATTAGCTGCTTTGAAATTCGTGACAGAAATACTCGGACAATATTCATATCAACCAAGCCAGCACTTTACCTAAACCTTTTTCATGCTAATTAAATGGAGATGTGTTTTAATAGCCCCTGGGCTGTAAACATCATAGAACAAATAGGAACAATAAATATCTTCAGGCTTAACTTCATCGTTGATTAAACCAACTTGATGTACTAAAATCACTTCGTGCATCGGGTAAATAACAGCAAACCCACGTCTACCATGGAAATACGATGCAAAACCCGTGCCAACCAAAGAGATGACCATCGCCCTCACTCATCTCAAAGATCCATGAATGCCAAGCATTAGGCTTGCAACTCCAGCGCCTCTAGCGCCGCGACTCCATTCGAGGTGAGCGGCTGGGACCCTGTTAGTAGCCCAAAACCCCATCTGATTGGTCTCTTGTATCACATCGCGGGGCTCCAATTTAGTGCCACTCAAGCTCGGGGGCTCACCTCAGGGGAGCAGCCGCCGTCGAATGAGGAATCGCGGTGCCCGGTTGTTCTGAGGACTAATGTCAACCTCACTCACGCATCGCATCACATCGTATCACATCACATCGCCGTTCCTCCATTACATTAGATAGAGCCTCACCACGCGACGAGGCCGCGACTTTCCATTCGAGAGCGAACGAGACTCGTCCCGATCCGGCTGTTTTGCTTAATTTCCGCCCACCTTTAATGCTTCAACTTTGTCGCTAGACTGTTTACCTCATCAACCGCTTTGGAACCGCCTTCATCCTTAAGCGACTGCTTTTCTCCAGTTTGCTCGTTTATCGACTTGGAGCAGTCTTGTCTTGCACGTATCTGTTTTCTTTTAGAAGAAAGCCGCCATCCTGTCTGAATTTCAGGGAGCTGGAATTGGACCATCTGTGTCCTTGGAGAAGAAGACGCCGTCACCTGCCTCATCAAGGCCATCAAGCACGCGCACAACATCAAGTCATCGCGAACCGACACCCGACGACCTCAAATCCGCTAAAGAACCGGAATCACACATTCTTTTGAGCCACGAGCAGTTACCCCCGCCGCAGTATCCCGCCTCCGAGCCTTCAACTTCGTGTCCTCCCCCCTTCTCGTCGCTCTTTACCTCCCAGCCTAACAACGCTCACGAGCGTTCCGACAAATTCGTCGCTTTCACCGCTCGCTCACCTTGCGGAACAGAGGCATCAGGCTCCGCTGCACCAGCATACGAATCCTCTTCTCCCAGAGAAGCGCTTCCGTTCGACCCAGACCAAAGCACCACCGCATTTCGCGATCCAGTCGCAGAGACTAAACGCGCGCTTCCTCGGGATACCAAGGGAGACTCCAGTCGCAAGGACGACGACGCAGAACCACCACCAGCTTATTCAGAGGGTGATAATCCTCTCAGTGCATTCTCTTTCATAATGGCTGCCGCAGGAGGAGCTTCGAGTATCATTACTCAGGTGCAACAGGGTGGACCACCCATTAGCACTCTTGGAGATGTTGGTGCTGACGAGACGATCGCTATGGATCTAAGGTGAGCTTTGTATGAAGAAAGTTTCCTACCCAGTGCTAATTCTCGGATAGGGGCACAAGATTTTATCTTTCTAGAGACGAGTTGCTTACTTTGCCCGAATTCGTACTGCTTTCTTTGTTCCCCAACGGACTTTTCCCCGAGGGTCAAATGGGCGGGTTCGCAGACGGCGATGCCGTACAAGTCGACGTAAGCCAATGCCTTTCTTATCATCACAAACATTTGACTCACAAAACTAGTACGACCCAGCTTCGCTTCAGTACATGCTCGACTTTTTCAGGGACGTAGCACAATCCATCCCCACAGATGGATCACCAAGTGCTTCTCAGGATGAAGATACGCCATCTCTTGGTGCCTCGCGTGACGACTCTAAGCGAGCCGGTATCATTGTGCTGCGCGAGGACCTTGATTTCTACGCTATCCCTCCCCGAGCCGACATCGGCCAGCTTGACATGATTGCCGTGAAACGGGCAGCCGCAGAGGCGTTGCAGCAACAGAACGGCATCTTTTCCGGCCTCAAGCGAAGTGACGAGCCTGGTACCACCGAGGCCCATCTTATCGAGATGTTGACAGCTGGGTGAGTTATGCATGCTTTTGCTAGAAGCGGGATGATTAATACTAACTTATTAGTAGTGGTTTCAACCACGACGACCGATGGGGTCACCGTGCTGGCGAGCCTAACAAGGCTGTCATTTGCAGTCTTGCTCTTGCTCGTCTACGCAGCGATATCCGAGGCAACGAGATGGGCACTAACGCTGTTGGTATGGCTCAGAAGCTTCTCCTCTTCTGGCGTAAGCCCGCTCGACGTTGCTGGTGGGAAGGTGTCGAGCTCGAGAACGTTGCAGGCGTTGAAGGCAAGCTTAAGGTCTGGATCCGAAGGGTATGGACCCTCGAGATGAGCGTCATTGGCCTGCGTTAAGATTACCATCTCCTACTTTTCTCCTCCCTAAAGACCAAAGACTGTATAATCGTCATCCTTTCATTTTTTGTCTATCACACCCTCTGTGGCTTTTGTTTCTCCCTTATTCCCCCATTATCCCAAATCTTTCTATTTCCTCCCTACTAGGCTATCCCCTGTTTTATTTATTTGTCATGTCGTCCCGAGACCATTGTTGGCGGAGGTTGGTCCATGCAGTTGGGCAAAGCAAAAGCACATACGTGGAAGGCGAGAGAGTTTTGGTCCATCGAGATTCACAAAGGGCGGGCGTCAAGGTGCCATTGGAATTGGGGGCTCTTTGTAGACCTCCAGTCTTTTTCTTTTCATGTTGATATACAGCACAAAGATAATTCAATTACACAAAGACCGCATGTATATTACCTTGTCGTGCGATGTTTCATGGATATGAGAAGTGTTCAAATTTATTTGGGGTTCTAATTATGTACTATTCTGTCTAAGTGCCGAACTGTTCATATTTTTCGTAAGAGTTGTCTATCATGTAGTAGATGAATGACTATAGGCGTCCCATAATGGTACGAAGCAGCTGCTCGAATTGCTTTGTCCCTACATGGTTCATCGGGCTCTGTCAGGAGTGGTCGTACTCATGTCAATATCCGCATTCAAAACGAATTTCAAGTCCTGTTCACGAGTCAGCTTAACATCTTAGTCAAATAGTCTTGCTTACCTCTAACTTCTCTTGCGCGCCCTTATCATCCTCGCCAAATGTGAAAGTGGCTAGCTTTCGTTTCTTCTTTTGGAGGCCAATGATATTCTAGCAATTATCAGTCCTTGCCATGGTGAATGTAAAGTTATCCATACCTCCTCGACTGTGCCCCTCATGACATATCGAAAGATCTTGACCTCTTTAGTCTGACCCATACGCAGCGCTCGAGCAACTGCTTGTTCCTCCACGGACGGATTCCATTGCGGCTCGACGATATGAACCACACTGGCTGCGGTTAGGTTTAAGCTTTTATCGATTAGTTGCGAGCCTAGTCTGTAGAACCCTTGATGGAATCATACCCCACTGACCCCGTCTCGATGGACATTAGGAGTACTGTCACCCGTGGATCCTCACGGAATTTGTTGAGACGATTAGATCTTTCTGCGTAACTGGTTCGCCCGTCGATCTGGACATGGCAGATGCCCGCCGTGTTGAAAAGCTGCTCCAACGCATCTAGGGTGGAAGTCCAATATGAGAAGACGATACTGCCAGTTCGTTAGTTCGAATACAGGATACGGAATTCAATATAACTTACTGCTTGGCCCCTATTCCATGGTTTCTGACGTTGTCTACTACGGAAGACAGTTTTGTTGAGTGAGGTTCAACTGAGTATGTTGACTCGGGAGATATCATGTCGTTCTCCATGCAGTCCGATATAGGGCTGAGTCGAGAATGGGGATCCAGGCTCGACATATGAAGTGGACGATCGCAATCTGGACAAAAGGAGAGAGATTCTAAAAGTAGTTCATCATCTTCACAAATTTCAGAACATCGCCCACACTTTATACTCGGCTTTTGTGGCAAGAGATATGCTGTACGTCCAGCCGGCGAAAGTGTACCTCTATTGCAGAGCATTCTCATCTTCAAAATGGCCGTGAACAGGATGTTGTATCTCCTAATGTTAGCAGCAGAACTGACTAGTTCATCAATCTCGCGCCTTGATTGTTCTAGAATTGCCTTATAGAGTTTGGTCTCTTCTGGAGAGAATGACAGGAAAATGGTTTCCTCGGACGACTGAGGAAGATTGAGGTGAGTTTCTGTTCTTCGCAAACAGTAAGCCCCTAGATATGCACGAAGTGGCCTAGCATAATTAGGTCCTCCCTGGGAGAGTGGTAGCAGGATGTTGCTATGAAAGCTCGATCTAGTGGAAAATGGTGGGAGCCGAAGAAACGATGCGAGTGATGCCAGCTCTTCCAATTTGTTTTGAATAGGTGTTCCAGTTATGCACCATCTTCTGTTGGTAGTAAGACTGGAAACGGCGCGAAACTGCTTGGAGGTTGGATTTCGAATCCAGTGGGCTAAAGTTGGTTAAACGTGAAGTTGGAAGAAAGGATATATGGAAATACCTTCATCTAGCACAACTCGGTACCAGTTCATTCGCCCCAGGACATCAAATCCTTCATGGTCTGCCACCACTGTTGCATATGTAGTTATAACGATGCTGGGTGAGATTAAGTCGTTTTTATTGGATGTTCGTTTTGATCCATGAAAGACAATATAGTTCAGATAACCTGGGACAAAGTGTCTAGACAAATATTAGCCCAATGTTTTGGAGACTGGGTTGTATATCTAAGCAAGACTTACCTGGTAATTTCCGCCCTCCAGCTTTCGATGAGCTCTGCTGGATGTCAGGTTTCAATATCGCCTCTCATGGCTCTAAACTTACGTGCTGAGGTCACAACAACCAAAGTTGCCCTTGTTGGTGTTTTTGTAGACATCTCGCTTTTATTTCCCTTGTCAAAGTTACAAGTCGGGGGTAACGAGCGCAGAATGGCTGTGAGCATCGTCAAAGTCTTACCAAGTCCCATGACGTCGGCAATAATTCCTCCATAGAACGCTGGTTGCGTTGCATTGCTATCATGTTTAGATAAAGTAAATGCAACATAATATATTGGAAGCTACATCTCACCTTACTCTAGCAACTTGTTGCAAACCAATTTGCAAGTTGTTGCAAACCGCTTCTGTCTCACGCTGGAGGATAAAGCTGAATGCATCCTCTTGATGCCTATTGGTAAGTCAGTCTTCTTATCCTTTTCCCGAGTAATAATCAAGAAATACTCACGGTTTGAGGACAGCTTGAATGCCTTGTGGTAGCCCCGCTTGAAAAGATTCTACTCTTGTCAACGAGCAAAGAATATTGTGTATTTCCGCCGAAATCGTGGCCTTCCTCTGACTCGAAAGACGGTCACCTAGGCCAACATATTTGTTCATGTCTTCTTCCATCCCTGGAACACGAAAGAATTGAGGATTGGAATAGATAATCCCAGGCTCCAACGACTTGGGGTGTTGAAGAAAAGCAGAAGCCTTTGATAAACGACTTGCTGCATCTGAAGCAACGTCTTGAGGTCCGAAGATATTGATGAACACAGAGAATGTCTGTCGTCTGTTACTTTTATTTCGACGCTTGAGAAGGTTGCCAGTATCAGTTATAGCCTCAAGTTTCACTGAGGATAGCTCCCTCAAGACAGCCAGTTTCCTGGTGCTATGTGTGTCAAGGATGGCATAAGATTCGTTTTCGCGGCTTCCAAGAAGGCAAGTCCCATCTTTGAATGTGACGGGGAATCTGTGATAGCCATTGCAGTTGGTCAGATGTAACTCTTCTGGGACGGTTGTGTTCGCCAAGCACTGAGCTGCAGCATCGTTCAACTAACAGAGTATCAGCACCATATTCCAAGTCTGATGAAGCCGCGTGAGACATACTGCACCGTAACAAATAACCGACGGCGACGGATCGATCTGCGATAGAGAATTTGATCCCATGAAGGAAACGAAACAATCTTTCGCTTGTCCTTCTCCCTCATCGACCTCACGTGGCCTCTTAGACAGAACTACGTCCATATTGAAAGATGGAAATTTGGGATTTGCAATACGAAAAGTAGAAGACATGAAGAAAAGAAATCTGATAGCAAATGTGAACAAGGCTAAGATTACTTCGAGTACCAAATCAGGCTTCGAAGCCCTGCACGAATGTCTTTAGTACCTGTAGGGAAGTCTCCTGTATGTTACCTAGGTACTGTAGGAGAGAAACATCGGTGTATGCTTCAGCCACAATTGGGCGAACCATAAGGCGTTCTCAGCATTGCCTCCTGTCCTCGTGAATCATTTTGAAACTTATTCCTCCTTTATTCCAATTCTTCATCCAGTATTCTCTTCTACATCATCACAATATTTAATTAACCGATGAGTCATGAGTGGTCCTAATCCTGATGCCTTTCAACGGGCGCTCAAAAAGTTCAAGGCTTCCCTGGATCCCAATCTTCAAGCCCAATTCTCTCAAACGTCACTTTCCGATGTCTACTCTACGATACGTGATATCCAGGATAAGCAAGCCACAGCCGGCGAGCAGAGAGATATACGGAGGCTGCAAGCCTTCATCGAAGCTATGGATCAGTTCGGTAAAGTCATCGAGATCTTTCTCAATGCCAATGAGATATTGTGTTTCGTTTGGGTATTTGTGCCCATTCTTCTTCTCTTGTTGAACTTGTGCTAACAAGTAGTTTTAAGGGCCCCATCAAGTTCCTTCTCACGGCGAGTATTGGTAAAATGATCTGATAGGAGCCCGGCTGACCCTGAGTCGCTATAGGTTACTAGCACCTATATCGATAGTTTCGACAAGCTTCTGAACGCATATTCAGAAATCGGGAACGCTCTGCCTGGGCTGCAGCAGTATCGCGCCTCGTTTGAAAGTTACCAACCTCTATCTTCTGTACTCGAAGATTACCATTCCGACATCTTGAATTTTCATCGTGTGGCCCTCTCAGTCTTTGCTCGGCCAAGTCTGTCTCTTGATCATCCTGAACAATGAAACGATGTTAACTGATACTAGAATGGAAGTCGATCTTCAAAGCAGTATGGAAAACTTTCGAGACAGAACTTGGGCCTATAATAACAAGTCTTGCAAGCCGCCGAGCACTTCTCGAAAGCGAGAAAGCATCTGCGTCACTCTATGAGATTAACAATATTCGTGAGAAGATCAGCTCTGTCTACCAGGAACAACAATGCCAGGCAAGAATAAATAGAGATGAACGACACCGCACATATATGCGCGAGATCAAGGTCAAGCTCCAGAGCCCCGAATACCAGATCAACCAAGAGATTTCTACCGAAAGCAGAGGAGAAAGCCAATCTGGTCAATGGATTTTCAAACACTCGAAGTTCGAGCCGTGGTATGACAGTAGCACTCTAAGTAACATGGTGCTATACATTAACGGAATTCCGGGCGCGGGTATGGCGAGCCTAACCCTAATCGATTCTCTATAAGCTAAGGTATATGACAGGAAAGACAACTCTTATGTCAACAATCATTGAGAGGCTTTTGAAAGAGAAACTTTCAAGCGGAAGTGGAACCTCAGTTGTGTATTTCTACTTCAAGTACTCCTATACACGAGTGCATAACGGGTTCCTACGTGCTATTTTGGAGCAACTAATCAACCAAAACACGACTCTCTCTGGTCAATTGTTCGATGACATATCCGACATTGAGGGCGAGAATTTGAGGAAGACAGAAAGATTGCAGCACTTGGTTAAGGAAGCCCTCGAAACTAGCCGCATCTCATTTCTGGTTCTAGATGGATTAGATGAATGTCCTAAAGACGAGACAGAGCAAACTGTCAAATGGCTGCTTTCGATCCTCGAAGGACAATCTACGGGATCGACTTTGAGAATCATTTTCTCTGGCCAGCGTGATGGCATTCTGGATAGATTACTCAAGCCCTATCCTTCAATACCGCTTGATGTTTCCGCAACACCTGCCCATACACAGGACATCAATCGCTACTGTGCAGAGTTTTGCACACGTATCCAGGAAGAGTTCGACATGTCTCTAGAACTTCGACATGAGATATTGATAAAGGTCATGGAAGGAGCTCAAGGTAATTATGTACTTCCCTTATCCAGAATTAGTATCCACAACCACAAGATCCTAATCTAGCCATCAGATATGTTTCTGTACGCGCGAGTTGTTTTACATAATCTGACGAATCAGGCAACCCTTTCAGATCTGAAGAAAGAACTTCAACCAGGCACCTTTCCCAAAGGCATTGAAGATGCGTAAGTTCTTGAGCCTTTCCCTCTCCCGTATGGTTCGGTATTAACAGCAATTTACCAGATACAACCGTGTTGTTGCTCGGGTGCTAGAAGGGCCTGTTCCCCGACAGAAGCGCACTCTTCAACTTCTTGGGTTGATCGTCGCCGCTCAACGGCCGCTTAGATGGCGAGAGATACAAGGATTCTTCTGTATTGACTCATCACTAGGAGAGATTGATTACGAAAATAAGCGTCTACGAAAGAGTTGCAAAGACCTTTGCGGGGCCCTTGTTGACGTGCACCAAGACATGAGTGAGAGCTCAGTATCGGAAGACTTGATACGGATTGTGCATCCAACTGCTAAAAGGTTCGTACGCTGACCAAATGTAAGATTATTAGTGCTGACATGGATACAGTTATATTATCCAGAAGAGCATCATCAATCTTAGCCTTGAGCATGCCAAGTTGTCTCGTTTCTGCTCAGAATATCTGACATCAAGACCGTTCAAAGCTGGCATAGGCCATGAGCAGATTGCCTGTTACGCAGCTTCCGGATACTATGGGTTCCTGGATTACGCCGTACAGAACTGGTACCAACACGCCGGCTACTTTATTGAGGTGTCTGACGAACTTGATGTATCTATTAACAATAGTTCTTTCGGGTCGCTTCGAGGTCTCCTTATTGCATTTCTTGCTCAAGTTCCGGACACAGAACACCTCCTTGAGCCGGCTTCCACCTCTACGATTGATCTTTACAAGAACCTTGCCAAGGATGACCGAGAACGGAACTCGCAGATTGAGATGGAGCTTCGGTTGACTCTGGTCCGGCAGCAAATCGAAAGACTCTACCGGGATGGCTCGATGCCCCTCGACGGTACCATAAGCCAACTCTATGGACCCAAACTCACGTTAAAGTGCCATAAATCTTGGTGTTCCTATTTTACAGGCGGCTTCAAAACTACTGAAGAGCAACAAGCGCACCTTGCTCGGCATGAACGCTCGTTCTACTGTCCACAGGAGGGTTGCTTTACCTCTTCCCTTGGGTTCGCATCTGAGTCGCTGCTAGAAACGCATCGGACTACTTGGCACCCAATGCAGTCAGATCCAGCCCAATTTCCTATGCGCAGTCGCAAGAAGTACAGAAACCTCAGGGCCGCCGTAATCTCAGGTGATATTGATGCTGTAGAATTTGCATTGGTATCACAAACGCTCACCTCGGAGTCAAACACCAAGGACTTCCAAAAGGCACTGTTATATACGGCAAGACAGGGTGATACAGCCATGTGTAGATTACTGATGTCTCATGCTGCAATCGGCCCTTCATCAAACCTTTTTCGCGAAGCCCTTGTAGCTGCTACTGTGGAAGGGAATCTTGAAACCGTTAAACTATTCGGTTCTCAACTTAGCGACGGTTTTGGAAGGGACTGTGGTCGCAGGGCTTTCTTAAAGGCATGTGAAGCTGGTCACTTAGCCACTGCAGAATTCTTGTATGATACGTCTGGTTGCCACATTGATGAGAAGTTCACTGCCTTGTTTCTCTGCATTTCGAACAAGGACACGGGTATGCTCAAATACTTGTTGGGGAATGGATTTGCAGACTCCGAGGATTCGAGTTTATTGGTAAGTCGCGCTCTTGAGTGTGGCTGGACAGACAACAGCATCTTTAAATTGATACTAGATACGGGACGGGCAAGTCTCGGAGATGTCAGTCGCGCCATCGAAAAAGGGGCCATCAAGCTAGCAGAGATATTGCTGTCTCATGGAGTCGAGTTTAATGATATCGAACAGATCAAGCTTGTATATCAAGCCTTTGCGGCAGATTTGAAAGATTTAATGACTCTTATCACGAATATCAAGCCAGTGTTCAATCTGCCTCCACTCTTCTTGTTTGAGCCGTGGTTTCACCTGGAGAATATCTGGCAACGCGCAAGTACTTATGAACCGGCTGGTTATCGCTTCGATGTAGTAGAACAATACAAGGTCAATCAACTTGCCAAAAAGGCAGTGGAGGTCGCTTTGGAGAAGCAAAAAGATTTCAACCGAAGACGACTTCACCAGGAGCTCAATGATCCAACGATTGCCGAATTTCAATCCCAAGGCAAAGACATTCTCGAGTGTTTCTACCGACATCAAGCCTTTCGATTACGAGAACCTTTACTCGCGGCCAGCCTTTATAGAAAACTCGAACGAATGGGACGAGAAAAAGCCATAGCGTTTCTTTCGGACAAGACTTGAGCGATTCTTGTGTCCTTTGGGACGTTGCCATTTGATGACTACTGGTTTTAGCATATCTAAATACTTCCGACGACTAGAACGCTCGTTTACATTCTTCTATATATCTAAATATTTAAAATAACAATAGTAAAATGACTTCATGAAACCTATCTTGCTGCAATGCCGGAACTTTTGCACGGGTCTATGCATGCATACTATCTTGACAACATAGTAAGGGAGCTGTTATGGGTGTCCTCAGAGCAGCCAGTAGTCAACGGTGGAAGATAGTAAATTGAACGGGGCGTTGAGCTAGGGCTATGGGCATAAGGTTTGGGGTAATAGAGATATATGGTGTTGTGTAGTTGTGGTAGTACAAATGAGATACTTTGTGTACCTGTATGAAGAGGTTGGTGGCGTAACACTCGAATCTCTAAATAAGAATTGTTAGGTATTAGACTTTTTGCGGCCAAAATACCATTAAAATGATACTTAGTTAAATTTAGGCTTTTAATTTAATGGTTCCAAAGAAAACGAAGCGTCTGACTTATTCGCTACCAGACTGGTGGAGTGACCATCAAACGTGTTTCTTTTAATAACTATCTGCCTGAGTAATATTTCGTATTGGCTAAAAGTTATGCAGTAAATAGTATTCGCAATTAGGATGTGCCGAACTCGATGTAATGAATAAGTCATACCCGTACTCGTATCAATCCCATTCCATGGCAGGTAGCACAGCCTCAAATATTTACGCGGACAACATTTATTAATCAAGCTTTTTAAGTTCAGAGAGATCTGGGGTAAATTGGCATGATCAACAGGGATCGACCTGCCGTCTCTTGTTTAATTGGACGACCATGGGATGCACCTTCTTGGCCTGGGCATCTATGACATGTCGTCCGAGGGCCCCGACTTCCTTTGATCGTCATTCCATTTATTCCAACCTCTTTTCTTCTTGCCTGACATCGCCCGGTCTTGTTTTTAACATATCGCCGTCCACTTTCATAGTCACGTTCACGATTAATGCCTTCATCCTTTGATACCCAATTCCAGTCTCCCATATCCATATTATTTCTCCATCTCCGTCTTTGCTTGTCTCCAACAACCCTGGTTTAACCTTTGTATTCTTCGCCCTTCCCCGACGTCATTCCCCTCACCGTTTAAATGGCGTCCCTCCTCCGCATTGCCGCCACCACTTTAACTTCAACGCTCCTCTTCTCTGTCGCCTCAGCCCAAGAATGCAGCTTCAAAGGCCTGAGTACATCATATCCTGCGCCTGTCACAGCAGACAACTGGAACTATAGTGTCATCGCCAACAAGCTCAGACGACCACGGGGCATCGTATTTGATAGCGAAGGTGCTCTGCTTGTCATAGATTCCGGAAACGGCATAATCCATTTCGAGCTCGAAGATGAAGGGGGAACGTGTTTGCAAGTCAGGAAGAAGACGACTTTGTTGAAGAAGGATAATGTAAGTCAATTGCACACTCCACTTCTAATTTGCCTTTCGTCCTACTAACACCCCTTGTCTAGCTCAACCATGCCATCGTCCTCTCCAAAGATGGCCGCACAATCTACGCTTCGTCTTCGAACGAGGTTTATGCATGGCCCTACGACCCATCCAAAGTTACTCTTAGCAATTCCTCAGTCCAGACTCTGGTTACAAACATGACCAACGGGGGGCACACATCGCGTACTCTGCTCATATCACAGCAATACCCAGACATGCTTCTTGTGTCTCGCGGCAGTAATGGGAACGATGACTCAGGAGCTGAAGATCGTGACTCTGGTCGCTCTCAAATTCGTGCCTTCAACATCTCGTCTTTCAGCGACAACTCTGATAAAAAGCCTTACGACTATCTTGATGGCCTTATTCTTGGCTGGGGTCTACGCAATTCCGTCGGTGTAGCAGAACACCCCATCACGGGTGGCATATTTAGCGTTGAGAACTCAGCCGATGAGTTGCGCCGGGATGGCAAAGACATTCACAAGGATAATCCAGGAGAAGAGATGAACTTCCATGGCTATCTTAACGGCTCCGACGAGGACCAAGGTGGCAACTACGGCTACCCTCTTTGCTACACACTCTGGTCTACAAAGGATTTCCCTGAACTTGGCGACCTCAAGATAGGCGATCAGTTTCCCGCTGATCGGCAGTCTGACGATAAGAACGCTACTTCCCTTAGTGATGAGGAATGCAAATCAGATTACGTTGCTCCAGTGCTGGCATTTCAGGCACACACTGCTCCTCTGGACATGAAGTTTGATGAAAACGGCACCAGGGCTTATATATCTTTCCATGGAAGTTGTAAGTTATACCCCTCCTCGACCTCCGGGTCTGTTCACTTACACGTTTAGGGAATCGTGAGCCCGCAGTAGGATATGAGATCTCTTACACAGACTTTGAGAACGGCCAGCCTGCAGCGTCTTCTCGAAGCAATAACGCTACTACGCCTATCATCTACAACGAGGACATTTCAAACTGCCCTGACGACTGCTTCCGCCCTGTCGGCTTAGCATGGGACCCACAAGGTCGATTGTGGTTCAGCTCTGACAAGACAGGTGAGATCTTCGTGTTAAATCAGGCTTCCACTAGCGACAATGGATCTTCACCCGGCCGTGGTGATGAGGATGATGATGACAACTCTGCCCTTTCTTTGCAGCCTGGATCAGCTGCCTTGATCGTGACACTGGCCGCCATTGTTATGGGAGGTTTCCTAGCATGATGCTTCTAAGTAAGCAACATATTCCAATTACGAATTGACGTAGCAAGAGTGAGCGAGTGTTCATGTTATTTGTTTTCTGTACGATTGTCCGATACCGGGGGGAATGGGGGGCTGTCTTAATTCAAAGCAGTTCAAATACTACTAGGGTGTAGCCATTATCCAGTTACAACATTGTTAAAAAGAATTCATCATTCCCAACCATGCCAGTTGACATTGCTGGTTCTCTTAGTCCACACATTACAGGACATGGAGTTCATGGCTGTTTGAAGATTGTGATAGGTTCGTACAGAACATAATTCAGCTACAACCGCACACCATCACAGTACGTCCAATACCAATTTCGAGATGTTGTAGCAAGATAATCACCCTTTTGTTTGCCTTGAACGCCTGGCTCTCCTATTTGTACTCATCGTCGCGTCGCGTTGCTTTAATTCGTTGTAATCTATTCCTCAATCGTCTTGACACACTCCCACTCTCCCCGGAGGTTCTCCTTCCACAATGACACCTTGTTGTCCTGGCCACTAACTGCCAGGACGTTGCCGCTGAGCGACCAGCTAACTCGCCACACAGCCGCCTCGAAGGGGAGAACCTTGGATTCCCATTGAGTAGGGTTTGAAGGGTCAGATGTCCAGATGCGGACTGTCTTGTCTTGCGAAGCAGAGGCGATGTAGGACTTCTGGAGAACAGTAGGGGACCAAGCCACATCACGGACCCAGTCAGTGTGCCCGGTCAGGGGCTCACGCTCCTGCTTGTAGGTCTGAGAAGCAGGGTCGAAGGCCCAGATCTTAAGGACGTTGTCGCTGCCACCGGTAACGAATCGTCGGTTGCCAGTAGCACCAGGTCCAGGGGCGCTGCTGACGATGCTGCCAGGGGTAGTAGCGGGAGCCCAAGAGACGGAGTTGACGCCGAGACCGTGGGCGGCGAAGGTGGTGTGGTCGATGCTGTTGTCCTTGAACTCGAGAACGCTCACGTTGCCGTCGGAAGAGGCGCAGGCCAGCAGGCAACCAGCTTCGTGGGGAGACCAGGAGACGATGTTGACCGAGGCCTTGTGTAGGGGGAAATCGTAGATGCGCTGCCATGCGTTGTTCTGTCCACCCTGTTCCTTCCAGATAAAGACCTTGCCATCGTAGCCAGCCGACGCCAGGATGTTGCCGTACTTGGGATGCGCCCAAGCAACACACCAAACGGCACCCTCATGTCTATCGTCCTCCCAGTCAGCTTTCTGTCCTATGATAAGGCGAGTTCCCGTACTCACCCTTTAAGGGTCTCGATCAATCGCTGGGTTTCGCCCTCAATCTCAAAGATCTTGATTGTCTTGTCGCCAGAGCAGGTAGCTAGCTTGCGACCGTAGTAGTCAAGGACAGCATCATGCTGGAGAAGCTGTCAGTGTGGTTCGGGGTCGTGGGGAGTATAGTGGTTCGTGTTGTGGAGAGCTTGACTATGCATCGCATAGCTTCTAATCGCATCAATCGGGGGACGGAACGTACAATCATGTCCTCATGACCAGAGTTGGAGATAACTTGCGCCGACTAAAGGGGAGGATAGTTAGCATTATTGGGACATTCGATGAAGATAACGTAGAGGTGTTAAACGGATTCATCGTGTAGAAGAGCGTACCATCTTGCTTGATTTTTACACCAGAGTTACAGCGCAAAAGGAAACAAACAGAAAGGGATGAATTATAGAAGGTTGCTATCAGAGGACACGATACCGCCCATGGCCTGGAGCTATCTGAGGTGGCCCGCGCCAGACCGTGGCGGTGGTGACAGTTGGCCAAGCTGGAGTCACGTGAATGTATGCGTGATCTCACAAAGTGGAAACCCCCCACTTGCCGTATTGGTCCTGCGGGTAGCGGTACGTACCGTGTCGTTCAGTCCCGACCGGGCAGTTGCCTCGGCGCAGGCTTCCCCGGACAGTAGAAGCGGGCGGAGGAACAATCACGAGCCATCGGGTCTTGAATCCTAGGGGAAGGCGGCTCTTGCATTATTCATCTACAACCTCACATATACTTTTGGTTATTCACTTTACTTCTTTTTGTCTACAAACAGCCACATTCTATATCCTCTTATAAGAAAGGCATCATCTTCCCCTGTCTTACTCCTCAAACCGCCACTGGACACCTCGCCGAGGCTTAGGCATACTTGGGATTATCTCACTATTAGAGATCAGTAACTCATTTACCCAGCAGCAGATATACGCACAAACAATTAATCATGGCGGACGCATCATGTAGCGGTGGAACCCCTTTCAAGCGGCTTATTGACCATCAGGCTCGCGATGTTAGCCATCACCAGGACCGACTTGTCGACCGCGCTGGTCCCCAAGGCCATGCTGTAAGTACTCAGATGTCATCTTATGTAGACTGGGAACTAAAAACCCCCAGTCCTTCAGATCTACACCACAGCAAATGCAAGGTGCAGATGGTTTCGGCGCGTTCATGAATGGTTCCTCAACTCTACCAGGAGTCCCTCAACATCATGCAGCAGGAAGATTAGCTGCCCACGCTGCCGTCCTGGAGCAAGGACACTCGCCTGCATTTCGCGCTGCTCAACCACAACATTTCCAACCAGGGCATCACTCTCCCTCAGTTGATGTAAGCAACTGGGCGGCTGACTTCAACCGCTTCTCAAACCAGCCACAGCAACGACAGCCTCTCCAAAATGGCTTTCCGCAGGCTACCCCTCAAATGCACCAGCCAGCTCCCCAGATGAACTTCCAAGCCGCCTTTGTGCAACCCAACACTGCCTTCGCGCCTATGTATGGTCAAGTCAATGGCCAAGCCAACGGTGTTTTCATGAACGGCAACCCAGCAGCAACACAGGAGGCAGGTTTCGACGACGAAATGTCAAAGTGGATGGCAACCAACGGTGGAGGTGGAATGGAAGAGGTAGACGCCATGATGGACCAAATGGCTCGTGAACTGGAACTCAACGACGCAGCAATAGCCCAGGCTGAGGCCCAACGAGTCTCAGAGCAAGAAACGGTTGATGAGCCGACATTGGAGGCGAATCCAACCAAGCTTGCGACTCCAGATATTGCCAGTCTTTCTCTCGAAACAGAAGAACCTGTAGTAACGGAACCTATCGAGGCCGCAAAATCAAGATCAGAAGTTGCCGATGCAGCTGAGCGTCTCCTCGAATCAGTCGAACACGAGGATGGCGAAAAGTGGAAGAACTCCGTGTTTCTTTCTCTCATGCGAGACTTCCGAGATGGACGAAAGGATATTGTCGACAATGAGATTCGCGAAACACCGGACAATGACGCAAACGCTTTAGGGGAGACTCAGTGACGGCTTCAGGACCCCAACGGCATCAAAGCATCGGCTTCCAGGTTGGATTTACGACATGAAACTATCATCGAGCATCCAGTAGTGAGCTTTAATAGTCCATATCAAGACGAGTTGACGTCGCGATGGGAAGTCACATCAGTCCCTACCGGATTGTTGTGAGAGTCAGACTCATCTCCCAGTTCGTGTATTGAGCATCTCAGTCGGACGACATTCTAGGACTACCACCAGAATACGGGTTATCAAGTGACTGGGTCAACACTAAGTGTCAGTTAGATATGAAAGGAAACCAGTCCTTGTATATAGTGACGAAACCATGTATATTAGTAATTGTCGAAACTTTTTTTGAATATGAAGAGATTTTGATCCAAGCAAGCGATTCATGATCACCAACGTTGATATTGCAGGTTTTGTGTTCACATCACCTTACGAATTCACGTCTCACCCACGGGCAAGTCACATAAAGCACAAGCAGGAAATAACAGGTTAATAATTTAAATTCAGCAGGCAATTCTTTTCGTCAGCGGGTAGTCGCTCCCAGAACTCCGTTCCCATTCCTTCATTTAAACCCCAAAATGCAATCCGTAACATAATTCTTATCCTTTCTCCCATGATGCAGTCTTGAGTAACGACAGAAAATTCAATGACACATATACGATGAAGATATACAGTCGTATAGTCCAATACCAGCCCAAAATCCTTTATGCATAACGCCATGAGTTACTAGAGGAAAAAATAGAGAGAAAAATGGAAGCCCAAAACATGGGGTTATGAGTTTATTGTGACCTCCATGAGCAGCCACAGTCGGTGAGTGATGGGTTTGTCCGTTTCAGCAGACGAGGCGGCAACGAGTTGGTTGCGACGCCTGACGCCGTTGGGAATTCAAGGTCTAAGTCGTCGATATCATCGTCATCGTCTTCCACGATGATCATCACAACCTTCTTACCATCCTTGAGGACTGGTTTCGTTTTCGTCCCGTCACCAATCACTTCGTACTGAATGCAATAAGCCACCGAGTCTTCATTCCACAAGAACCGACGCTCCATCATCTTGTAAACGTGAGGGTATGGGGGCAGCTTCAAATCATCCCAGCTGCTGGTCGAGGTGGGGGGGTCGCTTTCCGTAGAGGTGGGCTTCACTGGGGGTGATGAAATCGAGGGCTGGTGATACGTCGTGGCAGTTGCGTTCTCACTGGGATAGATAAAGAACTCGATGACAGTATTCGGCCAGGTACAGATCCATGGCCTTTCGCCAAGTTTGGCATTCACTGGCTTGTTCTTAAATCGATGAAAAGAGTTGTAGTCTTCATATTCGCTGTTTTCGTTGTCGTCATAATTCCAACCTCGTTTGTCCATTTCACCGAACTTCTTTTCAGAAACGATAACGGTTTTGTTGTATGTTGTTCTCAACCACCAAGCAGGGCCGCGCGCGATTTCCAATGTGTCGTTGACCAATACCATGTGAGCCGGTTTAGCAATGGTGGGAGGTTGGGCGCCGTATGGAAATGGAGTGTTATAATCATTGATGGCTTTGAGCGTCATGTTGTAGGCAACAGCAGACTTGTTCTTAGGGTCTGAGTTTTCCTCTATTTGAACAGACCAGATGGGATTGATGATCTCGCAGGACCAAGCTGCTTGTTGTGTCGAATCATTGAAGCAAGTACTGGTTCCTTGAGAGGCTGGGTCTATGTTAGGAAGTGCGAATCGGCCTGTAGCCATAGACGGCAGGTTTGTTGGGACAGCTATGATTTCGGGATCATATACAGTTGTAGTTGGAGGTATAGTGGCATATTTGCTGGAGGGAGGTTAGTATAATGGCTGACACCAACAAGATTCAACATACTCTTCATCGTAATCAGGGGGAGGCTCATGACTCTTAGACAGCATAGTGCCAATTACAGCGCCCATGATAATACCCATCAGAATTAGACCAACGAACAGGAGGCAAATGGCCCAGTAAGGCACGATTCCGCAAAGCTTCTTTTTTGCCCTTCGTTGCCACTTGTTAACAGCAGGTTTCTCGGAAACTTCGATGGCGGCAGTGTTGATGTCGTGGTGGCTACTGTCAGAAACATTGCTTCTGACGGAGGGCCGAGTCCTCGGCAGTGCCAAGTCATCATCGGTTGATGAGAATTCGGGATCGCGCGTTGCCATTCCGATTCCACCAGCACCGGGTATATCCCTCGCAGGGGAGACAGGTTCCGATACAGACGACACGGGTGAGGCGGGTGAGGCGGGTGAGACAGGTGAAGCGGGGGATGCTGGCGCTTGGGGGGTAGGTTTAGGCACATAGGCATTATCGGGATATCTGGTATAAGGCGGTAATTCCTCCATATGACCCAATGGGCCTACCAAATCGCCCGCCTCTTCTCCATCCGGACCCAATTGTCGCTGGTAACTTCCCCCCAAGCCGTTAAATCCTACTGGAATCGAGGGGTTGCTACTTTCGCCAGAAGTGGTGTTCTGGGTGTAAAGAGCGTAAGGGTGAGTAGGGCCCTGATGGGCTCCATAAGACCGATCTTCGGGTACGACTGCATTGGCAGCAGTGGATGTTGTAGTCACGCTCATTGTCCGTTGAGGATACATCTGGTACGGATGTGACGGACCAGACGGGCCTGTGTATGGACTTTCGGCACGAATGACAGGTGAATTCGATGATAGACTATGGTTATTGCGTACATGCGAACGATCAGCGGTAGATGTTCCGTCATTCCTAAGAGCGAGAGAGTCATGGTTCCGGTGTGGTTTCGAGATACTGGAAGGTCGGTTACGGATAGCAGGTATTATCTCAGATGAATCACGGGGTACGAGTGGTGCCTGTGATGACTTTGTCGATTCTGTTTGTTGTGAGAAAGACTCGGTTGATGACACTGATGGTTCGGTGTGGGTATTCGAGTTTGTGGCTGGGTTGGTGGAGGAAGAGGTAGCATTGTCGGTTGGTCGGAACCCATCGGCCACCATCATGGCGCTGAGATCGTAGTCATCGTCGGTAACACCACTGCCAATGGACAGCCTCAACGAACGCGAGTGTCGAGTCGATGAGCGACGCGAGTTGCTCGAGTCCTTGCCGTTGTTGGAATCCATGGCGTGGTGGAAAGTCAGGCCAGGGCTTCAAGCCAGAAACGCCGGCAAGGGCGTACCCTACAGGTCGTGAATTCTCGGGCGTTGAAATCGGCGTCGTGATCCAAGGGGCAATACAATCTACGGTCGGGGTTCGAACGGGAGGGCGGTCGGCAGATCAATGGCGAAGGGAGGCCGACTTGAGTGGGAGAATCGGGGTCCAAATCTATTAGGAAGACGTGTTGAAGCGAGCGAATGTCGAAAATCGAAGCGTACAATTCGGGTGAGACGAGTAAGATCGAAAATCGGATGAGCGAAGGTGGTTGATTGATGATGGTGATTTGTTTAGCCGTGGTTGGGGTGGATGGAGATTGACGGGATGGGATGGATAGAACTGCAAAAAGCCAAGGACGAGAAAGCGGGTTTCGAGTGGGAGCGAGGGAGCGACTGAGTCTGAGTGGCTACACAGGAGGAAGGAGGGAGAGCAGGCCAACAGGAAACGAGCAGGCGCCATGTCAAAGAGGGTCCTCGAGTTCCCAGCGGGCTTTAGTGGGTACAGGGTTTTGATATCGGCCAGTTAGAGCCGGTTTGGAAAGGGGAAGACACGGCTAATCCCAAGGCGGTATAGAGCCACCCAAGCTAGCACGTAGCGAAGGTTTTTGTTTTCCTTGGACCTGAGTTAACAGTGGCAGTCCCCAAGGTAAATCAACTACAAAAGCTAAAGAGAGGCCTAAGAGCGGCCAGAGGCATTAAAGTGCAAGATAGACTTACAGTGGCACGGCGTCCGTCACACATATGGATTGCTTCAGACAGACATGATCTGCAGTTATCAATTGCCTTCAACATCTGCAATTGAACCCTGTGTCCCTGTGTTCCTAGTTTTCCTTAGCGAGTCAGGCCAAATTCCCCTGGCAATCCACGGGTTGCCGGGTTTGGCCAGCGGACCTGGCTAGGGGGCGAGTGAGTGGCCTGGCTGACGCGATTGGTGGACCAAGGGCAACAACCCGTTTCAGCGCGCAGCATTGGGCTCTGGGTGGATGGACTGGTTTCATTCCTGCGTCATTGCATTAGAAGTGGGACTCTATTTTTGATACCTACATGTATTATGATTATGTCTTCTCTATGCATAGGTATTTGGTGTTGTTCATTGCTGTGTAACTAGTGGATCCCTTCTCGTATAACGGGATCACTTGATGTTGGACGCATCATGTAGAACTGGTCATATGGTGTTGGGTTATTCTATAGATGAATGCATTGACGTTGAAGTCTTTACCTGCTCTTTATGGCCATTTACCGCATCGTTCTCACAGTCACGACATGGATCATATCATACTGTAGCAATCGGCTCTTCTCCTTCTTGGCAATCAAGCCAAACCTGACTGGGCGTTACACAAAGCCGGTAACACGCTCCGAAGAATTTGGCCTGCCGTGGCTGGTACCAATTCAATTGCACTCGGCAAGGTCTTGCGGCATTATGATTTGTGCTTCACGTGCTACCTCAAACTGTCCTGGTGAGTTGTGACCAGTGTTTCGACGATCTGATCTGACGCTTTAGATATAGATAGACTTATCTTGACGAAGTTGAATTTTAGTTATCTGTTATATAACTTTAAACTTATACTCTGTTTCACTGCATATCTTGTTAGAGTTTCCTTCCTCCCGTCACATTCCTCGCACCGCACAGGATGACGATCCCGGCTGAACCGGCGACAACATCCTCGGCGTCCATCGAGAGTCAAAAAGAGCCTAGGTAATTATCGAATTTTCGTTCTCCTACAAAGTGACACGTCTCCGCTATCTCAACGAGACGCCATAATTGGAAGTAGTTACTCGCCAAGGTGGAAACCTACAGGATATAAGAGATCCACATGACATCCAAACTTCTTTCTCGCTTCCAACTTTTTTCCATGCCCTCTTCTAGAATATTGCTTGATACTTTAATTCAGGGTTCTTTTTCCCACAAGATCGACAAAGACTAAGAACTTTGCGAAATTAATACCTCTGTGTGGTCCGAGTAACCTCTTCGGGACAAACCCTGAGCCTGCCTGTCCAAAGGAATACAGCAAAAACATGCCGTTCTTCGTCAGCAATCAAGCCAGATTTCAATTCAGTATAATACGGAAGTAAACATCGGTATGATGTGTGAAAACCCCGTAACGAATATTTATGCTCGCAACTTCTCTTATATACCCATTATAAAGCGGGTTGACCTCACGTGAAAAATTAGAGATGACTGCAAATACTTCCCTGAGTCTCAAGGCTTTCTATGATAGATTATTTGACATTTCTTATGCGTCTTCGGTGTATGTATCTTGGACCACACTACTGCTCAAACCAAGGTGCATGCTTCAGAAACGTGCAACACGACTCGGGACCATGATCAAACGTCCATTCACAAAGACAACGTCCAACCAGAACCATGATCTCAAGTCTCTCAAGATGCAGACAAAGTCGGACGGTTTCGATGCATGCGTTGTCACTGAGAAGATGGTGTCAGACACAGAACTCTTATTGATCTCTGCACAGGCAGGTGAGATCTCTCTCTTATATCAAAGCACCCCGGTTGAAAGTGAAGCGCTACAAATGCTCGCCCTGTTTTTCGGACCATTGATGTATGGGGTAATATTTTTTCTAACTGCCGGGAGGGAGATGAACCAACCATGAAACAAAACCCAGTTCTCGGGTCGTTGTGTGTCTTATTCACTGGTCCAGGCATCCAGTACCTTTAGATGTCCTAGTTTAGCACTCGCATGGACCAGAGATCACACGAGTGAAGGAGGATTAATTCTTCCTTTGAGGGTTGCTGATCTGCCTGAGTCTAAGGTATGCTTGTAGCATTAACAAATAGTTTGTTTTTTACGTTTAATGTGTGTATGTTGCTATGTATTCAAACCTTGAGTACCTTAGTCGTACAAGCAAGTTCATGTTCAAGTTGCTACCCTATGTTCACAATCTACAACATGCAAAGTTATAAGATAAGGCCATTAAAAAGACCCTGAAAGGCAGAAATGTAGACGTATAGAGTCGTTATGCATCTCTCGAGCCTCCATCCCTGGATCGTCAGCCCTATAATTGATGTTCCGTTTCTGCACTTCACATGCTTGTTATCTACCGCATGAAGCTCACCACTTCCAGCGCGGTTATTCCGATAAGTCAACCAACCAGCCAGTAATCACTACTTACCACACTTTCACATCACCTCGCAACAGCTGCATAAACCTGACCAAATGATTTCCACTCCCATCCTGTCACAGCACTCCATGCTGTTCTCCCCTCCCCCGGTATGGGCTCATCAACCAACCAGCACAGTAGCATACCCTGCACCGGCGGCAGCTTGCAGAAAGACGACGGCCAATCGTCGTGTCTGGAACATCAGCGCGCTGCAACAACAGAAAACCACACCATAGGTAGTCGGGACTGGACCACGCGCGCATCCGCTTGGAGTCTGGAGAGATGTGTGCACTGCAGCCTCGTTTACCTTGTTTCGCTCCAGTCAAAAGAGGCAACGAGAAAGAGAAAAGGCAGCCACAGCGAAATGCAGCAGCTGCATGACGTCTGGACGTTCGTTACCACTAACTTAGTTGCTGTGCCCTGAAGCGTTCGCATTCTTATGGATCCGCAGTCTGTTGTGTTTAGTTCGAGCGTCCCGTCTCCTGATAAGTTGGTCGATCGTAGATATGCTGCCGAATGGATCTTTGTGTCTAGCAAGTTTCAAGGAACTCAACTCTCGACCAATTCTACTCCATAGTTTGTGTCTCTTTGTGTTCCATGGCCAATTGGGTTGGATTGCATCATTCCATATTACAAACTGGACAATAGTTACCTCCCTACCATCTTAGCATCGACCGTGTTACTATCGAGCTGAACTCAACAACTAACTGCTTGCGAACCACACAGAAAATGTGCTACGTTCGCTTCACATTAATCTACTCGTTCACGAGATTTGCACCTCTTACACCCTCATCTCTGTCCTAGATCATCTATCATCTTACCCCTCTCCCCCCGCCAAAGCAGGGCGAACGTGGCGCACGATCGCCCAGCTTGCACGGCGTCGTCTCACCCCTTGACTGCTCAATATACTGAGAGCCTCAAGGAACGTCTCCCCAGTCCCACCGACACCCAAACTTCATTGGCAGCCCGTTATGTGCAGTGTAGGTATTGGTACTGGTACTGCACATCACCGGGAGCGTCGTATCGTGTAAGCTGGCTCGCACAATAACGCTGCACGACGCTGAGCACACCCACATCCTGGCCCTTTCTCTCTCCTGTCGGTCTTTGCTTTCCGTCGCAACCAGAGCCTGCTGTGCAATGTGCAACAGCCATGGGAGACAATAGCTTCTTTTCTCATCGCCCGCAGAATATGAGATGCCTTGACGAGGCAGCCGATCCTGGGGATTGCTTTGCAACACCCAAGTTGAATGCCCCCGGGCTCTGTGTTAGTGCCCGTCTATATCATGCTCCCATGTCCGTCTATAGTTTGCCTCGTCCTCTTTCTTTAGCTCTTCTCGTCGATCTCTATTCTTGAACAAGGAGACCCCTTCTACCCCTTTACCTTGCTGCCACGCTTTACAAGCATCTCCTTGCCCTCTTGCACAACACCAACCCCAAGCTCACTGCTTAGGTTCGTGAACTGCACACCACCAACATATCTGGGCATCACAATCATTGCCACCCGCCTCACCTTACCATATAATTCCCACATCTAATCTGTCAATCATGTCACATAAGTCATTCTCCGGCGGTTCCTCCGTCTACTCGGATGACAGCCATTCGTCAACATGGACGACTACATATACCAAGCTCCCCAGGAAACAGCCCAAAACCATTCGCTTTCTCTCATGGGTAGCTGGTGCACCCGCCGGAGCCACTGCTGTCAAGAAGAGAACAAGAGATTTCCCTGATGATCGGTCTGTCCGGTCTGGGGGCTCATCGTTTTCCTACTGGAATGGACCCGAAACACAACTTTACTGGGTTGCCCATTCCCATGGTGACTACTACAGTGGTAGTAGTGGTAGCAGTACCGGGAGCAGACGCAGCAAGAAAAGCAGCAGTAGTCGCAAGAACGGCGGTTCCCGTAATCACTTTGAGGGAGCTGTTCCCCGGCCGCCTATGGTCCAGCCAATGGGCATGCCGATGCCGCCGATGCCAATGCCGATGCCGATGAACGCCGGCCCGCCCCCGCCTCCGATGGGTCCACCCATGGACGGAGGGTTTGGCGGAGGTTACGAAGGGGGTTATGATGATGGCGTCTACGATGGAGGTTACGATCCAGGCATGGGTGGTGGTTATTCCCCTGGACCTATGCATGGCCATCCTCCTCCTATGCCACCGCCTCCCATGAACCCTCAAATGTCTGAACCCGCACCCTTTATCAACGTAACCGGTCAGAACCAGCCCGGCAATCCTTTCCATGGCGGTAGAGGAGGCCCTCCCCAATCAGAAAGCGACTGGAGTTCTGAAGGAGAATAATGTGTTTTTGTTTCACGCATGATCTAGCATCGGACTCTCAAATGTTTGATGATTGTATCTGGTGATGTATATCTAACGACTGGGATTGGCGAATAAGGCGTTAAGGGAACTTGGCATTATGACGCCAGATGGTTATGGTTGCGACGAATGTATCAAAGGGTTTACTGTGTCAGTTTTTGACTAATGTCGCTTGCTATTCTTTGCTTCATCTTGGGCTTGTACCAAGTGTAACGGATCTAACGAGGATCTGGTTATTATGACATAACGAAACAATTTAGTTTAACTTCTTTGTGCATCGTGAATTTGATGAATCGTTCTTTTTCGTGAAGCAAGTAGACTTGATCAGTTATGATCGTGGCATGACCAGGACGTGCACCTATTGAGAAAAGTTGTTGAGGAAGAGGAAAAGAATAAAAGGAACACAGTGATGTGGCCCTGCAATTCATCCACCTCTTCAATGTTCAATGATGTCGCGTGTTGCCTCTTTCACCAATGGTATAATACGTCATATCGATATCTTCAGAAGAAAGAAAGCCTTGGAGTTTGCCCATGTCATAAATTCTTTTCCCTAATGGAGCATCGGCTTTGAGCGATGCACGACGGTCCGCACCCATGCCGAAACGAGATCTTTTGGAGGTAGGAGACCATACGCTCCAGCCACTCACCACAGTCCAATAACCGGAGCTCAGTAAAACGCGGTAAAACACAGCCTCCCGGTGCAACATGTTCGGTTTAGCGGCCGATTGGCCTTTTGTGGATCTCAGTTCCCCCGGGCCCGCTGTGACTCTTTTCGCTGTAGGGGAGGCTAGAGAGGGAGAGCTCCGCCGGGAGGCTTGGCCATAGCGTCCATCCGTGAAGGGTATGGACGGTGTAAGTGTAAGTGCTGCACTGAAAGATGACGACAATTTCATGTTCGACGCTCAAAAGAAACAACCCAATTCGATGTCGACATTTTTTACTTGTCACGCGATTGAGCATCTGCCCTGAAAGATACGCGCTGGAAGATGCAGTCATCTTCTGAATGCTGTACTATGCATGCACCATTTTTCTTGTTTACCCAATCCAGAAGCCGTATTCTGGGTAGCCAGAAGAAAGAGGCAGCCGAGCTAGGAGAGTGAGCAGTCAGCCTCAAACTGGTTTATCAAAGGTTCCAAGAAAGGAGAAGAGAATGGTTGCTGTTTCTTGATTTATTGACATATTGCCACAGCAAATCTAGAACAAATTGACGTAGAATACAAGGCTTCAACCTGATTCATTAAAAAGTATCTGCTATGCTAACGCTTTGAAGTAAAATGCAAACAAAGGCCTAGAATTATATGACGAACTTTAGTTCAATATCCCCACAAGTCCCTGAGTAGATCGTGGCCCCTCCTAAAGTCTGAAGTCCCGAAAATGGATCTGCTGCCTAAGGATAGGTGCTCTGATGCCTGGAGATTAACGCGGCAATCAATAGGAATCGGGGATTTTAACCCCATGCCAATAGACTTTACCCGTTGTGTTACGCCGTGGGGACCAAAGTTCACAGAAGCAGAGTAATCCTTCCCGGGCTGTGAGTCAAGCAGCTTAGGGCCTGGCCGTAAGGCTGATGGCTTAGGTGCTGCAGTGCATGAGGTGTGGATGTGGATGCCTCTTCCACCTTTAAAGTACGTATCACGCATCATGCGCGAACGTATAAAATCTCTTCCTGTTGCCTTCATTTTTTATTTTCACTTTTACTTCGTTCATCTCATCTCATCTCATCTGTTCTTGCAGATTCGAGTTGACGCTTCTACTGCGACTGTCTTTGGCGTATCTTGACATCACCTCAGTTCAAGATTAATACCCAACACATCATCGGACTTCACCACTCCCTGGATAAGTTCCCCATGTTAGGACCGCTCTCTTTCTTGCAATTCATTCCACAAGCCGACACCATGGATGTCCTTAATACAACGAGTATGGGCGAAGCCCCCAATCTGCCGCCTTCACAATTCGCCATCCTGGATTTCCTCATCCCTGGCTTTTCCACCTTCTCAAGCATCATTCATGCCTATCTCGGCATCGACCTTAACTTATACATCCCTCTCCTGCTGATCATATCCGGTATCATGTTTGCTTGGAACTATATCTCAGAGTATTCATGGAACTTTATGGCACAGCATCTTATGTCTGCGGTGCGAATTCGCACTGACGACGAGATCTACAACATCGTCATGGCATGGGTGGCCAATCAGCGTTTTGCCCAAGGTTCTCGCCGCTTTATGGTCAACACAAACATCACTTCCCGAAGCTGGTTTTTGTACCGATGGAACGAAGATGAGGAGGAGGAAGACGAGAGTAACGGTGCAGCTAAAAAGCAACTGCAGTACACTCCCTCAGTGGGCTCTCACTTCTTTTGGTATAACGGCCACGTTCTTCTCTTTGAGCGCCATGAGAACCACGAGAGATCTGGATACCTCACTTCCAGTGAGCGAGAGGAGCTCTCCATTTCTTGTTTTGGCCGCAACCCGCGCGTTATCAAGGAGCTCCTCATCGACGCTCGTGAGCAATACCTAAAGAAAGACGAGAAGAAGACCATCATCTACCGCGGCGCTCTTGGCACAAATGGAGGCGACCCTTCATGGCAGCGTTGCATGAGCCGAGCTAGTCGTCCCATTTCCACAGTTATTCTCAACGAAAAGGTCAAGAAGGAATTGATCGAGGACGTGACCGATTATCTCGACCCCAACACCCGACGATGGTACTCCAACCGCGGTATCCCTTATCGCCGTGGTTACCTCCTCTATGGCCCACCTGGTACTGGAAAGAGTTCCCTCAGTCTTGCACTGGCTGGTTTCTTCCGCATGCGCATCTATATGGTCAGTTTGAGTTCAAGTTTGGCTAGCGAGGAGAACCTTGCAACCCTTTTCGCCGAGCTACCCCGCCGCTGCGTTGTACTCCTTGAAGATATCGACACCGCAGGTCTTACTCATACCCGTGATGAAACCAAGGGTGAAGGTGATCAGGAGACTGTGGTGCCTGCTGCAGTCGCGCCTAGCAAGCCTGGTGCTCCTCCTGCAACCCCCGCACTCCCCGGCCGCCTCTCCTTGTCTGGTCTCCTCAACATCCTCGACGGCGTTGCCTCTCAAGAAGGTCGTGTTCTCATCATGACAACCAACCATCTTGAGAAGCTGGACAAGGCCTTGATTCGCCCCGGCCGCGTAGACCAAATCATTGAGTTCGGACGTGCTGACGCTGATATGAGCGCCGCCATCTTCCGGGCCATCTACGCCCCCTATGAAGGAGAGGGTGCTCCCGTCAAGGAGTTCTTGGAGCCTGAAGAGGCTATCAAGCAAATTGCACTGGCCGAGAAGATCCGAGTTGAAACCATGGAGCGTGTCAATGCTCTTGCCGTCAAGTTCGCTGCCAGGGTACCCGAGCATGAGTTCAGCCCTGCAGAGATCCAAGGTCTTCTTCTCAAGAACAAGCGTGCACCCGAGGCCGCCATCGAAGCTGTTGATGACTGGGCGGTTGAGACCCGTAAGGAGAAGAAGATCAAGGAGGTCGAAGATGCAGAGAAGCGCCGAAAGGAGGAAGAGAAGGCTCGCAAGGAAGAGGCCAAGAAGAAGAGAAAGGAGGAGCGCGAGAAGGCTAAGAAGAAGAAGGCAAAGGCTAAGCGCAAGGCCAAGGGCAAAGGATCTGGCTCGGATGGTTCTGGTTCCGACTCTGACTCCGACTCCGATTCTGATACCGAATCCGAGGCTGAGGCTGGCGGTGATGACAAGAAGAAGGATGCGACCAAGAGTAACACGGATAAGAAGGATGAGAAGCCCGAGGACAAGCCCAAGGAGGTTGAGAACGAGAAAAAGGAGGTGAAGATCGAGGGCGAGGTTGAGGAAGCAGGGGAGACGAAGCCCAAGGGCACTTCTGATTCCGGATACGACACCCCTAACCAAACTTTATGAATGACTTGAATGCATATTGCTCGGCGCTGGATTGGAGTTTATTGTTTTCATCTGTTAATCTTGGATAAACATGATCACGAAGGAGGAGAGTTTACGTCTAGAATGTCGCCTCCTATTAACGACTTAGATTAAGATCTATCAAATATTTGACTTCATTTCTATGCTTCGTTCTGTGCTTTGTAAATGAAAACAGTGTCCCCAACTTATGTTTGACTTGTAGATAAGCAGTTGGTTGTTATCATAGTTGGTTTGTGATATCACAGCTGTAATGCCAGGGATCTCAACTTGCCTTCCATCCGGGGAACCCCATGTCAGTGATGGTCTAAGCTGAGCGAACACGAGGGGTGACAAGCATCCTTGGCCCCGGTAGAGATATGCATTAGATTCGAGATCTCAGGCGCAGAGCCACAATCCAGGGGCAGGATCTGTGTCGGTTAGATCCTAACGCGGTAACCTGGACCAAGACAGCGGCTTTGCATAACACTTGGTAGACGATCAGAACGACTTGGACATCAAACCTGACTTGCAACGGATAGGAATCGAACCATAAGCCCAATTCCGAATTTGTGGATGTATCAATGGACGTAAGGGCTTAGACGTAACTAATGCCGTGCCGAAGCAAGGGACTTGCATGGGGATGTCTTGAAGATGACGTTGCGAGGTACGAAACGCGATGCGGCTTACAAGCCCATGAAGCTAGCCTTGAAGTGGATCGATCCGAATAAGAGAGCGAAAAAGCGAAGACGATCGCGGATTGTGTCTTGGAAGACTTTTTCAGCTTATCATGGATTCCGTTGAATCCTTCCGTGCATTACATTGTATCTGGTTTAGAAGCCGTTCCGTGATGCATGAGAGAGCAACAGCCCTGCTCAACCCACCGCGGGTTCTAGGGTTACGTACTCATCCAGGTACACCATACGGAGTACATAGCCATGAATACCATCCAGGCCCCACGATGACCCCGTCTAGAACCCATGAGCGATAATCAGACCCGGCGGCGGTGCCTGATATGCAGGAAGCTGCACGTTGATTATCTTAGGCCGAATAGCGGCGGACTAAGATACCAATGTGTCAAGTCTCGGGAGAATGAAGCGGAAAAGTCCTCGAAGCTAGCTGCATCAGCCTTAGAACCGTGTTTTTGACCCACGCCGAAGAACGGAATGCAGCGGTTCTTGGGCTGGATTGATTGATAACGAATATGAGCTGATGTCGTCAAGGGATTGTGGGATGGAAGGGGCTGTGCATGAAGAGTGGTTGGATGGGCCGGAGACGACAGAGAGAGATATCGAGATCTCCGTCGTCAGTTTCGATTGATGCAATGTAGGACATTAACTACAGTTAGACAGTAAAACGGAGCAGTATCGGAGGCATGTAACTCGATGTATATTTCTTGGGAGAGCTTTTCAGTGTATGAATATCGAAATACGAATCAGACCCGCCAAACAACGACAACAACTTTGCGTGGCCGATGTGAGGTTGTCTGGATCCAATGTAGGGGCCAAGTTGAAGAATCGAAGCCGTTGATGTGGTTCCATGGAAAGGATCCAGAAAGGGTAAGCGTGGTGGTGCGTGATTTGAAGCAACGATACCCTGTCGCCCCCTGCTAAATAGCGGGTGGTCCCTGGAAAAAGACGGGTTCTAGGCCTAGAGACATCCGTTTGGCTTCAGTGGAGTTACGAGTTGCAAGTTGGGGCCAGTATCTTCATGTGCGCATTGTGTAGTAGGTAACTATTTTAGAATCTTCTCTTGAATACTAATGAAGCATTTAGTAGAAGTCATCTGTTTCTTCATAGCCACTCAGCGGAGGCATAACAAAAGATATCTTGGCAAAGACCACCTTGACTTAGTATGTGCTAAGTGCAGATCGTCCAGGTTCCGGTCCTGAAACATTATTCAGTACAAACAAGCCAAATTCACTAACGTCTCAACAATTGTTCTGAAAACTAAATACGTAGATAAATGCATGGATACTGGGAATTGCTTATTACATCTACCAGGATATCCAAGGATCTCCTCGAACTAAGAGAAGTTCATTGAGTTATCCCATAACAAGCCTTGTTAGAGACCAACAAATTGTTGTCCAGGTACCGGGCTTAGGTTGTCGTGTTCGTGTTTCCAATAGTTACTACTACCACCACCTTACTGTATGAATTGTGATTATACCCGTCTAAGTCCCACCAACCAGCAGCTAACCCACTCCCACCACAACAAGCCCAAATTGAATATCAATGTCAAGCAAATGGCTCGGCGCACACCACTTAGCGGCTTGCCCCTGGCAGGAGGCAACACGGCCGCTGCAGGCCCCAGGAGCGGGAAGGGTGAGAAAAGGAAAGAAAAGAAGAAAAAATCTCGGTGGCAGTGAGTACGTGAGGTCATGCGTGTCTGGCGTGTCAAGGTGAATCTCGAGTCATATCACGGTATATGGCTCGGTGTAATTGCCAAGGCATGATGGAAATTTTATCTTTGGTCCAGATGGTAAAGTTGTATAACAACAATATACAACAAATAGATATTGTTGTCTTGACGGTCCAAGCTTCCTGTCTCCAAGTAGATCCCTTCCCATTCATCCCCCATCATGACCCTGCGCTCCCATGATCCTTCAGCACAGCAGCAGAATCAGAAGCCACTGCACCCACATGCACATCCCAATCCATGACCTTAAAGTACCTCAAAAAACACCTGCAGCCAATCCAATTACACGACAAGCCAACAGTGCAGCGTCTATCCAGTGGAAAAAGGCAAAGGGCGGTGAAAAACTTGATACCTCTGAACCCGACTAAATGGCCCAACAATCACAGGTAACTTAGTTTCACCCCGCCGCGGCCGGACCTTTGACCTTTGAAGACACACCCCAAGGCCTAACTCTAGGTAAGGCTCCGTCTAGTTAGATTTCGAGATCCAATCTCAATCTCCAGTTAACTCAAGGCAAGGTACAGTGCAGTTCACTTTTACCGTCTTGTACAGTAACAGACTCCAACCGAACCCGCAATCTCGCGCTCCTCTTCCGGGTCCCCCCTTCCCTTGCCTTTGCCTGTCGTCGACTTATAAGTCATCTCCACATCCTCTTCCTCTTCTTGACTTCTCTTCCCATTCTCCTCTTTGTCTTCTCTTCTTCTTCCCCCACCAACCGACTCTCTCCTCAAATCTTTCAATATGTCTTCCCGTCCTCAGAACATTGGCATCAAGGCCATTGAGCTTTACTTCCCCAGCCAGGTAAGATAAATCGAAATCCTCCTCTGTGACATGTTCTGCAACTCCAATGCCCTCATGCTGCTGCTCTTGCTGGGAATTGTTGTCGTTGGATGTTGCCCCTCACCAAACTTTTGGCTGGGACAGAAAAAAAGTCCCTGCGTTATCACTCTCGTGTTCGGATTCCTGGGTCGTGTGCCCCTCCATTCGCAGATTGTGCCCCTCTATCCCAACGCTCGACAAAGCCTCTTTGGACAGGACCCTAGCTAACCACAATTTTACTTGGTTTCTAGTATGTTGATCAGGTTGAGCTCGAGAAGTTCGATGGCGTTAGCGCCGGAAAGTACACCATTGGTCTTGGCCAGACCAAGATGAGCTTCTGCGACGATCGTGAGGGTAAGTTTAGCCTGTTCCTCACCGTCCCCTGAAAAAACGAAAGGACGATCTTTTAGCGCAATGCGACTATTCACACCGCGTTCTGGGACACCCCATGATGAGATTGAACTGCCGCTAATATGTGTCTCGTTCAGACATCTACTCTTTCGCCCTTACCGCTACATCGAAGCTCCTCAAGAACTACAACATCGACACCAACTCCATTGGTTACCTCGAGGTTGGCACCGAGACCCTTCTCGACAAGTCCAAGTCAGTCAAGACTGTGCTTATGCAGCTGTTTGGCGACAACACCAACATCGAGGGTGTCGACACTATCAACGCTTGCTACGGTGGTACCAACGCTGTCTTCAACGCCATCAACTGGGTTGAGTCTTCCGCTTGGGACGGTCGTGATGCTATCGTTGTTGCCGGTGATATTGCTCTCTACGCCAAGGGCAATGCTCGCCCCACTGGCGGTGCTGGAGCTGTCGCTCTCCTGATCGGCCCTAACGCCCCTATCGTTGCTGAGCCTGGTCTGCGTGGTACCTACATGCAGCACGCCTACGATTTCTACAAGCCCGACCTTTCCAGCGAGTACCCCTACGTTGACGGTCACTACTCTCTCAACTGCTACACCATGGCCCTCGATGCCTCCTACCGCGCCTACTGCAAGCGTGAGGCCAAGCTGGCCAATGGCACCAACGGCGCCACCAACGGTGATGACTCTTCCAAGACCAGTCTCGACCGATTCGACTACCTTGCTTTCCACTCTCCTACCTGCAAGCTTGTCCAGAAGTCTTATGCTCGTCTCCTCTACCACGACTACCTCGCCAACGCCGACTCTCCTGCGTTCGCTGAGGTTGCTCCCGAGCTCCGTGATATGGATTACGAGAAGTCCCTGACTGACAAGGTCGTTGAGAAGACCTTCATGACTCTCACCAAGAAGCGCTTCCAGGAGCGTGTCAACCCTGCCATCCAGGTCGCCACCAACTGCGGTAACATGTACTGTGGCAGTGTCTGGAGTGGTCTGGCCAGTATTATCAGCGTTGTTGACAACCAGGCTCTTGAGGGCAAGCGAATTGGTCTCTTCAGCTACGGATCTGGTCTTGCTGCCAGTTTCATGTCTTTCCGTATCAACGGCAGCGTTGAGAAGATCTCCGACGTTCTCAGCATCCCCGCCCGCCTTGAGGCTCGCCGTGCTGTGCCCCCTGAGACCTACGACCAGGTGAGCAATGGATGCTTATATAACATGTGTTTGTATCATGTGCTAACTGTTTTGTTTAGATGTGCGACCTCCGAAAGCAGGCTCATCTCCAGAAGGGCTACACTCCTCAGGGTGACGCCTCTACCATCACCCCTGGTACCTACTACCTTACCAAGGTTGATGATATGTTCAAGCGCGAGTACGCTATTAAGGAATAAAGGGTTGTTTTTAGAAAACCCGAGAACCCTTCTACATCTTGTGCGCTTTTTAGGCACGGGACCTTTTTTGCTTCTAGATCTGGTTCTACCACGGACAAGAACCAGGCTTGTAAGCATATCATGAGCATGATGACTTCAACGGGAGAAAACTAGACGCAATGGGAAGAAGAATACAGCGGATGACGATAGAAGCGCATTTCGCGCAGTGGGGATTAACACCGAAATCGTCTAATTGAGCCAGCAATGATGGTCATTGGGGCTTGTGTATATAATGAGGATGGTGTTTTTACTGGGAAGATTTGTCAAGAAGTTTGTCAGGGCCCATAGACGGCTAGTTGGCACTTAGACGAGACTAAGATATTTTGGAATATACAAAAGTTGTATTCCTAAGCCATTAACCATGTTATGTCCTGTATCCAAGATCTTCCAAAATGGGTAACTAGCTGCCCAATTTGTATCATGCCTTTAAGAACATATTCTCAACCAGGGCCTACGTTTCTAAATAATCTTACACAGCTCTATCTAAATATCATACATGTATAAGGGTATCTGTCTATTTCTCCTCCTTGAACTTCCACTCTGCATGTCGGTGGAGCATGTAGTCCTTGCTCTTAATGCCCTTCCAGATACCATAGAGACCACCCAGCGGGGGCTTGCTCTTAAGGGAACGCTTCCACTTCTGACGTTCTTCCTTTCGCGCTTCGACATCGACTTTGACCTTGTCGTGGACAGTGGGCAGTGTCTCAGCGTGGTACTTCTTGCGTAGCGCCTCATACCACGGTTGGTCGTAGAGCTTCCAGAACTCTTCTTTGTTATAGTAGGTGTGCGCATAGAGCCACTTCAGACCACCAAGCTCCACAAGCTTATCCTCGAGGGCGCGGTTCTTGGCAACGAATTCGTCAGGATCAGAGGGACCCCAGCCCCACAGACCAATGTTGAGGGATGGTGGGGTGGTCACAGTGCTGTCGGCTGCAGTTGTCGTCTCACCGGTGTGAGGATGGAAAGTCGGAGGGGGTGTCTGTTTCAAAGGGCAGAGCCAGAGAGGCCAGATGTTGAAGTGCTCAGCAGTATAGTCAACAAAAGACTCAGCAGTCTTGTAGGGCAGACCTAGATCCTGGACGATGAAACGAGCAGACTCGCCGCTGCCATGGAGAGCGCGGTAGAGCATGCGAGTATGTAGAAAATCGTCAAGGAACCAGCGGAAGAAACGTGTGAATGGGACACCCTTGAAGTAAGTGAAAGCAGCAGCGCCAACCCAGAAACCTCCACGGTCATAGCGGAAGAAGTACTCGGCGAGGGGGATGTAGTCAACAGGAGAGGACGAGGCGGATTCAGCAGAGACAGTAGGACCAGCGGATGGAACGTTGCGAGTGCGATCTTGGACATGGAGATAATACCACGGATCCCAAGCACCACTAAAGGTCTGGGGCTTGATGTCGGCGGGCTTGTCGTCGGTCAGGGTACCAGTAACAACGACACCATGGTCCTTGGAGAAGAGAATGCCGTCGACGTAGTCATTTGAAGGGTTCTCGGTCTCGGCGCGGATACGAGCAACAGCCTCGGCGACGCTGCTGGTACGGTGATAGGTAGTCTTGACGAACTTCTTGGCTTCCTGAAGTTGAAGCTCGAGAAGCGTCGTCATGCCCAAAGAGCCCACAGCTCCAGCGGCGCCGCGGAACAGATCGGAATTCTCTTCCCTTGAAGCACGCACAACCTCGCCGTTACCTAGGACCATCTCGGCCCAATTGACAGTATCGTTGAAGAAGCCGTGCTTGAACGAGGAGCTCTCGCCCGCCGTGCCCGCAAAGCCTCCTCCGGCAGTAATGCCCGGAAACTCCATGACGACAGGCGGGACAAGGCCGTGCTTCAGCGTGGACTCAACGAGCTTGTCCATGGGGACATTGGGCTCGACGAGAGCAGTGCGGCTGGTGCGGTCGACCTGCAGGACATTGCGGAGGGCGCTGATGTCGACGACGGGCTTGCTGGTCTGGGGCCGGGTGCTGTTCGTGCTGCCGTGGAAGATGCGGTAGGGCTCGCGGCGCTCGAAGAAGCCGCGGACGGCCGAGGCGATGGAGGTGACGGCTTGTCTATGACGCTCCATGGCTGGGCTCCCGTCTGGGGGATTGGGGATGAGGTTTGGGTCTTTGTCTTGCGCTGCGTCTTGGATCAGCGACATTTTGGGGAAGGGGAATAAAAGTTTGGGTGGGTCCCGGGTGCGGGCCGGTCTCGGGGTGGAGGCGGAGCCGAGATAGAACGGAGTTGAGAAAGGAAGGATTTTGTGTGAGACGAGCGATTGATGCTTAATTGGTGTTGTTTTGGTCTTGCAGAAGTGTCGTTCGGCAGTGCTGACGTTGTACATGTGCTTGGCTTCTAAGTTCCGAGCGTGCCGGTCGTTAAAGTTTGAGTTGCTGGGCAGATCTCCCATGTAAGTCAGACAACTGTTTAAGCGACATGACTAGGATCATGTTGTTTATATTAACACTCAGCAGCCACGATTTAATTGAAGTAGAATTGAGCTAGAAATGTGTTCTGTCTTACACTGTTATCAGTCAACAGTTTGTATAATATGTACTGGCTGAGCGTAGCTGATTGTAACACTCTTTATATATCCGTTCTCCCAATATACTCCATGCAATCCATCAATTCATATGGAACCGCCACTCAAAGCTTAGATATAGGCCCCTCATGCAGTAGATCTTCCAAACCAGTCTTCCGCAATACTCTCCGCTGCATATCCTCTTCTGAAGCATCACTCAATTCGTCGAATCGCAATGGCACCTCCTCGCATGTCTTTCCCTTGATCATGACAGCACTCGACTCAATACTATCGGGGTCTTCCACTGCCGCACGTATAAATGCCGCCCAGCCATCGTAGCACCGTGGCGTGGCGGGAGCATTGCTCAGCATCATAGCGAAGCAGTGCGGCATACCCTCGTACTCCTCAAACACCACCCGCACGCCGTCGGCCTCGAGTTTGCGCGCGAAGAACTTATCCTCGTACGCGAGAATCTCCCACCCCGTGCAGAGGTAGATGGGCGGTGCGCCTTTCCAGCTACGAGCCATGACGAGAGAGGCCAGGGGGTGAGCAGCAAGGTCGTCGGCGATGTACATGTTCCGTCTTGGTGGGTTAGCCGGCCAGGCTTCACATGGAGGTGTTGTGCGCTTTTCCATGGCCTCGGGCTTGGGGAGGTAGTCAAATGGCGTTGGCGTGGATGCTTCCCATGTTGGAGAGCTTTGTGTAACATCAAGCCATGGGGAGTTGAGTGCTACGCCAGCTGGCATGGGAACCTGGCGCAACTCGCCGTGCCACAAGATTGGAGAGTCTTGTCTGCGGAGTTCGAGGATGAGTTGGAGTAACGAGAGGGCAAGATTGCCGCCAGCGCTGTAAGATACCCTGTTAGTATTCGTGATACACGCTGACTTGACTTGCTCTTGGAAATGAGACATGAAACATACCTGTCACCAGCAATCACAATATGTTCCGGTTGCACAGGATCATGATAAGCATCAGGCGGCGGATACAGCAATGTGAAGTAAGACACAAAAGCATCAAGCAAAGCCGCAGGGAATGGATGCTGCGGCGCAAGACGATAGCGCACCGAGTAACACCGACCGCCCGTCAACTGCGCCAGTTTCTTCGTTGTGGGACGATGTGTTGCCGGGTCGCAGAGATAGTAAGCGCCGCCGTGCAAGTACAGGACTGTTGTTGGACGCTTGCACTCTTGCATCATGCCGTGGTATCGCTCCCGTTCCGACACGTCAGGCAACGGAGCGCCACGGGTCACACTGCTCCGGTAGCCGGTCCATTCGGCCTCGACATCCACGAGATCGGGCACAGGAACTCGGCACGTGGAGCCTCCAACATGTTCGAGGGCGGCGATGAGGGCATCGCGGATTGAGGTCTCTGGAGGTGGTGGACTGGCATATCTGCTAACCCAGATATGACCCTTGACACCGGGATCGCGAAGTGTAAGACGTTGAACCTCAGATATACTACGTGGTGTTTTGGGTATGAGTATAACGCGGAGACAGGCGATTATGAGTGCACTTCGAAGATCGAGGTACTTGGATGAGTCGGAGAGGCGGAGGACATGTAAGAGGGACTGGCGGAGGATGAGGGGAAGTAGGGGGACAACCACCCGCACGGTTTCGAGAGTTGCTGAGCTCATACTGCATGAATGGCAAGGCTGCTGTAGAGTGAGAGGCGTTAATGTTGGAGTTGAGGTTGTATGTGTAAGTGGTGATGGAAGTGATTCAACGACAGATAGTTATATATTAAGGCCAGTGAAAGAGTTCAACTTTAACAAAGCACCGGATCGAACTGGTATAAGAGAGGGCAAATATACTGCCAGACCGACAATCGAGTTATAACGGTGTGTTGGCAAGAGGGGTAGGATAAGTAGAAGTTGGGTTGAGGGAGTTGATGATTGTGGTACAATGGCTTTAAGAGACAAAGGGCTGAGACGGATTAAACTCAATTCGACGTCCTTTTCAAACCAAAGCCGATCGTGAGTGTTGTTTCAGATGTGAATCGTGTCAAAGTTCATTCTAGATGTCCATGACTCTCTTGCTTTGCCACTTGTAAGTTGTAAGTAAGTGCTTCGTCTGGTGTGGTTACCTGAACCGTGCCTGTGGCTTTTAACCGGCAGGGAATTGAAAGAAGGGTATAATACGACACGTGAACAAGCTTTTGCAGATAACAAAGAGAAGAGGGAAGAAAAGGATTGGCTGTCGAGGTTCATGAGTTGAGGAGTTGAGCTATACGAATGAACCTCGGCATCTGGGCGGTAGTATCTTTAAGTAAGTGACGTCTTCCATGAGGAGTATTCAACTCGCCCTTCGGAGATTGAGATTGATCCCGCGCCAACAATTTCACTCTTCTATATTATAAAGGCCTTTAACGGAGAAGTTTGCTAAATAACAGGAGCATCTGATAGAAAATATCTGACCTGCTTCCCTGGGACTAGAAGTTGGAGAGCCCCAGAGAAAATAGAGATTCCACGTCAATGCGCTAGCGTCGAGGGCTTATAGACTCGACCCAAACTGGTAATTCTTGCGGGAACTTCAAGGTTGAGTCTTGAACTGCATGCGCAATTAGCAAGGGAATGCATGCAAGCGTTCGCCTGGAACAGACTCTTCTCCCCATAGCGGTAAGTACAGACTGCAGATGACCATCTTGGGCCGAACCCCCAAATTAATTTTGGGGTCTGACATTTGTTTCGTGAATCAACACATAGTTATGAGCCAACTTCACATATTGATAAATCGCAGTTGACAACAGCTGTTAATAACGCTACAATACCATCTAACCAACTTAACAACCATATTATCCAAAATACTATAGATGCCTGAAATACTGTACAATTAAAGCGAAGTGTGACCTTCATATACTGTTTTAAGAGCTGGAGCTTGCTTCAGCCTTGGGCTCGTCCGCCTTGACCTGAGTCGACGAAGTATCATTCTGGTTGGCCATGGCCATCTGCCAGGCGGGAATAGACTTCTTGCCAGTCATGTTCGCAAGAGGCGACGATGAACGGTTCAGTTGAGGAGCAGATGGGAACGTAGGCTTGGGAACCTCTGCTGCAGGAGTGCTAGTGGATGTTTCGACCCCAGTCTTCTCTCCGTTGGTCTTGGCCGCGGGAGTGGAGGTCGACGCAGGGGCGGCAGGAGTTGTCGCGCTGTTGCTACCAGCTGCGTTCCCACCTGCGTTTCGCATATAGTTCATCGTTGAGGAGCTTGAGGTATTGCTGCTGGTGGTCATTCGCTGGGAAACCAATGTCTTGAGGCTGGTAAGCTCAGTGTTGATCTCGCGCAGCCGACCATCGGCCAGAGACTTCTGGTTATCGAGAGCCTTAGGAATCGCGTCCTTGAGAGACTGAACCTCGTCCCGAATTCGAGTTGCATCATCCTCCCGTCGTCGGTTAGCAGCTTTGAGGTCGGTCATCACCGTCTCGAGATCCGCAAGCGCCGTATCTAGCTTTTCAGTCCGCTCCTTCTCGGCATTCTTTAAGCTCTCCGTATCCTTAGCCAGCTGCTCTACCAATGTGAAAGCTCGGTCGAATTGATCCTCAATCGATTTCTTATCCTTCTCCAGCTTCTCCGGTGTCGGAGGCGCAACCATGGGATACACGTAGCGCTGATCGCATGTTAGCCTACATCATCACAGCAGTCGCGATATCGCTAACGAACCTTTCCAAGGGAGTACAGTCCATAAGAGACTCCTCCAACTACTGTAGCCATGATGAACCAATCTCTCCAATCCCTGCGCGGAGGGGGAGGTGGTGGTTGCCAGGCATGCTGTGGATAAGGGGGGTAGTATTGTTGACCAGGAGGAGGACCGGCGGGAGCGCCGGGATACGGCGCGTTAGGAGCTGGGGGTGCGCTGCCGCCTGTTCGAGCCAGCGCGACGTCAATTTCTTCTTGAGTCAGGTTCTTGCTTCGGAGGAACGAAATGCGGTTTTCGACGGAGGATGACGCGACATTGGGGTCCTGGAGAACTGCGATTGATCAGCCGGCGCATTCATGATTGCTGTAGTAAGAGAAACACCAACACTGGGACTGTTCAGGAGTTAGTATATGAGTTTCGCATCGATGAGCTGGAGGCTGGGGTAGCAAGTCAACTTACGGCAGAGGCTACTAGATCCTCGCGAATAGCCATGATTGTTGTTCAGCCGTCAGACGGCTCTCACCACATAACCTGGATCGCGCTGAGGAAAGCTGTAGAGGTTGTTCCTGAAGAAGAGATGCGCAACGATGATGAAAACAACAAGACGTTGAATGTTAAATGCATGTGCCAGCGGAGGCCGGACCGTGGAGTTCAAGAACGTGGAGGCGTGGAGTCGGAAGCGTGACCGATCTGGACCGAGGCTTGCTTGCAATTGACCTGCCGAGCCAGGTACGTACCGACGCGCTTTCCCGTGTCAGTTGGCAGTGGCAGTTGAAACTTAACTTGCGATCACGTGCCGTTCCGATTGACAGTTCATTGAGTGCCCCACTCCTGTGCCAGCGCAATAGAGGATCCACTTCGGTCATTAGCCAATCATAATAACATGACTGTTTGTTTACTTTCATGCCGAGCAACACTTTTGCAACGCCCAATCTCCCCTACCCTGCCTTAAACGCCTCTTTACATTCCCGCATCCCACTTTACATCAACACCATTATAGCGACAACCGGCCGCGAATACCGAAACACACGATAACTGCTTGCTTTGCGCATGCATATGATTACGATCGCGTACTGTTCCTTTTGCTAGACCATGTCCCAAGACACCGGTCTTTGGAGCGTTCGTAGACCCAGAGAGGTGCGACACCAATACATTCTCTGCCAGCTTATGCGCCAGGCTGGTAGACCACTTTCACTTTGCCGCGCATCACCTTGGTAAACATTCTAACTCTGAACATAGACCCTTGGAGGCATCAGTGCCAACAGTGCCATTCCGCAGCCCGGTTCGACTATGAAGCGATCCAGCTCCAATATTGGCGCCAACTACCCGGGCAGCCATGTCCGCTCCATGTCGGGATCTAGGCAGTCCCTTGCCATGCCGCGTCCCAACCAACCTTTGTTTCAACGCTCCTCCTCTGGAACAAACCTCGCAGACCTTGGCTTATCTTCAGTGAAGCGATCTTCGTTCCAGCCAAAGACGGCGGCATTCACTCCTGGACCTACGACAACGCGAGCTTCTATGGACGGCGACCGACGCAGCAGTGTATACCGACCCCGCCAATCCACGGCACCCGTGACGAGTCACCACCAGAGCTTCTTTCAGACTACACCTGCCCCTGCTGGTGTACCCCGCGACCCTCGACCATTGAAAGATCGATCTTTTCAAGCCCGTATTGGACAAGAAATCTTGGAATATGTGGTCCAGCATAACTTTGAAATGGAAATGAAACACGTTCTTTCGCAGAATGTTCTAAAGTCGCCGACACAGAAGGACTTCAACTACATGTTTCAGTGGCTCTACCACCGTATCGATCCCAGCCACAAGTTTCAGAAGAATATCGACCAGGAGGTGCCTCCTCTACTCAAACAGATGCGTTATCCATTCGAGAGGAGCATTACGAAGAGTCAGATTGCTGCTGTGGGAGGACAGAACTGGAGCACATTCCTCGGCCTTCTCCACTGGATGATGCAGCTTGCCCTGATGCTTGACGGTTACGTGAACTGCCAATATGACGAAGCCTGCATGGATAGTGGTGTTGACGTTAGCGGCGACCGCATCATCTTTGACTTCCTCAGCAGCGGTTATCGAGACTGGCTAGCTATGGATGAAGACGTAGGCGACGATGAGGCGGAGCGAGTATTAGCACCCCATGTTCAGTCCATGGCTGCGGCATTTGAGCGATCCAACTCAAAGTACACATCAGAATTGGAAATGCTCGAAGCCGAGAATGCACGTCTTCTCAAGGAGATCGAGGATTTGGAAAAGTCAACACCCGATCCAGCAGTTCTCGACAACCACTTCAAGATTATGGAGGAGGACAAAATCAAGTTCGAGGAGTATAATGCGCTAGCCATGCAGAGATCGGAAAAGTACGAGAGCCGTTCTCAAGTTCTGCAAGAAGAGCTCGACAAGCTTATGGAAGAGCTTCAAGAAGCCGATGAGGAACGACGTAGCCTGCAAAAGGCAGTGGATGCCCAAGGAATCAGCATGCAGGATATCGACCGCATGACTGCGGAGCGGGAGAGAATGCAGAAGGGCATCGAGTCGGCAGGTAACCGATTGGAAGAAGTCAAGAGAAAGGTCCATGAGCGGGAAACTGAGGCGAGCCGAAAATTGGATGAGCTGGAGCAGATGGTGGATCGATACAACACGATGGCTTATCAAATTGCACTGATTCCTGCGACAGCGGCCAACGCTAAGGGCAGGGAGTTTGAGCTCCAGGTCATGGTGGCCGATAACTCCGACTTTACATCTACCAACTTAAAGGGCTCTTCAGGTCCATCATCAGAGGATCGCCTCTTGGTTGACTCTACGACCGGATACCAAGCAGGCCACATTCTCAATCTGGACCTTCGAGGTAAAATTCGAAACAGCTTCTTATCACTGCGCAAGGAGATCTCAGATCGACGCAGCACAGCAATGGAGGAGATGATGAAGGACCATGACTTGTTAGATGGCATCAAAGAGGCCATCGAAGACAGGCGCAGTGAGGTGGAGGCTCTCAACCATCGTGTCCGCGCCGCAGAAGAGGAGTACGAAAAGACCAAGGAGGTGACAACAGCGCAGAAGCTGGCCTCTGATGCACACATCGAGAAGATGGAGAAGGAACTGTCACGCATGCGAGCTGGTTTGTCTGAAAATGTTCAGATTCTTGAACAGCGTGAGATCAACACCACTATTGAGTAAGTGAAAGCGGAGTCCGCAGTTGAAGCGACAAATACTGACTAAACAAACAGATACGAGCAACTTGTACTCCAAGCCAATGCCCTCCGAGAAGAGCTCCATACAGAAATCGACAGAATGCTTAACGATGTTATCAAGTTCAAAATTCACGTCCAGAAGAACCTCGACGACTACGAAGGCTTTGTGGCAGATGAGCTGGAGAAGGAACTCGGTAGCGACGAAATGGGCGAGGAGACTCGGCAGATGGATATGTGATGATGGCTACGCGTGAAGCAATCTTCCAAGACGCTTATGATGACGAATTATGCTTCGGGCGGCTTCCTTGTTTGTTTTCTGGCGTTTGGCTGAACGATCGATCGACTGGCTCGATGAATGAGTGAACTGGTTGGAAAACAGTTGGGGTCTGGCTGATTCCTATCTATATTACGCTTCGTTTCTTGTGGATACTATAGGCGTTTGAAGAGCGCGAGTTTGAGCATCAGCGGACGTGTTAGTAACGGTAGATACCTGGTTGTTTTGGTGTTTTTTTTTTGAGGAAAGGATACCACAAGTCTGATTGATATTGTCGGCCTTTGATTACGAAAGCTAATGTTAGAGTCCCTATAATCTATAAGTATGGCAAGATATTGATTTGACTGGATATGGGGCTAGATCCCGCCGTTGTAAGCTGACGGCAGTAAATGAGATGCGTTCCATGGGCACCACATGGCCATTGCAGGGATTGTGAGCACCTTGTCAGGGGGTTCCTTCAGGCTAATCAGCAGGGATGGTTTGAATCATGAAGAAAATGTTACCATGAGGCTCAAGCGATATACGACAATCCAAATTTCGGCTGGTCAGCAGAAAGTAGTGAGGAGTTCGACACATGGAATCTCTTGTTACATTGAAGAAGAACAAGACGAAGAAGAATGCATGGGATAGAAACAAGGATGTAGTTATTTGTCTTATGTTGCATTCGGGATTCTTTATCCCCGGATCCCCTTCGAAAGAGCAAGGCTTGGTCGGGGGATCGGAGCATTGTAATTTGCGAGGCGGGCAAAGCTACATACCCGACCGTAAACTCCGCTAAGGCCCTGTAGGGCAGTGCAGTGCGTGCAGTGCATTTTGTTGAATGGGGCACGGTTGTTAGTTGTTATTGTGGACTGATGATGGAGTTGGCAGAAGCAATAGATTGAACTATCGATTGAATTATTAATGATATATTACAGAGACCAGACTCTACTGAATACCAATTTGGCACCGTATCTACAGAGCTACCTACTTAGGTAGTATTTATATTTAGTGCTAACTGTGCTGCATATCGTATGTTGTGCTAGACCTCATTTCGAGAGTGTCGATGTCATGGACTGCTATGCGTACATAACTATCTAGGTACCTACCTAAACAACATAAGAGTAAATAATATCCAGTGTATCCAACTTTCACCCGTCAACTCCGCCAATTTATTAATCCCAGTAGAAAACGTGGATTCAAGATCAGACTAATCTCGCTATCTCGGCACTGTTGATTCTCAACTTCTCAGCAGCTTCCATGATCCTTCCATTGATTGTTGATCCCCAGGGAATGTCCACTTGCCTAGACTCCACTCCGATTGTCATAGCTTCATCCGTTGTACAATTTTGTCCCTCTACTCACTGACTCTCGGGTCTACACTAAGTAATTTATCCTCCTCCACCTCTTTTTTCTCCTTCTTCTCTCTTTTCTCTTTCTCCCTCTCTCCCTCTCTTCCTCCACCGGATGGTCGACAATTCCCCCCATTCACCCTAGTCTGTCACCCCTACCTAGCTCTGGTGCTGGTACATGTGCAACTCTACTTAAGCCCGAAGCCTCCGGTTTGGGATATAGCAATACCACATGCCGCGTACTTATCCGCCGATCCGTCGACTTAGTTATCATTTTGGATCAACGACAAGTACCAAGTCTTTTGCACTCGCATACTCGACTTTATCCTCAGCATCATCTTCCATCATGGCTCAAACCGCAAACGCAGCTTCAACCCATCTCAAGCCTACTGAAATGGGTTCTGAGAACGCGCCTGCTTCTGTCCGTGGCTCTATCTCCGCCACCACTGTTGTCAACAAAATACCAGGCCGGTCTGATCTTCCAGAAGAGGCCATCTCCAACCCCCATCATGTTCTCAAGCGTGGCTCTGTCGTAGGCTTCAAGAATCCCTACCCTTCGCATTCATTTAGTCCCAACTTTGGTACCATGGTCCGAAGAATCTGGTGGTATGTGAGGATCCGGTCATGCCAAGAACGCTTCCTTGTTCCGATACTGACGACTTTAGGCCATCCTTTACCGGCGACCTCAAGAAGCCTGACTTATCACCTCCTACTGTACCGGTTGTCAAGCCCCAGTGGAATGTTGAGCGCGAAACCACCGATAAGATTCGTGCGACATGGCTAGGCCATGCTTGCTACTATGTCGAATACCCTTCCGGTCTGCGCGTTCTCTTCGACCCTGTCTTTGACGACCGATGCTCCCCGTTCAGCTTCATGGGCCCCAAGCGATTCACACCCAAGCCCTGCGATATCAAGGACATTCCAATCGTCGACGCTGTTTTTATCAGTCATTCTCACTACGATCACCTTTCGCACTCCTCCATTCTTGAGGTTCAGAAATACCACCCGGATGCCCAATTCTTCGTCGGCCTCGGTCTGGAGACATGGTTTCGCAAAGCAGGCATCAACCATGTTACTGAGCTCGATTGGTGGGAGGATGCCGATCTAACCGTAACAGCGAAAGAAGGGGATCTCACTCGCGAAATCAGCGCTAGAATCACCTCGTTACCCTCGCAGCATGGCTCGGCGCGAACCCCTTGGGACCGTGATAGCACTCTTTGGTGTTCGTGGGGCGTTAAATCTGGCGACAAGTCGGTCTGGTTCGCCGGTGACACAGGCTACCGATCTGTCCCAGATCTCCCCGCTGGAACTGATGATTACAGCGCCGAGTATGACCATCTGCCGAGATGTCCACAATTCAAGCAGATTGGCGAGTTCCGCGGACCTTTCGATCTAGGCCTGATCCCAATTGGTGCTTATCACCCTCGTGCGGCTTTTTCGCCCGTGCATGCCGATCCTCAGGATGCTGTTGAGATATTCCGTGATACGAAGTGTAAGCGTGCCATGGGTATACACTGGGGCACTTGGGCGCTCACTTTGGAGGAGGTGATGGAACCACCGAAGGTGCTCAAGCAAGCTTTGCTTAAGAGAGGCCTTCCAGAAGTGGGTGTGTTTGATGTATGTGATATTGGTGAGGCACGAGAAATTTAGCGGTGCCTGGAGGAAGACCTCGAAGTATAAAAGGTGAAAGATTATAGGTGGCTGTAAATACCCTTATTTGTTTTTTCAAGTCCAGTCAGATATGACGATATCTTTGCTTAGATTGGCTCAGTTACTGCGATATTCTTGTACATTATTTTCTGCGCAACACCTGAGACTTTGATAGAAGTTACAGGCCTCTCGTTCACAATTGGAAGAAATTCATTCACTAAAAGACCAATTCGCAAGAAACCGAAGATCAAAGTCACAATGATGTCACGAGACCCTGATCGGCAGAGGACGAAAGATCCAATCGGAGCTTACTTTCAACCTTAGCAACGATAAAGTGCCAGCTGAAAACATCCAAACTAGTGATCATCCTGCTTTCTTTTACCGGGTCATAACGGAGCTCTTGAGCCCAGAACTTATTCTTTCAGTCCTTTTGGCTGTGAGTGGTTGTTTTCTCTTGCTATTTCCACGAGAGCTACAGCCACAGGTGACGTATCCCACTCGCCACAGCTTCGCCACACCAGGTATAAGAGGCTGTTGATGATTGTCAGTCATCGCAACAACTTACACGCTCCAGCAAAAACAACACTTTATTAAAGACAGACTTCTTTTGTTCTTCAAGCCAATCACTATTATAAAACAATCAACCAACACCAACTCTTCATAAATCGGCATCATGGGTCTCCCTACTTACTCTGAGGCAACTACCTCAACAACCACATCTTCTCAAACCCCGCAACAAGAGCAGAACAACACAGGAGTTGCCACAGGCGCTGGCGCGAACACCGGCGCTGGCGCGAACACCGGCGCTGGCGCGAACACCGGCGCTGGCGTGACAAGACCAAAGACTGAGGAAGAGAAAGAGGCTGATCGACTTTATGAAGAGGCCATGGAGGAGGAGTATGCTAAGCGTGATGGAGGTTCTTAAGGACCTATGAGGAGTCTTGGATTCTACCAAATACGCGGAAGGGTTAAGCTCTGTGTTCACATTTATGGTTTGGGAAGATGATTTATTCAAGGACGCCAGCCTGATAGAGATGCTCTCAACTCTAGAGAAAACAAAATAATGCAACTATTATGAAACGCTCATGTATTGCTCTGTTTGTCTTAAGTATTTTGTGAAGAAATGTAGGCAGGTAGTTTGGTAGGGAACGTTAATAGATACAAGCAACCTGAGGGATTGTGAATGAGGGCTTCGCGAAGTGAAAGAATGGAAGCTGAGGAAGTGGCTAGAAGTGATTCGACTATATAAATGTCTTTTTGGATGGAAAGATACGTCGAGGCACATGGGACTGGAAGAACTGCTAGCTACCTGTTGCATGTCTTGGGTCTTTCAGAGATGAACTGAATTATGTTTCTTTCAAGCTTCTCTTTCTGGAAGCCATCAGACGGTGCCCAGCAAACCGCAAAGCATATAACTATCTATGTCTTCCTTGACTCTGGTCAATAGCAAGCATCCATGAAATGACCGTGATAGTAGATATGAGCCAGCCATACAATCCATACGTACGTTGGGTTATGGACCGCACTTTTGTATCGTTGGTTAATGAAAACGGTACCTGACCCGCTGGGCTTCTATGTACAGGTATTAGATATCTCAGGGTCAGGCTGGGCAATCGACACTGGCGGTCCTTGTAAGACCTCGTCTGGGATAGGCAAGCTGCTTGGATCTTGGATACACAGCTATGAGCAAACGCAATTGCAGGGCTCGTTGCAACCGGAGATCCCTCGGCAGCACCTGTCTCCCTATCCCATGTGCGGATCGCACGTATGATACAGATGAGCTATCAATACTGGAGGGCTCAGTCGTGCGGCTTGGTAGGTATTTGGAAGGCAGAAAATTTCAACACAAACCATGCCATTCAGTCTTTTTCTCTCAGTCTTGCCAAAGCCGCAGCAATACCTCCGCTAAGTTGGTCGTCATTATCTGTCTGACTCGTACGGCTGGCCTCTTCTGTCTGGGCGGTCTTCTTAGAAGCCTCGATAGCAGCCGCAAGCATGGCCTCTTCGTCGTCCTCGTCGTCCTCGTCGTCAGTATTATCCATAAACTGGAATTGCTTCGATGCTTGGCCGGTTGACCCCGTCGCAGGAGGCGTTTCTATAGCGGGAGACGGGCGTGACGACGAGCCAGCGGTTGGCATATCACGAAGTGGTATACGTGACAGGGGCACAGCATGATCAAGTCTTGCCGTTCGCTCCGAAGCCTTTGCGCCTCTCTTGGCAGCCTTTTTGACCCGGAACGGCTCCTCTACCGCAGATACCCATCGTTTTACTTTGATGCCGCCCCAGCCATTGAGCATACCAAGCTGCTCCGGGTCGGCATTGATGGCATTCTTCAGGCTGCCGAAGTTGCTTACTACGGCGACCGCATCTGACTTATTTAAACTTCTCGGCACTGTAACAAACTCGACCAGCTTTTCGCCATAGCTGGATGGCTGTTGACCGCGGATGGCGCCAAAGGTGGCATTCTCGTAGCTTTTATATAGTTCGATGTAACGGGCGGCTTCAGCGGCGGACCAGCAGAGGATGAGAGTCACGTTGTTGATGAGAGATGTCTTGGAGAGTTCTTTGAGTGAGGCTTCGTGGTTGGGAATGTCGACCATGGTAAGGAGAATGCGTAGGTTGTATTTGCCTTGAAGATTGCGGATTCGTGTGTAGATGTACTCAGGATGAAGACGATGGTACTTGAGACTTTTGCGCATTAGTAAAGACACATATATACGAAAGATCGTACTTAAACCTACCTGAGAAACAAAGCGCAGGTACCCAAGCCTAGGACATAGTCGGCCGGGATGTCACTGTACTCCCACGGCATGGATCGAATGCTCGTAAGAACTGGATTTCCTCGCTGGCGCGGAGACACCAAGATTGTCGAGCCCGATTGCTTCTGAGGAAGAGCCTGAGGGGTTGGCTGTACCACTTTTCCAGCACTCGAGGCAGAAGGGGGTGCTTTATCAAGACGTTGCGGCGTGGGTTGCTGGATCTTTGCAGGCGTGGGTTGTTGAATTGGTCGTGCGACAGGCGCTGCATCTGCCGCGGCCATGGCGGCTAAAAGCTCATCGTCGGCGCCGTAATCGTCATCCATTGTACTTTTGATACGAGGTTACGCAGTGGAATTGAGAAATGGTGTTGGTGGTTTCTCGTTATGTGCTGGTTAAATTGATGACGTTGTTGGATTCACGCGGCGCATTGAGTTGACGTTGGAGCTAGGGTGGGTCATCATTTTGCCAGAAAGGATATCTCAAAGACCCAACGTCTGTAGAGAATCATAGTCAATTGGCATCTGAGTGTAACTCACGGCATGATTTGGCTTTTTTTTAAATCATTATTTTATTTACGTCGTTACTATTACCTTGGTGGTTAAGTTATGTTGTCTGGACTTCTATGAGAAACTGTAGGACTGAAGCTCATCACCAAGGTGACTAAACCCCAGGGCTAGTGAAGAAAGATATAAGAACTAAAAAAGAGTATACCTATAGAGTATCCTGGAAGGGACATGTTTTTACATGATGGTATATATAGATGTCAAATCAGTACAAGAACCTCAAGAGGGTCAGATAAGTATCGCTTCTTACAAGGGTTGCTTGTGAATGATCAGGGCTGAGATCATACAGCTCTCTAGGTAACTTAGTACTATTCTTCTTAGATTATGTCATACAGAAGTTTCGTAAATGTTTAATAGCTTCCATAAATTAATGTCGGTCTTACATACCAATTAAAAATATAGGCTATTTAAGAACGAATTAACGTAACTCAATACATTGCAGATCAGATGCCCGCTTCGAGTAAGATACTGTGTGAATTGAGCGATAGACAACACACAATGATCAACTTTGGTTGAACCTTATCAGTAAGATCACCACCAAATCTATTTATATCATGTAAATCCTGTTCTCGACTAAATGATCTGCAAGCACGGGAGAAACGTGGCAGTGCCTGCAGTCTTCAGCGCAATACGGATACACACATCTTAATGGCGACGATAACACGTCAGGACAGGTCGATCAGCTTCAGTTCAAGAGTTGATTTGCTAAATAAGCACTAAACATAACAAAAAATACAAGTCCCTCCAAGGTATCTTTCCATCCGCGGCTATATCCAATCCAGCCGCATTTTGTCCACCCATGCCAGGTTTGCCCTCTGGCCGCGCCCATAACGCCAATCCCATAATGTTTCGTTATTGCATTGCACGAGTCATGATATCGCCTCGTGCACAATGTGTCTTAGAAGAGACAAAAATCTTAAATGTCTCGGAATTAATCCAGGTCTTCCTCTAGCCCTGCATATTCCGTCGGGCTAGGCAGCGTGCTCTCCGTAAGGGAGGAATGAATCGAGTAAAGGGAGGCCAACCAGCAGTCGAACATGGTAACCACCTTTTGAGCTTCCGCGTTTGACGGCTCTTGTCTTGTTAGTTGGTCACGCAGCCTCTCGTAGGCCTCGATCATAACCCAGATCTGCAGTGCTGCTGTGTCCTGTCCGTTGCGCTGTGGTCGTCCAGAAACGACGGAAGATAGTTCGCTCGTGAGTAGATCGAGCGCTATCTGGAGACTGATGTTTTCCTGAAAAGAGTGTCCAGATGATGAGGGTGGCCTAAATTCGTCTGTCCAGGAGTGGCGCGGTGTCCCAGGCGTTTGATCGGGAGAAGGTGGTGGTGATAAAGAGTATGGCTTAAAGTAAATAGTGTCTCCTTCGACGGCTGCCACGTTCGTATCGTGAGTTGCTGCAGTTCTCAGTTTGGGTCTGAGCTGGCGCGGTACAGCAGTCATGGATGAGTACGTCTTTGACGTGCGTACGCTTTGCCGTTTTGCTCCATAAGGAGGGATCTGTAGAGGAGTGTCGTCGAACGAATAAGTCGACTGGTTTGAGGGTAAATATGTCTCCAGCGCAGGCGGGCCATCTCTCGATTCGAGGACGGCATTGTATTGATCGGCGATCAATTCAACGCTTGATGTCTTTTCCTGTGTATCCTTGGCCTTGCGCGCAAGGGCATGTTGCTCTAACTGTCCGATTCGAAAGACGGGCGTCTTGGCCTGGCGTCGCATAATTGATGAAGTCGAGGTAGTTGATGCTGTTGAAGGAAGTGACGAGCTGTCCAATGATGGCCGCGCGCGATGTTCCTGGAGAGTCAAATGATGAAATTCGGGGATATGGCGCTGAGATGATTGTCTTTGTGGTGGAGGACTGAAGCATGACCTTGGTTCGGACTCCTGTTGGTGGTCATGGCTCGTGTAATGTTCATATATCGGATGAAATGTTGGCCCATGGTGTTCCTCAGGCTCCGAGGGCACAAAGACAGACTGCGGTCGAAGATAATGATCCCATTTGGAGTCGCTCAGATCAGGCGCACCGTTTTGCATTTGGCGTTGCGACGGTGAAGATAGCGAACTTTGAGGGCTTAGGCTGGAAGTCGTCGAGTCGGTAGAACCACGTTTGGCCTTGTTGAGACTTTTAAGCTTTGGGTCCGGTTTCTGAAGTTTGCGCCTTGGAGGCTTTAGACTGTGGCTTCTTGAAAGAGTATTCTCCATGATGTGTTGCGGTTGTGGTTGTGGTTGTGGTTGCGCTTAGACGTAGGGTTATTGCGTGGATGGGTTGCGAGAGCCGCAGTTTCACTATGTAGCATTTAAATAAATGCAAGGTGAGGGATGGTAAGGATAAGTGTGGATCGTCGTCAAGGGCGAGTTGAGTGAGAAATCAAGAGTTGTGAATGTTGTAGCGGTGTGTCTTGGTCGGTGATAGTCACGTTGTTTGTTTGTAGTCACAAATATTTCAGCCATGGGATAGACAGGGTAAAAAATTTGGGGAGAAGGATTAAAGAATAAGTATCTGCAAGTATATGACGAAAAGGTGAAAGTAAAAAGCAAATGTGCAAGAACAGAACAGGTCGTAATTATGTACGTAGTAAAGCCGAGAGTTGAACCACTTCCACTCCCACTCCCACTCCCACTCCCACTCCCACTCCCACTCCCACTTCAAGGCCTTACCGCTTCCCTGGCCCAAAGTGGCTTCAGAGCTGCAGGTTAGATTACAAGTCCAATCAAGAGGGCCACGAGGTGGATGTTATACCCACGTCATGGGTCAAGAATACAGAATTCGACAGAAAAAAGGTTGGGGACAGGGGTCGGTTGAGTGGAAAGGTGAGCCAAAAACCTGGGATTTGCTGGACCTCGAACCTGCAAGTTGCAACTTTTCGTGTGCATATGTGTATGTAAGTGCTAGCTACCTAGTGAAGTAGGCGAGTGACAGGCCCTGGGGAAGACGGGAAGAAGGGAAGAAGAGGGCACCGTAACCCGATAGAGGAGATGATCCTTGAAGGAGGAAAAACAAGATTGATTGCTGTGCCGGTACTCTATACCTTGCTATAGGTACTGTACTATACTTACGGCATAGTGACAACAGTCAGTGTCTAATTGTTTCCAGAACCTGACGAGAACAAACTCGGACATGCCACCCGTCCGTCTCCTGTGCGGCTGTGCCTCTGCAGCGGTGAAGCCACTGATAGTCAGGCAGCCCTTGAGATGCCCGCAACACCCTCACGGTTCTTGCAGTCTCACACTAGGCAGTTCCCTAGTGCTGGACGGTTGTCCACCCGTATGGCCCTTGTCACGTCGCGTGGGTTGAAGTCTAGCTTTTAATTGATGTCATGTGCATCGATGAACTTGGGAAGACCCTGAGGCCTGAGACTGAGCCAACACAGTCATTCCCTTCCCAGTTCTTAGTCTCTGGGGCAGAGGAGACGACAAGACGAGAGGGGTAATAGCAGTCAGTCACCCGAGCCCTACAACCGACGTGTCCCTAGCCGATGGCCGATGGGCTGTTGCAGTTGAAGCCATCCCATCATTGTTGACAGTAGCATTGTTGAGTTGAGTCAAGTTCATGTACGCGATCTCGTGTCCTGTGAACGAGGCTTTTTGTTGGCTGCCTCCTTCACACATTTCGAGCAAAGTTAAATGCCAATATTCACTCATGCGAACGCTTCTCTTCGGTCTCGTATATCCTAATCGTCATTGATTGGGACAAGTTAGGGAGTAGAAATAGAGCCGTCGGTGGTTCCTTTTGTTGAGAAACCTTGTCTTTGGCATGCGTAAGGAAGACTTTGACATCTGAATGTGATGGGAAAGTCATACAGTGTGTAAATAGTCTGTAGACGGCATTTAACACTGTACATCCAATGCTCAGGCCTGCGAATTAGGTGCTCTGGCCCTGATACCCATTCATGACAAGTCGAATACAGCAAAAGATTGCTGAGTTAAGAATAGAGAACAAACTACATGGTGTGTATATCGTAGAGTCAAACTTGGGGATCATAAAGACAATCTTCCAGGATATCAATATCACTAAATAAATGGCTGGGGCTCGCCTTTTGTTTACTACGTTCATCCCTCTCGGCCCATCTCGTGTTAGTGAGGGGTACACAAAATCGCGGGGACATCGTGGGGTCAACCTTTATCGACTTCAACTAACATCACTAACGCTCAGTAAGAACGCCCACTCCAGTCACGAGCGCTTCGACTTTCCATTCTCAATGTCCAATTGCCTCTCACGCGATGGATATTCATATTCACCAATACCACTTACTCTTCAAGACTCTCTCTGCGGGGGGCATGCCCTATTAATGTTCAACTGCACTAAATGGGGTCATGCCATGCTGCTGCGCGGGGGCGGGTCGCGGGGGTTCCTTGATCTTAAGGACCAATCCATGAGTACTCTACACAACACCACAAGCCCAGTCTAGACCAAGTTCTGCTTGATATCGCCTTAACAAGTGCCTAATTCTCCCCCCAAAACCCACCCCCAACTGCGGCTCTCCCCCTCCTCCTCTGTCTCCAACCCAAGGATATCCATCGGCAAGAACGTGCCGGCAACGGGGCCAGCTTCTCATGATATTAAACAATGTATGTCTACAGCTGCTCACTATCATGGGGGTTTTCAATGGGCGGATCCCATTATTCCATCAATCAGACATGCGAGAATAGGGTCGTCATGGCATCTCGACCCTTCTCTACCCCACATCGTGAGGTCTCATGAGAGTCTTTGGGAGGGAGAAAAAAGGGGACCAGATGGGGAGAGAATATACGTATAAAGCATGACTTGCCCAGCTCTGATTCCAATTTAGCCTCAATTTAATTCCATTGCGTTCTTCAAGACTCTACTATCCTCTTTCTCGTGGTGACTGTCTCATCATAACACCTCAGTCTAACCAAAACCACCGACTAATTCTCTCTCTCCCTCCCCCGCGTTCGGAGCTCACCCCGCCTTAACTGGTCCCTCATGCTTCACTGAAGTTTCACGCTCTCTCTCATATAACTCATACAGCTACGATCATACAAATAAACCGCAACAATGGGTGAAATCACAATCACAGGATGGAGGACTCGCGATGTTCGCTTCCCTACTTCTCTCGACGGAACCGGCTCCGATGCCATGAACGCTGCCGGCAACTACTCCTCTGCCTACTGCATCCTCGAGACCGACTCTGAATACACCGGCCACGGAATGGTCAGTGACTCAATGCCACAACAGAACATATCAATTGTAGCTAACTCCCCCTCCAGACCTTCACCATTGGCCGTGGAAACGACATCGTCTGCGCAGCCATCAACCACGTCGCCGAGCGTCTCCAGGGCAGGACCCTCTCCTCCCTCGTCGCAAACTGGGGCCAGACCTGGCGACATCTCGTCAACGACAGTCAGCTCCGATGGATCGGCCCCGAGAAGGGTGTCATCCACCTCGCCCTCGGTGCTGTCGTCAACGCCGTCTGGGATCTCTGGGCCAAGACCCTCAACAAGCCCGTCTGGCGCATCGTTGCCGACATGAGCCCTGAGGAGTTCGTCAGCTGCATCGACTTCCGCTACATCACCGATGCCATCACCCCCGAGGAGGCCATTGCCATGCTCAAGGAGCAGGAGTCTACCAAGTCCAAGCGCCTGGAAGAGGCTCTCCAGAACCGTGCTGTGCCCGCTTACACAACAAGTGCTGGCTGGCTCGGCTACGGTGAGGATAAGATGAAGAGCCTGCTCCAGGAGACTCTCAATGCCGGATACCGACACTTCAAGGTCAAGGTTGGTGGTGACATTGAGCGTGACCGCAAGCGTCTAAGTATCGCTCGTGAGGTTATTGGCTACGACAAGGGCAATGTGCTCATGACAGACGCCAACCAGGTCTGGTCTGTTCCCGAGGCCATCGAATACATGAAGCAGCTGGCCGACTTCAAGCCCTGGTTCATCGAGGAGCCCACATCACCCGATGACATCCTCGGCCACAAGGCCGTTCGCGACGCCCTGAAGCCCTACGGCATTGGCGTCGCTACCGGCGAGATGTGCCAGAACCGAGTCATTTTCAAGCAGCTCCTCCAGACCGGTGCCATCGACGTGTGTCAGATCGACGCCTGCCGCATGGGAGGTGTGAACGAGGTGCTTGCTGTTCTCCTCATGGCCAAGAAGTTCGGCGTGCCTATCGTGCCTCACTCCGGTGGTGTCGGCCTCCCCGAGTACACACAGCACCTGAGCACGATCGACTACGTTGTCGTCTCTGGCAAGCTGTCGGTGCTCGAGTACGTCGACCATCTCCACGAGCACTTCTTCCACCCCTCCGTGATCAAGGATGGATACTACACCACCCCTGTGGAGGCTGGCTACAGTGTCGAGATGAAGCCTGAGAGCATGGACCGCTTTAGCTACCCTGGTGAGAAGGGCGTGAGTTGGTGGACTTCAGACGAGGCCAAGGTTATTCTTGACGGTAAGAAGATCTAATGGGTGGTTTAAAAAAAAAGGTTGGATTAGAAGATCTGTTACTATATATCCAGAATGTCTTCGTAAGGAGAAATATCATGAGTTTATGAGACAATTGTAACATGAATATTGTGCTAGTTGTGAAATTGATATCAAAAGACGTAGTTTACAATCCTAACTGTTGTTTATTTATGAACTGTGCTATGTCCCCCAGTTCTCCAGGACAGTACCAATGTGCCAACTCTGGGTAACTCTTCAACTCAACATATATTCCTGCTCGCTCCAGAAACTCAGCTGCCTCTTGGCCGTGAGAATACTCGACATCTTTGTCTTTTCGGCCATGACCCATAAACACAGGGGTTTTCAGGAAATGGAAGGAAGTCATCGGTGGTGCAGGTTCAAGCTCTGCCTCTTCGCGAAGCTCATCGATAGCCCGTTGTAACAGCGTTCTGGCATCTTGTTCATCCCTCTCAAACAGTTCATCATCAGACATGTTTTCATCTTCGTCCTCAATCATCAAACTCTCAGCCAGAGGCATAAAGCCACTCATGATCACCACAGCGCCTAGACTCCGTCCTTCCCAAAGCAACCAACTCATCAATGCCATAGCACCGCCCTGACTAAACCCCATCAACACCACCCTCCCTGCATCGCCACCCAGCTCGTCTATCTCGCCTCTCAATATCCCGTGAATATGTTCAACGCTAGGTCGCATGTTCCCGCGAGCCTCGGGCTCCCAGTCACCGGTGCCTTCATACCACTGGTGAATGAGGGAACGGCGATACTTGGTTGCTCGGGCGAGAGGTGCAGTGGGAAAGACGAAACGAGCGTGGGGAAGCCATTGGCGGAATGTTTTTCCTGGGTCGGGGGAGGGAGATGCGAGTAGCGGAGAGTGGAATTTCTCAGCGTTGAAGCCACGGCCGTGAAGGACGATGAGTGTGAGTTTGTGAGGTAGAGAAAGAGGAGGGATGGTTAAAAGAGGAGGAAATTCGCCTGGTTTGAGACGAGAGGAATGTAGTGAGGTATCATCTCTCGACATTGTGTTGTTGGAGATATTGTTATTTGATATATGATTTACTACCTATGTAAGTTGGGGGTTAGTAATGTAATGGTGCATACATATGCCACCTTTTACACGACTCTTCTTGGGTGATGAAAGAATAATCAAGTCAGGAAACCATAGAACACTGGCAGTCTTTGATAATTGATTCCAACAAGTCATTAATAGTTTAAAATTGTCATCATTATACATCGCATGTTTAAACAGGTATCTAGTTGATCAAACATCCTCCATGTACTGGGCTGAGCTCGCTATCTTCGTTCTCATTAGCGAACGTGTCCCTATAATTCCAGCCCCACGTACGGGATAACTCCCTTCAATGAAACCTCACATCACCAACTACACACTCTCTTTCATCCACAAGACTCAAAATGAGCCTCCTCAACCATGAATCTCACCCAATTCTCTCTCTAACCGCCGCGTTTACCACCTGGAAAGGCCTGCTCCTTGCCATCGCCCTCGGCGCGTCTGTAGGTCCAGACTACGACACCTCAACATCTCTCTTCTTCGACGTCGTCCACGGCGCGAAAACGCCTGTGCCTGCGCTTGCTACACGCTTGACGAGATGGGACGCTCTCTACTTCATGCATGATGCAGTAAAAGGGAAGGTCTACGAGCAGGAGTGGGCGTTTGGTATTGGTATGCCGGCTGCCGTGCGTAGTATCGGTGGGCTAGGCCTATCAAGGCTCCAAGTCTGGGAGCCTCTTGTTGCCATTGCCATCTCGCACGTTTCTCATCTTATCGCTGTGTTGGCGCTGTATCAGCTCACTATCGTCCTCTGCAATGATCGGAAACTTGCTTATTTGGCTGCCGCCGTGCATATCCTTTCACCCGCTGGGCTGTTCCTGTCGGCGCCATATGCAGAGAGCGCATTCTCATGTCTGTCTTTGGTAGGCAATCTTCTACTTGGCATTGGTCTCAAAAACAGTCCCGACTCGCTGAAACGCAATGCTGCGGTAATTGGAGCAGGGTTGTCGTATGGGGTTTCCTGCACACTTCGAAGCAATGGGCTTTTTGGTGGCATCTTGTTTGCTGTGGAAGCTGTAAAATGCCTGTTGGCCCTTCTCGAACGGTTCACTTTCTCCAAGGTTCTAAGATTGATTGCGCCCATAGTTGGTGGAATTTTGGTCGCTGTTGGGTTTGTTACGCCGCAAGGTCTGGCTTGGATGAGATACTGCAACAACCTGGGTATCGATGGAGAGCAAAGACCTTGGTGCACACATCATATCCCAAGCATATACACATTTGTGCAAGAGGAATACTGGTATGTTATACTATCTACCCCCTGTTCTTGGCACAGTAACAATTAACACAAACAGGGACGTTGGCTTCCTCAAATACTGGACACCCAACCAAATCCCCCTCTTCCTCCTCGCAGCCCCCATGCTCACAATTCTCCTCAAGTCGGGAACAGAAATCGTGCGCGAACCCTCTCGAGGTCTTCGGGCCATGGTACGCGGCACGGACGAACAGTGCAGACTGCTGGTGCGAACTCTCGCAGCTGTGCAGATGCTGCTTGCCGTGTTGGCGATCACCAACTACCACGTCCAGATCATCAGCCGGTTGTCGTCGGGATATCCCGTCTGGTACTGGTGGGTTGCTTCGTGCCTCATGGACAAACAGAGACAGAGTTTGGGATATGGGGTTGTTGTGTTTATCACCATGTATGCGGCGATTCAGGGTGGTCTTTTTGCTTCGTTTTTACCGCCTGCCTAAGTGTATGTATCAAGACTCTGCCGTATTGACTTTGTGGGTCATGCTCATTGTTATGGTTGCAAGAAACTTACATGCGCGTTTGTCAGTGAAACAATAGTAGACAGTGACAAGGTTATGCGCCCACACTCAAATTGGCCCATCTACACAATGGTGTGCAGTGACATAAAGGCAGCAAAACAGGCAGCAAAATCATATTGTATTATAAAAAAGATAAATGTTCTTCACATCTACGTGTCTGGAGCTTAACCTTATCTCATTTATCTATATATACGAGCTTTAACAAGTCTTTGCTGATTTTATTCCTCAACCATCAACCATTCCAAAGCCTTGTACTCCTTACTCACCACCACTTATACCAAGTTCACTCACGTTACACATTCCATCATCACACCCACCTTCAATATTATAAACATGTTTCCCTCGAAGAACAGAGAACACGTTCCTGCCGATGAGCTGGCTATATTTATTCCCGACGAACATGACCCAGTCTTGATAAAGTTGCAAGAGCTGAAGAAGCTTGCGCGAGAGTGCTGTGACTGGCGAAGGGAGACTCCACGTGGCTCGTCTGAGTCTGCAGACTCGGATACCTCTTCCGCCTCCTTGGAGAGCCTGTCTTCGTCTTTTTCAAGTGTAAGTATTTCCCTTCCCTGCCACTTACACTGTCCCCAACTAACATATTATCAGACAAGTGAAGCAACAGTTTACGACAACTTCACCACTGAAAACGAGGCCAAAGCTTCCAAGTCGTCCGAAGCCACTGCAAAGACCGGATGGCAGGCCAGTCCTCAGGCCAAACGGGATGAATATGTCCCTGCCTTTAGCCAACCTATTCCCACGACACAGTGGCTAGGAAGGCCTTGGCGGGACGGCTGCCATCCATCAGTCCATCGCCAGCAGTAAAGCCAAGTCAGCGGAGGATGTCCCGAAGAAGGCTAAAGTATAGTTTGACAAAAATGCCACGAGTTGAAATGAGATATGAGTTACTGTTAAGAGCGATATGGGATACGAATTATGAATACCAGGGAAACGGAAATATCAGGACCGGCGTGGATGAGACAATACTTGCAGTTTATGAATACTGCCTCGCTCTATGAATTACTGTTTATATACTTTTCATTCAAGTTGCCCCGTGTTTGCACATGAAGGTCTAAGTCCTTCTCATAGCCATTAGGAATAGCCTCTGATGATGAGAAGCCGTTGCGTAGAAAGCTTCCCAAAAAGCGGCCACCTAAGCGCATAAATGAGACACACCACTTCACCAGCGAAGCACATGGCCTAATTATACCTATGCCTGGCCAACTGCGGGTGTGAGCCGTTGCCTTCAAATTACTTTTCACCCTGTATAATGATTCATAATCGTCCTCTACTTGTTTCGCAGGCTTCAATTAATGGAACACTCGAACGCTAGTATTATTTATTGTATGAGAAACATCTAATGAAACCGGATAAGAACTTGCCATCGTCTACGTGCTATCAATAATGAAAACGCCCCCATCGCCCATGTGCTGCAATCTCTTCTCTGAGTACGGCGACCCGACAGCTGCTATTCAGAACTACCTCCAGATCCGAGCTGCATGTACACATATTTATCACCCTCGTCAAGCCCAGCCTTGGGTAGTGCAAAGACAGAGACTTCTGCGTCAGCAGCTCCTCCTAGTACTATACAGTCCTGCGCTGGTTCATGTCTCATGTTTTCCTCGCTATGGCGACCTGTTTCTACTTCTTCCTTCTCTTACGCAATTACTGACTGGGATTCGCTGCGGGGTTCTTAAGGGAGGTCTCCGAGTCCCGAGAAGACGGCAAGATATTGGATCGGATGAAGGGTCGCATGAAAAGACGAGGTATAAACTAAAACTCATCCTCCGAGTCACTGTTGTCATTAATCCTAATGGCTCGCCATCTCCTGTCAGTCAAGTCTTGGGCGGCGGTGCCTTCGCTCTCTGGGTCGACATAGCCTTGGCCTCCTGCAATGCTTAGAGCAACAGGCAGGAAGACCAGGGCATGGAGGGCAGCGAAGATGACAAGGGACAGCCAAACTCGGAAGTAGTAGATCTCAAAAATCTTGGATCGCGTAAAGGCGAGCACAGAAACTCCAAGAAGCTTGGTGACAGTGATACCAGAAAAGACAGATCCGCCGACGTTGACAAGAGCAGTCCAAGCTCGGGCATCACGACCACGGAAAGCATTACTGTTGCCCTCCATCACCGTGCGTGAGGGGTACATAAACGCTCTAGCAATGTGAGCGCAGAACTCAACAGAGATACCGACGCAAATGATGAGGTTGACCAGGGAAACGGCGTTCAAAGAGACACCGAACAAGGCCATGCTACCCATGATGTCTACAACACTCATCACAACAGTGACAGACACCACAAGAGCGGTGAGTAACGAACCCAAAAGTACGGACGCAACGACGAAGATAATGCCAACAGCAGCAGATAGCAGCGCAGCTGTCAGCGGAACAATACTGAGGTATTGGTCAAAGAAGATATAAAAGACGCTGTACGGGAAAACATCCGCGCCAGTTCTTTCACTAATATCGGAAGCGATACGGCGTGCTGCAGAGTATGCAGCGATAAAATCTTCCTGGCTTCTCAAGGGCGTATGCATAGTCCTGAAGTGTGTTGACTTAACATGGGTGCTTTCAGCGTCGAGGATGACAGCTTGGCCATAGGCAGCCTGACCAGCAAGAGGGCAATCGTCGCCAGTGGGGCTTGAAAGGAACTTCTTGAGATAATGGATAAATTCTTCATCCTCGGGCATGCCGTAAAGCGTGGTGTTCCAGGCTGGCTTGCGATCGGCGAAGCAGGTCTGGCCACCTTCCACACAGCACTGCTCAAATATGGGATTCAACCACAGGAAAAAGTCGTCGATCCAGCTCGCAGCTGGCGAAGAGATGTAAGAAATATCTGATCTCTGTCGCTCGAGCTCCAGTGTGTTGGTGAGTGAAAGGTCCTGGCAAGTCGTGAATCTCGAACAAATCTGTTGCTGATGCTTCCGCTTAGAGACATCAACTTCGCGAGTCACAAAGTACACTGGAGGTCCGGTCTCCAGATACTTGTATAGATCATCGAAATAGGGGATCAGATAGGACCCATCAGGGATGGCAACGCGCTGGTCCAGGCCAAGTTCAATCTTGGGTAGAAGCGCCAATCCACCAGCAAACATTCCGAGGAATACTGCGACAACAGCAACCTTGACCTTCTTTCCAAGAAGGCGAGGCGCATATGTGTTCTTGATAAAGACTTGCAGCAAGCTCTCCTCAGCCATGTCCGAGCCGCGGCCGGCACCCTGAGCAAACCCGTTAGTTCCGCTGAGGTGGATTCTTGCCTTAGTGATCTGCCACCAGGGCCACAGTTCACAACGATGGTCTTCAACCCGCATCTGGTTAAGAGCAAGGACAGAGACAAACATAGTCATTTGAAGCACTGCGTTAACCAAAACGGCACCAGCGGCATAGGCGGCAAAGTTCCTGACTGCTGGCATACCGACAGCTGTGCCAAGAGCAAAAGCGACGGTCTCCGTAAGAGCAGAGAAGAGAATTGAAGGTCCCATACGGCCAAGCGCCCGGGCGACTCGTTCCTCGACCATCTGATCTGGGAAGCTAACATTGACCCTCTCGAGCTCGTGAACAATCAAGAAGATGTTGTCCACGCCAACAGCCAAGACAATAAAGGGGATGACTTCGACAATAATGAGCGTAGCCTTCAAGCCAACCCATGAGAAGAAACCGATGGAAGCGGCAATCGACATGAGAACAATGAGGATACCCGCAAGACCAAGCGATACCTTGGACTCGACTAAGAGTACAGCAGGGTTGCGGAATATGTGCTTGAGGGGGGTTCCCAGTGCCATGCAGGCGTAAACAAACATAACAATGTAACTAATGACAATAATTTTGGCGTCTGTGTTCGTCGATTTGTTGAGTTCTTGCTCCAGACTGATTTCAGTATTGAAGGACAGACGAAGACCGCGCTGTTTGGCCTCTTCTTGAACCTCGAGCATTCGGTCGCGAAGAGAATTCTCCCAGTCGACGGCCCTCGCGATAGCATCGGTGCCCTCTTGGGCATTGTTAACAACCCATGTCACAGTTATGGCTTGAGCGTCCACGACATCATCATCATAACCACCAAAGATCATGTTAGGCTCGAGGGGCTGACCAAAGTCAGGTCGACAATCCACGGGACTTTTGGCGCATGCACGGAGCTCCTCTTTCCAGGTCTTTGGGTCAAGCCCACCCTTCGAGTGCCAGTAGGCCGAGACCGACTGGACAACGCAAGCGTCGTTGGAGGGTTTGAAACAAAGATCGTGGAAGTATTTGCCATAGACAGGGCTTTCGAGCTTCTTGACACTCTCTTCAACTTCGATCCACCACTTCAGCGTATCGTAACTGAGCACAGGGCCAGGACCAGATGGGTTGGTATCATTAGCAAGAAAGATCTTCTCAGCGCGGTAGAATGGCCCAAAATTGTGGTCGAAGTAAGCTTTCTCCTTTGCAGCAGCTGAAGACGGGCTAACCCACAGGCGGGCAGGTTCCTTCTCGAGATCGAAGCGGAAGAGACCAATACACAAGATTCCGACGAAGAGTACGCTGAGTCCAATACACCAGCCAGGGAAACGCGCTGCCACATGACCGAGTTTGTAAAAGGCCCTGTCACATCGGTCGTTGATCCAATATCTCTTAGTCGGACGCTCGCGCATAGCCTCTGTGTCGACTGGGCCACCCTCGTCTTCGTCATCGCTATGCGAGGATTCGTGAAGCAGTCTTGTTCTTTCGACGCGGTGCTGGGAATACTTCTTCCAGGCAACGTGCCCCCCGACAGCCAGGATCAGCACGCATAGAAGAACACTGTAAACAAAGACAGATGCGAACGAGAGGCAGGGTAAAAGCCCGACTCGACAAGACTTGGAGTCCTTCACATCTGGAAGCTTTGGGCACACACCGGGGCAGTCAACACAAACGCAACGATAATCGGGGTCCTCATCGTTGCAGTGCTTTGGCTTCATGTCCAGGGGATGGAGGTCGTCGTCACTGTATTCGGTCGGGAAGTTGATCTGGAAGGGTGAGCCGACGAAGGGTTTCTTGTCTCCAAGGAACTTGAGCATCTCGGTATAGTTCTTAGCACCACCACCGATCAGATCCATGGCTTTGCTGTTTGCGCCGCCAAACTTGACCTCCTTACAACTGTCGTAGAAACCGGTACCGTATTTCTTAGATACAAGCTGGTCGAGCTCTGTTACGAGCTGCTTGCCGTTCTTTTCGGCGGAGTTGGTCACATTGATGAAGAGAGACTGGTCAGGAGAGCACGTGAAGGTACAAAACAGGTTGAAGAAGTTGTCTTTACACGCAGGGCATGAGCCGATAAGCGTGCTTGGAGTTCCGAGCTCGGACTTGAGTGATCTTACCTAGAAATACAGTATTAGCTTGAGGTTCGTTAGATGGCATAGGATATACTCACTTGGTCCAGATTACAGCAGACAGGTCCTGTCCTCCACTTCTCGCCACAAAGCTCGACGAGTTCATTTCGAAACTCCTCGTCGGGATCCTCAGCCAGACCGTTATCGACGCATGGAAGGTCTTTTCCAAAGAAGCTCTGCTTGCCACAATGGCCGCGGAAAGCGCATCGTCCGGCTTCGTGTTTCGGTGTGTACTGCTCGGCGAGACCTAGGCCGGCGAAAAGCACGGCTGCAGCTCCGAGCTGGCGCACGATGCGTTGATGCATCTCTAGGCGATGGGGCCGCACGCGGCGGTGGATAGATATGGAGTCGTAGGCCTAGTTGGTCGCGATCAATGACCGATGTGGATATCGTTCTCTCTCTCGAGTTGACGTATGATGCGACGATATGTATGTGATGTTTAAGAAGCTGGGAAATCAATCATAATAGATTGTCCGATTGTGAAAGACGTAGAAACCGAGAAACAGTGCTTCGAGTGGAAGCGAAACTCAAAAGACGCGTCGGCAATAGGCGCAACCGTAACGGTTGCAGGCTGAGGCAGAAAAGGTCTGGATGGTGATGTCGTAGCGTAGCTCGGTGACGGTTACAAAGCTTGAATGCCGAGAGCGGGCACTGAAGGTCACAGCTCGATCTGCGTCATTCGTTTCTACAGGCTAAACTTGCCTGTAATTCGTCAGCGTGATCAATTTAGTGGCTCATGGTTCGGTGAATAGTGGAGGCTGGGGTCAAGACCGGGGTTGAACTCCACTGCGGGTGAATGCAGTCAATGAATCATTCCAGTTCCACTGCACCTACCCTGGAGATATACGAACTTTACTCAGTATAGTCTAATTAATATATAGAACCATAGCCAAAGTGAAATAAGTTTATATTAATTAGAAATCTGGTGACTGTAATACTCAAGAATATGACCTCTGCGCTATTCTGATTAGTGTGTCATGCCATATAAAGGCTTGTTTGAGTATATCATGGACAACCTTACAAGTTAAGCCTGCCCTGTCAAAATATGCATGCATGTCTTTGCAGGTGATTAACTTAGAGACGGGTTTATCATACCGAAATAGACATATTCTCACTTGGTGATGCCGGTGTCCATAACATTGTTCCCTTCCACTAACTGCACCTCGCATAAAGATCAAAGGTACGTGGTCAGCATTTCTCTTGGCTTTCTTATAATGTCTCACTTCATTCAGAATAACTTTCGTTCAGTCCACACCGAGTTCATAAAAAGCATAGGCCACTTGGTGTAGTTGAAGACACCATATAAATCGAAGAACAAACTCAAAGGATTTGTAACTTTCACCTCTCACAACAACCCAAAGTGACCTCAATATTTATTCACGCAACTCAGACGTTGGCTCTGGCACGTGATATGGTGTATCATCTTCAACCCACTCCACTGAGCTTGACAAGCCTGGAAAAACACCACGACTCTCTTCGATGCGTCATTCAACCAGTCAGATTTCCCGAACGTCATTAAAAATTTCAAAAATACAGAAGAAGTATCCGACGACTAGCGATACTAAGTTTCCGTTTCCTGTCATCTGTAAGATTTCAAAGCGTATAATGCTTTATTTTGGAACCAGCCACCTTAAAACTCACTGTACTGCCCCTCCCCCAAAATTATGCCCAACGAGACATCAGAAGAACTTGTCCAGAAACTGGTGGTAGGTGGTTTGAAATTGCCATGAGTCAAATGTGTATAGATATAGTTCTCATGTCATAGGTAGCGAGGTACTTGCCCTTGTGTGGCTTGACCAAGATATCACTGCCCATGAGATACAACTACACATTACTGCGTGCATGCAATGCTCAATATGTTAGGGATCGCACTGACATATGATGTAGGAAAAGTTCCGGTCACTCTTGGACGAAGCCCTCGTAGTCGCTATCGCTAGCGATCATGACCTCAGTGAGACTTCGCAATATGAGTCGGCTCAGATGGTGCTAGAGGGCCTTGCTCAACATGTCACGACAGAAGAGGCGACTGGCTTTAATCCAAGCGGAATATCAAATGCGCCAGAAGATGCGAATGGTGATGAGGGCACAGTTGAGACAGGTAGTCAGCAAGCTTCTCGTGCTCACGACACAGATACCACCTCTACGAGCGATCAAACTTCAGCATCTGCCAACACGGCTTACTCCATACCAAGGCTTACTTCGTTCGACGACGACAGTGAAGAGAATAAGATTCTCATTCTACAGGGCATGTTTGGCGAGCTCAAGGAATTCAACATCAAGCACTGCTTGAGAAAGGCAAACGGGGATGTCCAAACTGCGCTTGATGAGCTACTCAATATTCAGTACATCAAATCAACTGGGCAAGAACAGAAAGGGATCGATGGATTCTTTGAGCCTGATGAGAGCGTCGGGAAGAAGAAAAGGAAGAATAGGAAAAGGGGGAAGAAAGCTCTTGGAAACGAGACCCCCTCGTCTAGCAGCGGAACTGCTTCCCCTTCCCCTGATGACTTGAAAGAGATGAAGCGTAAGTCCCCTCATCAGCCTTAAGGACCTTCAATAACTCAAGATGACTAATTTTTGAGTATAGGTCAAGATGAGATTGCCTATCTCGCAGACAGACTTGACCTGCCATTTGGCGTCGTCTCTGATATCTTCTACAAAAAGCGTTGTGCGAGTGGTGCAGCAGCAGTTGAGATTCTGGACCAATACATGTCGCAAGGCATTGAGACTCAAGACAAAGAAGGGAAAAAGTATGCTCAGGAACTTGCCGAGAAGTATCAAAACGTCCCGAAGAAATACATGTCGACAATTGTTCAAGTTACTGGTTCTATTTCTCAAGAGGCAGATGACATTGCCGCGCTTGTCAGCAAGCATTTTGTCAAGAACCCATGGACTGAGAAGCTAGACGTTAGCTATCAACTAACACCACTTCCGGAAGAGGAAATCGAAGGATTTGAGACAGTCATGCGAGGTAAGTCGAAGCTAGCCAGACCCGTCTCGGTAGGCATGAACTTTCCCGCCGGACCGTCAGCGTACGCGCAAGCTTCTGAAAGAGCTGGCCAATACAATCGGGCGAAACGTGAGGCAGCTTCTTCGGCGGCATCCTTAAATCGTCGTGGTGCCTCGAACCCGCTCTACCGTCAGGCGGCAGGATACTATTCAGAGCGCGCAAGGGAGCAGGCACGATATGAGATGCATGCTACGTCAACGGCTGCAGATCTACTCGTCGACAAGCAGAGCTCGTCGACCTCTGTTGACTTACACGGCGTCTATGTGCAGGATGGTGTGCGCATCGCTCGCCATAGAGTCCAGTCGTGGTGGACTGGTCTGGGGGAGTTTCGGACTGATAAGGCACGTCAGCAACCGTTTACAGTTATCACTGGGCTTGGCCGCCATAGTGCTGGTGGCGTGTCACAGCTGAGACAAGCTGTAGCCGCGGCTTTGCTTCAGGACGGGTGGAAGATGCAGGTCGAGACTGGACGCTTTATCGTAAAGGGTCGGCGATAAGCGGTATAAGCGATATTCTCTTAATTATTCTTATTTGGTCCTGGAAACTGCCTGCGTTTGATTTGTAATTGGAAGACATCACTTTGAATTATATGGTCACAATTGATTCAGTCTCCAGTTGAGTTTAGTTATTGTATTTTAGCGACTTGATATTGAATACTCGACATATTCGATCAACCGTTCTAGACCCCCAAATATAGAAGAAGAAAAAAAGGCTTACGCAACCTCTGATCCACAAACGAACCCGAAACAGCCATGACAACCAACAGCATGTTTCTACGTCAGCTCTAGCGAATAAACGATGGGCCGTGGCACAGCCGTCACTATGGAAACTCACGCCATGCTGGTTGAGGCTATGCCAGGCATGCACGAAACAGGGCTATTGGCCCATGTCAGCGCTTTGACTTGGCCTTGCAACGGTCAAGAGCTGCGGCGGTTTCCTCTATGGGACGATGGCTGTGAGTGTTGTTTAGTCTATCTGACCTATCGTGATCCCTGGGATCGGCGTCGGATGGTCATTGTGTTATTGTATAAATACTGGGCTGGCTGGGCATTGTGATACTCCAAAATCATTGCTTGTAAGGCTGATCATCAAGAAGAAAAAAGGAAACACGGAAACAATCTTCAAAACTTCGACCATGGCTGCCAAAAACCAGTCATCTCAGGCCTATGAGCCTCTTCCCAGAGAGGACCCTTCTGCTGCTCTTCTCTCGCCCTCCGAGAGGGCGAACTCAGAGGATGGCCAAACGCCCATGTTCAGATTCACCTTCTCGCCCACCTTGGTAGTTCGTTTGTTGACTGTTCCCCTCATCATCACCGACATCGTCTTCCTCTGCATGCCTCAGTACTCTCGCGGTGCGGCTGCTGTGTTCGCCATCTTCGCCATCTTCTCCCTGTTCTGGCACGCCTACCGTATCTTCAACTGCTTCCTCCCCGGCAGGAAGAACAACCAATTCGACTTCAAGATCGGCAGCTTCTTCTGTATGTTCGGCACCACTGCGCCTGGCTCGGGTGTGAGCAAGAGAACAGTATCCTGCCTTGTCAGCGCCGTGGACTTTTCCATCGGACTACTGTTCATCGGTCCCAGCGTTCTGTCCGTAAGAACAGGTATTTGGTACTACAACTCCTCTAATCTCACAGGGTTGAGCATTGCAATTGTGTAAGTCCTTATGTTTCGATGTGATCGGCCTTGCACTGACAATTTTCTACAGAGTCCTACAGTCAGCTATTGCTCTCTTCAACTTGTTCAGTGCATTCCGCAAGATCAAGATTTCTGTGTACATGGGCGAGGAGGAGAATGGCCGTATTCAGCTGAGTGAGGAGCTATTCCGTGACGAAATGTCCGAGCCTCGCGATTCGATGTCTTCTGAGGTCTAAGGCACCAAAGTCAAGTATTGCTGAGAGGTCTTGCTACTATCCACCCCTCTCTTTCAACATCGCGCAAGAACATTGTCTACAACAAAAGACTGAGGGCGTATGAAGGTTTCATAAGCATGGTATAACAAGGCTATGAAGGACTACGCTGTACTGGAGAAATATGTATGATGCAGCCATAAGAGCCGCCGTGCGGCGCTGGTAGGCAGTAAGGTATCGTATGTCGATAGAACAATATAACATGGGCTGAAATGCGTAACGATATAATGCTCCCTTCCGTTCAGTCTACTGCTCCCGTCTTTGGAGCTCTCGTCCAACCTTCTCCCACACAGCCGAGCCAGTGGTGAGAGTAGTAAAGAACATGGCCAGACTGACCAGACCGGGTTCAAGCTTGACCCAACCAACCGTAGTGGTAGGAAGTAGCATGTCAAGAAGGTCAGAAACAAGGGCCCGGACAAGAACAAAACCGTCATTGCCAATCTTTTGCAGCCAAGCACGTCGCTCGGCCTTGCGCTTGGTGACAATGCCCTTAAGACGCTTACGGTCTTGGTCGAGTTCCTCCTTCGAAGTCTTCTCTGAGAGACCCGAGATCTCCTTTTCAGCAGAGACAAGTTCCGCAGTGTTTTCGGTAGAGCTGGTGCTTACACTCTCTCGAGTCACAGAAGCGGGAGTGCTGGCCAAGAGACGATACAACCTGATGACCGTGACAAGAACTGAAGTGTACAATCCAGCGAACCAGAACAGCTGTGACTGGTAATCTATCTCCTTGAGCTTCTCAGGGCTGAAAACACGGAGGTTGTCAATGCCACAGAGATCCAACAGGGTCATAGTCTCCATCATGCCGAACATGCCGAAGCAGGTCTTGCTCACAATCTCAAGCCACACATCAAGGCCCTTATCACCCTGAGCGACGTAGGCCGCCCATCCTGCGCGGAAGGTGTCCAGGAAGCGGAAGAAGCGGATGAAGCGTCGCGAGACGTTGATCTGACCGCCCAGCGAGCGTAGAGAAGCTGTGGACGAAACCTTGGGCTGAACCAGGGCAAATAGAGCCGGATACCACACCAAGAGAGAGCAAGTGGCCTGGAAGAGACGAAGAATTCGCTCGATGCCGACTATAGAGTGGTTAGTTGATGTTGTAGAGGGGTTTATCGAGAGAAAATACCTACCTAGGTCGGTGCCAAAGGCAACTGCATGCTCAAATGTGCTCACCATCTTTGCAAGACAGACAAAAAGACAGCGGTGTGTGAAGCAAGTTGAGAGAATTTCAGATAAGTATTTTACAGATTTATATTCGTCTAATGCAAACAAGCTCAAAAGTACAAACTATTGACCCTAGCTGGTTAGAACAATGCCCGTTGAATAGGCGGTGTTGGGAAGGGTCCATGGGGGCCCAGTATTAGTCCAGTCCCTTCAATCCGTATGGACCCGCGTGATGGGGGTCCTAAAAGAAAGCAGCACAAACAGCAATGGATTATAGATCTGACAGCATGTGTAGAAGTCATGGTCTGAAATTCTATTAATATTTCTACGACACAGCACGGCACTAATATTCTGTACCTAAGCCAGTTTACCAGCCTGGGGACAGTGGACGGGTACTTAAGGAAAGAATAGAGGCGATGAGAGAGTGGTGGTAGATGTGGGCGTTTGCAATGGCGTGGGCAAGCCGAGAAATGACTTCACATGGTATCAAACAAACACAACGCTGGCCTCAAAGGACTTACTTAACCAACTCTGACTCCCATTTAACAATAAGTAAATATAACACAGGGCATCTACCTAATAGTCGTAGTTATGCACAAGTACGATGCAATACACATCAATCCTAATTCTCTCTCCCTCTTATTGACCCTTTTATACTCAAGACATCAATTATTGACCGGGAGACACCAGCTTTCCTTGGGACTTCGCATTATGATTCCATCCACCAGCCAGAGCCTGACCACCATTCTCCCGAGAGAACTGCTGGATACGAGCCTCAAGCTCAGGTCGGAAATGTCGGATGAGACCTTGGATGGGCCAGGCAAAAGCCTCTCCCAGAGCTGGAAAAACAATTAGTACAGTTACACAGAAACCTTTGATAGGAAAACATACCGCAAATAGTGTGGCCCTCAACCTGCTTGGTGAGCTCCTGGAGCATGTCAATCTCACGCTCACGGGCCTGACCGTTCTCGAATCGCTTCATCATCTGCTCCGTCCACTTGCTACCCTCTCGGCAGGGTGTGCACTGGCCGCAACTCTCGTGGCGGTAGAAGTGGCTGAGACGGCTGATGGCTCGGACAATATCGGTGCTCTTGTCCATGACGATAACAGCGGCCGTTCCGAGACCAGACTGGCTGTCCTTGAGGGCATCAAAGTCCATCAACTGGTCATCACAGACAGACTTGGGAAGAACGGGAGTGGAAGAACCACCGGGAATGACGGCCAAAAGGTTGTCCCATCCACCTCGAACACCACCACAGTGCTTGTCGATCAGCTCACGCATAGGAATCGACATCTCCTCCTCAACGGTACAGGGGTTGTTGACATGACCGGAGATACAGAAGAGCTTGGTTCCCTGGTTACGCTCACGGCCAAAGCCAGCAAACCAGCTTCCTCCTCGTCGGCAAATAGTAGGGGCAACGGCCACAGTCTCGACGTTGGTGACAGTAGAAGGGCATCCGAAAAGACCGACAGCGGCAGGGAACGGAGGCTTAAGACGAGGCTTTCCAGGCTTTCCCTCGAGAGACTCAATCAAAGAAGTCTCCTCACCACAGACGTAGGCACCGGCACCTCGGTGCAGGTAGACATCGAAATCGTAACCGGATTCACAGGCGTTCTTTCCGATCAGGCCGGCGGCGTAAGCCTCGTTAATGGCTCGCTGAAGAACAGCAGCCTCCTCGACGAATTCACCACGGATATAGATGTAGGCAGCGGTCGCGTTCATGGCTCGGCCAGAGATGAGGCATCCCTCGATGAGCTTGTGTGGGTCCTTTCGCATAATCTCACGGTCCTTGCAGGTTCCGGGCTCACCCTCATCGGCGTTGATGACGAGGTAACGGGGCTTGTCGTCCTTGTCCCAGTCCTTGAAGTTCATGAAAGACTACCGAGCATTGCGTTAGAGACAATTGATGCTGGCTCGGCCTCTTGGCCCGTCAACCCAAACTTGGAGAAACCTACCCATTTGAGACCCGAGGGGAAACCAGCACCACCTCGACCTCGGAGACCAGAGGCCTTGACCTCGCTGATGATCCAATCGTGACCCTTGAGGATAATCTCCTTGGTCTTGTGCCAGTCACCCATCTTCCTGGCGCTCTTGAGGTCGACGGGATATCGGTTGTAAAGGTTCTGGAAAATGCGATCCTGGTCTCGCAGACATCCGTATGTTCGCTTCGGGGCGCCGTCCTGGACAGTAGCCAGGCCCCTCACGGCGGTCCGTGAGAGGCCGACGGCCTTCTTGGGCGCCGTTCTCGTGGACAGCATTGTGCTCGATCGTTGATCGTTTTCGGGTGGAGGGTGGGAGATGGTTGAACGTCAAGTTGCGGCACTTCAAGTTTCCCGGGCAAGAGATCCATTTCGTGACCAGGCGGTTCAGAAATAGCGGGCTAGTGATTGGCCAATCCATTACGCGATTATTCAGCCACTCGAGTTAGCCAGGACTTACTCCACACGCGATGTCTCACCAATTCAAAAGTCTTCTTTAACAGATCTGTTAAGCACATTTATTGACTTTCGCCCCTAGTTGCCTTCCAAGTGTCATAGATCCCTGACAATTCTTGCATAACGTAATCATCCGAGGCAGGCTTTCTATTCGATGCTGTCGATCTGCGACATCGCAACACCAGCCAAACTATCACCGGCGTCAAATACGAGCTTCACTTTGGCCTCCTTTGTCGTTTTGTTGAGCAATGAGTAGCTTCAAAACATAGGAACTTGTGCGATGATAACCTGAGTCGCCTTCATCATGTCTAGCAAAAGACACTCCGTTCTTCCCGCTATCGATCGCAGCGGCCCTAGACCACCCGTCCATTTCTCCTCGTCCCTGACCATCTCCGACAATGCGATCCTTCAAGGCACACATTCGATTACTATGCAGACAGAAACTGTAATACATCCGCGATCAAGATTTGAGTCGAACTTCGGACCTATCCTTATTGGACGACGCTGTCTTGTTCACGAACGAACGCACGTAGGAGCTCGCCCCGCTGATACTAATAATGCGAAGCCTGGTGGCATAGCGTTGGCGGACTATGTCACAATCGAGGCTGGGTCAGTCATTGAAGCAGGCGGAACTGAGATTGGTGAGGGTTCTGTGGTTCATGCTGGATCGACTGTAGGAAGCGGTGCTAGAATCGGCAAGGTAGATATGAACCTGTTCAAGCTTCATGAACAAGAAGCTGACGATTTCGAGAACTGCACCATTACGCAAATGTCCAACATAGCCCCCGGAACAGTGCTGCCAGACAACACAGTAGTCTTTTCGAACGGCACGAGACGAATCGATCGACGTGATCTTTCTGACCAGAGGAAGGTTGCTTTGGTCAAGCAACTCGCAATTTTGCGAAAGATGATACCGAGCAATGCGGATAAATTCAAATAAAGATACCCATGAATAAAAAAGTTGTACTGAATACGCTGTTTGTTTCAGACTAGCTGTTTGAGTGCGCAAGTCAGAAATACTGCCGCTTTTTACATGTGACAACTCTAGAGATCCAATAGTCTGAGTATTCAAGACTCCATCAATATCTGAGTAGCAGCATCGCATTATCGGGTAACCTATCGCTTTACTCTGTATCACCAAAGCTGCGATAGCTCATCTTGGTCGCCGAAGGTACCACTATGCTGTAGTTGCAGGGAAGAGTTTGAGACCAGTTCTTTGTAATTCGGGATTAGAAATAAATTTGGGGTATAATAGTAACAGAAACAAACAAGGTTCGAAATGGAAATAGCTAAGATATCATCAGGAATATCACCCATCGTTTACCTTCTTCGGTCTCTCTGAAATAAGGCCAACCCTGTAATCACCACCATGATAGCCCATCTCTCTCCAAGAAGTCCCGTCAAACCTGTCCCCATGAACCGAAAATGGGCAACCTTTGTCAGACTTCTTCCACTGCCCATAGTCCAAGCCGCGACAACTTCATTCCCTCGGCTGTCTCTAAACCCGCCCGGCGCAAATGGCACATTTCCTCCCCCTGGAGGACCATTAGAAAGTCTGACCAGTTTCCATCCGTAGTGATGGCCCCCCAATACTGCTACTGCATCGCCACTGGAGCGCCTCCATTCGAAACTCTCTCGAGGCCCGTTTCCGCCTGGTCCGACTTCTATAGTGAAGGTAAAGCCTGTGCCAAGACCGCCGTGAGAACCAACTGGTCCAACTGCCTCGCGTGCTAACGGAGCTCCTGAGCCTGGAACGGGAGGTAACTCGACTTCAAAACCAACGCTCATGAACATGAAGTTCGCAGAAGCCAGCGGTTGGTAGGACGGGTCTGGGCCAGAATGCAACAGAACCGGGGGCAAGTCTGTCAGGCCGGAATGTGCGGAATAGAGATACAGAGGATGAGTTTGGTGTTCAGCAAGGATAAAGCTATTATTGGGCCAGCCTTGGTAATAGAGATTAAATGATGGTGGGAACTGGCGAGGAACAGACCCAGCAGAGGCTGCTTGACTAGGACCGGCAGTTGGCGGAGGATGAGCTTGTGACGAAGATGAAGCTGGCTCGAATGCTGGTGGTGCTACTGGTGGTGCGGCAGGGTTTTGGTGTTTACCCTGACTTTCGTCGTATGAAGGCGGAGGCTCGTCCGGGACAGAGGAGGGATTAGATGGTGCTGTTCTCCCCAAGAGACCCATGATTGCAGATGTGTTTGTGATGTACTTAGAAGGTGTTGGCCACCCTATTGTGTTGATGGTACCGTCTAATATTAAGTAATAGGATGAGTTGTAGCGTATAAGGTCGCTGTATTATAAAAGTTCGAGAGAAGCAGCTTGGTAGTTCACCGTTTAGTTTGGTGCAATGATTAAATGATCAGGCATAATATTCACAGAAGCTATTGAACCTTCAACAAGAGCAGACATCAGGTTTGTTATAAGCCAAGCGTTTAGGTTGATGCCGAAGCCGAAAGCAGTGACATCAGCTCTTATGTGGCTGTGAGCTTTAATTGTGGCTATGCTGGATCTCGTATCGATTTATGCAACCTCGGTATTTGACGGCAGTTATGCACAAAGAAATGAGGATGGCCCGTTATAAACGGTCATCATCTGCAGTGTAACGGTATCGGACAGTATGTGGAGGAGAGTCAGAATACGATCCAAATCGACTCTGCATGACTTGGGCAGCGCCAAGACATCAAATCATTAGATGCTGATCCCTGAATTAGGGGTGACTTACGGAGCTCCGGATGTGCTGGAATGAATGGGGACACAACAAGTCGTAAGATATACAGACGACGGAGTATATATAGAACTATTCCGGGGAAGTCGGCTCACAAGAGCCCGTCACCGTACCCACCCCTAGCTAATGAAACCAAGGTTAAACTACATTTGTGATGACGATAGTAGATGAATAATGGCATGTTGAGACCAGTAGAAGTGACACGTGCGTGAGTATCATGATGGGAGTGACTGGATCACTCATATGTGGTTTTGGGAGCTGTGCAGTGTATTCTATTGCGTGCTAATCATGATACTCCATAGGTTCTATAAAACTTCTGTATTTCTATATCCTCGTAACAAAAGCATTGTTTCGTCATTTCTATATAAATCCAGACCCTTTCTTGGTGCAAAACACCCCATAAATCAATACATGATGCTAATACAAAGCTATGCTAAAAGACATAAACCACCGTCTCCATTCCTATAGTTATCGCTAATATAACATTATGCCAAAATCAAGTAATATGCAAATGCAAAACTTTTAATAGAATTGATGCAGTGAAAATCCAATGCTGATACTGATGCTGCGCTAAATTCGACATAAACAAAACTAGATTAGAAACTGAACAAGGCACTACGGCGCTTGCCCAGAGGGTAAATGAGTAAGGAGCTCATGAAGAGACCAACGGCAATGCCGATGGCGATTTGAATCATGGAGGCAGCAACACTGAACACCAGGTTGTCTGGGTTAGAGCCCTGCTGAAACTGGACTGAAGAAGTTCCGTTGATTTCACCACTTGCGTTGGTGATGGAATTGGCCACTTGCAGACCGCTGAGCAATCCTCCAGTGGAAGCAAGACTTCCAGGAACTTGACAGAATACAGCGGGAATGAGAATTGCTGCTGCAACACCGTGTCGGATTCGAGAGTAGAGGTTGGCGAGCAGGCCGACGGCCAGGGCACCGAGCGTGCTGGAGATCTGGGGACTGGACTTGAACTTCTGGCCTGACCAGTAGTTGACCATGTAGCCTGCAAAGGAAACAAAAACCATGACGGGCATCTGGCGCCATTTGGCTTGGTAGATGATGCACAGGCTGATGACAAAGGGGGGCACAAAGATGAAGCCGTAATAGGGGTTCATGGCGTCTGGGCAAGTTGTCGTGTTGGACGGCTCCGAGTTGAACAATCCGTAAAGAGCTGCGCCCACGGTGATACCGAATCCGAGAAGAAGGGAGTAGATGACGGCGTATACTATTCGAATCGAACCGGGGACAATGGCGCGAGACTGGAGTTCGAGAGCAGAGCATACTAGTACGATGTTAGTTAAGCCGTCTTATTTATAAGGGGGATGGGTGCTTGACTTACAAACCATGTAACCAGGCAGTAACATGACAATACCGCCCTGGGCCAACGCGCCGAAACAAAAGATCTCCTCTCCGCCGCTCTTGATACTGCCAAAGGTTCTTGCCAGGAAACTGACAATGATGGTGGAGGATACCTCGAAGACGTTGCTGTAAAGGGCAGAGTTGGGAGCCACAATGAGCTGCAGCACTCCGATCAGACAGCCAAAGGCGAAGATGAGAGGGAGATCGATGAGGCGGGCGCCAAAAGAGAACGGAGAAGCTGTGACACTCATGACCCCGAACATGACAACTCTGAGCCACTTGTGGAACTTGTCCTTGCGCTTCATCAGGGTATCGAGCTTCTCGGCTGCCTCCTCAACTCCACAGACGTCGTGCATGACCTCCTTGTAGATCAGATGTACATCCTTCAACTTGCCCAGGTCAATACCCTGTCCGGTTCGGACGATCCTGACTTCGGTTGTGTGGGTGGACTTGTCATCGAATGAGATGATCATACATCCTGGCAGGTAGAGAAACTGGCCGTCGATTTCGAGAACTCTGGCTGTCATGCTGAGATACTCCTCCAATCGATGGGTAGGAGCTCCGAATAGCATAAGAGCACGGCAGAGTCTGATGATGTAGTCCTGCCGAGCCAGAGTCTCTGCAATATGGACTGTAATACGCGCTTCTTGCTGCTGCCAAAGTCCACTCAGTCGGTTTGCGCTGTGGGTTCGTCTCTGACCTGGTCTCTGGGGTTTCTTTCCGTTCTTCTTGGCCTTGTCTGCCGAATCGTTGGGGTTGACGGGGTTGGCAAGTCGCGATGAGGCTTCGATAAGATTGGCGAGAGTATCCTGGGACTTGTTCTGGTCGTACCATTTGCGCTTTGGGGTAGAGGCTCCGGATGGTGTGCCTTGGACAGTGGGTGTGCCATCGCTTATCACGGAAGATGCAGAGGCGGCTCGGTGATGTGTGCCCTTGAATGAAGGCTCAGGAGGCTTGTAAAGCTTCAGAAGCTGTGATAGTACACTTCCACGGTACTGCTCTGGGGCAGGGACATCGTATAACACTCCGTCAAAGTTTCCATCGTTCAGTTCAGTCAGGGTGCGTTCTTCGTGCTGTTTTCCTTTGTCGGCCGGTGAACTCTGGCCAGTGCTACTGCTTGGTCCGAAACGCATGGTGTGTGCTCGGACAAGGTTGAAAGCCTCGTCTTTCAAGCCATGGCCCTCTTTGTCCTCGGAAGGGAGCTTGTGGAAACCTTCTCGGCTGCTACCAGATTCGTCAAGAGTTTGGAGAGGGATGCCAGAGCCATATGGACTATCAAAGGCGGGTGTTCCGGTGCTGGACTCAAGAGAGTCTCTGTCTATGGCAGATGAATCATTGTGGATGTTTGCTGCCATTATACGAGCACGCTCCTGTGCTGCAACCATTGCCTCTTTTGACTCTGGATCCGACTCATCTTCGGCATCTTTGAGTGTCTTTACAACTTCTGCAGAGCTGCCGCGCAGGAGTGAAGGTCTGGGCTTGGAGATGGTTGCTTGAGCAGCTGGAGGCGGGACTGAGGCTGTAGTAGGAGGATGGGCAGCAGCATTACTGTTGAACCTCACGCGTGCCTTGTCTTTCCTCAGAGCCGCCGCAGCCGTTCTAGGACTTGGTGGTGTTTCGGTGCCGGCAATAGGCTTGGGTAGTTCAGGGCCAGGTTCGATGTCTGGCTCGTCTTTGATATCTCGAGAAGAGCCCTCCATTGGATTTGTGAGTGACGGTGGTAAACCTTAATTTGAGTGTAAGTAGTCGATTGCCTGTGATAACGAGCGAAGGGGAAAAGATGGGACTATGATGAGAAGATGAACAGGGATAGCTATACTGGAGAGCCTCAAGGAGTACGCGGGGAACAAGTCCCGTAAGAAGACGGGTTACGTTATTAATATATAAGATCCAGTTGAAGGGGCCCCATCCATCAGCATCAGTGTCAGTCTAGCACTGGAATTCCTTTCTCACTCCCAGTGTGTACGACTAAGACGGACCCTGACCATCTCGGCTCGTACTGTACGGATACAAAAGCCGATACATAGGCCGCGTGACGTCGGCGGTGGAGGCTCAATGCCATAAAGAGACAAAGAGGGAGGGACTCGAGTCTAGAAAGTCTTGGGGCTCTTGCGGGCTTCTGCGAGCTCATTGCGAAACCGCTTGGTCCAAGTTTTTGTTATGTAATTCGACTCCAGCATCACGACGTCGTGGCCATCGGGAGACCCTCCGACCGGCAGTCCGGGGTTTAAGAACCCACTCTGCCACTCCATGGAAAAGACTAAACAGGCTCATGACTCTTGATTGTTCTATTTCCATTCTAAAGGGGGGCCGGGCTGCCGGGGAAGAAAGAAAAACCACGTTAAGGAGGCCAAGTGTCAAGGGAAGAAGCGATAGACTCTTGATCCAGAATCCAGATTCAATCAAGGGAGATTCATTCATCACCTTTTCTTTCGCCTATTATTAAGAAAAAACTCTTCCATAGCCGTTCGCCTCGGGGTACGGATACTAGTGTTTTGTTTCTGTCAAGGCTCAAAAGACTTTGTAGGTGGCCTGCCGGGATGGGAAAGGTGTCTCGGCAGCCAATGCAAGACTCGTCTCTTCTTTACCCAATGCGGTAATATTCTAGTGGATCGATAGGTACCTGCAGGGACTTGTTTAGATTCGCCCAATGACGCTTGTTACCGAGAAATGCCATTGCCATTGCCATACCGTTACCATGCAGCCCAGCTAAGATCCCATGGATGCTACCCACGTACAACGAACGACAAACGGTCAAGCTGGTGACATTCAAAACGCTGGCCCTTGCACAAATAAAACATATTATATATAGATTGGCATAAAGTAGTACAATGGTATGTATTCGTATGACATCTATAGGTTCAAACGTGGATATAGCCAAAACGTCAACAGTTGCGTACGCTTCGGCATTCCATGAAACCAAGTGGACTCCAAGTCACCCAAATCTCCAGATATATAAGAGTGTGATACGACATCCGCACACGCATCAATAGGCGACGCGCAATTGCATACCCGCATTAAATCAGCTCCTGTCTCTCAGGACACTCAGTCACTCAGTGTGCCATGGCATCCTCAAACAGTCTCCGTAGCTGGTCTTTCTCTGCCTCGAGCTGCGTGGACAATCCTGGTGCCAGCATCAACACACGTGCCTGGGGAATCGTTCCCTCGACAAGGGCCTCGATGTGTTCCGTGCCAAAGCCTAGCTCTCTAAGCCCCTTGGGCTGGTCACCTAGATCCGCTAGGAACTTGGTAATGGCCTCCGCGAGAACCTCGCCCGCGCTCTCTCGCTTCACGTTGCTAATATCCACCCCGAATGCTTCTGCAGCTTGCAGATGGCGCTCTGGGTTGGATGCCGCCGTGAAGCGAAAGACTGCTGGCGCAGACACCGCCACAGAGACACCATGAGGAATAAGGGGCGACGCTACCTCGTAGCCATCGTGACTATAGCCCGGGTTCTGGCCAGAAATTGGATAGGACATGCCTGGGCTCGAATTAGCTTCCAGCAGGGGGACGCAAGATATAATAAAGTATGCACTAACCGTGACAGAGATGTACGCCGGCATTACCGAACCCAACGCCAGCCAGGGTCGATGCCAAGAGCATTTCAGATTGGGCTTCTAGATCGTCAGGGTTCTTGACGGATCGTGGGAGATACTTGACGGTGGCACGAAGAGCATGGAACGAAAACACATCAGAGATGGGGTTCGCGCCTTGGTACGCCGGTCGAAGAATGGGATTTGTTGGTCTGGGAGTTCGCTCGTTGTATGGGATGGCAGTCCAGGACTCAAGTGAATGGCACAGAACATCAAGACCTGACGATGCCTTGACAGCAGCTGGCATGGTTCTTGTGTTGAGAGGATCACAGATACCAAGTGTGGGCTTGAGGTTTCGATGAGCGACTCCAGTCTTTGCTCGCTTGGACACAAGATCAAAGATGGCGGTTCCTGTCGTCTCACTACCTGTGCCAGCTGTCGTAGGAACGGCAATGAGCGGCGTCAACTTCTTTTCTATGGGAAGGCCCTTGCCGAGAGGGGCATTGACAAAGTCTAGGAAGTCGGCGTCAGGATATGCTGTGTACAGGTTCATGAGCTTGGCTGTGTCGATGACTGAACCACCACCAACGGCAAGGAAAGCATCCGGTGCGTAAGGGCGAGCCCAGGCGATAGCTTCCTTGATACTGCCCTACTGTAAGTGACCTGATTTCAGACGTTGCATTATGAAGTTCAACTCACGAGCTATCCTTTGGCTCAACGCGAACTTTGGAGTACACCTCAAAGGGAATACCCTCTCGGGTGAGAGCCTCGCGGACCTGTCTCATAGCATCCAGCTTGTTGACGGTCTCATCGGTTACCACGCAGACACGCTTCGCCCCCATGTTCTTCAAGTCCATGCCGACCTCCTGCGTCACACCGGGGCCAAACCTGATGGATGAAGCAGCCATCTCAAAGGCGTACTCCTTCTGGCCTGGATGGGTGGTAGGCGTGGCATACTTGCGCTGGTGAGCATGCCTTGATGGAGTGAAAGTTGGTGGCGATTGATGATATCCCGGGTTTGAGTGGCAGGGACATGAAGGCGGGTGCGTATACTGAATGGTGCGTAGCAAGCTTGTAGCTCGCTTGGCGGCCTATAGTAAATCGATGTAAGTTATCTTGGAGTGAAACATCTAATTCGACATGAAGCAATTGGCCCAATTCCTTTTGTCTTCGCCTTGGGATTATCACATACGTTGGGAACAGCTCTTATGGAGGGTACCATGATGTAGAGTAGTTGATACCGCCAAGTTACGTATTGGAGCACGAATGTGTTATCAACAAGGATCTGAAGTCAGCCTGGGATACGAGATGCACACAATTCTTCTTATGAGACAATGGCAACGAGTAGAGATTAAGAATAGCTCTTCCCTTTTGTATGTACAACCTCGGTTGACGGACGTCCAAGCCCGATTGCGGGGTGAACCAAGGCCGATCTGGGGGGCCGATGATGGGGGTTGATTCGTGAGGGGAAAGCGGATCTTGAGGTCTTGGAACTTGTAAGGAAGCTGGAGCGAGAAATTGCCTAATTGGGTATTTCACTGACGTCTTGTCTTCCATTGTTGGTGTACAGTATAGCAACAAGTCGCAATTGCTGGACGTCATCGGGGCTATCTCAAGTTGATGGCGAGTTTTGTAAATGCAGCGCAAATGCCACTCAATGAAAGGAACATACAGAACAATGCTTCAGTTCTCTTTCCATCCCCAAAAGAGCAGAAAACCAAAACATCATATTCCACAACTTGTGACACAATATTAATGAACTCTTACAGTGACGCTCTAGTCTAGTGGATGTTGGAATTGGCACAAGTGATTAAGCTACCCGATACCGATATACAAGCATCATCGATCCCTCAGTACCTACTAGGTAATCGCTATTCCTAATGTTGAACAGCTTTCTAATAATGACTGCGGAAATGTTATTGATTTCCAAGGTGGCACTAAATCATTACGTAGATGAACACTTGGTCATTACCCTCTTACAGCTTTGCAGTGTGACAGTTATTGCCGTGGAGAAACGACAGATCACTTTCACTTTAAACGTTTTATTTAGCATTCGTAGGATAGAGACTGAGACCACCTAAAGTTGTACCAGCTTGGCCATCGGTTAGAACTCCTCCGAAAGCGTCGCTGAATGGAAAAGGAGCTTCCGGGTTCGGGTCAGGTTGAGATGGAACTGTATCTGTAACAAATCAAGCTGCAACGCCATCTTCAAACGTGGCGTATAATACCACTGACTTCATCATGTGGCTTGCCTATTGGCTGTAGGCACATGACTTTTGATAATGTGGCTTACAATCATAGTATTCCTAGAACTTTCAATTTGGATTGAACATTTATACAAATTATTGATCACAAGGAATTGAATCAGAAGAGAGTTTAAGAAATATCTTAAAAGATCTTACTAATTAAAGCGTGGTGCATAGTAGAAACAATAACCGTTAATAGGTACTGCCTTCAGCTCCAAGCTGTGGTGGAGCATCAGAGGCAGGTACGCAGCCTAAGCACAAGCAGGTGCCCACCTCAAACCTCCACATCGAAATAGGGAACCTCCAGCCACATTGACCTCGACGACTTGTCCTCGAATCAACGTCCAACCATCATATCAGTATTCAACCTACACCATCGACTTGACACGGCCACGCTATATAACGCGCTTTTAAACTGCGCCGCCTCTCGCTCGACAAGTCCGCTGATCCCCGCGGGAACATTTGATCCGTTGCTCGATTGAACATGCCTCCTTGCTCATCTTGATGCCTCTCCGTGTTACCCTTCCTCGAACTCTGTCATGGACCGCGCAAATGGGGGCGGGCCCGGCGCGGCTGCAGCTACCAGCAGGGCAGAGCGCTTCGAGGATGAGAAGCGCCGTATGATCGAGAGCTGCTTCAATAAGAAGGATGTCGATGGTTCCCGTAAGTCTTGCTATTGTTGTCCTTAAGTCAGCTCCCAACAGCTTGAGCTCTAAGCTCGATGAGCCCTCAATGTTGCGAAAACCCGGCGATGAAATTATTCTTCGCATATGTCAACCCAACTGACCGAATCACTAGTTCTTGAAACCTACATCACCCATATCCGCATCACCGAATACGCTGCCTATCCTACGACCCCTCCTCCACCCCAGGCGCGGACTGGCGAAGGACAGAAACCTCGAATAATTATCGTAGCTGTGCGCAAGTCCGGCCGAGTGCGCCTACACAAATCCAAAGAGAACTCAAATGGAACGTTTTCAATCGGCAAGACATGGAACCTTGACGATCTCACCCGCATAGAATCCTATACTGGCCCCGAGACAAGCCCCAATTATCGCGACTGGGCTGGCGACACCGGCTTCCAGGTCACACTCGGCAAGCCCTACTTCTGGCATGCCCAGACGGATAAAGAGAAGAAGTTCTTCATCGCAAGTCTGATCAAGATCTATGGAAAATATACGGGCGGAAAGACGCCGGAGCTTGCAGGGTTTGAGCAAAAGGAGTATGAACAAGTCATGGGAGCTACAAGACGACCAGCTACCGGTGGTTCAAGGCCGCCGCCACCTGCGTTGCCTGAACAAGCCACGGTTCAGACAGCAAACGCCCCTCGTCCTATTCATCCAATGCACCCTTCGCATCAAGGACAACAAGGTCACCAAGGATCTCAGGGACACCAAGCTGCTGGTCCTCAAGATGTACCACAGTTTAGGACGCCACCTGTTCGCCCAGCACACCCAAACCTTGGCCCTTCGCCCGTTGGAAGCTTTGACTCAAGTGCTTCTAGAGAAAGACCGCCTGCACCTCGATGGATGGCTCAGAGCAACAAGAGCCAGGATTCAGTTGCTACGTCTTTCAGAAGTGATGATGGATCTAGCTTACCACCTCGCTCTCGTAACGGCGTAGGCGGACAAGGAGCATACGGGAGATTCGGAGAGGCCCTTGATCGAACACCAGCCGTCCTTACGCCCCCTCAACCTCCATCTCAATCTCAATCTTCTCCTAAATTGCAGCCACCAGCTATTCTCTCACCCCCACAACCGCCGCAACCCGTCCCCTCACCTCTTCAACTAGATAGACCGCCTCCTGAAAGACGTCGACCACCCATGGATCCAACTCGTCCTCATGATCGAGACTTGGTGCCCCCACCACTGATTAGTCCTGGAAATAAGGAGCCAATGGCTCCTCCGCCACGCAGCAGTGAGCGTGTTGTGCCAAGAATGGACAATGCAAGTCAAAAGTCTTCAACCAATTCGTTCACCGGTAGCACCTACGAACGAGATAATCCGCCGCCCACAGGAAGATTGCCAGACCCACCAAAGCGCGAGCCACTTCCTATACCAGCATCTCTAATGCCAGGGTCACCACCTAAGCAGCCGCCTTCATATAACTCCAATTCTGCGGCAGCTCAGCCGCTAACCAACAAGCCAAGTTATACTCAAAGTCCGGGTCAACCTTATGGATCTATTCCTGCACCAGCTCGTATGAATAGCCCAGGGCCGGGCCGTATGAATAGTCCAGGACCGGGCCGTATGAATAGTCCAGGACCGGCTCGAATGAATAGCCCAGGACCGACTCGAATACCTAGCCCTGCACCAGCACCAGCTCCAGCCCGTGGTCCCAGCCCTTCAGCAGCCCACACACCCAGCCCTGCACTGGCTCTCTCCCCAGGTTCAGGGGCAGGCTCTTCAGATGTCTCGCCGATGACAGTAAGCGTGCCCAGGTTTGCAAGCATGCAACAACCACCTCCTGAGCTACCTAGTCAAGAGCCATCACAACCAGTAGATGAGCCATCACCAGGAGAACGCCCGGCAGAACATTCTGATGTTGACTCCAACCCCTCGCCCGGTGACTCAAGCGATGTGTCTAAGCCTGGCCTGGGTTCTATGATAAAAGTCAAGAAATCCAGAAATGAGATAGCGGGCGCGTTTTGGAAGGCTGCCTCTGCAGCAAATGCCGCGACTGCATTTAAACCCAGACCCGGTGGTGCTGGAGAACGCCTGCGTCTGTTGAAGGGCAAACCAGAAGAGGGCCCTGATGGAATCAGCGGAGTTGTCCCTGCGCCTCCCAAGCTGATTTCAAGAGACACTGATACACCTTCCGAACAACCCACGCCTGAAGAGACGCCCAAGGCTGAAGAGGAACTTAAGAAACTGGAGCAACCCAAACCCGCAGAGCAGCCCAAGTCTTCGAACCGCAATTCCCTTATTCCTGAAGTCAAGATCAGCGTCCCAACAAGTAGGCCTGCCAGCTCGTATGGTCCGCCGCAGGAAGTTCAAAAGCCAGCTGAGCCTGAAAAGAAAGAGACTCGTCGCTCCATCAACGCCGGGAATGATATGAAATATCTTCAAAGCCTGGGAATCAACCCTTCCATTCTCGACGAAAGGAGCGAGGAGTTTGCTCAATGGCTCGATTACTTTGGATGGATCCCAGGAGATCAAATGCGAACGCGCAATGTTGAAGATATGAGAGCTGACCTGGAGCGTGAGCTCAACAAAGCTCAAGCTGGTGGTTGGCTGGCTCGTTTCCGCGAGGAAGACGAGCGTGTCGATGCAATTAAAGCAGGACTCGATGTTGCCATGGCCGAGTGTGAGGAACTGGACAATTTGCTCACACTCTACTCAGTCGAGCTTTCGGTACGTTCCTCTTACAAGCATATTAAATCTTACTAACATTGAGCAGACCCTGTCAGAGGACATTGCCTATATCGAAGCTCAAGGTCAAGGTCTTCAAGTGCAAACCGCGAACCAAAAGCTACTCAAGAAAGAACTCGAATCCTTGCTTGAGACTTGTGCTATTACATCAAACGAGCTTGAAGTACTCCGATCCGCGCCCTTGGACGACATGCGTGGCCTGCAGGATGTTGAGTCTTCTCTTGTGACACTCTACAAGGCAATGATCAAGATCGACCCGACTCGCAGCGGAGCTGATCAGGAGAAGGTGGACGTCACGGTGGAGACAAACCAAAGCCATGGCCTCAACCCCGACTTCAAACAGATGCGCATTGTTCAGGAGAAGAAGCTGGTTTACGATCAGGAAAGTGCCATGTTCATTGGCAGATTTGTCGCTTTCATGTCACGACAATTTGACCAAGCCTTTACAGAGACAAAACTTGCTATGGAAGGAGCCTTATCAAGAAAGGTTGACTCGACACATCACGATCTCGGTCGTGATACTCTCTGGCAATTTAGTCCTCTCATGCTGTATGCTCGAGATATGCACATCGATGAGTGGAACCAAGTTATACAGATTTACCAAGACAAGAGTCAGCCAGTATATCGTGTCGAGTTTCAGGCTGTGGTTGCAGCATGGCGTAGGAATGCCAGGAAGCTGAACGGAGACGAGGCCGACCTCCTATTCTCAACACAGGCCGAGAAGCAACAAGAAGGAGGCGTGGCGACAACTGCCAGGAAGTTGACGGTCAAGCGTAGCGGGACTTTGGCCAGGGCCCTCCGCTCCCCTCGTGAAGACGGTGGACACAAGGCCAAGGTTGAGAAGACAACAACTGACAGCAGAGACTTTCCTTACGAGGTTTTTGGGGGAGTGTTGGATGATCTGCTTCCTCTGATGCAGATGGAACAAAACTTCATCGTCGATTTCTTCCATGCAACAACGCTTGAGCAGATCGATTTCCCCGATGCGGTCGCCACAACACTGCCCGATGACAGAGGAGGTACTGATCTAAAAAGACCCCGACTGATGGAACCGGACCGGGAGCTAGCCAGGCGCATTTTACGCGCGATGGAAGTCATCTTTACGTTCTTGGAGGGAGAACTGCTCCGCCTCATGGAGTGGGTTGTTGGGCAAGATCCGCTGTAAGTTCAAATCTCCACATCATAATTGCGACCAACGCACTGACAATTATCTAGACAGGGCATTGGTGTCCTCGCGACTTTGGAAAAGCATACCGTTGAAGTTAGTCAATCCAACCAAGAGTATCTTCATACTCTCCTGCAAAAACTTCATGGGCATTTGGAGGTGCGGTTCAAAAAATTCGTTGACGAGCAGCTTCGGGCCATCGAAGAAACAAAGGTCAAGATTAGCAAGCGAAAGGGTGTCATCTCCTTCATCCGCATCTTCCCTCACTTCTCGTCTGCTGTGGAGAATATGTTGAACGGCGTTGATTCCACGCTAGCAGCTCGAAGTACTATTGATCGCGAGTATGACCGAATACTTAAGACCATGTTTGACTCGCTTATGGTTATTGCGCGAGAAAATCCCGCTGTCAGCGTGACAAGCGGTTCTGCAGACCCAGAGGACAAGGAAGCTCTCAACTTCCATATCTTGTTGATTGAAAACATGAACCATTTCATTGAAGAGACGGATACACGGGGACTGGATGTACTTGATGAATGGAGGGATAAGGCCATCACGGCATACCAAGAGCATATGGAACTGTATCTCAATGCAGTCATGCGACGACCACTTGGCAAGGTTCTGGAGCACCTTGAGAATATGGAAGCCCAGTTACAAACGGGCAAATCGCCCGCATCAATTGCTGCGCAGCCTTCTAACAGCAAGACGGTTTTCAACAAGGTTCTGGGCAACTACGATTCCAAGGAAATCCGCAAGGGCATTGAAGCGCTACGGAAGCGTGTTGAGAAGCACTTTGGTGATGCCGATGACCCAGCCCTGAGCCGGGGATTGGTGATTAAGGTGTTGGCAGAGTGCGAAAGTTTCTACGAAAGGGTCGAGAGACGAGTTGGCGATGTGACGACCGATGTATATGGTGGAGATGTCCTTTTTGAGTGGCCAAGGGCTGACGTCAAGGCTGCTTTCCGTTAAGTTCAGGTGTTAAGAGTGAATGGGAACATGATCAGATGAATCTATTATATGATTACCATAGTCTATATTGGCGTACTTGATCAGCGACGGAGGGTAAACGAGGCGTGTTTCGTGGTATAGGGGGCACGTCGAGCGTTGAAGGTATGGGCTTTAGTATATCTCGATATAATTACCCCTATGGCCGAGTGATTCTTCTTCCATGCCAGTGAGCGTTTGATATATCATATGTGAAGGCTTGAGTCGCAATTCAGCTGCTATACTCCGTACTAACAATAGGACTCGCTGTTGAAACATTGAGACGCGCTTGATTAATGGGGTGTCAATAGTCTTCCACTCTACGCGACAAGACGCGTCGCGATCTTACACACGCCCAACATGCCCTGGCAAGAGCATACGCCACTTAACGCCCTTGGGCTCGAGAGCTCCACCCATCATCGACCTCGACATCGATGCTGCCAACGCCGTTCTAACATTAATCTCTACCACAAACAACATGCCGACTATTAGATGTTGTTTTACTTGAACGAGCCTTGTACCTTATGTACAAACTTGTCAAACATCTCCTGAACCACCATCATGACACCCAAAACCCGCTCTGGCGGTGTCCCCGCGCCGAGCCGTGTCTATCATTCAACGCCCGCGCAGCAACAAGTACAGTTCCCTCCGCGCAGAAGGGTTGTGCGGACATACGGCAAGCAGAATCGGAAGAAACAAGCAGATACACCTTCGAAACTCCTGCGACAACAAACCTTGACTCAAATCGACTTTGTATCGAGCTTTGACGACAAGGATGATCCTATAGTGATGAGCGATAGTGAACTGGAGGAAATGCGCTCCGAACAGGACAACGAAGAGAACCAAGGACAAGAGGCGCAGGAAGATGATGACCAAGAACCTGTCTCAAGTGGGAGGAAACGGCGAGCGACTTCGAAGAAAGCATCCACCAAGACCGATCGGACGAAACGACGACGGACGATAGGCGACGACACAGATGAACAACCCAAACCGAAGAAGGAGAAGAAATCAAGCCGACGCAAGACAATGGGAGATGCACCTAGTTCAAATTACCATACACAAACCTTGACTCAGTTTCTGGGTCGAGACACAGCCCACGCCGAGTTGATCAAGGACTCTGAAGACGAGGAAGAAGACGATGAGTTCCAACAATGGCTGGGGAATCCTACAAGTCCGAGCCCTCAGCGTGTCCAGAAACACAAGAAGATGTCGCCTGCCAAGAACCCGAAACCCCCAAAGTCGATATTGAAGCACAGGCCAGAAGAACCAGTTCCCCAGCGCGAGGACAGTGTGGTACCACAAACACCACAAAAGCAGACGCCTCACAAACGTGCCAAATCAGCGGAGATACCTTCTTCGAGCCAATTGTCCGCACCGCCAAGTATATCGTCTACGCCTGCTAGTATGATGTTGGAACGCTATGGTCCGGCTGGTCAGGTAGAGGCATCACCAGTTAAAAGAAAATTGTCTTCACCGGCTGTCCAATCGCCGCTCAAGGAGCTGAGAGGGAAACCTCGAACCGCGACAACACCGCGACAGCATGAACGGATCATACAAGATTCTTACGCTACCGATAGTTGGGGCTCTACTAACCGTACGCCTCTACGAGAACTACCCGTGGACTCACCAAACAAAACACCCAAGACACCTAAAGGCGGCATCGAGTCTCTTGACACATCTTCTGCGCTTGATGAAATGGAGACACCGACAAAGACTAGAAGAGGGGAGAGTACTGAACTTGGTGGGAGCCAAAGGAGTGGCAGTCCCACGCCAAGAATGAAGCGAGTCTCGCCGGGTAGTGGGAAGAAGGTTATGCTTGAAATCCCCGACTCAGAAGATGAGGACGACGAGGACTTTGGCGAAGATGAAAATGACGAGAATACTTTCGTTGTTGGAGCTGAAACGCAGCTCATTATGAGCGAGATCGCTTCATCCGAGGAAGAGATTGTCGGGGGGGAATCCTCTATACACCGTACGAGTGTTGTCAAACGACAGGCCTTTGCAACCATTGTTTCAGAGGCATCATCAGCCTCTAGCGATCGAGCATCATCTTCGTCGTTACCACCTCTTAGTTCACGACCTACTACAATGCCCCCTCTCTCCTCGACACCCAAAGGCAAAATACGTCCAGCAAAACCAGTTCGCAAGCCCATTCACCGTCCTGCTCCACCGACCCAGACTCAGCCATTGGAATCCCAGCGTGTACCTTTGGCAACCCTTCAGTCTCTTCCTCCTGCATCCGCCCGCACAGATATCCTGCTTTCACTTCCTCAAGACATGATTGATGATGTTATTGAGGGGTACCAGGCTGATCTCATACTCAACTTCAAAATACCCGCGCAGGTGGTCCGTTTCTGGCTGTATGACGGAGAACTATTACGCTTTATGGCTTGCGCGGACCCTGGACGTGTCACCGAAGGCCCAGCTTGGCGCTATCATCTCATCCAAGTTTATGAGCTGAACAACCCCGTCGAGGGTGATGATATGCGAGAAGAGGGTTGGATCGAAGGCGATATCGACCGTTATGTCTATTTCCCCCCTGCTGTCGTAGGCCAGCTACTTTGGAACTTGCGCCATGCCCTCTTCAAAAAGAACGCTACGGAAGATGGCGCAACGCAGACTCAAGCTATTGTGGACGAAGATGAAGATGACAGCGGTCGAGTTGATCTCTTTGCCAACTCTTCGCAGCCTGTCCCTCGAGATGATAACCCAACGCCTACCCCAAGCATGAGTGTATCGCAACAAGTTGAAGCACAACTCAAAAGTGACATTGCTCACTCAACCCAATTCCCAAACTCGGACGATATCCTTGTTCCTTCGACACCGGAGGAAAAAGCCAACAACAACAATAACACAACCCATACGACCCCTCCAATTGCTCACGTCCCCTCATCTCCCACAACAATAAAACCTCCACCCCGCCGTACCCCCTTCACAGCATCCTCCTACCGCGCCTCTCGCCCTGCCGTGCGTCCCTCCCAAGCCACCACTGTTTCTCAAGCCTCTACCCCCGAAAAGCAACACTCATCTATCCGCCGCCCTGCACTGCACTCATCCAGCAGCATCGGGGTTCCCGAGGGTCTCCTAGATGAGGATGACGAGGACAGCGCGCTACGTCTTCCGCCTGGGTACAATCCAGGCTCGTCGCAGCTTCTGACAAAGAGCCAGATGCTGCCGGACAGCCTGTTACGTGATGATGAGAGGATTCCCCCTGAGATCTGGGACTCGGATGATAATGATGATGAACGATTGTAGAATTTTGGTATAGCGCTTTGATTTGTTTACTGTTAAATATGCTAGTCTCGTTGTTCCTAGTCGTATACTAGCCGGGCCCAAGGAAGGTGGCTCCTATCTTGTTCGAGATGTTACCTACGTAGGCAGGCTTTGGTGTTTGTTGGGCGTATCAAACAGTAATCCTTTACAATAATACCAATATGGATCAATTCATTACAAACGTTGCAGTACAAGACATGCGGGCTCGAACACACAATTTCATCTCTATAACTACTTGCTTAGAGCCGCTATCTTGATCATTGCCTCGCTCCCCCCTTCATCCTTGGGAAGAAGGCTTCAAAATCTGTCATGCCGTTCCTGCAATTCTCATAATAATAAAAAGTCCTGCGCCAGTCCCCCCCAACCATGCAATATTGTGTTCATGTAGGCGCAAGATAAGATGCCTGTTCTATTCCTTCATTTTATACCATCCATCGTAGGATAGTATCGTGTCATCAGGGGCATCGTGAATATTAAAACTTTTCCTGTCAGTCTTCCAAGAAAAGAAGCATTGTTGTTATTGCTTGTTGTGAAGGTGCCACGCATGGCCCTCAGCGTTGGGGTATGCTATGTTTGATAAATCAGACCAATCTACGACAGATGGAACGCTCCTTGGCCTTCCTTGACCGCGGTGAAAAGCTGTTTCTTCATGACCTCAATAGTAGAGTAGTCTGGAAGCTTCAGGTAGTTCACACACGTCATGACGCTAGGAAGGTAGTCGTCAGACGTATAAGGGTGCTCACTAGGTTTGCAAACCACAGTGAACATGGGTGTCAAAGATTTGAATCCTAAATAAAGTCAGACATCAATCAATATCGCCTGCCATGACGAACGTACCTCCAATGGGAAGCTTAGGGCTTCCAGTTGTGAATTGCAGAAAGTCTCGACGTTCTGATGGGTCAAATCCGCTCATGGTCTGCAGCAGATTCTTGACGGTCTTGCTATCCATATTGAAGCCATGATCGGCCTTGATCGAATCGAGTAGAGCTAATCACATATTAGTATGCACATCACACGGGGCTATACAGAAGTATACATACTTTCGAGAGACCAGTCTTCGTCGACACGGCCAAAAAGGGTGACAAGTTCATCTGGTGTAAAGGCACTGAGTGCAGAGTACGGGAATACCTGCGAGAATCCGGCACGGAAGGCATCAACCTGTCGGCGGACACCAGATCCAAGGGTCATGTCAATCACCTTTTCGAGATACGAGTCTACGTTGTCGGTAGTGACTCGTTTCTGGGAACCGTTATCCTCCAACTCGATGTTCGGGTAGCCAGGCAAGGTGAAGTCGAGGCATAAGTCTTCAAGTTTGACACCATCAATGGTGACGTTCTCTGTATCGGCAACCTTTTGTGCGGGGGTACGGCTAGGATCTTCGTCAATCTCCTTCTTAGCTAACGAGAATTGCTTGATGGTTTTCAGAGAACGAGCCAGGCCTGGATCGACGATTTTAACAGCTCCCAGTGATGGTTTGACGCCAGATGCAATGGCATCCCCAATCCGGAAGAATATTGGGTTGAAGTGGAGGTCAATAATTCGCGAATCGATCATGGATCGTGCAACAAATTTTCCAAGCATTTTGAAGAGGTGAAGAATTCGCTCCCCGTTGGGTGTTCCAGCCTCTTCATCACTCAGGGGTCGAGGGAAGAGTCCTGAGGCGCCTGAAACGAACTCATCGGAGCCATTGGAATCAACCTCTCGCCATAGCTTAAGCTTCTTCTTGGAGAACTCCTTCGAGACAGTGGAATAGAATTCAAGAGTGGGTCCAAGGCCAGTGCCCACCTCCTCGAAATACTCAACCTCCAAGATACTCTGGGAAGCACCATAGAGTTCCATGACTTTCAAAGCTGATTCTAGGATCTTTTGACGCGATATCCTAACCTTTTGTCGCTGAAGCCGGCCGAGGAAGGGCCTTTCATTGTTACGATCCCTTCTATTATCTTCCGCTGACTGAGTGTTCTGCCACCTGGCCATCGATCGAGCATATCCGAAGGATGTGGACTGGAGGAAGAGATGCCGAGTTTCGAATGGAAAAAGGAAAGGGTAAAGGCGAGCTAGATCCTCCGCCCAGCTTGGCAGACAATTGCTAGCGACAATGAGCGGCTCCTCTAACTGGCGATTCAATTTTGCAGTGAGTTTAGTGTTTACAAACTGCGACAAGGGCTCAACATTAAGACCAATGATGCTGTTCTTCTTCTCGATGAAAACGTCCTCGATGTTTGAGTTGAGGTCGTGAAGGATATTCAGCAGTCGCAGAATTGAAGACGTTGTTGGGTGTTTGGCGAGTGATGCAGGAATTCCATGCTCATCTTCGCCTTCAGCCTCGGTATTGGAGGTGAATGAAAGAGACTCTGCGGGAGGTGGTCCAGGGACACGTTTGAACTTGATAGGATGCACAGTCGACCAGAGACTTCTACTCAGATGCTCATCTGAGTTGGAGGCCGACGTATGCACAGCGCGGTAGATCGTGGTCTCGTTGGGGATCAACTTGCTGTCCAGATTGAACTCGATATGCCAGTCTTGAGGGACAGCCTGAAGCGCGGAGGCGTACGACAGGGGTCTTGATGCTGGTGCTGCTGGGGTTGGCGTACCCTGAGCTCCAGCAGAAGGCCCTCCAGCACGGCTAGGCGCCCCAGATCCGGTTGGTGTAGCGATTCTGGTACCATCCTCCTTACGCGCTGTAATGTGACCGCCTGTGGCCACCTCCATGTTAACGGCAGAGGTATCGTCAGGGGTTGCTTCTTCCTCCATGTCTTCTTCGAGCTCACCAACAATGGCATCCAATGCACTGCCTTCTCCAATATCATCATCATCAGTCAGCTGCTTTTCGTCGGCACATTCTAGTGTGTCTTGCATCTCATCATCATCCATTGGTGGAGGTCGCGGAGCCGGAGGAGTGCTTGCGGCACCATGTCGTCGTGAAGAACGTCGAAGTGCGCTTTTGTCTCGAGATGGCCCAGAAGATTGATCTGGTGTAGCGGGGGCAGCCTGCGACTTCGATTTGCGGAGAGCTCGGGAGCCAGATGGTGTAGGTGCAGAAGGAGGCGGTGGTACCGGTGGGCCGCCAGAAAATGGGCTTCCTCGATCGGCCACGGCAAGACGAGCAGCGGCCGCGCTACTGAGAGGAAGGCCGGCACTGCTAGCCATAGCGGCGAGCGCTCGGGCTACTCCGTCCCGACGTGCAGAACCACGGGGTCGCTCAGTGATACTGATACGGGGGCGGAGATAGTCGTCGAGAGACTTGAAGGTCGCAATAGCATGGATTGACACCATGATGTTACGGTATGGCCGAGGAATGTCGGATTCGTCGTCGGCGACAAGACGAAGGCGGATTTGTTTTCCAAGCATAGAAGCCGGGCTACTGTGGTTGCCATCGAATGTATTGTGATGAACTGTGATAACCTCAAAATGCTCTGACCTACTGAGCAAGTCTTGAAGCTTATGAATCATGACGCTAAAGGGCGTTGCTGGAGATTCTACTGTCGCAGTTTTAGGCTTCGACTTGACAGTGTATGCCATAAAGATTTCCAGGAATGTTGATTGAGCGGCCCGAGCCAGTTCCTCGTCGGGATTACTAAAGATTTCGAGAAGAACACGGACAAGGCCGGATGCCAGAAGCTCTGCGCTTGTAACGCTCTCTAAAACGTCCGTGTCGAAATACGATGCAAGCTTAGAGAAAAGTTCATTTCCTCTGTCGGCCGCAACGCTCCCAGGTGTTCGCTTGAGGTAGAAAGTTTCTAGCTCACCAGCTAACTCGGACAGGGCCTCGAGAATAACAGTGGCCTTTGTCTTCATAGCTTGACCATGACCCTCAGTTTCGTGGGTCTCCAAAAACTTCTTGGCAACATCCCGAGTTCGAGACTTCATAGATCGAACTTCAGAAACGAACCGATGGAGGGGAACTTCGAGGGACATGGTTGATCCTCGGGAACTAACAGGGGACATGTCGTCGTTGTGCGCCTCGGCGTTATCATTGTCGTGGTCCTCGTCGTCGTCTTCATCATCGTCAGAAGACTCGTGCTCCTCATCTTCCTCATCTTCATCATGTTCAGAGTCTTGGTCTGAGGATGGCCCATTATCTTGCCCCGCTGCTTGTCCATGCTGGCCCTCTTGCTGCTCGTTCTTTTCCGGCTTCTCGTCCACAGGCTCCTCCTCCTCCTCGGCAATTTTGGTAATCTCTAGGAAAACACCTTCGCGGTAGAATTGGTATCGATAGATCTTATCAAGTCGACTGAGCAAAAGCTCGGCTGCCTGAAGGGCAAGCATAACCAGGGATGCATGGTCTTGTTGTGACAGAATGGAAGCAAGGAAAGATGCGTAAGGGACAGGAGTCAAAGCTTCTATCAGAATATTCTCGTCCAGGTTGGAAAGCATTTTCAGTTGGGCTGTTAGCACCTTTTGGCGTACGCTTAAGTTGACAGTGCTGGAGAAGGCGTCGGTTAACGTAGGGAAAATGATTAGGGCAAAGCGGCGAACTTCGTCCTTGCATTCTTCCAGAAGCTCGATACGTTTCTCATTTGTGGTTCTGCGAGTTCTTCCACCACCAGACGCCGGGTGAGTGGGATCTGCAGAAGCTTGGAGCTCAACAAAGTCGCCAAAAGACGGGTCGGCATTTCGCGGGAGGTTTGGCAATAACTCGCATATGACATTGAGAGTCTCAATGATTTGGTCTCGAGGACGGTGGATAAGGGCCTGCATGATAACAACGCTGTCCAGCTTGGAGGCAACGTCCTCTGTGCCACTAGGCGGAGATACTCCTGTAAGAATTTGATACAAGGTCTCTACCACGTTTAGTTTAAAGAGCTCCGTAGAAAGACGAGGACTAGCTCGCGCGGTGAAGGCCAAAACTCGAAGGAACTGGGTATGAATGCTAGAGGCGATCATGTTGGTCGTGCCAGGAACAAGAAGGCGTAGTACGGCCCGAAGAAGGTCCACACTAACAAGCTCCTCAAGCTTCGAAGGATGGTACTTAAAGCTCTCCACGATACCTGAAACGCAAAGCGACGCCTGTTCCACGACGCGCTGGTCACTGCTATTGAGAACGTTAAGAAGCGTGGGCATTACATCTCGCACCACTGGGAAAGAGTCCTCAGGAATGTTGCGACAGCAGTTTGCTGCGGTAGTAACAGCAGTTCTCTGCGTGCCTGTAGCGAAGAAGTCGAGATAAGAGAGGCACGCAGTGAGGCCGCCCTCTCGAACAATGCTTGTCGGGTACTCAACTGATATCTTCTCCAATGTGCTCAGGGATTGCTCGGCCAAATCGATAAACGAGATTTCAAGGAGTTTCTGGCATAGAACGGGAACGGCGCCTCCATAAACGACATTCGCGACGCTGGCAGGCAACGCCTCCATCAAGTTGGCTAAACAGCGACAGGCCAAGAGCATAACGTCGGGGCTGTCTTCCTTGTTCATTAGGGTAACAAGCTCCTTGACAAAGGCATCAGGCGAGAAATGACCGGACAGGTTATCTTCGTTGGAAACCAGCAGTATCTCTGAAAGATCCTGTAGAGCTATCAGCTGCACCGAAAGGTCGTCTACTCGGAGGCTATGCAGAAGTTCCCGGAATCGAGACGTAACTCCAGACATCATCCCCGTCAGCGCTCTTAGTGTACTAGACAGAGTGCCTGGAGGTCCCCCAAACCCGCCAAAGGGATCATCGTCGTCATCGTCGTCATCGTATCTTCGAGAGCCTTCCTCGTCGTCATCTTCATCGTTGTCTTCGCTATCGTCTTCGTGATGGTCGATGGGGGGAGGCGGTGGGGGCGGTGGCCCTGGGTCACTGTTCTCGTCGGTACCTGTCATGGGTGTATCTTGATCAACTGCGCTGTTAAGATTTCGTTTCGATCTTCGGGTGGTTAAAGTCGTACCAGACGCTGACTCTGTATTTTAGGTTTGGGTTAGTTCTGCGCTCGGACAAATATCTGGAGCTTCTGCTTGTCACACGAACCTTGAGGGGGTCCTGGGACCTTCTTAGAACGACTGGATTTTCTGCTTGAAGAACTTGATGAGACTGAAGGCTCTGCAGCATTCGCAGATCCAGGACGGTCATTACTAGAGTGTGTCAGTACATGTATCCCATGATTCAACCACAGTTGTGTTGCATTCGAGACGTACTCAGGAATGTCCATATCTACGGCAGGCTTTCCTTTTCGCCGAGATCTAGGTGCGGATTGGTGGTTATTATTGGTGGCGGGGGGAGAAATGGCGTCGGGGATCTTTTGTCTCTTGGACCGTCGACCTGAAGACCCAGTGGGCAAGGCGTTACTGGGGCTCTTTTCTACAGAGCGTCCTTTTCGCTTGCGGGAGGATGGGGTAGCGGATGGTGCGGTCGGGACGTCAGCAGCGGCAGGAGCAATAGCACTGTTTTGGGCTGCCTGGCTCGCTGCTTGACGGGCCGAGGATCTGGTGATTCTAGAAGACATAATTGTCGTGAGCTTTGTACTGGCTATGCATCTGGAAGGAAAGGCAGATAATGGGTGGAATGTGTGAGATGAGAGATTGATGAATGTTGCACAAAAAAGATGGAGGGAGACGAAGGAAGAGAAAGCACAAGCACAAGCCGCGACCCAAAGTCAAGTGCCTCGAAGATGTTGTTTGCTCTGCAGCTGCCAGTGTTCGGGTCGAGGATAAGACCGCCTAGTCGATTCCAAATGCTAAGAGACAGCTATATCTGCAAGGTAGAGTAGAGTTTAGGCCAGCAGCGAGTGAGGTGCGAGGTGGACCATCAGTCGTGGAGGTGAAGACAGCGAGCGATAGACTATAGCTTAATCTGTGACTTGCATGGGCAGGGTGAATACAGTTTGTTGCCTCAAGCGGACGTGCGTGAATCAGCAACGCAACGCAACAAAGCAGCCACAAACCCAGCAGCAGCAGCAGCACCTTAGTCGGCCAGTGCTGGGATGACGATGGTCTCCGTTGGAGCGGCGCAAAGAGCGGAGTGCGAGGCAGTGAATGACGCTTGATGCGTAAACAGAGACGGATGATACAAGTGAATAAATGACGGGCGACGTGCAGTGACAGTGACAGTTCAAGAATGATGGCTAATGGAAGAATGGATAAAAGGGTTGGCCCTACCTCTGGAGACCTGGAGAAGCGGCGGTAGCGGGTAGGAAATTGGCAGTTGAGGTTGTCGAGGTAGAAGGAAGTCGCACTTCGTTATCACCTGCCGATGTTCGTTCTGCCATGCCCAGACGACCTACGCCATCAGGAAGGCAGTGGGCGGGCGCGGGCGCGGCGGGGTCGTGGTTTCTATCCGAAGTCGAGTCGAGAAGGCGAATAGACGGATGACGAGCTGGGGGTGGTGAGTGGGCAGAGCGGACAGGTAAGGTAGCGATATCGTTTAGTTACGGTGTAGGATGAGTGTGGTTGTAGTTATTGGGCAGATGAAAGCAAAGCAGTATTTGAAGTCACAGGATAAAAAGTCTCGGTCAACGAGTGCCGCCCCGGAGAGGAGAACAAGGTGGAAGGAGGCGGAAGGGAACCTATGGTAGGTGGTGTTTTCTGGGTTTACAGATACGAGACGGGCCTGGGGAGAGGGAGGACGAAAGGCACTTCAGTGTGGTGGTTTGACGGTTGACGTGTGAGGTGGCCGACTCCACTATCTGCGGCCCTGGGAGGCTCTGAGGCTCTGACTGTGAAGCCCACGCAGCACTACGTTTCCGATAAAGTTGGGGGTCTTGCCATGTGTTGGACACGCTTGAGAAGCACTGTGAACCTCTCAGGTTTGATTACCCAGCCTACCAGCCTTATAAACTGTAAACAAGCACTGTGTCGGGATGGGGAGGGGAGGGGCAGAGGGGCTCTGCTGATGAATAGGTAGTGCGTGAACAGCATCCATCATGCAGCCCGTGCTAGCCATGGTGTCTTTATGATATGTTTATTAGTATTACAGAGCTTGGTATCTATAGTCTTCACCTATGTTTACGTAAATGTTCAAGCCCACAAGCAGCAGTAATACGTAGAATAGAACTCCCAAAATTCCGATATGTAGCGATATCATCTGGTGTGCGGATTTTACTCCAACCCACATCCATTGCCAAGCTGCCTGCTCGTGCTGGTTCTAACAATGTGGAGCGGCTGGCTTAGCTCATAGTGGCGTCCATCACGCTCATTGAACCCACCGTAAAAGACTCCAAGAACGAGATGAATTGAATTAAATTCGCTGTTAAAGTCTGTTTCTGGTTTATTATCTAGGTCTCCATGGTATCGAACAGTCACGGCCACTATTTTTCCACTTATGGCTTCAAACTATCCTTACCACCCTCAAACTCGGCAACATCATACTCCTCAGGATATTTATCCAACATTCCCTTGAGCTCCTTCATCTGTGCCTTTAGATCATCCGTGAGCTCCTCGTAGATATCTTCAAACATGCCTCGAATCGGAGGCTTCTTCTCCCGCTCCGCCTCACTAAACGCCTTGAGGATCTCCTTGCGTAGATCGCTTCGGGCCTCTTTCTCTGTAGCCTCGTCCCAGATCCCCTTAGCCTCCATCCACTTGCGCAGTCGTGTAATGGGGTTGTCGCGGCGCTTCCAATCCTCCACTTCTACACGTGCACGGTAGGCGAACGAGTCGTCGGATGTGCTATGATGGGAGACACGGTAGGTCATGGCCTCAATGAGAACTGGTTTGCCGCCATCTTCAAGAGCCATCTCACGTGCCTTCTTTGTGGCTTCTCTGACGGCCCAGATGTCATTGCCGTCTACACGAATGGTATCGATACCGTAACCGATACCACGGCTGGCAATGCCATCGCCACGGTATTGGTCCAGTGTAGGTGTTGAGATGGCGTAACCGTTGTTTCGGCAGATGAAGATAACAGGGCATGATCGCGTAGCCGCAATGTTGAGAGCGGCATGGAAGTCTCCTTCGCTTGCTGCACCCTCACCAAAGTAAGCCGCTACGACACGAGCTTTGGAACTGGGATCTTGGAGCTTTTGCATCTTCAGGGCATAGGCGGCACCCGAAGCCTGAGGGAGTTGTGTTGCTAACGGTGATGAGATAGAATGCTGTGATCCCCTGAATTAGCATTGACTTCCGAGTTTTGTCTTGTAAGTACTCACAATATGTAGCTCTTTACTTCCGTAATGGACGGGCATACTTCGTCCTCGGCTTGGATCCCGCACATTGCCAAACAATTGACTCATAAAGTCTGTTGCTGTGAAACCTCGCTCCTTGAATACACCCTGCTCTCGGTATTGACAGAACATGACATCCTCTGGGTCCAGCACACTTGAACTGCCAATACTAACAGCCTCCTCGCCTGCGCTCACCATGTAAAAGCTCAGTCGGCCTTGTCTTTGCGCGTCGAACATAATGAGGTCCATGATTGAGATGAACAACATGTCTTTGTATAGGCGAATGACTTCCTCATCCGAGATATCAGGCTTAAATGCTTCGTCCACCACCACTCCATGTTGATCTACAACGCGATATGTGGATAACGCAGGATATGACTCGGGGTTTTCGAATTTGAGTGAGCTTGTGAATGAACTTTTCAATGCACCAGGAAAAGAGACGAAATTGGAATTAGGTCGCTGCGATACACTGCTGGCCGATCGAATAGCACGGGGTGTCGTACATGGCCTTGAAAGGGTAGCCCTCCGCAGAGCGGCTTGACGCAGAGCACGAGATTTCATGATAGATGTGGATGTGGACGTTTGTTTGTTGGAGGGTCAATTGAAATCCGGGCTATGTTTTCTTTTATTCAAATTGTCCGAACTCAATATCATGCTAGATAATGTTGAGTATTACCGAGGGGTTCCTGTGTCTGATACCGCGAGGAAGCGACGTCATCCTGAGCCGACACCAGCCCGTCAAAGCCGAGACAACAATAAGCCGTGGTTTGACGATGTTCGGCACGACCAACCAACGATGATTCCAGAGCCGCGTTAGTTGTCCGGCAATGTCTTTGACTTCTCATCTTTACCATACCCAATAGGCTATCGTTTGTCCATACCCATCAAAACCATTATTGTCTGTTTGGTCACGTTAACAATTGTACGGATAGTTGAAGCCCACCAAATTCCCTAGGACCCCGACTTATCCTCCCCCACACAATCTTATCACACTACCCCACAATCACGATAAACTCCAGATCGCCGTGGATGGATCCCGATTTTAGACCCTCTCTGGTTTCTAACACTTTTAAGTGCAGCCGGCAACAGCTGTCTGCCACTGCTGGGAATATTTAATGAACAAACAACGAGTAGCCTGGCAACCACCGATCATGGTCTCTTGAATTAGATAGTATAGTCAGAAAAACAAAAACACATTCTCTTTTTCACATAACATTTCCTTCCTCCCATAACGAAGTGATCATACAGTACATCCTCCACCATCATATCCTCAGTGATTGCCTCTTCCTGCTCTTCCGCCATGGCTGTCCCTCCCTCAGTCTGCATTGCAATTCTGTTTCTAACTCTGTTTGCGATATTCGCCGTCCTTGCGTGGTGGTTCAAGACTCAAGTGCACGTCTTCGTTCGCGCTATCTTCAAACATCGTCAAGCGAAGCATCAACGAGCAACTTCAACAGTTGCTACCACTGGAGAAGACGTTTAAGGTAATATCACAGAACTACAAACTTCGAACCAAGTCCTTCCCGTTCATACCTAGTGGTGTGTGTCGGTCAGCCACAGTGGCTACAAGGCTGAAGCGCCACGCTATGAGACCCACTAGCAAAATTCCATCTCTCAGCCTCGTATGATTTTCAAACTGACCTCAATCTAGAGCTTCCTATTACCTCCGAGGCTCAACTACACTCACAATGGCCTCCCGCACAGCCCTCCGGGGCTTTTCCCGCTCATTGGATCCCTCAAAATGCTCTGCTACTTCTGTTCGTTCCTTCTGCTCCTCCAATGCTCTCCGCAGCAACAACAATAGCACAACCCCTACATCCGATCGCCCTACCCACTTTGGCTATGAGACAGTCACCGAGGCCGAGAAGCAACAGCGTGTTGCTGGTGTATTTACCAAAGTTGCCGAGTCATATGATAAGATGAACGATTTCATGTCATTAGGAATCCATCGTCTTTGGAAGTGCGTCAATCCTATCATACCTCAAAGATCGCAGAACTAACACCTGGTTCCTTAGGGACTATTTTATCTCTTCACTCAACCCTGGCTCAACGAACCCCCCTGGACAACCTCAGCGGATTCTCGATGTAGCTGGTGGAACTGGTGATATTGCTTTCCGTCACCTGCAACACGCCCATGAATTCAATTGCAACCCCAACGTCTCCGTTATCATTTCCGACATCAACCCCGACATGCTGGCAGTTGGTCGCCAGCGCTCTCTCGTTCTCCCTGCTACTCAGCAGTCCGCTCTCTCTTTTCTTGAGGCAAATGCCGAGGTCCTGCCTTCTCAAATCGAAGATAACTCGCTGGACCTTTACACGGTCGCCTTCGGTATCCGCAACTTTTCCAATATCCCTGCTGCCCTGAAGGAGGCACACCGAGTTCTTAAGCCTGGTGGTGTATTTGCATGCCTCGAATTCTCCAAGGTTGACAAGCACCCCATTTTCAACACTATCTATAAGCAGTGGTCCTTTAAGGGGATTCCTCTGATCGGCCAGCTCGTGGCAGGAGATCGTGATAGCTACCAATATCTGGTGGAGAGCATTGAGAGATTCCCCAGTCAAACCGAGTTCAGGAATATGATCAAGGACGCGGGATTTGTTGTTGCTGGAGAAGGTTATGAGGATCTAACCGGTGGTATTGCCGCTATTCATAAGGGCATGAAGCCTGTGTAAAGCTCCTCATATATGCGTGTACACATGTAATTTAGTCTGTAAAATAGCACCACAATCACGACAAGCATCACGAGTAGTCAATCGGGTAGGCAGAAAGTGTACAAATAGGAAGTTAATTCATTCCAAGTCGCCCTCGACCCTATCCCCCCTAGTTCCTCTCCCGTTAACGTCATCATCACGTCCACGTCCCCGAGGTGCAGTCAGGGCCTAGAACGATGTCTTTTTTTAAATTCTCTTCGCAGCTGAACTCCATACAGGTCAAAACTGAATAAGCCGCATCCTCAATGTAGAGGGTTAGCAACTCTGAAATCTCATTAGGTACACGATACATAAAACGAGGGTTTGTAAAATATCCCTCGATTGTTCTGTCCTTAGCCCCTAACAATTCAGGTAGGGGCGCGGCAGACGGATAATGCCAAAAAAGGCAAGGTTTGGTAACAAAAACATGGAACAATCCATGTTCTCATAACGGTGGTGTAATAACACTCAGGTATTGAGCATAAAATTAATCGACAGCGGGTGTAGAGGGCGCTGCGGCGGGTGACGAAGCGCCTGTCTCGCCCTTCAGACCGCCTCGGCCACGTCCACCACCACGTCCGCGATCTCCACCCCGACCGCGGCCTCCTCGGCCGCCGCGTCGGTTAGATTCAGAGTCGCTGGCGCCTCCAGCACTGCGGTATCCACTGGTGTTGGTGGCTCCGCCGCGGCCGCTGGTGCCCCAGTTACCAGCACCGCCTCGAGTAGCAAAAGTCTTGGTCTCCCGATGTTGGAAGATCTTGACCAGAGGCTTAGATCGATCCTCTTGAGTTCGAGTCTTCACATCCTCAGGCAGTCGGGCCAAAGCGGCATCGCGATCCTCGATCGTCTTGAATTGAACGACCTTGTTAGAGTTGCCCCATTTCTCGACCTTGGCAATCTTGTCCTTGTCCTCCTCGTTGAAAAGATCTCGACATTGTTCTTCAGTGCTCACGTTCATAATGAAGAGTCCAATTATATCGGAAGCGGAGGTCTTTGGGGCAGGAGATGAGACTCGCTCAGGGGCATGAGCCGAACCGTTAGCTGCGGCGGGAGCTGAGGCCTTCTCGGTATCCTTGCTGGAAGGAGGAGCAGGGCTTCCCGAGGTCTGGGGAGGTTGGGGAGTCGCCGACTTGGGGGGACCAGGCAAGGGGGTCGCGACGGTGGGCTTGGCGGACTGCACTGCTGATGGCTGTCGGCTCGTAGGAGGGGGGACGCTAGATTGGGTTGAGGGAGGGGCAGGCGAAGGAATTCCAGCTGGGCCAGTCGTGATGGAAGGAGCACCAGGTTGCTGCTTGGCACCTCTGTGGGAGAAGTTAAAGCCTTGAGCGCGCATCTCCGTGCCGATACGACCATCTTGAATCTCAAGCACCAGGTAGCCGAAAGCGGCATCAGCAAGATTGAAGTTCCACATGTTCTTGAAAGCACTCTCGTCGACTTGTCCGAGGGAAGCCTGGCCGGCAACAGGACCGCCGAAGGGGTTGCCACCAGCAGCAGTGGTAGGCATCTTTTCGACAATCTGGAGAGCATTCTTCAAAAGATTCTGTTGAGCCTCATTCTGCTGAATAGCGGGTTCCACCTCGCCCTTGACAGTCTCCCAAACATCATTGAAAGATGCCTTGGAGGCAGCAAGCTTGCCTCGGTAATGGTCAAGGGTAGGGTTGACACTGAACTCGTTGTAGGAGCTGCCATATCGGAAGTGCAGACCGGCAGAGATGGAGAAGTCTGCCTTGAGGGTTACTGAAAGCTGGTTCAGGATACCCTCACGAGCAGGAGAAGCGTGTGTGACGAAAATGCGGGTCTCGGTAGGATCATAAACGCGGTGCGCAGTGTCGACAAGCTCGCCCATCTGCAGTAGAGTTGTCCACATGGTTCCTTGACCACCAGCAATAGTAGTGCGGCCCTCACCATTGTCAAAGAGCTTGTGCATAACAACAGCACCACCAAGGCCAAGTAGTCGTAGCTTGACACCACCAACCTCCAATAGCATCGATCGAGCCTCGTCGATAATATGCAGGTTGGGTACCTTATACTCGCCGGTTCGGAACTTCTCTAGCACTCGGACATCCTCGCAAGCACCCCAGACAGTGTAGACTGGAATATCGAGCTTGACCTCGCCGCTGATAAGGAGGGGCAGCTCGGAAAGAGGGAGCTCATTAGGAGGGAATCGGCTCTTGACTGGGCCGGGGCCGCCTTGTTGAATGGCCTTCTTGACAGGCTCGGAGATCAAGGGCGAATACTGCGCAACATGCTTGAGCGTTTTCTCGGCGATTCGTTCCAGGGAAGTGTCGTCGTAGAAACCAAAATCTCCGGTATGGATGATATGGTCAGCTCGGGCTTGTTTCGCAAGGTCGTTAAGTGATCTCAAGTTTCCTATGTCATTATTTAGTGCTCGTCCAACTATATTCTCCATAGCTACCAACCTCGAACATCGGCAATGCACAAAACTCTTAAGGGACCGGTCTGGAGAACGCGGCCCTGATTTGGCAGGAGTGGTGCGGCACCAGCAGGAGGGAGACCGCCGCTCGCACCGTTCTGAAGGTAGCCTGAGCCCGGGTTATTGTATGCTCGCTGCTGCGGGTATATGTCAGCTTAATTATTTAGTGGAAGGTTTGGTGAGCGCGGTGGGGAAAGTTGCTGTTATATATAAAAGTGCAGTGACGTGGAGTTGCGGATCTCCAAGTTGAGGCCATCCAACGGTACAAAACGGCGGGACAAGACGCGAGCGGGGAGAACGCAAACATGGATGGATGAAAGGCAACAGAGAAAATATGAAAAGAGGAAGCATGATCACAACTCGTCTAGGTACGTTTCAAATGGTGCAAAGCTGAAGCTTGCTGATAACACCATAGACAGTATGAGGGAGACGGGCAGGTCGCGCGGATAATAGAAGGGGCCATCTCGTAAAGGTGCACTCACAGCAGCCATTCTATCAAATCAACTGATTCTATGCGCTCGAAGTCGGTCGGGTAATTCGCGTGTTCGGGCGATCGTGCGTATAAGGAGATGGGGTGCTCTGTTGTTGAGATAGAGCTCCAAGTGAGGTTATGAATGGGTATCAAAAGAGGTGACGATGCGGAATGGAAGACAGGGAGGCAATCACGGGGAGGTGGATTTTCGCAGCTCTAGCAAGGCTGGCTAGAGGTAGAGATAATTTCTAGGTGGCCCCAAGAATCGGGAGACAATGCCTTTTCCTTGTTGGGCCTAGCTCCATCAGCTTCCACCTGTGAAGAGGTACCTATCTGCCTGGGCGAGTTAACTTGGGCTAGACCAGGGGAGCTCTATCACGGCAGCGTTTTGGCTCGGTTAATGACCGGCAAACGGGCTGTGAGGTCTCCGTTAGAATCCCTTCCGTTTCGATTACGGTACCGTTTGCTATCTGGCTACCCTAGATGCAAACATCAAAGTCACAGCATATCAAACATGAACATCAAGGGAAGATTGACTTCTCAAGGACAGGCAGCCATTGGTCAAGTAAACACTTTGGCCTGTTTACAATCATTTTGCTTGATATATGTCCTTAATCACATACCAAATATTTGCAGTAGCAAAAAACACCTCTTGTTTAGAGTAACGTCGCAATCATTTGACAAAGGATCCTACGTTTGCGAAGGACAGGTTGTTCAACGCTGCTTGTTAACTCAAATGATTACATACAAGCAACTCGGTCCAAGCCTACTCTACAAGGAGTTTGCTTCATTTCTATCTATCTAGCCCACACTTGCCTAGGAGTATTCATACATGATGCAGTAAGCATGATTCTCGAAAATCACAGGGTCACGACTCAACTGCTTAATACCCTTTTACGTTTACCCTACTGAAAATATAAATTCAATTTCGATTGATCAATGAATGTCTTGCTCAGCCAACCTCAATCTCTATCTTCTACTCTTAATCTTATTACTGCCCTTCATGTTGCTATCCTTCTTATTTGTAGTGGTTATTCACTGAAGCCATTTTATAAGATTCAAAGTTTATTGCATTCTATCTCGCAGCAAGTCTTCAAAAGAGTCGCCTCCCGCACGAACTGTGACAACAATGGGTTGAGACTGCGGGGTAGAGCCGCTGAAGCTCTAGTCTTCCTCATTTAGTGCCCATCATGACTATTAACGTTAACATTAACCCGGCCCTGTGAGTGGCGGCCCAGACTTAATCCACCGGTGCGTATTCTTCGAAAGCATATAATAAGAATACGTTTACAAGAAGACACTGAAATAAGTATGGGCAGGGACTTGACTATCGAACATCGTAGCTCTCGTGCCGATCTGAGACAAGGATGACACCCACATACCATCGGTCATGCAGTCATGAGCACTTATGTATATGCACTGCATAAAGAGAGCCAATTCGTAGACATGATATTTATAACAAGCCCTCGGAGTGCTATAAAACTCCAGACGTAGAAATTAACTCTCCTATACTGATGGTCCTCTAAAATCATATAAGCTTTGGTCAAAAGACTACTACTGCCTTGAGATCAGAACTTGATAATTATAGTAACATATATATTTAATAGTAAAATTCTTATTTATGTCCTTTGGCAGCTAATTAAAGTTACCCTGGTTAACATCTCACGTCCTAGGTTTTCCTCCGCCCCCTAGATAAGTTAGCATTCCGGGTAAGCAGTCAGTGGGCTTGGCAGACCATCAGAGCAAAGTGTTGAAGTTGAGCACGTTAACCGCCCCGAGGTAGCAATGCAGTGTGATTAGGAATGTCCAGTTTATAAGTCAGTCCCCACCACCTGGTCGTTGGCTTGGAAGACTTGTATAAGCGCCCTGTAAATTTATTATACCGTCATCATGCTGCAATCTTGTCATTTCAAGTTGTGCTTAAGTACTTAGTGTACCTGCATACCTAAACGCAGGGGCACTCTCGATAAGACATAGAAACCTTTGTCAGGTTGTGTAGTTGAAGTTCAATGGGCATGTGAGCTGTGCGACAATGTTTCACCTATTTGTTATAAATAGATCACACCAGGAATTCAGTCCGTGAAGTCTGATCAGAAAACAAGACTAAAGTCTCAACTGTGTCATTTGGTATGTGTTGACTGTTATTATGTTGTCTAGAGCATATAGCCATACCTTAGAGAGCGACATTCATCATGGATTGGTAAGACCGCTATTATTCGGTGCTGTTACCATGGGCACCCCCTCAATGACTTTAGCCGCGATGTGATGTTCACAAACAACCAACCATCCATCCATCGCTGGTTGCCATGTGCACCATAAGATGTGAAAATGCCCAACGTCGGTAGGCAGAGAAAAAAGCCATGAAGAAAATGAGCTTGTATGTCACTGTCATTCTGGCAAGCAAGGATAGACCCTTTTTCAGGGCCTTTTCCGTCTCAACTGTGATTCGAGGGATTCTAAGGGCATTAATGAACTCAGCACAGACATCCGATGAGTTAGAAAACCCAAAGCAAGGCTTCATCGCCGCATCCATAGTGACTAGGCTGGTTAGGTACCTGACACATGATTAAACCATGCACATATGTTTTACGTCGTACCTTCACGGGGAATTTTGTTTGAGAAGTGAGGTTTACTGTCGACATCTGACTTGAGCCTCAAGACTACATACTACCTATTTTCCCATGTGTAAGTCAACTCCTCGTATACTTGTAGCGCTCCAATTGACCTTCTGTCACCTGGGCTCAGGTTTCGTCTTTGGGCGCCCCGGCACTGGATCACCCCGACGGGCGCCAACTTTAGTGCTAGATGGCGCTGTGATACAGGGGGATAGCGCCTGACGACCCGCTGTAAGCGCCCCGCCACGTGACCTTGACACGTCTCATGCCCCGGTCCAAGTACCGTCACCCTTTGATTGCATGTACCCTTGCCAGGGCTACCTGACTTGTATCTCGCCTTGAGTCTTGGACGAACCTCTGCTCTCTCTCCCTTGCCTGTGTCTTTGTCCATTTCAAAGAACAGCTTTAACCTACGACCAGTTCCTCTACGATCATATCATCCGAAACGACCCTAATAGACGCCATCATCCAGTCTTCAACACTCGGTACCCGGAACCTTTGACGGACGGTATACAGATCAGCGGCTCGTCTTGACGCTCTCCATGCGACAACAGACTTGACGAGAAGACTGTCCCAAGAGGTGACCATACCTCTCATCCTCGACATAAAATTTCGACTCCGTTGCGCCGCTTGCATTGTGGTGCACAAAGGCCCATGATAACGTAGATTCAACATCCAGCATCGTTCTGAAAGGCAAGCCGGAATACCGCAAAGGCAATCGTGGGCGTGCAAGCCTCCGTTGAGGCCCACCCAGCCGTCGATGATGGTACGTCTCATCATTCATATTTATTCAACGTCTCTTTCTTCGTTCGCAGAAGCTACTGGCCACGGGTGAAGCTGCCCTGTTGTTTTATTTCATCCTGGATACCCAAGTCGTCGCCACCCATGCTGATCCTAGTTTGTTGTCGGTCTGTAGACATCATCTCGACCCCGCGGCGATGTTGGCGGCAGTTTTGCTAGCAGACGCGGTCATTCCAGTCAACTTTCTATTTCCGACCCAAGCCATCATGTCACCGAGGCTATTGGCACACTGTATGGGGATGAGGACGATTCGGGATCGGAAGGTGGTCGACCAATGAGTATTAATCGACCACTGAGCTTCATAGGCGGTCCGACACCATACCAGGAATCACTTCCTCGACCGCCTCCCGATGATCGATTTCTATCCGTCGACACACGAAGAACACTCACGAGATCTGAATCCGAGCCGTCCGTAGTCGAAACATCCCATATTAATGGCGACCCAACCAAAAGACCCCAGCAGCTTTCGTCAAACCAGCGAAGTAACTCATTCGAGCAAGGATCAAAATCGCCGCTATCGCCTACGCTTTCCCTTCGTGATGTTCAAGCCGACTCTCAGTTTTCTCTCACCAATATCGATAACCCGAATGACATTGCTCTGGAGTTGAGTAATTTGCAAGCCCTCAGACGACTATCGATGGATGTTGGGAATAATAAGGATCCTGATATGCCGCCTATGTCTTTGATGGCCATGCCGACAATAGCACCAAGTGGTGACGACGACGAAAATGACCCTTCGAGACTACTTTGGGTACCTGCAAGAGTGCACCCTGAGCTGGCGCCTGGCGAATTCAAGTCTTTTCTTGAGAACAGGGTTCATTCCATAAGAAGGAGATCCGGGGATTCCTTCCTATCTGCCGACACAGATACTAGCGACGGCGACTCAGGTGTCGGAGGGCTAAGGCGAAAGAAATCGATGCTGTCTCGCCAAATAGACCCTTCCGGGGAGCGCGATGCCAGCGGTTACATCGACGGTGCTGATCGATTAGAGCGAAAACGGTCACGAGGCCACAGCCATGAGCTCAGTTTGGAGGAACTCGTTAAGGATCCCACAAGGGCTGTGCAGAAATTTGCACAGGAAGCCCAGATAGTACCTACTGGACCCGAAAGCAGTGCCGACGATATGCCTATCTTACCCGCCGCCCCGGGCATGGGTTTGCGTAGGTCAACTCGAACAACATATCGAAAGGGCGGAAGTATTCGTACCGGGCCTCTTGCTCGGCGCTCCGGGCACCGGCAGCAGCCCAGCGAGGACTTCTCGACTTTAGATGCGCCCCCGGGTCATGGTATCACAAGAGTACAATCAGAGCCTGTAGCAGACAACCATTCACGCCTAAACCATACAGTCAAGCGATCCAACAATTTTTCACAGGAGTCGTTGGATGACTTTAACCCTTACGATGGAGTTTCACACGGAACGAACGAAAATGAGATGAAACCTTCAGAGGGATTCCAAGATCAGCTTCCCGTTCGCTCATCGTCGAGTCTTCCAACCATTCAAACTTCATCTCATCAAGATGTTCACGACCAGCAGGAACAGAAATTCCCAAAACGATCATCTTCTCAAAACGCAAAAAGCCAATCTGTAGCTCAGAGGATTTCCGACCCTGAACCCACGATAGAGGAGGAGCCAAGCCGTTCTAATCGACGAAGTATGAATCGGCCCGCCGCATCTCAGCCAGCGCCGCAACAGTATGCCTCGCGATCTTCATATCCTCAAAGCCAATCCTTAAACGACAATCTTGCCGCAAACCCTTCCCTCCTGCCTGGCAGTGGCGCAACTCGAACAGATAGCCTTACATTCATACCAACACTTAGCCAAGAGGAGCGAAAGCCAGACAAAAAGTCCAAGAAGGATCGAGATGACGACTCAAGTTCCACCAAGTCTTCCGGAAGCGCCTGGAAATGGTTCAAGAGTGCAAGCGATGACAAAGACAAGAAGAAGGAAGAAAGCAAGAGGTCCAAGACCAAATCGCTTGGAGAGAGGGTTCAGGATAACGTACGACTGGATGTCATACAAACATCAATCGATAAGAACGCCCCCAAGGCTCGCGAGAGCCTCGTACTTGATCGTGACAACGTGGACAGCAAACTACAGGAAGAACGTAAAAAGGAGAGTTACCGCAAAAGCGATTCGAAGAGGGACAAGGACGGTAGCATTTTCTCATCCATCTTTGGCGGAAGCAAGAAGAAAGAAGAGAAAGAACGGAACGCAAAGAAGACCCAACACCTCAAGGTCCCAGAAGAGCCGGTTTACAAACCTCTGGTCCCTGACGTGGACTATCACTGGACCAGATTTCCCCTACTTGAGGAGAGGGCGATATATCGAATGGCTCATATTAAATTGGCTAACCCCCGCCGGCCTCTGCACAGTCAAGTTCTACTGAGCAACTTCATGTATAGTTACCTAGCCATTGTACAGGCGATGCATCCTCAGATGAACGTCCCCCTCTCGCCGCAACAGAAGAGGCAGGAGGAGGAAGCTCGACGCAAGCAACAAGAGCAGGAATACTTGGCTCAACAAAGATTGCAGGAAGAGCAGGATGCCCAAGAAACCATGGATCAATACGACTTCGACTATCATCGGGTAAGTGCTAGTTGACTACCATGACAATCAGCGTTTACTAATTACACTGTAGGCCGCGGTACAATATGGTGAATCTGGCAGTGGGGAGGTAGATTATGTCGACGATGCTCAAATTTATGAGGATGAGCACGGAACTGATCACCATCAACGTCAACAGCAACAAGAATATGCCTACGATGACCCGGAAGGGTACGGCCCGGGAGAAAAGGAATACTACCACCAGTACCATGACGCCGGGAACGATCGTCGAAATGATGGGCGGGAGGACATGTGGTAACTGTCCGAGTAGTGACACGAAACTCATTTGCAGAGTTGATCGTTATATATGTTAATGTTTTATCCTTACCACTATCATTAGCTGCCGAGGCAAGTGTCTATGGCAGCGTGCAGCGTTTTCAATCAGCCCTAGCATATGGCGGAGTTCCGGAAGACGAGCGCACGAGGGCGTAGCAGGCTTGCAAAGATACACTTCCAATTTCCTTTCCCCTTTTGTGAAACAAGATGGCCATAAGTCTGGTGTGGACACAGTCTTGTACGAGCCTTCTCGGGAGCTTTCTTGGTCTTCCTGTTTTCCTGCGCTGTCAGTCTTTGCGATCCTTGGTGGAGTTTTTTCTAATGTTGGAGCACTGGGATGAGCGTTTATTTTGAAGAAGCGAAGGACGATTTAACACGGAATGAAGGAGAAGATAGTTCTTTGTGCACGGAGAGTATCGTTTGAGGTGCTGGTCACATTTATCATGATTTATCATTGATGGGAACCCTTCAATGGCAGTCACGGACAGCACGAGGTACGACGTTGTAGGATATGACTTAATAGAAATAGAATTGCCGGGGAGTGATATCAGGAGGAGCACTTGATGTGGTTAAACGTAATATTAAGCAATCTTGCAGTCAATACAGTGGTTGTTATCGTTAACATCAATCCCTCGTGAAAGTGACTGTGAAAGATGAAGGAGAAACAGAGCGAGATGTCAGAAGAAGTGTGCCATTGTACACTTGTTTGAAGGACTATGAATTAGGGTCTCTCATTAAGTAGAAACTTCTCTAGTATCTCCCATGAGGACGAACGAGTTTTTTCCCCATGCTTTCCCTTTCCCCTTCAAGATTTCTGAGACTTAAATTATCACATTCATTTTAACATTAGTTAATACTGCAAGCATCGAAGTGGCTATTGCATCCTTTATATCGCCAATACATGTTCTTAAGAAAGGCAGACATTAGATCCGACATTTCTAAGTGGCTGCATGTCACGTCAACGCGAGGAGAAAATATGAAGAAGTATAATTAAAGCCATGATAGGGAATAAGAATAAAGTATATCAGTTAATAAAGATGAAACAGGGAGCATGAAGCTTTACAGTGAACAATGCGCCGATGATCGACAATCTGGGACATGCATATAATGATTTACACTGACCCATTTCTAACTGCGAATCGGATTATTCCTTCTACAGCACAGTCCACCTGCACCCATGACATGAGAATGCTTTGGCATATGATCATGCTAAATAGGGATACACACATGAAAGGGGTCGAGTAGATGCAACAAATTCCGCCTGTTACTGTCATGCGATTGGATTTGATGCTTTGAGCATTGATTGAGCTCATGGAAGCTCAATGTAAAATGCCTGAGCTCGAAAAATCAATGCGTTGTTCGCAATGGAAATCGAAGTCTTGTAGTATGTACGTATCGATCTTTTTATGGGTTTATTGTGATTATATATTCATGTCTTAAAATACGGTCAAATCATTGACTGGTGGTAGTGACAATGTACTTTATCCACGTAAGGTGGCGAAAATAAAATAGAAGATAAGTGAAAGATTGTCCAATGATAGCGTAAGTATCGCAGGCTTAAGAGAGACGAACTCGAATATTTCAACATGAATTGCCCCAAGGCGAAGTGAGTACTGAAGGTTTGTAGTTGCGGAGTCGGCGGAGAGAAAGAAGGACATGGAACCTTACCATCCTATCCAGACACAGCTTCCCAGGAACCATAACGATATCCAGCTTGATAACGAATAAGCTTTGTCTCCTGGTATGTGTTCGTCATTGCTTCCCTCCTGTACCCCTCCCATGTTACTCAACGGCGATATAAACGCTCATGGCTGAGGACTGAGGGGCCGCCGCCCATCCGAAGAGTCGTCATCAACGTCTTTTCACCTTTTGGGTAAGTTTGGCAACTGTCAGTTTTCAATACGAAACCTAAAAGACGATGATCTATTTCCGGAAAGTGATTTTGTCGGTATGTTAAGGAATGTTGTATTGCGCGTATTCTTTTAAAGTTGGTGGCTTATATCGGCCATGTTCCAACAAACGGGTAGGCGTACACCCGGTGGGATAATTAAATATGCCAAAGAAATATAATAAAAATCCATGACTCGCGGCGGGAGAAAATGCTCTCCCATCACAACCGAGCCCAATCCATTTTCGTACAACAACCCCGGTTCTTTGCCTTGGTAATAAAATTAATACACGGTTCCGAGCCCATCATAATGTCTGTAAATTTGGGACGAGAGGATGCCGATAAGGGAATTCTTGCTGTTGGCTTTACTCCAGCTCTGTCGTCGATCCGAGTGTGCTCTGTCGGCGCAGCTTGTTGTTGAGTCCGTTGAATACACGGCTTATTGACTCCTTTCTTCCCCTTCGGAGAGCTTGCGCTTGCTCTGTGACAAGTGAATCGACACGATCTAATGCGTCGATAAAGTTGTGAAATTCGGCGTCATCTTCGTAGCTCAGATGTTCGTCTCGTAGAGCCATGTACTCTATCTCGTGGTTGCTCAGAGTGCTCTCATTGGATGCTGTTGAGGAGGTCCGTCTTGATTTGATGGGGTTGCTGACAGAGCTGTTGTTTGTGTTGGACATGATTGAAGGATTGTGTGAAAATTGGGAGAAATAATTCTGAATTCGTGATATCGAGGCGTTCAGAGTCAAAGATGAAATGGGAATTAAAACAATCGTATGATGAATTGATGAATGATGAAAGAAGACAATTGAGCGAGGCGGCAGCTGCAGGGTATATAAATTATACTTCAATGGGGCCGTACGTAGTATGAGGCGGGGTGGATACGAATCTATCGAGTAGCCGCATATAAGATGATCCAAGCTGACATGCTGTGTTTCCTCGGCAGGCGTCATGGCAAATCAGTCTAGGATCGTCACCTTCGCTTGGAAACATGGTTCCAATCAATTCAATGCACGCACACAGGTGCGTGACAGGTTCATGGGCCATATACAACGCTATTTTGCTATGTATGCATTCGTCGGCGCTGTCAGCCAGCGGTGTGTATCCCCTTGTGCCCACACATTTTGTGTAATGGTCAGTTAGCTAGCGTACTGGGTATCTGTTGTCACTGTAGATGACGACGACGGCCCTGAACGGGTGAATTCACGGATGCTAAAACCAGGTGATATTTCTAAAAAATGACATCTTATACAGCTTGGTATGAACCTTTTTACTTCTTGGGCTCCTCCTTCTTCTCCTCAGGCTTGGGTGTTGGCAGCTTGAATGACTCGGGTGTGCGGTCCTGTCCAGCTCCAACAGGCTCCCAGGCGCTGGAGCCACCCTCAAAGTTACGGAAGGCCTGGGTGAGCTCCAGAGGCTCAGTGACGATACGCTTCTTCTCCTCATCGTATCTGATTTCGGTGTAACCGGTCAAGGGGAAGTCCTTGCGCAGAGGGTGTCCCTCGAAACCGTAGTCGGTCATGATTCGTCGAAGGTCAGGGTGACCGGCGAAGAAGACACCGTAAAGGTCGTACACCTCTCGCTCGTACCAGTTGGCACCGTCAAAAAGTCCGGTGATACTGGGAACGGGAGAGGCCTCATCGGCGTAGGTCTTGACACGGATTCGGGAGTTATGACGAACAGAGAGAAGGTTGTAGACGATTTCGAATCGGTTCTCGCGCGTGGGGTAGTCGGCAGCAGTGACTGTGCTAACCTGAGTGAACTCAGCAGCGGTGTTGTCTGTTCTGTTTTAGCAGGTATTTCATAGCCAATTGACGCGATACTAACACTTCAAGAAGCTGAAGACAGGGTAAACGCCTGAGGGTGAGATGTAGATAGTGAGTTCGTCTTTCCAGACAGAGAACTGCTGGATGTACTTGGGAAGACAGCCCATCAACCAGGCACCGTAGCGGTGCATGTTGTCGGACTTGCTCTGGTACTTGTCGGCAGGGTTGACAATCGGGGCCTTCAGAACGCTGGCATGGTCTCGAGGGGCCTTTCGCAGGTTGGGCGACTCCTTCGGCATTGCGACATATTGACGGGCTGTGTTGGACAAGCAGCGGATTGCTTGATCGTTGCGGACCTGGATGGAGGGCTTCGCGGGTCGTAGAGCTGAGGCCAAGGCCCTGCTTCGGGAAATACTGGTCGCCATGGCCGGTTATGTGACTATTCGAGGCCAATTGGCGATTGGAGAAGTCGTCAAGACGAAATACCTTATGGTGTTGGTAATGATGCTGCAAGCATTGGCTTGAGAATCTTAGTGCCACAGTCGTGATGGAGAACCCCCGCGGTTCAGCCGAGGATAAAGCTCTACTTCACTTAGCGTGCTTCACTTACCGGAAAAGAGGTACTTGTTTATCAGGCCTCCCCTTCTCCCTAAGTTCAATGACGGATATGCCGACACGTGATTCGAGCTCCAAGCTAGACTGTACATGGTATAGTCACATATTCCATCTTTCACTTTCCCGCAGCCTTGATGCATACCAAACACCGTTCCTCTCCTCGTACTCACATTTCCATTTCCGCTCATCGTATTTTGATCTTCCCATTTACTACACTTCAACCTAATTACACACTGTCAACATGGCGCCCCAGGATTCATTCATAGAAGAGGAGGAGGACACCTGGTATGATTTATCACCTGCCCGAGGGGTAGCACTCGCAGTGCACTGCTCCTTGGGTAATGAAAGCTTGGTACCCAAAGCTGACGATTTAACAGCCCCCTCTGTATCGAAGAGTTCGATCTTTCAGATCGGAACTTTCGACCATGTCCTTGTGGCTACCAGGTGCGACAGCCCATTAGCTTGCTGGCTAAAGCTGCTCTTACGGCCACGTTTAACTAACAATGGAGCTGTAGGTGTGCCAGTTTTGTTTTAATAACATCAAGAATAATATGAACGGCTTATGTCCCGCCTGCCGACGACCTTACGACGAAAAAACGATACAATGGAAAGTTGTTACCCAGGAAGAGTATGATGGCCCCTGCCTCGCCACCGTTCCATGCTGACGAACCCCTCTAGAGTCGCCGAGTTCCGTGCGAATATTCAGAAGAACCAGAAGAAGCGAGCTTCCGACCAACGACAGAAGGAGCTAATGAAGCGCGAAGCTGAGAAGGAGAACCGCAAGAACCTCATCGGTGTGCGTGTTGTTCAAAAGAACTTGGTCTATATCACAGGCCTGGCTCCCACTGTTAGAGAAGACGAGCTGCTCAAGACACTGCGAAAGCCCGAATTCTTTGGTCAATACGGCAATATTCAAAAGATATCGATCAGTAACCGAAAGAGCTCGGATGGCCAGCACCAGTCCTTGGGCATATACGTCACCTTCGAATACCCGGAAGAAGCGACGCGTTGTATTCAAGCCGTGCACGGATCACAAAATGGCGACCGAGTCCTGAAGGCACAGCACGGCACGACGAAATACTGCTCAGCTTGGTTGAAGAATGAGAAGTGTGGTAACCCTGGCTGCATGTTCTTGCACGAGCAGGGCGATGAGGAGGATAGCTACTCCCGCCAGGACCTGTCTTCTATGAACAGTATCGCTTCTCAGCGGCCTTTACCCGGAGGCGGCTCCCGGTCTGCTTCCCGACAACAAGCTCCTCATCCTACACCACCACCTGTCGTATCCTATCCGATGACACGATCCATTAGTAAAGAAGGGTCAGAGACTGGTGCCGACGGGTCAGCACTGCCGTCCTCAGCCAACTGGGCACGCAACCCCCAGCGGAGTCGTAGGGGCAGCCTTGCCACTAGTGGTGCTGCATCTAGCCCTGCTGTCTCATCAGCTCAGCCCGTGACGGCAGAACCCGTGCCGGAGGAAGCTGTCGAGGAAGAAAATGAACAAGAAGAGGGAGACGATGACGGAGATGACGAGGAAGAATCTGAATCCGAGTCCGAGTCCGAGTCTGACTCTGAGGAGCCTCAAGAGGAGGAGCCGGTGGCTGGTCCCTCGACTTCTAAGGTCAATGAGTCTAATTCTTCCACACTATCTGTGGGAACCCCCGACAGCAGGCTCAAGGAGATCCTCAAGACCTTGGGAAGCTGCCCTTGGCCCATCTTTCCTGATGCCCCAGCAGACTGGCCGCCTATGTTTGATCCTCATGGCGGTGAAAAGCGTCGAGCAATGCGGGAAGAGGAGGACTCGCGTCTGAGCGGCGAACAAGAAGAGCGCCCTGAAGCTCGCGAGCCATCTGAAGGAGAGCCAGAGACTGGTGGCAGCCTTGCTCTAGGAGGAGAACCTGAGGACCGTGACACATCCAACGACAATAGAGGTTTCGATCGTCGACCCAGCACTCAGCCTCCTATTCAACGAGGCTCTACAGATGGCCTGTTCGGACCCGCTCTTTCCGGAGCTTTACCTTTTGGACAAAACTCAGGCAACCCAGGTTCTCGCTCTATGACACCTCAGCAGCTGTTCCTCAGATCTCAGAGTGGTTTTGATGAACCTCCTCCTGGCATTTCTAACCAAAGCAATGCTTTCCAGAACCAGAATCAGGGCCAAGGTCAGAGCCAAGGTCAGGGCCAAGGCCACAACCGTCAATCGTCGAGATTCAATTTCGCCAATGACAATGCAAGCTCTACCACCAATGTCAAGGTTGCAGCCAACCCTCGCATCATGGCTCAGCAGTCTTCCATGATGCCCAATACCTTCCAGTCACAGGGCAACAACCAGTTTTACGGTGCTTCCATGCCTGGACCACCACCTGGTCTTAAGTCGACCGGTACACCTCCCAGCATGTTTAACCAGTATGGCGGACAGCCCTTCGGTGGTGCTCCCAAGGACAACTCGAATGATCTTCTTCAAAGTTTAATCGGCCGCGGCCGGGCTGGTAACAACCAGTCCCACGATGCGGGAAAGCGTGAGTTTATGATTTCTTCTTTTTCAAACCAGTACCCACCATCCTCTACCTCCACCCCAGCTCCTGCTTCCGGGCTCTTGCCGTCGCTCTATGGTAATACACCTGGAGCATATCAAGACATGGGCTCCAAGCAGAAGAAGAAAGGGAAGAAGCACAGGCATGCTAACACTTCCTCCTCGGGGGGGAGTGGCTTAGTGGATCTTGCAGACCCGAGTATCTTGCAGGCGCGAATGCAGCACCAGTCTCAAGGTAGCGCCGGAGTCGGACAGGGCTTGTTTGGTGGTCAGAGTCAAGGTGGGTACAACCCCAACATGATGTATAATGCCGGTTATGGGAGATGGTAGTTTTGATATTTTCCGGAGTTGTTGCTAGTTGGGGGCTGGATGTTCGACAACCTCTCAACAACGTCGTCTTTTTCTTTTTCATGCACAACTGGGGGCGTTCGGAAATTAAGAATAAGGCCAAAAAGTTGCCTTTTGTCTTCCGCGGGGGTACACGAGCTACAACCACATCTTGATTCTGCAGACATCTTTCGAGATCACTGCTCAGGGGGGTCATCTTTGCATCAGGCGTCATCTGCTTTTGGAAAAAACGGCGGGCGACATGGGATTATCTCAAGTCTGCATTCCGACTTTTTGCCAGTCTTTGAATGACGGCACAGGGGGGTTCACGTCAGGCAAGCCATCATCGTCTTCCATAACCCCCTCATGTATGTTAACAATGTCGAATTCATCCGCCTAGATTTGGCGGTAACCTTGGTCAGAAATAGCAATACCCTCTATTCTCTCCAACTCGCCTCTCGCCCTTCGCCTGCTCTCTCCGTTGTCCCTCCGTGGAAGACGATGGTGGTCGCCGTAGCATGACCCTGTCCCCAAAGTCTTGTATATAAATGGGGTGGTTGTTTCGTAGCGTAGTCTTTGTGCTTTGCTTTCATTTACATGCCGAGTGATTGAATCTATACTAACTATCGTTCAGATGATGAGCTGCCGTCCTTGGACGAGGCTACGAACTCTGTCGATGCGTTGGTTAACGACGACCCGATTATCCCTGCAGCCGGCCTGGAAGGTTTCCAGTCTGTACCGCCCGGCTTGCCCCCACCCCCTGGACTTCCAGCTAGCATATCGAGACCTCCGTCTACTCCAGGACAGGCGAGATTCAGCAGTATTGTGCCCCCGTTGCCTAAGATGCCACCACCAGGACTGTCTCAAGGTGCTTTGACCCCAGATCAATCGCCAAGAAAGCCAAAACCAGTTACGCCTGTCGCCGAAGCTAAGAAGAACATCAAGTCTCTGGCAACTGAAAGTGGCCTATCACGAGAAATCACATCACAGTCGCAGCCTAAGCAGTCTATTGGAGGACCCTTACAGGACGAGGACTTCCCGGCACTGGATGCACTGAAGAGTAAGAGCCGACCTGCTACGCCGACACCAAAGGCCACACCGAAGGCCAAACGACATGCCGAGAAGATCGCGGAAAGGATGATGGCCAAGGCCGCAGCCAGCCAAGAGAGCATGGCTCAGGAGAACAACGTTCAAGAGACCAAGGTTCAAGAAGCCAAAGCTCAAGAAGCCAAGGTTCAGGAGACCAAGGCTCAGCAGGCAAAATCCACATCAGCAACTAAAATACCAGAGAAGAAGTCTATTGCTGTCAACACCCAAGTTGGGAAGTCTGCTGGGTCCAAGGCTGGGGAGTCACCTTCGTCAACTGAAAAGTCTGCGACAGAAGCTTCAGCTGCTTTCCCTCCACTGCCTACGCCTTCATCTGCTGCAGCTTCATCTCCTGTGATCCGGACAGCACCAAAGACATTGCGTGTCGTTGCTACTCCGAAGACAGAAGCACCTACTCCTGCTTCCCCTGCTTTGACCATGGCCTCTATGGCTCTCTCGGGCTCTCGGGTGGTGTCTTCCAGTCATAGGCCAGATACACCCGGCAGCGAGATGGTTAGCGACAACGCTTCGGTAGTATCTGCCTCTGTGACCCACTCTCGTGCGAGCTCCCCGCCTCCTAGCAGAATTGGTTCTGCTGCAGTACGAGCCACTACGAAGAGCCAGCAACGGAAGCAACGCAAGGACGTCTTGAAACAGGAAACTAAGTTGATTGCTGAGGCCCCGGTGCCCGAGTCAGAGGTGCATGCACCGGTCATAGGACGAAAGAAGAAACAGAAGAAGGAGAAGCCTGTAAAGACACCTCAGTCCGATGCTTCTACTTCTGTCCCGGAGCCTGTCAAAACCGAATCCCCCGCTCCCGAGTCATCACTACCAGAACCAGCTAAGGAGTCCGAACGGGAGCCAGAGGAGAAGCCTATCAAGAGCAAGACTTTCCAAAAGAAGGCAGCAAAGTCAAAGAGCAAGGCAAAGGAGGCCGTGACTGAGTCCACTCCTCCGCCTCCATCGCCCCCTAAGGCATCTACCCCCGAAACTCAAGAGGCACCAGAGAAGCCAGAGCTTGGCCCGGGTTCTGTCTTCACCGAGATCAAGAATGCCCTGTGGGCATCAAGCATTGATAAGCTACAACTTTTCAAGCCTATTGCCAATGGTTCATCTCGCACCGACTATAGTTCTGCCAACAACAATGCCAACAAAGCTGAGCATTGTAAGGACTGCTCTTGCAAATGTGGCGAGATTCAGGATGAAGATCTTGCAGCATTGCGCGCGGGCAAGCCTGTGCGAAAGCAATTTCACGTTGACGGCAGCCGTATGCTTATCACTCCCAACGGAGATTGCATCCGTGGCCTAAACCCAGAGGAGGAGGATGCTTTCCTTGAGCTGCAAGCTGCCATTGCCGGCACAGCAGAAAACCCTGGTTCATTTATTGCGCCCAGACATCAGCCTGGAAGTGGAGCGTTCTCCCTCATCAAGGGCAGAGCCGTTCCCAACGGACGGCCCAACATATTTCCCGCTACTTCTCAACTTCAATCTCAGGACCCTATTGGAAAGCTTCAGCGAGAAGATGCACTTAGCTACATCAACCAATACGTCCTTCCTCGTCTCAACCTAGGTGCCACCAACATGGGCTTTCCTAAGGGTGCATCACCTACTAAGGATGCAGCTGCTGCGAGCCTGAACTCTCTCGCACCCTATTTCTATGGACCTGATGCTGCCGCTGGAGTGGGCATCTATAGCCCCCCCGATGGAGCGCGAGCGATGCAAGACTTCAGCTCGGCTGGCATGTCGAACGAGGAGCGTGGAAAGAACTTCGGTATGGGCGTTGGTGGCATGCCTCTGATGAGTGTCGAGGATGCTGAGGCTGCGCTTACGGCTGCTCGACGCGAGACGGAGAAGTTGGAGAAGGGACTCAACAACGTGATTCGACGTAATCGACGACTTGTTCTTGGGGGTAACAACTAAGACAGTCATGAACGACACTACATTGTAACAACACACATCAGCAGGACTCAGTTTGCTATTGGCGGATCGGGCATCAGTGCCCCTATATTGTACGACTTGTATGAAGCAATGCTTACCAGCATACTTGATAAGGATGAGGGGATGAATACCCATGTATTAAAAACTGTATGAAGAAATGATAGAAGACGTCTCAGCGGACTATAGCTAGTAGCCTTGTGGTCCAGAGGATTGCACCAGCGCTAATGAATTGGTAAATAACTTCCATTCTTCTTGGTGACCTATGTATGTAGATAAGCATTTGCTGCCATGTTGCATTGTTGTAAGTCATTGGCCGCACAAGTCACACTTATCGCTTTTCGTCACGTTGAAGTCTACTTTTCCTATCTTCTAATATTAGTCCATTTGTTCATATTGAACAGGAGGCTTTGCCACAGGTCGTCGTTGAACTGTATGTATTGCTGTGAAGATTTTGACAAAACTGTTATATCACAACTGTGGCGTTGTGCATATCGCACGAGAGAACAGAAAACCATCGAAGCATTTCTCAGTAGCCACCATTCTAGCTTTAAACGTGTCTTATCAAAAATAGATATGCATGCGATATAACCTATGAACGCCGTATATGCTGGATGTTCCAATAAATAATAACCCTACCCAAGGTATCAAAACTCATTCCCTCTTCTCTTGATTCTTGTGGTGCACATTATTTGGCGATCGTTGGCGGTCCGCCCCCAGAGCTCTCCTCGCATCAGCTGTAATCTTTTTCCTCCCTTCAGAAGCTATAGACTCGCGAAGGCGTTCTAATAGTCGATCGAGAATCCACTCCGTCTCTTCCTGGCTGCCCATGAGAGGGCTACGGTTGCCGACCCAGGACCAAGCCATGGCATGATCTGAGTCAGAGCCCCCATCACGGCCTTCCTCAGGAGGGTCGTGGACCTTTTTGCTACTATGGTGGTTATGATGATTGTGATGCTTATGATGCTTGTGGTTATTGTGCTTGTGGTGCTTCTTCTTGGGCAGGGCCTTGCGATGTTTGTCGGCATCGCTCTCGTCTTCGCCGATGAGCTTGAGGTACCAAGCCCATTCCTCGAATGAGTAAGTGTGGGACTTTGAGGATTTAAGATGGTTTGTGAGGACTTGTATCTCGGAAATCAAGAGGAAGTGTAAATCGGCTCCTTTAGGTAACTCGTCGTGGGCGTCCCGTATATGGGATAGAGAGCGACGGACCCGAGCTGTGAAGGTCGAGTTCTGACGGCTTTGTTGTGGCCGTTCGTCGGACGAGTCGGCTTCCTCAGTTGGAGGCTGTTGAGAGCGTCCACGTGTGCCTTCTTCGAGATTGTTCTCATCTGATTTAACCAACACATCTGCAGTGTCATGACTGGAAGTCTTTGCAGCCAAACGTCCCTTCGAGCTTCGTTGCGGTAGAGACGCTTCGGAATAGTCGGAAAAGACGCGACCAAACGTACATTGGTTGACAATGTACTTGAAATCGTTAGAGAATGAACCCTCGCCGGGAAGGATAGTGACGTTTCCGAGTCGCAGCGTTCCGTCACGTATTAGCTTGACCACGGTATCTCCGGCATTGGATATGAGGACTGTCATGGTAGGCAAAGCCAGCAGAGACCAAAAGACAAAGAAAGATTTTCCGGCATTTGAAGTAGGGGTTTTGTCGCCGTAGCCAATAGTCGTAAGACTGACGAAACAAAAGTAAAAGCCGTCAAAGTATTTCCAATTTTGATAATTTTCCTCACACTTGACGAAGATGTATGCACCCAGGAGCCAGAGAATAAGCCACGAGCTTGTAGATATCGCCATGGCCATCCAGCGACGCCGAGACGATGTTTGCGCTTGGATCTTGCGCATGAGATCGAACTCTGCCTTGCGACGCTCATACTCTGTAGCCGGCAAGTTCTTATTTGACCGTGTGCCCTGAGAAATAGCAGAATCCTGTCTGCTAGGCCCGTGGATTGGCTCAAGCATGTCGTCGTCGCCTTTCTTAGTCATACTTCGAACCAGACGTCGACGCTTCTTCTCCTCCATACGAGCGTCAACCTGTCGCTTTCCTCGCTCAAGTACCAGGCTGCGGATGGAACCAATGACCAGACCCAAGCTGATTACACCGACTAGGGCGTACGGCATCATGAGAGCTCGCCCGAGGTTGGTTTGGGCAGTGAAGTCACCAAATCCGACAGTGAATAGGGTCACATCTGCCCAGTAAACGGCGTCGAGGTAGTTCCAGTCTTCTATGTTTGAGAAGACAAGGGCGCCGAGGAGCAGATACATGAGGAACATGATGGTCTGCAGCATAAGAGTTCGCTGGCTGGGCGTGAGGTTAAAGTCCTTGCTGTAATGGCCTGTCCAGGCTCCATAGAAGGTGACTAGCATGAGTGAGGCATCAACGAAGTAAAGAATAGCAGCCCACATGCCGTAGTAAAACGCCTGCGACCAGATAAGCTCCTTGTCCGGGTACCCAAAGCCCTCGTAAAGAGGCCCACTGGCTGTGGCGAGCAGGGCGATGAGCAATATGGCAGAGATGTACCAGCCGATGATGGTGATAGGTTGAGCAATAGTGAAGCGAACACGGCGGGTCATGTTGAGCAGGAGAAAGACATTGGAGACGACAGCCATGGCGAGTTGAATGGCGTTGATGACTGTGAGCCAGATGGGGTCGGCCACGTAGGTCGCATCGTTGACGTCTTTGCCAGGATAGAGATGTTGTCTCCAGGGCCGCACGAGAGCGCATATACTGAAGGCTGAGGCAACAGGACCGAGGGTGCCGGCGATCATGGGGAATGCCGAGGAGGCAAACCACCAGCGGCTGAGGAATATGGGTTAGATGATGCGAAGGAGAGGACACTCATGGTACAGGCTTGGTCTTGGGCTTACCTTGGAGCAAGATGAGCATCGTCATTTTCTATGCGTCTCCCGTGAGAGACTGAATCTTCAAAAGCTTCAGTCTCCTGTTGGATGTTGTCTCCTAGGTCGCCGTCGTCCATGAGGAGTTAGAGAGAGCCAAAGATGGCTGAGATGGCATGTGTGTGTATGTTCGAGAAACAGAGGTCCTATGAGTAATTATACTAGATATGTTGACGACTAGGAATCTCTTATCGTATAAGTCAAGTCGATATCCAAAAGTTTAATGTTCTTGGCAAAAGAAAGAGCCCCATATCGATCGATTATTTCGAATCTGGGGTTACGATAGTAATAAATGAATGGGGAATTCTCGGCGTGGGGGATGGGACCTTTGACACGCTGTGGAATGACGTCGGGACATAGATCACACTAACTTAGGTACGCTACTGATTTATTCTTTATTTAACTAGGTAGGGAGTGGCATGGAAACGAGTTTTAATCACAAGCTAAGGTCAAGTCCTGGAACAGTTGGTGCCAACTTTACTTTACTTGGTAGGCCTGTAAGAGATGAGCAGGGTCATTCAAAAGCATTAATGCGCGGATATAGCGGCTCAACAAGGTACGATCTAAGGAAAGCCGGCATCTCCCTTCCTTAAGCCATTCGTTACTGTACGTTAATATGCTGAAAAGTTTATTTACTTCCTGTTTAAATCCAATTATCTCATCCAATCTGGTCTTGTCCAACTTACATGTGCTATCCTGCTATTGCGGGCCCTTAGAGGTAGCCAATTATATCAAAGAATCCGTCGGTTGATTTAGTTTCCCCTCCAGCTAAACGAGACAAGCATTTTCTCTTGCAAACAATCCCTTGCAGCAGTCAAGCAAGATCTGGGCTGTCATTATCTACACTCCAATAAGAACCAATCTTGCACAAATCTTTTGTTTACTCTTCAAACTTCATTTACTTGGATCTTCTCCTGGGTTAGGTTTATTGACCTATGCGGCAGGCTAATATCACAGCCACGCGTCATTGCAGCTTGACCTTGTCACAGACTGTGTAAGTCAATCCGGCAAGATATTTATCTTTTCACCTTGACTAACTCCATACTACAGCTTCAGCTTATCAAAAGGCACACCAAACCGCCTACCCTATGCATCGGTAATGCTGTAGTAGCAGCAGCATGCAAGCATGTCTTCCTATTCATGCCCTTTGTCGCGTCGCTCCTAGTCGAAGTCGACTCATCAGTAATTTCCCCAGACACTGGCAGAGGCTCTACAGTGCCCAGAATCATCACCGCGTTAGCGTGCGATGCGGCTCAGCCGGCCATGTGAACGTTGAGTAAGCCATTCTTCTCCATTACTGAGCATGAATCATGAACATAACATCCCTGATGCATTTTGAATAGCCTCCTCAATATTGACGAGCAACCAAACTCTCCTCTCTTCATTCATCTCCCACCCTCCCCTTCAAGCGATAGTAGCCCTGCGCCAATCCCTAGATTCCTTCAGGACAAACCAGTTGCAAGCATAAACTACCGATGGAATTCGGTCGACTATGATACAGATGAGTCCTCTGCCCCTGCCGCTGAGGACGTCTGGCCAACGCCTATTCACGATACCCTCTTCGCCTACAACTGGCTCGTGGAGAACCTTTCGCCCCCGGGCCTTAAGAGACGTGCTATCTACGTCTATGGATCGCACATAGGAGCAGGCCTTGCTGCTTCTCTGGCCCTCACTGAATCAAAACCCCACCATCCCTTTGCAGTTCGAGGTCTCATATCATATAATGGCATTTACAACTGGACCATGTTCTTCCCTGATCACCCAGCGAATCGAATGGTCGACCGATTCGGAAAACGCAAAACTACAGGAATCTACGCCAAGCCTAAGGAGGGCAGCTACATGCACTATCTCCGGCAGAACTTGCCGACGCTATTCCAATCCACAGCCGACATGTTCGACGTCTTTGCTAGCCCAAGTCTCCTCTTTCATAACCCAGGTCTAAGAATCCCGTCGTCTTACCACATGTCGGAAGAAGAAACGACGGCCATAGAAGTCCTGACCAACCCAAACGCCGAGGTCGATACACTGACAAAGATGCCGCGCAAGTCATACCTGGGGTTTCCGCCCCGCACATCCATGCTCAAGATCCCCGAGACACTGCTGCTGTACGACACGCTTCCCGTGCTGCTGCCTACAAAGAGAAAGCGTGGCAGACCTTCAAGCGGAAGACAATGGGGGAATAGCCATGAGCTGCAGGCCAAAGAACTAGCCGGGATGATGCAGCGGAGTATTCTTTCCTATGAGATGAAGGCGCGAGGGCATTGGGATGATGATATAGGTGCTTGGGAAAACGAGCCTATTCGAAGGGTGAAGGTGAGACACGCTGGGGAAGAGAAAGTGTCGTTGGAGATGGACCAGAAGGGAGTGGAGGCGGTAGAAGAGTGGTTGATGGAGAGAACACCATCGTAGAGTGGGCATGATGAGTATGATTTGATGTGTTGCAGATATACTCTGCAGACTTGTATAACATGTATAATACCTGTATAATATGTATAATACCTGTAATGGATCATCAACGCTTGATAAGGATGCATTTGAGTGGCACAACGCTAAAGCAGGTGACGGGACATGAGAAAGCTTGTCTGGTGGGGTCAAGCTTGATTGGATCCCTTGATTCAATACGTACCAGCCAGCGGCTGTCTTTATCTGCGAGTCTAGATTCAACGGCTGAAGCACGTAATGATCCAGGGTTCAACGAAGCTCCCTAATCACAGCATGAGCGTTGTCTCATTGACATAACCTGGGTTAACAAACCTGGTTAAGTACAATAAAACGACATTCCACGACCCAAGCTCCAGGCCAGCTTGTCACCAATAGCTCGCCTGTGGTTCACGGCCCATGAGCCACTAACTTGACCCAAAATGAAAGTGGAACTAGCCGATGCACGTTGTCGTCAGGGCCGTCTCTGTTCTAACTTGGCGGAGCAAAGGGGATGACAGCGGCTAACGTTAGCAACAGTCACAAGGCCAGGTCACATTCTTTTCTTTTTTTTTTTACTATGGAGGGGACCCCTTGATTCCAACAAATACGATACGTACCCCAGTTTCAGCTTTCCTTTCTCGACTGTTATTATTCCACGAGAGAGAAACCCCAGCGTCTGCAGTAATAAAACAAATGTGTGAGATGCAAGATTAAAAGGATACTTGACTCACTCCTCCAATGTATTGTGTACCAGGGGTAATCTGCCGATAATCAAGATCAATAACGGATGCATGTCACCTAATTCTATTTCTGCCGTAAAGAGCAGTGGATCCGTACCCTGGAAGTGCTTGTTTTTCAGTGGCCGCCTCAGAATTTACCCATCCCATACGGGCCATACCTGGGCCAAGGATCCATGCTTCAGTTGGAAGATTGGATGTCACCCACTACCGTTACCGCTGCCTTCTGGCTTGCATGTAGGTACTCTGGGCTGGCTAAAGATAACCTAACTGACGAACTGGCCATGGCTGAGCTGTTTCATCTCCCGTCTCTCCGCCACTATCTCCAACCTTCGACCTTGACTTCTCTTCTTCCTTTTAACCCTTCCACTCACACCCTCATCTCTTGTCTTGACACGATAGCCACTCTATCGAGCTTCATTTGGTACGTTATCACACGAGACACAACTCATCGAGAGCTTCTATTCCTTGACTGTCTCAGTCATCTCAAGATAAAGCTGCCATACAGCTTCTCCAGTCCCTGGAAGCATAAGCAGCAAACCGCAAGCTGACCATCTATCTAGAGAACCATATACTCGCTCCATAACATCCATCATGCCTGGCATTCGTAAGTTCTACCATACCAAACCCCACGCTACAGTTCTAACCAGCACCCCAAACAGCTCTGCACGCTCTTGACAACCTCAAGGCCAAGCTCAAGGCCGCCTTCAAGAAGAAGGACGGAGAGGCCAAACCCGCCGAGCACAAGCCCACCGAGACAAAGCCTGCCGATGCCACAGCTACCACCACCGAGCCCACCAAGACTGAGGCCGCTCCTCCTGCTCCCGCCAGTACGTCTTGCTCCCTGTGATGTAACTCTTTATACTTGTTTACTGACTGAGATACGTCTGCAGCTGAGCCAGCTCCTGCGCCACCTGCAGCTGAAGTTGCCGCCCCTGCTCAGGAGGCCGCCAAACCCGAGACTGAGGTGAAGCCTGTAGAGCCCGCACCTGTCACCGAACCCGCTAAGATTGCGGAGGCCGCTCCTGGTACGTGACAGCAATAGAAAGTTTCGATAATAAGCCTAACTGTTGATAGCTCCCGCTATTGAACCCGCCAAGCCCGACGCCGCTCCGGCCACCGAAGCTCCCGCTGCCGAGCCTGCGCCGGTCGCTGCTCCGGCTGCGCCAACCGCTCCGGTCGTCGAGACTCCTGCTGCTGCTCCTGCTGCTCCCGTTGCCCCTGTTGAGGCCCCCAAGGAAGAGGAGAAGAAGGACGCCCCTCCTGCTCCCGCTCCTGCCCCCGTGGCCTCGGCTTAAGCGCACATGGAAGATACTTCTTTTCTGTTGAATGCATGCCATAGTACGCTTCGGCTACTGCTATAGTGGCATGAGTCTTTTAGTTATATGACGGGTTCGCCCTGTCTAAGTTTGTCCCCTTTTCTCCTAGCAGTTGGCTGGATACCCAGAGAGAAAAGTGTTGCGATGCTTTGTTTCAAATCTATACCCGCTTTTCCATATCTAATACACAAAGGACTATCTATGTCATGCTTTCACTGACTCCGTAATATGCGTTTCAAGTGCTCCACATGCTAATGCAAATATTCTATGAGTCCCTAGCCCACGGTGCTTTGGTAACAGTAATTTGTGCACTCGTAGATTCCGTGCCGGGCGCAGCGCGGGGTGGCCTTGCAAGAGATCCTGTACTAGGGCCTGGTGGTGGCGGCATACGAGAGTAGGGAATGCCGGGACCTGATGCAGCTGGCATTCTTGTGGCCTGGGCCCAAGGCGCAGCTGTTCCAGCTACAGTTGGTAATGGGGGCGTCATTGTTGCTGGCTGGTTCGCCATATGGACGCTCTGAGTTGGTGTTGCAGCCTCTGGATCGATATCCCATGAGAAGAGCGAGCCGAATGGAAAGTGCTGAACAACAGGAAACTTGGACAGCACCTCTGCGTTGAACATCTTGACCATGCCCTTGTTGATTTTACCCCAACCGTCTCGAATGCCTGAGATATCGAAAAGGATAGGGCTGTGCTCCCAGAACGGCCCCTTCTTCACGTCGTTGATGAAACCGATGGCAGAAAAGTACATATTGAGTTGTCGTTGGTCTTCAACAACAGCGGCTTTTGTAACGTCGCTGGGCTTAGGAGCGCCTCTCGCGGAGCCCTCTAATGGCATCGGTTCGTTTTCGTTGATGGGCCGTGTAAGTTGTGCAGAGCCGAAGATGTATGGCATAAAGGAATGGTCGTCGAGACCCCATACGCCATGGGATCCAGCAGGTTCGAGTGTGTATGTTAGGATGAGCTTGCGCACCACATTGAGGTATCTAATGAGGTTAGTGGTGAGTTTATAGAGTGTTTGCCAAAACTTACGGCTCGATAACCTTGAGGACAATCTCGCGCTCGATCTCGCCTCCTTGCTCTCCATCTTTGAAGTATCCTAACTTCCATAGACATCCCAAGAAGGCGACGAAACTGAGCTCATGCCCTGTCCCGTAATCTAATCTCTGGACACTGCCAAAACCACCAAGGAGATAGCTAGAAACCTCCTCTTTTGCCTTGCCAACCTTCAACGTTTCATCTAGAAGCCCTTCTCCAAGCAGCCCATCCAGATGCTCCTCAAATATGGCATACCACTTGCGGAAGCTGACATTTCCGAACCGGCGAGGACCTGGGTCAGGTGGCGCTTCGTCGATAAAGCTTTCGATTTTCGCTAACAGGGCTTGGAGGGTTTGGACAGACGGCGATGTCGGCGGCTTCGAGCTAAGAGGAAAAGTGCGGGGGACAGGCGACGAGGGTTGGTGTCGAGGACATAATGCGCGGTTGAGCTGGAGGATAAAGACCCCGATATCGCGGTAGGCGAGACTGGTGAGGAAGCGTGCGACGTCAGGGCCTTCGTTGATGCGTTTTGAGGGCTTGGTGAAATCTGGCGGGGAGCTTAGGTCTAGGATCTCCAGACTATTGAGCTTTGGAGGGGTTGCAGACGTCATATCGACGGTGGTACGGGACCTCTCGCGATGCGATGCTGGAAGCCGTTCGATGTGTTGCTGGATTTATGGTTATTGTTTGAGTAACTCAAAACAGTTTTATGAGTGGATCGAGGTTTGGCGTTAGTGTTTAATTGAAGTTGAGCTTGCTGAGTTGATATCGCGGGGTGCAGGATGAGACACTTGGACTGGACCTGGGTGACGAAATAATCTGAGCTTCCCTACTACCTTACTGATACGCAGCTTAAATAGATAAATGAATCGAAAAAGGTTACCGAAGGCATTCAAATCATATCATACCTTCTGGGCATCTCAATATCAAGTCTGCATCTAAGTCATCTATTATGCTCAATTTGTCATGTCTATCTGGTCATTAATCAGCCTGGACTGATGTCGTGTAAATTCCGAGATATTGGAATCAGCATGCATGGAGACAACATTTACTATACGTCTCCTGAGTAGGCGGGCAAAGAAGCTTACGGTGACAAACCCCTCGCTTTGAACTATTGAGATGTATGTACTCAATAATAGTCCTGAATATCAATGGATAGCTGCATGCATTTTCTCGTCCTAGTTGGACTTTGCCTTGCCATCTTTTCTGTCGCAAAGCTGCTCTACTTAAGCTCCCGCTTCTTAAAGCTTCCCGCATGTCCCACTCCCACCCCTGCACGCGCCTGGCTTTCTTTGTCTTGCGCACGCTCGTCATAACAACCCATTGCTTGAACTTACCGCAAGATTGCTTTTGCAACCCTCAAACTGAAAGCCGTTACGTTTAAATAAGGCCTGTTAATCCTGGCAAAACTTAATCCCTACAAACAGGCGTGGAGGCGTGATATGATCGCCGTCTCGAGCTATCGCAACACAATAACAAAAAATTGAACATGGCGCGGCTGCGGTCTGAAGGTAAGGCCTCTGACACGTCGGCTGAGCCTAATTCTACAACACAATTGCGAAAAAGAGGGAGGAAAAGTAATGCATTGAAAGCATCCGTGCCCGAGCCTAGTGTTGAAGCAGAGACCATTGTATCAGCGAAGAATACACGTCAACAATCATCTGCGCAGCCAATATCTGAGGACCAGCCTTCGTCGTCTACTCGAAACCGAATCACCCGATCGAACAGAAGAGATTCTCCCCTTGCGAGACTACCAACGCCGACCCCTAAAAAGCGTCGCTCTACTATCGCTGTAACCCAGGAGAAGTCCACGAAGCGTCCGCGCAACTCCACTCATAACGATGGAAATGAATCTACTATAGAGGCCGAGCCGCCTCGATCGAACCAAGACGATGAGCATGTTGCACAAGAGAGCGATCAGTTTTTCAACGGCATTAATGCGAATATTCTTACCAATCTTCGACCTGGCAGCAGTGCCAAGAACTCGGCGGAAAGGGAGGGCAGAGCAGTGGTCGAGGTAGCTTTACCTAAAGAGGTGGACGCAAACCACAATAATGCTGAAGCCAGTCAAGTGACAGAAGGGCGCGAGGCTAGTAGGGCCACTGCTGAGGAACCAGAAGTAATTCATGCCCCGGTCAGAAAGCGAAATAGATCGACCACAAGGGCATCCCGAAGAAAAGCTGAAGCTACTGATCAAGAAACACCTGGGTCAGAGCAACCAACCCCGCAGCCTGATGCCTCACAAAGACAAGCTTTGCGTCCAAGTCAACGAAAGAAGAGACGGCAGAGCAAGAAGGCGGCATATGGCGAACCCAACTATAGTTCAAGGGCACCATCACCAGAACTAGGCTCACAACCCTCTCGAGCATCAGCGGAACGAGCTCCTACACCGAAAAAGGCGCTGGATGAACAGAGAGCGTATAACATACCATCATCCGACGACGAACAACCCAGTCAGATCGTCTTGGGGAGGACCAAAGATAAGGCGCGCTCAGCATCAGCTGTGGCCAATCAAGAGAAACCCAAGACTAAACGAAAAAGTATGACGGACAACCGGCGAAGCAGTCAGTCGGGGCAGAAAACAGCTCAGCCTGATCAGCAACAGGGCAGATCGAGTCGACAAAGCAGTAAAGCCGCACCGGAACCTCGAGATGAAGATGAAGAGCAGCAAGAGGAAAGGAAAGAGGAGAAAGAAGAGCGGGAACAAAGTGATGATGGACATGGTGAGAATGATGTCGATTCTAGTGAAGATGAGCCTGACGTGGAAGAAGAGCCTGAAGCATCTCATTTGGCTGATGATTCACTTCTACTCGACGCGCCACCGGAGAATTCACAATCAGGAATCTTAATCCGCACAGCCCGTGTGCCACGAAAACCCGTACAAGACCTCATGTACTCAATGACCCTTTTGGGGTGGATGAACAAGAGGCGCTGGGAGAAGGAAGTTCTCGAACAAGCCAAAGCTGGAGCAGAAAGGTTGGCTGGCGACTCAAACTGCCGGGTGCTATCGACGATTATCCTGGCCAAGCTTTACAACCTCTACAAACTGTGCAAAGACATCCCGCGAGTATCGAGGCTTGAACAGCTAGCATATTTACGTGAGCATTCGATACAACTTAGCACTTTGATCAGTACTCTTCACCAATCCATTGACCAGTTCATTTTGAACATCAACACTATAATCGAAGAGGGGGACCCGGCTCGAGAGGGTATCGGACGCCAGCACGTTACGAAACTCCATAGACGTATTATTCCTACTCTGGTACTAGTGTTAGACCAAGCATTCAATGCTGGATGCAGGCAGCCACTAGGGGAGAATCAAAGAGCTAGCACCCAAAAGGGAGACTTCACAGTTTACCTATTAGAGCCCTTGGAACGAGCTGCAGGCTGGACCCAAAGACTTTCCCACGTTGTGGAGAGCTGGTATGAGCTTCACGCACCTAGAAGGGAACGTGACAGGGAGGAAAAGGCAAAAGAGCACCGGGACAGGTTCAACGCTGGCACATTGGCACTGAAGCGAACGCTGGAGAAGGCTAAAGAAGACATTGGTAGGCTCACGATGACGCCTAGAGAACTTAGGAAACTCAGGGAAAGGGATGACGCTGTGCGAAAAGAACGCGAATTTGAAGCCCAACAACGCAGAGAAACTCAAGATTTACAGATGCAGCGTTTCATACAATCGGTCCAAAAGGTCAAAGTATCTCAACCGCAACCCAGGATGAGATCCCACCGACAAGAGCTACGTAATCCCCAACCAGCAGCGAGTCATTTAGGCCTGGATTCATCACAAAGACCCCCAGAAGAGGGGTATTTCGAGAAGCATGGATGGCATTACTGGGAAGACGACCAGCTCCTGAGTTTGATTCGAACCACGTCCCATCCCAATTACAGCGTCTTTTGCCAGATGATCCCTAATAGGGACCCGGCTGAGCTGAGAGAGCGATCGGAATATTTGAGGAGGGTCATGCATGACAAGTATGAGCGTAAGGGTATTTCGCCTCCAGGCTGGTGTATCGACTAGGAATAATACGTATACTTAGAATTACTGGAGTTAAGGCTATTTACTTATGATACCCAGATTAGCTTGATGTTATACATAAGTAGTGACGGATTCAAGCGGGAGTTAGATAAAGCATTCACTGAAAAACTCACATATCTATCCGAAGCCTAGGTCTTGACTCTTATTGTATCGCTCATTCGTGTATCAGTGTAGAATTTAACAAATAAAAGTTTAACAACGCCATACAGTATATGTACCTTTCCTCAAGAAAGTATACAATTACTTCGAAAGTCACATAAAACATCAAAAATAGTGATCCAATAGAAGAATATCAAGAAAAGCTATCTTGGAAATCGCTCTTGAAGCCCATAAGCTATACTTACTTAACAAGGGCAACCCCAAAGCTAAATTTAATTGAGTGCCAGAAGTTTAAGATCATGGTAGGAAGATTACTGTCTTTAATCATCGTTGACTCAGTGGATGAGCCGTTTTTCGTGTTATTCATCATTCAACGTTGAGCTTCTGCCAACGACGTGTTGCCACATCATTAACTCAGTGTAGCGTTATCTACCTGTCACTCAGTGCCTATATAGGAAATAGAGCACCCATGAAGTCGCCAGCACACACTCTCGTTGTTCACTATGACGAGTTGACCAGTTAGACATCTAGCCTGTAGCAGCCTCAACTTTCATGGCATTGAGGTTTTGTCTATATTTGCAGTCCATGGAATCGGGGTTGAACGCCTTTACGCCACAGTTTGTGATCAAAGGACGCTTATGCCCAAGAAAGTAAGGCGGCAAATCAGGGCTAACTTGCTTCTGGCAATAAGTCAACATGTCATGATTTATTTTGGTCGTATTTACGCGTTTTCCACGCGACTTGGGAGATTTGATAGATTCAGCCATAGACACAAAACCCCCCTTTGCGTCTCTGGTCTTTAGGCTGCGACTTGACTGGATATCTTAGTGAGGAACGGGCAGAGATCAGGCCGAGACTTCATTATATACAGCTTGGAATTCTTTGGGCTTCTAAAAGGTACCCAGCCCAAGTCGCCACTTGCATTGCATTGCATTACATATAGTGCCTTGGTTAATGCAGGACCAGACGTAGCCCAACATGTAAAGAAGACTTCTACGAGGTGTCTCAGTGGTCAGACAAATCATTTGCTTCAAGAAATGGTCCGGAATCTTCATCTCAAGACATTCAAATGGTGGTCCAATGTCCTTTCACTCGTAAAGACCATCAGCTATTGGATCTGAGGCCAGGAACCAACCGCCACCCGCGCGTAGCTCAAGGACCCCTGAACTGAGGAGGCAGTGGGTGGCCCCTGGAACCCTCGCTACCGTCCGACTGCTGGGGTCCATCGAAGAGCCCTGGAAAAAAAGTAATGGGATATTAGTGGCCGGTGAAGGTCCACTTAGACCACTCGGTTGTGGAAATGGGGGAACAGCTGGGCAGGATCACAAGGCAAAGGTGATGGGCCCCGGAGGTACGTATCCATCCGCAATCTAATATCCCGTCCCATCGACAAGACAGCTCAGCTTTCTCTTCCCTTTCCACTTCTACTACTTCTTTCTTCTCCCTAGGAAGCCCGCAGATATCGTCAGTAAAGAAGTCTTTGTAGTCTTCTTCAGCTGCTTAATTGCATTGTCTTCTTTCTCACATTCCTTATTTCCGTCTGTTTTGTCCTCTTTTTACTACGTATCAGGAAACCACCAGCTAGCTGCCAACAAAGCGTGGTTTTGCTGGATAAAAAGGAGACCGACCATAAGGTGAGATTAACCAATTCCTATTCCCGCCCCTACCGGCCTACCCTTGACCTAGAGTACCGTGGCTCGTGCTGGTTCTTGAGCTATTATCTCTTGATCATCCTGGGATAACACTCGAGCTTGGTCGTTCGACGGCTGATCCAAACTAGCGTGCGACGGCGTATATATACCCATTGCACACCGTCTCTGGCTGTTCAGGTTGCTAATCTTTCCTTTTCTTATAGAAAGTTTCTTCTAATACCTATTCGATTCCGAAAGCATGTCTGAGTCCGAGAGCGTCGACGTTTCTCAGCATGAGGAGGCCATCGCTTCCTCATCTGAGGCGGCACCCAACGAGCCCCAGAGCCCTCTGGCGACGGAAACGCCTGCATCCCCCGAAACACCAGTGAAGGAGCAGGCCAAGGAGGCCGCGGCAGCAAAGCCGACTCTGAAGCAACCTGGTGCGACCCCCGCGACCGGTACTCGTCGCCCTGTCGCCACTTCGACAACGGCCAAGCCCACCACGGCCAGCGCTCGTGCTCCTGGTGGTCTGAGCAAGCCCCCGACTCGACCTCCTACCTCGACCGTTCGCCGCCCCCCGACTGCGAGCTCCATCTCGAGCCACCGAAGCCGGCCCAGCATGAGCGCCAGCGAGGATGACAAGAAGTCCACTACCTCTAGCGTTTCTTCGGCTCGAAGGGCGAGTTCTATTGTATCCAGCCCAGGCAAGACTGCTGAGAGGAGGACCATTGGCACTACAGGTTCGACAACCGCCACCCGACGAGCCCCGTCTACATCGACCACGGCCCCACGAACTGCTGTTAGCCGAACTTCTGCTACCCCCACCAGTACGGCAACCCGCACGACTGCCACTCGAACAACTGGCACAACACCTACCGCGAACAAGCGACTTTCTACTTCGGGATCCTTGACTGCCGCTTCGCGAACCGCAACTCGACCTACTGCAGCTTCCGCGGAGGCTGCTAAAGAGATTGAGGCGCTCAAGGCTAAGCTAGCTGAGGGTGAAACCGAGATTGAGAACCTCAAGGCGGAAGTCAAGACCTCCGAGGAGAAGATTGCAGAGCTCACCGAAAAGGTGGGTAAGGAGCCGGTGGCTACCGAGACAGAGTATAGGTCCAGCCAAGATACCGGCGTGGCATTTGCTTTCCTCAAGTCTGAACATCAGTCTGCAATTACCGCTCTCGAGTCCCAGGTTTCTGAGGCAAACGAGAAGCTCCAGGCTGCCGAGACCGACCTTCAGAAGCTTCGAGCTGACCTTGATTCTGCTGTGAGCGCGAAGGAGGCCAGCGAGACCGAGCTTGATTCATTGAAGAAGCAGCTCGAGACCGCTCACAGTGAGAATGAGGAAAAGCTGAACTCCAGCCAGGAGGCACTCCAGAAGGCCATCGAAGAGAATGCTACCAAGATTGAGGAGCTCAAGGCTTCCCTCGAGGCCGAGAAGGCCACGGCTATCGAGGCCTTGGAAGTAAAGCATAAGGAAGGTCTTGAGAAGGATCAAGCTGATGCGTCCTCCCAAGAGTCTGCTTTGGCTGATCTCAAGGCCCGCCACGAGGCTGCGACCGCTGAACTGCAGAAGAAGATCGATGAGTTGACCTCTTCTCAGTCTGCCCTGGAGTCCGCCAATGATGACAAGATCAAATCCGAACAGGAGGAACACCTCTCCAAGATCTCTGCTCTCGAGGCCGAGGTTGCTGAGCTTAAGGTTAAGGTCGAGACTGCCGAAAAGGAAACCGAGGCAGCTAGGTCTGAGATCGAGTCACTCAATGGCGAGATTAGCAAGCTCCAGTCAAGCTTGACTGAGAAGGAGTCCGAGCTCGAGAGTGCTAAACAGGACCTTGCCAAGACTCAAGAGGAGGCTGCTTCTCTCAAGGCCGCTGCTGAGGAGGCTCAAAAATCTCTTGCCGAGAAGGAGGATGAAATCGCCACGGTCAAGGCCAAGTACGATGAGCTCGAGGCTCAACACAACGAGCTTCAGTCATCCTCCTCAGAGACTGTTGCAGGCCACAGCAATGCTCTTGAAGCCGCCAAGGCTGAGCACGCCGCAGCCGTCGCCGCTCTTGAGGAAAAGCAAGCCGAGCACCAGAAGAACCTCGATGCGCTCCGTGCCAGCCATGCTGAGGAACTCGAGTCTGCAAAGAACTCTGCTTCCGGCGATCACGATGCTCACATTGCTGAGCTCGATTCTCTTAAGGAAAGCCATGCTAAGCAACTGGAGGTCATCAAGAACGAGGGTGCTACTTCCCATGCTGATGAACTTGAGTCGCTCAAGGCTGCTCATACTAGTATGCTAGAAGCGCTCAAGAAGGAGCACGGTGAGGAGAAGGAGAAGTTGGTAACTACTCACCAGAGCGAGCTATCTTCCGTCAAGAATGCAGGCGAGGAATCTCACGCCACTGAAATCGCTAAGCTCATGTCAGAGCTTGATAGTGCAAGAGAATCTGGCGAGAGTGCCCATGCAGCCGAACTAGAGTCTTTCAAGGCCAAGCTCGAGGCTGAAAAGGTGGCCAGCGATAAGGAGCATGCCGAGGCTTTGGCCACGGCTCAAGCAGGAATTGATGCTGCCAAGAACGCAGGCGACGAAGCCCACGCTGCTGAGATCACCAAACTCAAGGCTGACCTTGAAGCGGCAAGGGATACCGCTCAAAGGTCTCTGGAAGCTGAGTTGGAGGCTTTGAAGATCCAACTTGAAGAGACCAAGAAGACTAGCGAGAGCAAGCATGCTGAAGAATTGGCCAACCTTAAGGCTGAGCTTCAAAATGCCAAGGACGAGGTCGAGAAGGCCCGCGCATCTAACTCAGAGGCTATCGAGATGGCTCGTTTCGAGCTTGAGAAGGAGCATGCCGACGAGGTTGAGAAGCTTCTGGCCTTCAACGGCGAGGTTATGGAACGCATGAAGAACGAGGGTGCTGACGCCAAGAAGGAGTTGGAGGAGCTGACCGGTGTTCATACCAAGACCATCGAGGATATGATGGCAGAGCACAGAAGCAACAACAGACACTTGGAAGAGAAGCTTGCACAGCAAGCCGCCTCCAACTCTGAGCTCGAGACTGCTCTCCAGGCTGCTCATGAGTCTCTTGAGAAGGCTCAACAGGAGGTTGAGGAGCTTTCTCAGCAGCTCGCCCAGGAGAAGACAGAGCGATTCACCGCTCTTGCTGAACTTGAGGACGCGAAGAACACCAAGCCTGACAATTCTGAGGCTGACTCTCTCAAGCGGGAGCTTGCTACGCTCAAGAAGTTCCACGAGGATGTCCTAGCTGGTGCTGACGCTGAGCTCAAGGGAACGCAGAATCAGCTTGAGGATGCAAGGACCAACTTCAACAACCTCACACAGGATCTTGCCCTTGCTCAGAAGGAGCTTGAGGCGTTCAAGGCTGAGGCTGACGCAGGCAAGAAGACAGCCAGCGCCGACTACCAAGATCTCAATGATAGCATGACCGCGCTCGTTGAGGAGGCTACCAGCAATGCCAAGCAGCTCCAAGCAAAGTTGGACGAGACTGCTGCCAAGGTTCAGGACAGCGAGAAGCAGATCGCGATCCTCGAAGCTCAACTCAAGGTCAAGGATGCTGAGATTGCTGAGGCAAAGGTATGTTTTCGTTCTCCAACCTTGGCAGGGGATGTTGACTAATGAGTGAGCAGGCCAACGCTGCTGCCAAGCCAAAGGGACTCGCGGCCAGCAGATTTGCCAGCGCAGAGGAGGGCGACGACGCCGCTGCTGCAGCGGAAGGTGAGGAGATTGACGACCATTCCTCAGTAGCACTTGCTTCGGTGCGAAAAGCCCCTGCATGATGCACCAGCACGATGCCCAACTGTGTCATGCGAACTTTTGGTCAGATCAAGGCTAACACTCTGCGTTATAGATAAGTAAGGCCAGACTTACAGCTAAGCAAATGGATACCCTCGATAGGGAAATGAGGGATCGCAACTTGCAGTGAGTAACCCATCCTACTTTCTGGGAATAAGAGGGAGGACAAGCTAACACACAATCTCAGGCTGTTGAAGGCTATCACGGATGTCAAGTCACCAAAGCTGGGGGGTGAGCATCACTTCGAGCAACAGCAATACAGTTAAAAGGGGCATATCGCACGATGCATCTCTAGTTCTGTTGTGACTTTTTACTATTTAGTTCTCTGTAATACCCGCGGCTTGATTGCAGAGCCGCAATTTGCTTATTGCTTTCATCACACACAACATTATCGACAAGGCTCATAGGATATTGGGGTACAATGGAGGTGATTAACTGTCAAAGACTTGATATGTAACAAGAAAAAAAAAGAGATGGCGTGGAATAGGATGTTGTCTGTGTTTTGCGAGTTACATACATGTCTGTACGACAGTGTCGAGAAATAATGATACCCTGGATTATTTCAACGTGTTGAGTGTGTTCTATTCTGCTGTGCTGATCACTTGTCTACCTCGACTCAAAGGAGACAAGCGATAAACTACGAGTCTTGGCCTTATTAATCGGCCAAACTCTAATAATTATTCTTATTTGAGATTGAGCGCTGTAATGCTCTCACCTTATCACTGCATCTTGTAATCATCCAATGGCCAGTAATGCCGAATAATTCAACCAAGAGCGGAGACGGTCTCATGCATTTGGCTGAGACACGATGACGTTCACGTGGGTACGAGTATTGGATGAATTAAGTATGTGTTGTACATATATTGTTCTATATAATAATTATCCTCTCAGTACAAATCTCACTGTTCCACCATTTCTGAAGGTGCAGGATTGACACTTGTAAGATATACAGTTGCCATACAAGAAGTCTATCTGGTGAAAACATATCATACACCCAAGACCCCGCAGCTTTTCCATCACTCATCCTCACTCAACTTATACAAGACAGACAAGACAATATGGAGGGTTACACTATCCCAAACAAACCCCTCGCCAACAAAGACTCAATCGTGGCCGGTGATCAATGGCGCTTCACCTTAATCAACGACATCGTCCTTCGCTACGAATGGTCTGAAGATGGTGTCTTTGAAGACCGCCCATCAACCTTTGCTCTCAATCGAGAATTCCCTACCCCAAAGTTCACAGTCTCTGATACGTCTGACCAGCTCGAGATCAGAGCGGAGGCTTTTCAGGTCACATACAACAAGAAGCGCTTCGACCGCTACGGCCTCGTCATCAGCTTCACCAACAAGAACACCCTCTGGGGCGCTGATTGGCGATATGGAGAGACGCCTCAAAATTTGGGGGGCACGGCGAGGACTCTCGATGAAGTCAATGGGCGGTGCGAGCTTGAGCCTGGTATTCTTTCCAGGGCTGGGTACTCAGTTCTCGATGATAGTGACTCTATGCTTTTCGACTCTTCTGGTTTCGCAGCGCCTAGACGACCTGGAGATCGCATTGATGGGTATCTCTTCTCGTACGGCTACAACTACAAGGCCGCTATGCAAGCTTTCTTCGCCATCTCTGGAAACCAGCCGCGTTTACCTCGCTGGGCATTGGGAAATTGGTGGAGTCGGTACTATCCCTATACTGATGACGAGTACCTGAAGCTCATGGACAAGTTCGAGGCCGAAAAGGTCCCATTGTCTGTAGCTGTTATTGACATGGACTGGCACCAAGTCCATGGTGACCATATTCCCCATGCTGGCTGGACGGGGTACACGTGGAACAAGGAGCTCTTCAAGGACCCCAAAGCTTTCGCCAAGGCGCTGCATGACAAGAATTTAAAGATAACTTTGAATGACCATCCCCATGGTGGTGTTTATCACCATGAGGATCAATATGAGGCCATGGCTAAGGATCTGGGACACGATACTTCTGACAAGGCGCCAATTCTTTTCAACCCTGTTGATCCAAAGTTCATCCATTCATATTTGAACACGCTTCATCGCAGCCTCGAGAACGACGGGTGTGACTTTTGGTGGATTGACTGGCAGCAAGGCCCGTACAGCCGTGTACGAGGTCTAGACCCTTTGTGGCTTCTTAACCACTATCATTTCCTGGACCACGAGAAGCAGAAGGGTGACGGGAAAGCCATTATCTTCTCGCGCTTTGGAGGTCCAGGAAGTCATCGCTACCCCGTTGGTTTCTCGGGCGATAGCATCATGACATGGGAGTCGCTTGCGTTTCAGCCTGAGTTCACTGCCACAGCATCCAACATTGGGTATGGTTGGTGGAGCCATGATATCGGTGGCCATATGGGAGGTTATCGCGACGATGAACTTGCTACTCGCTGGGTGCAATATGGTGTCTTTTCACCTATCATGCGACTCCATTCGCAAAACGGCCTGTTCACCTCCAAAGAGCCCTGGCTCTACCGCCCTGAATTTACAGCTGTTATGAACAAGTTCCTGCAGTTCCGTCACCGCCTCATTCCCTATCTTTACACAATGAACTGCCGGTCGTCGTCGGATGGAGAGCCCGTTGTGCAGCCTCTGTACTGGAAGTTCCCGGAGAGAGACGAAGCGTATGAAAGGCCAAACCAGTACTACTTTGGATCGGAACTCATGGTTGCGCCTATTGTGAGCCCTCGCGACAAACGAACGAATCATGGTGCAGTCGACGTTTGGGTGCCCCTTGGACGCCATGTTGATATCTTCACTGGTGTTATCTATGATGGTGATCGTGATATCAAGATGCATCGAAGTGTCAAGAGCATGCCTGTGCTTGCACACGAGGGTGCTATCATTCCTCTCGATGGAGATGTTTCTCCTGGCAATGGGGGTGAAAGCCCTAGACACTTTGAAGTTCTTGTCGCAATTGGCAAAGACGGTGGAATTTCCATCGAAGAAGAACCTGACAATGACAAGAATGGAGGAAAGGATTCCAGTCTCACGCTCGGTTACACCCAAGCAAGCGGTAGCTCATCGTTTGAACCGAAGGGCAAGTCCTGGACTTTCAAGTTCCTCTCTGTGATGGAAGTACCAAAGGACTTCAAGGTCATTGGAGGTTCCAAGGATGAAGAAGTTTCCGGCGTCGAGACACGCATTGACGATCATCCCAACGTGCCTGGTTTGGTAGTCCACATCCCTGAGATTCCTGGACACTACGAGAACGTATCTATCAAACTCGGCGATGACCCCAAATTGAGCGTCCTTGATCCCTTGAAGCGCATAGAGGACCTCGTGCGGGATTGCCAGATGGATATGTGGACGAAGGTGAAGCTATGGGGAATTTTAACAACATCTGAGCCTACAGTGGTGAAGATTGGGCAGTTGATGGCTATGGGATTAGATGAGGTGTTACTTGGGCCTATTATGGAGTTGCTCATGGCTGATAGTCGGTATCGAACATCTTCTAAGTGAGGTACCTGAGGGTTAATGGGTAGATGAGTTTTAGACATGGTCTTGGGCTGGTTAATCTATCACCATACACTCTTCCACTGGGTATTCATCACAACCACAGCCAAGCCACTGCATTATGTCGCATAGGTAATAACACCACACAAACTAAAAGTTTAGCTGCAGCGACATCATGTTTGAGATAATTTTGAGATTGAAATCATGATATAATATATAATAGTCTATACCTTCACGTTTGCTACTAAGAAGCGACTCTTACTCATGCCCCAAACAAACATACCCCAAAGCTTGATGATTACAAGAGAAATGACCGACCCAAACCCAGTGGGTCTTATAAGACAAGGACGTTATTTCTATACTAACCCTACCTCGCTTCATAAACATCTCGGTTCTCCTCGGGCTGAAGTCTAGCCTCAGACGCCGGCAGCTCCACAGGCTTGGAATTTCCATCCATTTCGGCCTTTGCATAAAGATTGGGAGTGACCTGGTATTAATGTTAGTATATAGTATTGCTTAGTGACCCAGAATCGTAAGGGGAAGATAGGGCGGATACCTTTTGCTCTAGCCCAGCGTCACCTCCGTCGACTTTACGTCTTCTCTGTCTGCGTCTCATGTAAAGGAACCCGACAACACACAGAGATATGACACCAACTGGAACTGATACCCCGATGGCTATCTTGGAACCGATGTGAAGGTCATTGGAAGTTGGTGTAGTTGAAGCCGTCGAGGCTTCCGTTTCTTCTGGCTGTGCAGTGCTGCTTGTACGTGACGTCCGAGATGATAGACCACTTGTGACTAAGAGCCTCGAGTGATTAGCACCTTACCTCAAGTAACAGTGTAACAACCTGCTAACCGGTCGGAAGATCTTCTACGGCAGTGCTCGCCAGGACACCGTTACCAAGCTGGCAGTACTCATGGAAGATACTCGTGGCACTGGAAGCCTCAGTTCCCCAGTGAGAGCACTCCTTGGCGACGGCGGTAGCAATGATGTTCTCGAACTTGGAAGAGCTCCGTGTACAGAAGCAGCTGTACGAGGTGGTTCTACCGCCATCGCCACACTCGGAGACCATGTCTCGGACGATGCTGCTGATGGGGCCTTCGGCACAGTATGGTAGGGAGTCATAACTGTCAAGCTGGTTGAGCCAGAAATTAGCTCTGACTTGGCTTGCTAAGATGAGGGTACATAGCTGGAACTGGTAGAGGCTGTTGAAGGACATGCTTTGGACTTGCTGCTGGGACGAGGGTTATTCAGAATAGAAGTGGGAAGAATGACGAGAAAAGGGAGCCGGTCAACCGAGATGATAAAGCCTGGGATAACAACAGCCAGGAGAAGCCCAACAGTCTCCGTGAGATGAGAACTACCGACATACCCAACATCATAACATCGCTGCTACGTTGTGGCTTAAAAAATGGTAACATGGGCTGTGGGCCAAGGTCTCAGCTGAAATGCACCTCAACCGTCATGTAAGTTATAAGTGAATATTGATTGCTCTGGCCAGGGTTTGGGCCTTACATGTGACAACTTTTGAGCAAGGGATCACGAAAACATCCTCCCTGTATTGAGATCTCGGTCGGTTCACAAAGCGGTATGAGAGTGAAGTGTTTTACGCCAACATGGTCATATGTCGGTCTTGACAAGACCAAAGTCCGCAGCCTTATTTCTGCAGCGACCCATCCATCCATCACACGGCCTCGAACCGTCCATTGGCTGAGGCACACATTCAAGCTTGCAGCTTCAAGCCTGAATATGCCTAGGCCATACTGCAGAACTTGCCACTCTAGCCGTAAAATTGCTTCTTGAGGTCGATACATAGATTCAAAAACACCCAAGTCCGGGATTTACAGCTTGTTTTGGATCAGCCTAACATTGTTACCAAAGTTGTCAATAGGGCTCTGGCTTACGTGTAGTAAATGCTCCGGTGATTGATAGATCAAGACTGGCACTTTTGTTTGTATATGTAGCGTTGTTTGACATGGAGTGGTTACAAAACGTCCAGAATCGAGGGGAGACCGATTGCTCTGAAGGAGGTTTTATATGAATTCTATGTTTATACTAAGAGTCTTTAGATAAATAAACTGACTTCAGTTTTATATCGCTGAGGTTAAGTAGAACTCTTTACGTGTATACGAGGATACTATTTCATTTGCTTAACCAGAGCTACATCTTCACTGACCTTAGTGCCATGCCCACCTCATCAATATCTAATGATTTGGGGTTTTAATCATAATTGCCTGTGTACTTTAGCACGCAGCATAAATTACCACCTACATACTCTCTCTATAGAGGCACTTCTAACTAGTACAATTATAATAAGGTAATATTTCTCGTCTCTACCGGGTCCGTACCAGCAAATAACAACTCCCGTGGCAAGTGGGGCAAACTTAACCCCAACATCGTCACTTTCTGACCTACCTCGACCTGACTCATCATGACAACGAGACTCAGAAACGCCAATCCCTGCGATGGATGCGCACTCAGACGCGTGAAATGTGAAGAAGGAAAACCCTGCCATGAGTGTCGCGTTAGAGGCATCGAGTGCACGGCCTTGAGGACCCGGAAGAAGCGTGGGCCCAAGAATGGAGTGAGAAGCAGTACCAAAGAGAGAATCGAGAAGTTCCAACAGAGTATCAAAGACAATGAACCTACAGCATCTCAGACAGATGTACCAACTCGGTCCGAACCTTCCAGCTTCTTGCCCAGGCCGCCTTACCGCATACCGCTCTATGAATATCAACGGTTCCTCGAGATCTCCAAAGGGCCTGTATCTTCCATTTGGATGGTTGTTAACCCCGATGAGATTTTAGCCAAGATAACTGAAAATGCCGACGATCACGAATCTCACGCTCTAGCAGCCTCGTTATGTGCCGCCACCATAGCTCAGCTGCGACTCCCAGAACACTCTGGACCACGAAACACAACATCATCTCTTCAGTTCGCCACGGAGTGTCTTCAACTCCGAGAACTCTATGACCATCGCGAAAGCTTCAGTCTTTCATCGGCGTTAATACCCTTCTTTCTTCATGTTTACCACTCCAACGGCAATAAGCTACGCACCGCTGGCATTTTCCTGAGAGAATCAGTTACGCAGGTCCAGCTTATGCAACTCGGAAATCCAGAAACATATGCCGATCTGAGCAGGCACGAGCAATCTCTTCGACTACATGTATACTGGCTTATTCTCATCACGGAGAGGTACAGTATCTAAACGATAACCCCAGAGGCTAGTTGCTGATACAGTGTAGGACATACTCTGCGCAGCATGGTCTACAAGCAGTTCTCCAAGTCATCGACGTTTTTCCCGACACACAGGACGATATGACTGATGAGCGTCGAATGCAAGCTTTCGTTTCCTTGACGAGGCTATTCGCTTATCTTGAGGGCAACTTGACAACAATCTCTTCTAAGCAGCAGCCACTGGAAAGACAAAAGCTTGTTTCCTACCAAGCCGCATTATGTCTTGACTCGCACGATCACGCTGCCCGCGAAGCCCAGAGAGTTGATCTTTTCGTTACCCGGCAATGGATCAGACTTATTCTTTGGGAGTACACGGCACGCCACTTTGCAATGTCCTGTTACCCTGACGACGAAGCCTTTTCCCTATTTCTCCCTGTCAAAATCGGCCACAAGATGCTTTCCCTCTTTTCAATGGTGACGAATGCGGCTATTAAAACACACGGATACGGGATAGTGAGTAACTGATGACCTCACAAGTTTGAATTGAGTTTAACGCAGGTGGCATAGGAACTCAAAGTATTCAGACTAGCAGATGCTATGCTCGACATCGTTGCATGCACCCCCTTCTCTGCCCATAGCAACGGTATGCTTGTTGGTGCAGGAGATATCCTGAACTCTTTGCAGCATGTTTTGCAGTCTGTTGGAGGGCCTGAGTCTGGTTTTCTGCAAAAGATACAAACTCGCATGTCACAGCTGGAATTGAATACTGGATCATGGCCATATCTTGCTATTCCAGAAGCAGAATGTACCGTAGAGGAGATAGAAAATGATAATGACTGATGTTGGGTTTGGTTGTAACTAGCAGGCCTTTTACCCCTAGTATTTCACTGATAAACTATGCAGGCCTGTTCATCATCTTGGTGGCCCATGAAAGTGAAAGGACCTTGAGGTAAGAGTTTGGATATGTCACATAGTAGCAGAATGTTAGAAATCAAAGAATGCCTCAAGACTTTGAACGACAAGAAACGAGAAACAGAGATGCATTTATTGACACGCAATTAAGAAACTACCATTCATCAACTAGCTCTTCCCCTGTGGCTTAGTTGGCTAAAGCGTCCGACTGTTATTCATAGACAATCGGGAGATCGGAAGTTCGAGCCTTCCCGGGGGAGTTATTTATCACTTTTTGCGATACATAGTTATCGCCCTTGTCTTTCTTTTTCTATCAATATCATGATGTTGAGGGAAGATTAAATTGTGTTTGTATTTATTCACAAATGCTTAAGTCGGTATAGTAAGTAGCTAGTTAATGGTTCGTACTATCCAAACTATTGACCATACCTTAGTATGCACAATGCTGAACGACCATGTTTAGAACATGAACAGTGTTCAACATTGCGTATGATTTACAAGAAATCCATTGATTTCTTCCTTCAATTACTTCTCTATGCTATAAAACCATCGCACACAGCATCCTCAATTCCACCTCATGCTAAGAACATCTCCCCCAACATGATTAGTTTTCTATTTGTGGTTCGGTGATAGAATATTGTACAGATATAGAATGGGGAGCAGAGTATTATAAAACTACTGCTGTATAAGAGATTGGGACCTAATTCCTCCAGAAATACACATAAACTAGACTTGAATCCTCAGAGAGAAATAAATTCAACAGCCTGTATCACATCCACGTGAGGGATATACGTAGTATGCTGACTTCGGTTGGACCCACCGTTACTATCACGCACCTCAAAGGCTCAACCCCACCACAAGGATAAGGCTTCGATCAAGTTTAGAACCCGCAATATGAGTGATCCGCTTAGCATTGCTGCAAGCGTGATAGCACTGCTTCAGCTCACAGCGACCGCTACACAGTATCTCAAGGACGTCAAGCATGGATCAGCTGATCGGCTGCGGTTACGCGATGAGCTGAGAAGTACGGCCTGTCTTCTTGAAATGCTCAAAGATCGCGTTGAGGATGCCGACGATGCGTCTGAAACCGAAGAGACCCTCAAACCTGGATCTATACGGGCTCTAGCGGAGCCCGATGGCCCTCTCAGCCTCTTTGGGCAGATACTCCAGGAAATCATCACCAAGCTTGAACCACAAGCTAGCTTGCGTCGCTTGGCCAAGCCTTTCACTTGGCCCTTTGACAAAAAAGATATTTCTGAGATGCTGAACTCTTTAGAACGTCTAAAAAGTCATTTCAGTCTGATTATGCAGAACGATCTTCGGTACGACTTTGCTAATTCAAATTTAATTTCTATTTAAAGCCGTGTTACTGTGGCTTACAACATGTTTAACATTAGAGAACTAGCCAAATTATCGAACCTTAAACTGAATGACCTGAATGATAAAGCTGATAGATCTGAGGCTAAATCACGAGATGAGGAAGCAATAAAGATCATCTCTTGGATCAGCCCGATTTCTTTTCATGCGAAGCATATTGATATTCTAGAGCGAGTTGAGCCAGGGACCGGCACTTGGCTAATTGAGCATGACACCGTTCAGGGCTGGCTTAGAGGAGATATTAACGTCCTTTGGTGCCCGGGCATTCGTGCGTTACTCATCGCTACTATCTGATAGTTGAGCTAATATGGTGTTTTAGCTGGAGCGGGAAAGACAAGTCTAGTGTCAGTCACATAAAAACTTGATGTTCTCAGATGAATATCCTAACTCTTTCAGTTCCCTAATCATCAACCGCCTCGAACAAGAGAGAGCTGCTGACATCACTTGCGCGTACGTCTACTGCGATTATAATCAACGCCTTGAGCAGACACCATATGCTCTACTCTCGAGTCTACTACAACAGGTCCTTCGAAACTTCGCAGACCAACCATTGCCGGCAGATGTATCAGTACTCTACAGTCAACACCAGAAATATGGCACACGTCCTACACAAACCCAGATCACAGAGATCCTTCAAAAGCTCGCTGCGAAACTAGCGACATTCTACATAGTAGTAGATGCTCTAGATGAGTGCGGCGAGTCTGAAGAGGACGCTCTCCAGTTCATGGAGATAGTGTCTTCTCTGGGGGCACGCGTCAAGGTTCTCTACACATCTCGGTTTTCTACCACCTTTGAGGAACACTTCAGCCAGTCCGAGAAGCTGCAGATATCTGCTCAAAACGCTGACATCACAACGTTTCTTGACGCCCAAATCCGTCAGAAATACCGCCTATCGAGGCATGTGCGTGCTGATCCAAAGTTGAAGGATGAAATTGTTGAGACCATCATTCAAGAGTCTCAGGGCATGTATGTCGAGTTTTCAAAGGCCTTTCGGCATTCTTCCTCGCTAACAGGGGCAGGTTTCTGCTCGCCAAGTTGCATCTAGAATCTCTTTCCCAAAAGATCAATCGCAAAGAGGTGCGGATATCTCTCAAAACTCTCCCCGCATCGCTAAATGCCACATACTCGGAGGCTCTGGACCGAATATACAGGCAAGCACCAGAAGCAGTAGAATTGGCTGAGGCTGTGCTGTTTTGGGTATTATGTGCGAAGCGCTCCTTGACAATCTTGGAGCTGCAACAGATATACGCCACCCAAGACTTGCCAGAGGACGCGGGTCTTGAGGAAGATGATCTCCCAGACGCTGACATCTTGACTGGCGTCTGCGGAGGACTCATCATGGTCGATAGTGACTCCAGGACTGTCCGACTCGTACACTACACAGCTCAACAATACTTTGAGCAATTCCATAGCCAGAAGCTCACGCAAGCGAGGATCAGCATCACGAATATCAGTCTCAAGTATTTGGCTTTGCCAAACTTCTCGAGTGGGATTTGCACCACGGACAAAGCCATGGCCCAACGCCTCGAAGAATACCCTTTCCTCGACTATGCTGCAAAGCACTGGGGTGCTGAAATCAACATTTTTGATCAAGATGGCCACGTTCCGGCCTTTGATAAATTGGCCTCCAGCACCACTGCACTGGGAACCACCAGTCAAGCTTTTGGGATCCCTAGCGACCGTCATTCAAACTGGAGTCAAGAGTTTCCGAGAGATATCCCGGCCCTCGTTCTGGCCGCTACATTCGATCTTCCCAGGGTACTCGAACGAATGGTACGGACGGGCCACGACTTGGAAAGTAAGGGGACTGATGAGGATACGGCGTTGATTCGCGCTGCAAGCTTTGGGCACCAGGAAAATGCACGCGTCCTCCTGCATCTAGGTGCTGATAAAAATGCCCGAGATCACATGAACGAAACAGCTCTCCAGAGGGCTGCCGGCAATGGAGAGGCCGACGTTATCAAAGTTCTGTTGGAAAAAGAAGCTGACGTCAACGTGAGTACATCAAGCGATTGGACTGCTCTTATGGCTGCTGTTTCTAGTGGCAACATTGAGGCTGTCCAGATGCTGGTGGACGCGGGAGCCAACCTTATGGCGGAGACTGTTTGGGGGGACTCTGCTCTCAGCATCGCGACCCGCAATGGTCAAGAGGCTATTGCCACGCTTCTGGCTGACCGAGGCGCAATTCTCCCTCATGGCCCAGCTGGCCGTCGAGCGTCCACTGTGGCTTCTCGCAGAGGCTTTTTGCAGCTTGTCCGGCGGCTCACAGCCGACTATGAAGCCGTCGCCAGCCAGCCTTTGCAGCGCCAGAGTCTCAGGATCATGGGCGGATTGTCTCACATTGGTGAGGTTGATGAACCGGCCAGAGCAGAGGAAGAAGCCAGCTCCGCCGAGATACCTGAACCAGACCAAGGTGACTTCTCTGAGGCGACAGAAGGTCTGGATTATAACATGGGATTTTCGAGACGTTATGACTTGAAGGAAAGTATTGGCAAAGGCCATTTTGCAGAAGTGTTCTCTTGTACCAACAGAGTAACTGGTTTAGTATACGCGGCCAAGGTCTGGAAAATCGAGAGATGGATAAAGGCTTCCACCAAGATTGAAGGGATTCACAGTGAGTCCCATACATTGCAGAGAGCACAGAAGCACTCGCAAGCCAACATCCTGCGCATTGTCGATCTTTTCGCCGAATACGCGGAGGCCAAAGTTTACATGGTTCTGGAACTCGCCCCGGAGGGAGAGCTGTTCAACTTTATCGTCATGAAGCAGCGTCTGACGGAAGCTGAAGCTCGAAAGATCCTTCAACAAATTTTCTCTGCGCTTGAGTTCTTGGTGAGTTGTGCTTGTTTTGAAGGAGTTTGCCTGGAGACTGACGCAGAGCCAGCATGGCTTAGGGCTGGCACATCGGGATATCAAACCGGAAAACATCCTTCTGTTCGACAAAGAGTGCCTTCACATCAAGCTGGCCGACTTTGGTCTCACCAAGAATATCGGCTGTGAGCCTGATAGCGTGGAACTTGCGACCACTCTCTGTGGCACACCTAGTTGTCAGTGAATTTCTTCCCTTCGCTCAACTGACCACTACTAACAGATTGTCCAAAATCTCAGATGTAGCCCCTGAAGTCCTTGAAGATAGGGCACAAAGACGATACGGACTCGGCGTCGATGTCTGGTCTGCTGGTGTCGTCTTATACATCTGCCTTTGCGGCTTTCCGCCATTCTCCGACGAACTCTACTCCGAGGCATTTCCCTACACCCTTTCACAGCAAATCAGGTCCGGAAGGTTCGACTACCCTTCGCCCTATTGGGATCCCATTGGAGACCCAGCGCTTGACCTGATTGACAGCATGCTTGTTGTCAATGCGGAGAAACGATTCAGTGTTAAGCAGTGCATTAGCCATGCATGGACGGTTGACGCAAGTACTTCTATATTGCAGGATGTCATTAGGTCAGCCAGTCCAGAGCCGATGTAAGGTTCTATGTTTGTGCTTGATGTATATAGTTGCGTGAGTAAGGCGACTGCAGTGTCACTGTATCCTAGCCACCCTTCTTCATATCTAAGGACACGTGCCACATTTCCTCCACGCGTTAGTCTCATTCTTTCTACGGGCTACTCGGTCTTGCAGAAGAACTCATATGCTCATCTTTTGCTATATTTGAGCTAATGTTTCGGGTCTGATTGCTATTTCAAAGGTTGAAAGGAGAATGGCAAAAGAACGACAGACGGTAAGAATAGGTCGGAAGAGACATGCAGACTTGAAAACCACTCTGCCAACATTTATCCTCATCCCACAGTCATACTTGATAATACCTATCATTTCATAGGTTATCCTTGTACAAAACCCTAACGACCCCTCCTAGAAGGCTTATCAGTATTTCCACGAATTTGTAACTTCACGTCTTCGTCCTTCACTACCAACAGAGTTCCCCGATCTTATCGCCATCTACAGCCCTACATTGTCAACTGTTCTACACGAAAATCGTACTCAACCAGATGGTTCCGAGTCTCTAAGGCGATTCTGGATAAATGTTCACGCAGGTAGGAAAATGGCGAAGAAGATGGTGACTTGATATTGAACTATAAGAACAGCCGGGTTCCACTCTTACAGCATTTTCCATCTCTCTAGCATTAACAGACGGTTTTGTCAATGCTATACAAGAATCCAAACTCGTATCAGTTAATAAATTTGTTAATTCGCCAGCAGGCTGTTTTCGGCTCATGTCACCAGATCCCCATTTATGTTTAATATCAGTAACCAAGCTCCTCAGCTACAGTTCCGTGCAGGAGATCCGATAATAACCCACCCAGGATATACAAAATAATATAGATATATTGAATACAAAGTGAGTAGAAGATCTTAGGTCTAATCTTAGGCTAAGACTATATAAGATTTATTGAAGAAGAAGAATTTATCACAATTTATAAAATTTATATAAAAACAAGGAGATATCGGAACTTGTACACCCACACTGTAGTAGCTCTAAACCTGAAGACAAATATGGCTCTGTGCCGTTGTAGGCTGAAACAAGAGAGATCATTTTTCCTATACCAAAGAATTCAGGCGAGATACAGCAAAAGAGGAAGCTGACAGGACCCCTTGGCTTTACCTCATGTTCTGCAGCTTGGAGTTTATGGTGTATCAAGATGCAGGTTGTATAGTCAGAGCTAAACCCGAAACAGTGTCTACGTGCCGCTGTAGTAAACCAAGCTTTAATAATCAGCGCTTAGGCAGATTCAATACCGTCCAAAAAATAATGGAAATGGTCATTTAAATAACATTCTTCCACCGGCTACGCTCATGAGAATGACATTTTCATGTAGGATAACTAAAGAAGTATTATTACATACTTGACCCAAGTTCAGACGATGGAAATGAATACCACGATGGATATCAAATGGTTCCTGCGAAATGATGCCCTTGAAAGTTGACCAATCAGAAAAGGGATAATACTTCCCAGGGTCCTGTTAAACAGGCACAATCGCCAAGTCTAACCCAATCTGATGACTTGGAGCGCTGTAAGGCTGTAAGTGGTCTCGAAGTTGTGGCTGCGCCATGCAGCAGATGTGTCCAGGGCAGAATAGGGTCAAGATAATAACGCAAGCCATGGTAGTCGGAGGGAAGTTCTGTGTATATAAGTGTTCATAGTTCCATGTCGAGAAGATCATGTCAATAACACCATAATTCTCGCTCATTTGTTGAGACGTTACCCTATAACGAACGACATATTACACTACACCATGGCTAATCCAACGAAAGACAACCTCTATGGCTACGATGCTAATAAAATCCTGCCCATTGTTACATCTGTAATAATTGGAATATCCCTTATCGGACATGGTATTCAGAACAGGTATGTAGCATAACTGCATGCTATCCTAGTCACCGTTTTGACCAAAGCATAGCCGGTACAAGTTCTGGAGAGTCACCTTCTTCATGTTCTACGCCAGCTTATTCTTCTTCTTCGGCTGGGTGATGAGAGCCGTCTCTGTACGAAACACAGATAGCCTTGCCTTGTATATGATATCGACCATCTTCATCTACCTCGCTCCGCCAATATATTCGGCTGCCGAATACAACACTCTTGGACGCCTGATGCACTACCTACCGATGCACTCCATCATCAACCCGAATCGCGTTGTGTATATCTTTGTCTTTCTGGGCTCACTTGTGGAGGTTTTCACTGCCATTGGTGCTTCTTGGATCGCTGCTGGGAATGGAAGACAGGATCAAGATCGTTTGAGCTCAGGTGCTACGTTCATGGCTGTCGCTGTCATTCTTCAAGCCATGATCGAACTCGGCTTTATCACCATGGTCGGCATTCTTCACCACCGCTGTTCAAAGGCCAATATGCTGCCTTCCAACGTACGAACGCTATTCATCATGCTCTACGGCACATCAATCCTCATTCTCATCCGTTGCATCTTCCGCGCCGTCGAGACATTTGAACTACGAGATATCCTCGCAAGCGGTCAAGACAATAGCAATGCACTCATGAAGCGCGAATGGCCGTTTTACGTACTAGAGGCCATCCCCGTGGCGCTGTACACCTACTGGCTCAACATCATCCACCCAGGACGATATCTCCCGCACGACCAGCGCCAGTACCTGGACTTCGACGGCAAGACAGAGCGCATGGGGCCAGGGTGGATTCACAAGCGTCACTGGATGATGTTCATCGCAGATCCGTTTGATATGATCGGGATGTTGACGATGGAGAAGAGAGATGCGTTTTACCTGCGGCCGAGTGAGTGGCCTGAGACGGATAACTGCTTTGCTCAGGGCAGGGGTTCGAATGCCAAGCCGAGCAAATATGCAGCGATAGCCAAACACGAGTCGAGGGTCTGATGCAATGGCCGAGAACTGGGGACGATCATGATGGATGCTCGTGTTTGGGATGTGTTTCTTTTTAGTTGCGATTTCTTTTATACAGATGCAGCATGAGGAAGAGACTCTGAGGATGTAATTTTGCTGGTTTGAGACAAGGCCTAACTTGGATGTATATTGTACATTTCCTTCTAACATGAGCGAGCTGCTTTGTTGTATTTTAAGCTGAGTGATATTGATAGACCCCAAATGTAAGATACCTAGAAATGGAATTAAACTCACCATTAAGCTTACCTCTCAACCGTTACTGATCTGTCTCTTGGCTCTAAAATTAGGGAATGATATAAGAGGATGACCAAAGAGAAGGATCATGTGTGTGTGTGTCAGCGGAGCGGAGAATAGAAAAGCCCCTGGACAACGGACGATCGGTGACTTCATTGCCTAATGCGGCCCCACATACACTACCCGTTAAACGACGCAAGGTTCCCGGCAATGACGTCGCTTGGCGAAGCTTTGACAGAACCTTGGCCCGGCCTTGGCCCAGGGGGAAGGAAGGAAGGGAAATAAAATAAAAAATGCCCTGACAACAGTGACAGACGTCATATCTCAGTCACTGCTTGCAATCAATGTATCCCTATCTGTAGATGATGGACTTTTAGTGGTTCCATTTCTGTAAAGCCCCTGGCCTTTTGCACTGAACTGATGATAAACAAGACCGACGGGCCTGTTACTGCTGCTCTTACCGTTGCATTCACTAAACGCAGTGCACGTCAGTCCCGTCCCTTCTCATCAAGATCAGGCTACCTACCTTAGTACTTCTCTTAAATAACCCCGTCTCAAAAATTAGACTTTGCCACTGAAAAGGGCCCTTTTCCTTTTTCCTTTCCCTCTGATCCGATCCTCCACCCAATTTCCAAATTCTTCCTAGAACTGTCGAGTCTGGTCTAGCTTAATCTCTAGACTGACTTGACTTACTCTCTCGAACCAATTCATTCCTCCTCCTTCTTCCACCACATCCACTATCAAGCAATCATCACAGTCAACTCCTACAAACAAACACTTCAACTTGTCACTCCGCAATCATGCCTGAAGTGCGAAGGGGCAGCCTTGCGCCCCCGTCCGACTCGGCGCTGTCATCAGACGCTGTTATTGCTCGTCCGGCGCAATCTCATCAATCTTCTACCGATCGCGTGCGATTCAACATCCCTGAAGATGAGGGAGCAACATCACCATCGCAACCGGGAGAGCCTCTCGAATCAGCCTTTGCAGAGCTCCCGCGTCGAACATCTGATGGCCCTAGAAGGAACTCAGAACTCCCCAGGCAGAGTTCGGATCAGCGACGGAGTCTGTCCTATGCCCAACGCCCTCAAGCCGAAGCATACTACGATTCTCGAGCAGCGACCCAGCAAGAATACCGACGACGAGCTACCACTCTTCTAGAATATTACGATGAGAACCCTCAGCTATTGCCGCAGCTTCCGTTTACTTGGCACCACGGTTGGAAGCGCTGGAGGCTCTTCATCTTTGCCTTCCTCGTTTTCGTTGACGCGTCCGCCGTCCCAATTGCTCTCTACTACGGTCTGAAATACGCGGGCGATGTGGAAGGCTGGATCATCTTCGCTGTCGTGACAACAATCTGGGGTGGTCCCACGTATCTCGAATTCGCTATCCGCACGCTCCGATTGATCAAGGTGGATAGGTTCTACCGGCCTCTAGGAACGAATCACCGGTGGTGTTTCGATATGCTGACGTACTCGTCCACCCTTACTATCTTTGTCGTTACTGCTCTGTTCATTATTGGCAGTGCTCCTCATAATGTTTGGCTAAGGGTTCTTTGCATGCCTGCCCCGGCAATTCTATACTGCTATGGCGGTACTCTTTTCCTCATCACTCTTTTTCACCAGATGAACTGGCCCGCCCCCTTCCGGATCAGTTCAACTGCCAAGGGAGAAAAGGTACGTCTTGATGAATGTCACTGGTTGTCATCATACTAATTGTATTCCAGGTTCTTCCAGGCGCCTACTACTTTATTGAGGATGTTATCGCGGTTAATGCCCTCGGTGGCCGACCCTACCGCGAGGCTTTAGCGGCTCGCTACAAGGCCAGCCCTCGCTTCCGGCAGATGGTGTACAAGCAATCCTGGTTCTGGTCCATCCCCGCGCTGATCCTCGCCGTTCCCCTAACCGTCATATCCGTCATTCCACAAGTTCCGGCTACCGGTGCCTACGGTGTTGCATGGGCTGTTCCCTTCCTGTGGACAGCTCTCTGGGGTGTTATCACCATCAAATGGTGCAAGAAAGACATGAAGCGTGAGAGGGAAGAGTGGGAACGCGGTGTTGACCCCGAGAAGGAAATCAAGAGAAAGGGATCGTCGTCTATCGAGACGGCATAAAGAGATGGTGACATAACTGGGTGATTTAAAAGCGAGCATCATGGCACATACCACATTTAGCCTTGGGCGTTTGGGCAGAGGAACATCACTAATGATGAGAATGAGTGTAACTACAGTCACATCTTGAGCATTATTCCTCTACATATCTGTACATTATGATTGATAGCATACGAACCGAACATGAAGCAAACTGTTATCATAATCCCTGTTCTCCAATTATCATTGTTTTAGCCCCCAGACATCCCGAGAGCTTGTCAAAGATGGCACCACTAGGAAGACGCGAGTGTGTCACCACTACCACCATTGTGTGCTGCTGTCATCTCAGCACCAATGGGCACAGCCTCAGTCTTGGCATCATACATTTTCTATCGGCAAGTAGATTTCTCATTCAATCTCGGGCAGAAGAAGTAGTCCGTAGGAGTGACATCCGGTATGGGCCATGGGAATCTCATGATTTAGACTCCCGATGAAGCCGAAGTGTCGAGACTATGCATAGGTTGAACATGAATCAACGACTATGATACATGGTGAATAAACTCTCTGTGCATTGGTATTGTGTCAATGAGCTTATGTGGCCCTGTTATCGATACTGAAAGTTAGCTGTTTCACATGTTTTTGTAAGTCAAAAGAGGAAACGGTATCAACACTACTCGTATCCTCGCATGCTAACTATCACAACCCAGTCTGCAGATGCCTCAGATAGACTTTTCTCCTGTAATTCTGACAAACTCACCCTCCAGGTCTTTCCAGACCTTATCGACAGTACCCTCCTGGCGATATCCCTCCAACAGTTTGACCACATCGCTTGACGCGCTCTCTCCATCCCAATCAACACTGTAAACACCGCTCCCCTTCTTCCCATCTACACCAACAGCAACTGTACCATCAGCATCCCCAACACCATTCCCACCTCCACCCTGTTTATCAGGATATCTCCCACTCAAACACAACCACGCATGTCTCTCACCACATTCCTCCTTGGGAAGCCACTGCCGTCTCACGGTCATACTGACCTTGAACCAATACTTCATAACCTGCATCATGGCCCCGTCCCCACTGCGTATGAGATCCGTGTCGACAGACCCGGGGAAGTTGTGGATGAATGATACCTCTGGGGCCTGGCGGGCGAGTGCTTCCAGCGAGAGCGTCAGGGCTGAGCACATGTGGCCGCGCGAGTGGTGAATGCTGGTGAAGGGGATTTTGCGGCCTGCGATGTCGTCTGTGAAGAGCTTGCCTTCTTTTGTGCCGGCCATGACGGTTATTACTCGACGTAGAGAGGGCGCTTTCTTGAGGAGAGGGAGGAGGTTGGTTGTTAGACGGGCGCGGGAGTAGAGAGTGAGGCCGGTGATCAGAGGGAGGCCCTCAGGGGTATCTAGACATGTAAGTATGAGTTCAAGTTGACAAACAGAGCAGAAGACTTACCAACACCCATCTTGAGCGTTCCTTGACTCAGAAATAGTACGTTCAGAACAGTTTCCTTGCTTTTGATATCTCGACACACTTCATCCACATTCTTCAACAAGCTCATGTCCTTCTTGATGAAGACATAACTGCCCTCAGAGTTCACCTCGCGCAACTCCTTCTGCAGGCGATCACCTACTTCCTGAGAGCGACCGACGTAGTAGATCTTGGGCCTGACCGTATGCTTGGCAAAAGCCCTGAGAGCCGTCTCGCCAATACCGGCTGTAGCACCCGCAAAGACAGCTACCAGGCCGGCGGGGAGCTTGGAGGCAGCTGAGGCGTTGGTTTGTTGGACGATGGAGAGGAGGACCATGTTTACTAGAGTTTGAAGATATTAGATCTACAGCTCGGAAAATCATTACAATAAGGACACGAAGGCTCTTTTATACATGAATCATCTTCTGTTATCCATCTATTGAGAGCAAAGGGTATCGTCCTCGCCATGCACAATCACTTGTAAGCGACCAATAGCCTCACGATCAGGATACGAAAAGTGGTTAGCGCCGAATGCTGTTGTGGAGGGTCTTGTTCTGTGATGGTTCTGGTCTCTTTGAAGAGCCACAAGCTGATTGGTCTACCTGACCAGCAATTTGACCTCGAGTCCCCAGGGACGAATGCGAGTGCGAAATTCAGCTGTCGAAATACTACTCTAAACAGTATGAGTCTGAGACTCATTTAAATATCCAGATTATGACGTCTATGACTTTCCAAGACGGAAACCTTTTAAATCTGCATTCACTTCGAGACAAACACTCACTGTGAAAAGTATAACCATGAGATTAAGACGTAAGGCTGAATGTATTCAGGCAAGTAAATTAAATATGCAAAAGACTGATGAGCTGTCTCGGGAGCTGCAGCCCACTGCTCACATCAACAAAGACGCTGTTTCCTATGATGCACCCTTCCCAATGTATCAAAATATTGCACCAGAAAGGAATACAAATGAAATGGCAACAAGAGAGAGAGAACGCCGTATCCTCAAGCCTGACTCAAACCAGGCTTTTTATTGCCCCCTTCCAAGGACACCCCCCCCCCCCCCAATGCCATGTTGGTTGTCTGCTAAGCCGTTGATACAAAAGAAGTTGATATATAGTACGGTGACAAAGGAAAATTGTGTTTCGGATCGAATATATCCATGTCTGGTCTCGTATCGTCTCATCGTTGATCGGCCAACTCGGTAGGCCGCATCATGCATTATGAATACCGCTCATGAAAAGTTACAAATCCCCTAAGATGAAGATATAATGTCGTGACCCCCTTTTTGCATCCACGCCTCATCTGTCCAGTTTCCTCCTCGTGCAACCCACCCGCCTTGTACTCCCACAGTTCATTGCTCGGGGCGAGGAGGCTCAGCCTGCCATCCGTTGATGTATGCCATCAACCCCATGCCGAATAGAACAACACCGATTACTGAAGCATAAGGTAGTGCGGCTTGAAGGCGTTGATCTTGCCCTCGCACAACGCCCTTCTGGCTTGCTGGTGTGATGGTATTGGCCCGAGACAAAGTCGGCGCGTCCGATGCCGCGTCGTTGACAACGGCCTCGACGACCTCGGCATCACCAGGAGAGCTTTTAGAAATCCCTGAGTGGTCAACATCGCCATTGGCTTCTGTGTCTCGCTTCCTTGATCTCGATCGGGCCCTCTTCTCTGCTGCCTCTCGAAGTGCTTCTTCAGCACGAAGCTGAACAACCATCTCGGCCAGCGTCTTCCTGTCAGCGTCTCGTTCTGTCTCAACAGTTTCGCATCGCTGCTTCCACTCCTCCATCTGCTCCTTCATATCTCGCATCTGGTTCTCCATCATGTCGATCCGGGACTGGAGATCAGCGGCTGTCTCTTGTGCTGTGTCAACAGCAGGAGTTGCCTCATCAGTGATCTCGACTTCGGGAGGAATATTCGTTTCATCTTCTGAAACTTCAGGTTCCACAGAAGATTCCATCTCTCCGGGCACAGCTGATCCGTTCATATGTATAGTTGCTGACTCTTCTAATCGTTTGGCCAACTCTTCTGCTTCCTCCCTTGCAATTCTCTCCTTTTGCAACATCTCTTCAAGCTCACGCATGCGTGCTGTTTGTGAGTCGATGTCCCGCTTAGCGTTGTTAAGAGCCTCCGTAAGCTGAACGATCTGGCTGAGATTATCAGGACGAACAGGTGAGTTAGGCGGACCTGACTTGGGTCTCTCGGTAGGGCCGCGCTTAAGTGAGGGAACATCGGGCTTCTCGGGAAGAGGTTGCTGCGGAGGAGGAGCCGGAGGATCAGAGAATCGCGCTTTGGGGTCAGCACGGAACGGTGTTCCCATTCCATTTACAATGGGCTTGGGTTGCTCGAGGCCATCTGGCTTCTCGAGGTCCTTAAGGTCGTCCTTGGATAGTAAGGTGTGGACGAACTGATTAGTGCGGCCTAAATCCTGCGCCTGAAGTCGAGCGTTGCGCATTTCATTCTAAGAGAATTAGTATGTCGATTACTGTTGCTTAGCGTCTAACTTACCGCAAGTCGTTTTAAAATTTGATCCGTGGCAACAGGAGTGAGAAAGAAGGGTCGTTGTTGTGGCATGCCGTTGGCTTGCATATTCATAGGTCCAACGCCATTTGGCATCATTCGGCCATTACTAGCCATGGAGGCATTGCTGTTTGTACGGCCACGTAACTGCATAGGCCCAGAAGGCATCATCATAGCGCCATTAGCTGGGTCGAGGTCGCCAAAGTTCATGTCCATGACATTACTTGACGCGCTCATGAACCCAGCATGCTCCACCTTGGCAGCCACTTTGTGGTGGACCACAGTTTTCTGATCCTCGCTAACAATGTCGATACCGAGTTCAAGATGATCGGAAGTCTGCAGTTCATGGGGTTCCGATTCACGGTTTTCTTGTGATAGGCGAGTGCCGTTGACAAAGGTACCGTTCGAAGACTTGACATCACGGATATAGATCTTGCCATTGCGTTCCGCGTATATCTCAGCATGTTGTCTTGACAGCACTTTACTGTCAAAAAAACCGTTGGTAGGGGTCGGAATGGTCTTTTGGTTTGTTTGTCGACCTATACGGAGGCTCTCGGGAGCAAAAGGGACGGCGATCGTTTTTCGTTCAAAGGTGCCGTTTAGGGATAGCAGATATAAAACCGGTTGGCCAGGAGGGACTTGTTCAGCTCCCATAGGACGCATCATACCTTGCGGCGTCATTGGAACCTGGCCAGGGCCGGCCTGCACAGGCCCATGGGCCGTCACCATGCCTTGAGCTCTGCCGGGAGGTAGTCGAGACATGTCTTGTTGTTGGAAATCCCCTTTCCCGGGAGGCCAGGGGGTTTTTGGTTGAGGTCGTTTTCGAGGTGCACCGTTAGCCGACCATTGGCTTAGATCTGTAGTCGAAGACAGTGGAGTGCCATTGGCGTGGGAGCCGTTTGAGGCGACTGTGGTAGCGGAGGAATTCGAAGATGTTGATGAAACGGATGAGGACGAGTTGGATCGACTGAGAGCCTTGCGCGGCGCAAACATGCCGATGCCGCCCCGGCCTTCTTCTGAATTCATTTGATGATTCCCGTTAATCGTGCCCCATGCTGGTCTTGAATTGGAGAAATTCGCTGGATTTGCAACTGCAGTCATGAGGATGATGGATGTTCAGCAAGTTGCGGCCGATAAACGCACGGTCGAGGATATAAAGATGCCGGATGTGGAAAAGGGACGTGTGCGGGCTCGCGCTCCTTGGATGCTGATGTCACTCCACCCGGCAAGTTGGAGGTTCAGGGGTCGTATAATATCCGGCTCGAAAATGCCAGTTGACGGTTTGATGAAATGCGATCGAATTATCAATTCTTGAGTGTGGCTTAACGTTGCTGGTGGACAAGAAAAATCATGAGCTCGTGGCTGGGAACAGGTTTTGGCAATGAAGATTGACGATCGGCGATGACCCCGTCGGACCGGGGACAGGTAGTCAAGAGGCGAGTCGGGCCAGCGACGGCCAAGAGGGTGCTTAACTCACCAAGCACGAGGTTATCGCGATGTCGAAACTAGTGTTCAGGTCGCAAGAAACGATACTGAAGAGGCTAAAGGCCGTGATAGAGTTGAAGAGAGGTTGCCGTAACAGTGACAGTATGGGGGAGGTCTCGCTAAGCGCTGCTTGGCGTGTTGGCGTGTTCAAATTTGGAGCCCCCGGTCGGCACCTTTCAGCTCAGGCACACGGAGTACAGAACACAGTGGAGCACACGCCCAAAGAGTCTGGCATGTGCTCACTGCTCGCATAACCCCCAGCAGCACGGGGACAAAGTTGTAGATGTTCGAGACTGTCTTGTAAGTGACCAAGAGCGCATGAAAAAAACATGAACACTCAAGTGCTTCTTGCGAGTCGGATCCGTGCTGTGGAGACTGATCTCGACCCACGAAGGGGACCACGTGACGATTGCATCACAGTACAGTGATGTCTCTCGCTTCGACCCGCACTGTACTAGAGCCTGATCCGTGCTTTTCAATTCCGCCCCGACTTTTCCCCGAACCCTTAACCCACTTGACCGTTAAGCCAATGACAGCAAGCTTCAACAGGTCATAGGATTTGAGGAAGTTGTCGCAAGAGAGCCTCATCAGCAATTCTTTGCCTCGCGCCGTGCAATCCCAACAATCTTTGTCGACCGCAATCGATATCTCTTTGTCGATATTCAATAAACGAGCTTCGTGTACCGATCCCCATCAGCCACAATGCCTCCTGTCGCTCCTATGAATGTTGGCCAGCACGGCCCCTCCAACGTGGACAAGCGTATGTTGGTGTCATTCCCATCGAATTGAATATTTAGCTGACGGACTTTAGTCAAAATGGGTGCTATGATGGGTGGAAGTATGACTTACTCCTAGCTAAGCTCTTGAATCTCTGTTCAGTCATATCTAACATCTTACAGCTGTTGGTGTCATCATGGGCTTTGTCTTTGGTAAGTCTCCTCCAAGCTATTTCGCTTGACTTCACAACTAATGCTTATCAGGAACCGTCAACATCTTCCGATATGGAGCCGGCCCCAATGGTATCATGAGGACACTCGGCCAGTACATGCTTGGATCCGGAGCAACCTTTGGGTAATTCTGACTCTTACCAATGGCTTACACCAGTGCTAACCAAGACCATAGTTTCTTCATGTCCATTGGTAGTGTCATTCGATCCGATGCCGACCCTAAACTGCACGACATGTACATGCGAACCCAACGTCGACCTATAATGCTGATGGCCAACCCTGCGTGGAGGAAGTCATGAGACCAGCAACATCATGCGAGACGAGAGCAATACCCAGTCGACTTCGATGTTCACCTTGTACAGCCTGACATCTGATGGCCGCAATCTGTAAAATACATATCAAAACTTTTCCGCAATGGACCAATCTTTTGTCAAGCTACCAGACCCACAATCGATATATACAGCAGCCAATTTCGTGACAGCTTGTTGTCTGACGAGCAAGGGTGTTTTGTTATCCTGTCAGACTGCTGCAGACTACTGCATCTTCCAGGTGAATGCATCAGACGATTACACAGCAATCATTAGGAGGCGGGGAGCAAACTGTGGCGCTCAATACTGCTTCAACCGTCTAGGTTACATTTTCAGACAGGACATGATCGGCACACCATTCCCGTATCGCGACAAGGGCGACCCAGCATTTTGGCCTACCCCACGGCTGCCGATACGAGGTCACAACAATCGCGATGCGACCACGTCAAACTGGAAGTTTTTGGCGGCTTAAGCTTTCACCAGCTAACCTTCTACGATACTGCAATTGACGATGGCGTTCAATAGCCTTTATACTCTACCTTTCTATGCATATGGATATGGCAACCAGCCATCCTTTTACACAACTTGCGGCATGCTTTTGTGCGATTGGCCTGAATATAGTGGCCTGATAGAATTGTCTCGCGCGAGGGTAGCTGAAAGCCAACGCCACTACTTATAATTTATGCATATCGGATACCATCGCACAATGTCGGAGTTTTTCCTTGAGAAATGATTGTGCTGTTACATTGAGTCAGATTTTGATACACTCATTCGAAGAATATGACTACATGCTTTCAAGCTAACATGCTTACTCCATTGGACTTTATCAGCAACCGGTTTAGAACTTCATTCATTGCCAGATCTCCAAGATGAATGAGAATCGGAAGAACCGCTTGTCGACCTCAACCTATGCTATTTTCGTGCTTACTTTCCATCATACTTTCTCCAAACCATGATCGGTCGATCCCAATTAGCGCTTTTGAAGCATCTATTACCAAATAAGGAACACGCCGTCTTACACGCCGTTAGATGGTTGAAACCTTGTTGCCAACATTTCTATTGTTGAGCTGCATCACGCCCCCGCCAATAACGATCGAATGTGATCCACCAAACTTGAGCTTGTGGTTGAGTTTACGCTCGCGATGCATCTAACATCTCGGTCAGAATTGGTTGGCAGGACAGTTCCCTCCTTAAGATCATCCAATGTCTGAACATATTTCCCGAAAGATGTGTTGTGGTGCGCTAGCTCGTCATATTATGCCCCCATCACTGTCAGCCAGCACCCCCAGGAATATTTTCGTATTTGTTGGTCGGCTTGCTTGCAGGATGGTGCTTATTGAATCCACTCCGGTTCTTTTGCGTACCTGTGTATAAACAGCTTACCTAAAACGCCCTTTTGCTGGTCACTGTCTAGGATAACCATCTCTCTCTGGCGGGACGGGTACGATCTGGGTATATCCTGGCAATAACCCTTTGAGGGTTCAATTGGGACACGGGACATCGAGACATACATGATATTAAGATACACGAGCCAATGTAGGTCTCGTGTCTATTTTCCGCTTGTCTAAGGCTGAGACAACTAAGATAGCGGTGGCCGCCGCCACACCCTACCACTTCCTTCCACAACATCTTCACCATCATGACCCAGCGGAAATCTAGAACTCAATCTCTGATAGGGCAATTGGGCTTTATGAGTTGCACTTTTGATGTGCTTACCGCTATGATGGCTTGCAGCTTGTCCTGTTGCGTGAGGCCCTCGCTATGTGGTTCCATCTTACCATGCTTCTCATCAACACCACCACCAACACCCTCTTGTGTGTAAGTTAGCCAGGTGGTCCCAGCGATAACATGCAGCAGCCCAAGGCTGACCCGTATGCGATCGCCCGTTTATTGCTAAAGGGGCTTGACAGTCGGGTTTTCGGCACATGTCACATCATCCTGGGATCAAAACGCCTCCTGCAATGGCTATCGATGGACTAAACTTACCAAAGGGTCCCTCCTAATTACAAATCTATATAGACCATCGATATTTCCTGTAGGAAACTGTCCGTCTCTCGGTTCAGCCTTCTCAGAGACTCCTGCTTGTTAAGACCGACTGCCCACCATGGGAAATACCAATAGCAATTCTTTCAATATTGGGGATCTTGGGCGATTACCCCAGGCTATCACAAATGGGTAAAATAAGACAATTGCCAGTCTCTTAGGTACACATGCTAATCTATAAATAGATATTCTCTGTTTGGTACAATGGATGCGCCAGATTTGCCCAACTTTCTTACAAATAACCCTACCCCTAACGGCTACCCTTGGAGTACCCTAGATACTCGGACAGATTATTATTCAGACCATCCAGTGACTGGTGTTATTCGGAGATACGACTTCAGAATCAGTCGGGGTAAAATTGCCCCTGATGGCTATGAACTATCCACGATCCTTGTGAACGGACAGTTCCCTGCTCCTCTCATTGAAGCCAACTGGGGTGACACAGTCCAAGTCACTGTCCACAACGACCTTGACGATGAAGGTGTATCTTTGCACTGGCACGGCATTCTTCAGAAGGCTAGTCCGTGGGAAGATGGCGTGCCGGGGGTCACTCAATGCCCTCTACGGCCAAAATCTAGCTTTACATACTCCTGGGTCGCAGATCTCTACGGCACAAGCTGGTATCACTCTCACTACTCTGCCCAAGTAGCTGCAGGTTTATTCGGGCCCCTGATAATCCACGGACCGCAGGACAAGCAAGACTACGACGTTGACGTCGGGCCCATCCTCCTTAATGACTGGTATCACACAGAGTACTATGACCTGGTCCAAGAGATAATGAAGCCTGGAGGTAGCGGCGTTGTCTTTTCAGACAGCAACCTCATCAATGGCAAAATGAACTTCAACTGTTCCAACGTGCTACCGGGGGATAAGACGCCCTGCAAAAGCAACGCTGGAATATCCAAGTTTCGCTTCAAACGTGGTAAGACGCATCGCCTGCGCCTGATCAACCCGAGTGCTGAAGCTATTCAGCGCTTCTCTATCGATGGACACACAATGAAAGTGATCGCCAACGACTTCGTGCCCGTGGAACCTTATGATACCAAAGTGGTTACGCTTGGTGTTGGTCAGCGCACAGATGTGCTGGTGAAAGCCAACGGCAAATTGGACTCATACTGGATGCGCAGCAACATATCCCGTATCTGCAGTCTGGCCAAGGCTCCAGATGCTGTTGCGGCCATCTTCTATGACAATGCGAACCAGAAGAAGCCTCCAAAATCGCAGGCATGGGACATTCCTGATCCGGGTACTTGCGCCAACGATGACTTGAGTATTACGAGACCTTTGATGAAGCTGCCTTTGCCTCCGGCTGACAAGACTATTGAGCTTGATATCAATAGCCACAAGAACGGAAGTAACGTGACCGTCTGGACACTTGGAGGTGTGGCGGCGAGAACAAACTACAACAGCCCGACACTACTCCTGAGCAAGCTTGGCAACCACTCTTTCGAACATGAATGGAATGTTATAAACACTGGCAAGGCGAAGAGTGTGAGAGTGGTGGTAAACAACTTGTTACCCGTCGCGTAAGTCACTGCCAGTCAGTCGTTGTACATGTGATGACGCTAACCCGGAGTTTTTGGACAGACATCCAATGCACTTACATGGCTTCAACATGTACGTCCTGAACGAAGGATATGGGTCATGGGATGGCAGTATTATCAACGAGCACAATCCGCAACGGCGTGACGTGGTCCAAATTCGCGGGAAAGGCCATCTCGTAGTACAATTTGATGCATCGGACAATCCAGGTACGTGAGGCCCCTGACTCAGCCTTATGAAAATGCTACCTCTGTGGTAACATCATGCTGACACACACCCACAGGTGTATGGCCGTTCCACTGCCACATCGCGTGGCATGTTTCGGCAGGATTACTCACGCAGTTTCTCACCAATCCAAGTAAGGTTGAGAAGCTACGTATACCGAACGTGGTGGCCGAGACGTGCCGGCAGTGGGGGAGCTGGACAAATTCGAATATCCCAGCTCAGATTGACAGCGGGCTATGAGATGAGGTCTGCAACTTCCAGGCTTAGGAGTTAGGAATAGAAGAATGTCTTGTCGTATCAAAATTGGTTGGCAATCTATGATTAACAAGCTAATCAAGGACAAAGTTTATAATCCTTCATGATAAACTTGGGAGACTTTATAGTAATTAAGTAAAGCCGCACTAAAGACCATTATTGATAAATGAAGTGAATAAGATATACCTTGGCTTTGCCTCTTTTAAGGTGAGGCCCTTAAGGTTTCATGGCCATTTCGTTCAGCTATTAGATAACTGTTAACTCACACCTGCCTTCCTAAAAGATTACAGCTAGTACGATATCTCCCGGATCCAGAGGCAAGGAATTAGGTTGCGATGTCTTATTCTCTTCTCACCATTTCCAATTACTCACTTTATGGAAACAACACAATTAAACGTGAGAATTCAACAGCCCCGAAATCTCAATAAGGCCTCACCATAAAAACGGAGGCAAACCCAAATTCACCTTTAAATCACCTCATATCCCTCAAAATTACATATTTAGCTGATTCAAACCGCATTAGTCGGTCATTTTCGAACTAATCGCTCATGTTAAGTAACGGCAATGCTATCCACTAAATTTCTTCTTTAGAGTTGGAGGCGGGCACAATCTCATTCTTGACCACCACCAACATCTCAACTATTAAGAAAATGCCGTCCAAAATTCTCATTCTCGACGGTGGCCTCGGCACATCTCTCGAGTCCAAATACTCCATCACATTCTCCCGCTCAACGCCGCTTTGGTCCTCTCATCTGCTCGTCTCAGACCAGCCGACGCTGGAATCATGCCAGTCCGATTTCGGCGCCGTGCCTGTGGATGTGCTCCTCACGGCAACGTATCAGGTCTCGCTGCATGGCTTTGCTGATACGCGCACTGAGGATTTCCCCCAGGGTATCCCCCGTGAGACTGTTCCGCGCTTCCTGGATGATGCTGTTGGTATTGCCCAGCGTGCTGTGGGAGATAAGGGCTGTGTCGCTTTGAGTATTGGGCCGTATGGGGCTTGCATGATTCCTGGGCAGGAGTACAGCGGGAAATATGACGAAAAGCATGATTCTTTGGAGGACTTGGAGGCATGGCATCGCGAGCGCTTGGGTGTGTTCGCCGAGGTTTCTGATGTACAGAAGCGAGTTGGTTATGTTGCGTTGGAGACTATTCCCCGCGTGGACGAAATCATCGCCATGCGCAAGGCGCTCGCTACTACACCAGCGCTGTCCCATCTACCATACTGGACAGCCTGTCTCTCTCCGGAAAAGGATCTGCTCATGCCTGACGGCAACACCATCGAAGCCGCGGTCAAGGCCATGCTGGATCCTGAGATCTCAACCAATCTCCCATGGGGCATCGGCATCAACTGCACCAAGGTCGACAAACTAGATCAACTCCTGCAGATTTTTGAACAGACTGTCTCTGCTATGGTCAAGGAGGGCAAGATATCTGAGTGGCCTGCTCTTGTTCTGTATCCCGATGGCACAAACGGAGAGGTGTACAACACTACTACACAAAAGTGGGAATTGCCAGATGGCGCTGAGGGCCAAAGACGCTCGTCCTGGGAAGGCCAGCTTGAGGAAGTTGTCAAGGCTACGGAGGAACGAGGACAGTGGCCTGCTATCTTGGTCGGCGGGTGCTGCAGGGCTGGTAGTGAGGACATCAAGAAACTTCGCGACCGTCTTGTTCAATAGAGAATATACTCAAGTTTGACTTACACAACCTATAATGGGTATATTCCAAATTCGACTGACCAATGTTTCATCCATCACGGCCAGTATCCCAACTCACTTATATCGGCGCTTAACTTCCTCCCCTGCATCATCTCCGCCATCACCTTTCCTGTTCCCAAAGACAAGCTGATACCCCATGGTCCATGTCCCGTCGCAACATAAACACCACCATTGCTACCTTTCCGCGTCCTATAACCCTGCCGTAGATCTACATCCTCTATTCGTGTGATATAAGGCGTCCCCCGCTCCGACACAGGTCGAAAGCAAAGTCCTGTTCGTACAACTTCCAACTCATCCCCGTCAGTCTTGATGACTTGCCGTGCTAAATCCTTCAGTCTCTCAAGCGATGCATCTTCAGGCTTTGCACCTGTTGCGAACGGCGGAAGCCGTATTGATGCGTTCAGTCCACCTAGCCAAATATGTCCATTTGGTCGAGCGTATATTTCAGGCGAGAAGGTATCCATGCTACTATACACCGAATGGAATGTGTCGCCTACATGTGTAGGATTTTTCACAACCAGCGAGTGACCCGCGAGACTCACTACCGGTATGTTGATAGAGGACCCTGGAAACATCGACTCCAAGACACTGGGTGTCCATGCCCCGGCGCATACCAGGACACGCGTAGCCGGGATGTTTGTTTCTGACGAACAGTCCGTGTAGCCGATACGGACATATGATAACTCATCGTGGCAATCGGCGCCTACATTTAGAACGACAGCGGGCTTGTGTATCCTGACACCTGCTGCCCGACATCGCTCAAGGAGGAACTGACAGAGTCGTAGCGGGTCACTAGAGACACATGTTGTAAGTAACACATCAACCTCACTGGACATGGCCACTTACAGAACAGCTGTCCCTTCACCATTGTCAACCAAACTCAGAGTATCACCCTTGACACGCCTCAACCACGGAGGACTATTCTTATCTCTAACTTCCCCCTTGTCCTCCACCAGATCCGCACGACTGGTACCCTCACGTAACCAATCCTGCCCTCCAAACCCTTTTGGTTTCCTCCTGGGCAACTCATAATTCACAGTGACTGACTTGGTGTACAGCCACTTCTCACGTCCATTATACTCTTTTGCCAATTTCTCATGCTCGTCAAAGCTAAGGGCTCCCAAAGATGCCAGGTCTGCATGAAACCAGTCCCTTGCGAGGAAACCACCCGCATATCCAGACGCTGATGCAAACAGCTCAGCTGATGAGTCAACCAAGTGGATGCTTGAACCGGGTTGATGCTCAGAGAGGTAATAAGCCGTTGCGATACCGATGATGCCGCTTCCAACAATCACCGTCGAAGCCATGGAGTGAAGTAAAAAATATTAAGATTATATGTACTGCACATCAAGCAAAGAAGCCAGGGAACTCTCTCAGCTGATGGTAGCTATTTACCAAGAGAACAACCGATGACGTGAGTGACTGATACAGGGTAGGTCGCGTTGAAGCTCCAGAGAATGGCCCCGCCATCATGGATCTCCAATTAACCCCCACTCTGTGTGAAGCTTCAAAAGGAAGCTGCCCAGTTCCATCATCTGCAACTTCAACAACCCTGTTACACAACATTCAAATTTTGAACATGTCCTCCAAAGTATTCATTATTACAGGTGCCAGCAAGGGCATTGGCGCTGCCATTGCTCGTTACCTTCTTAGCCAATCCCACAAGGTCGTTATCACAGCTCGATCATCTGAGCCTCTTGAAGGTTTGAAGAAATCACACCCTGATCAGGTCCAATTCATCGCTGGAGATATCGTCGAGCCTCAGGTACGTGTCCCAGTTGACAGTACGGATATGTCATGTGTATCAAGGCTGATGCACGTCATAGCTGCCTACAAAGCTGGTCGACCTTGCAGTGTCATCCTTCGGCAAGGTTGACGGTCTTGTTGTCAACCATGGCCTGTTGGTGCCCAAGAAGTTTGTAGACACTACGCTTGAAGAGTGGAAGAAGGTTTATGACACCAACGTTTTCAGCGGTATTGCCATGGTAAACAATTCTTGACATGGGTGATTACAAATTCGTGGACTACACTGACGAAACCAGGCCCAAGCTGCTATTGCAGAGCTTCGTAAATCCAAGGGCTGCATTGTCTGGGTGTCATCCGGAGCAGCAACAAAGCAATATGCTGGATGGTCAAGCTACGGTTCATCCAAGGCTGCTTACAACTCCATCTCAGGTCACATCGCCATTGAAGAGCCCGACATCACAAGTGTTGCTATTGCTCCAGGCCGAGTCGACACTGAGATGCAAGGCGTAATCAGAGCAGAGGGCAAGGAGTCGATGAACAAGGCACAATACGACTCTTTCGTCGATGCAAAAGAGCAAGGCATCCTGCTCAAGCCTGAACAGCCAGGGCATGTCATGGCAAAGTTTGTTGCAGATCCGCTCAAGGACCTGAGCGGAAAATTCTTCTCGTACGTTTCACGACATGCTGTGGGATCAAAGACTAACGGTTATGCAGATGGAACTCACCAGAAGTTAAGGCGTACCAAGAATAGAAGAGCTTGGAGGCATTGGGAACACATGAACCTGGATATCTCAAGTAATGTTAGCTTATGTCATTACAATGATGCAGATAGACAAAAGGTAGAAAGACAAATGCAAGTCAGTCGAAAGATGAAAAGCTCTTAATTTGCTCCACATGGACATTCGGATTTAGCATGGAATGTAAGTTTCTTCATCACAGCATTTGATTGTGCAGATATAAAAGTAAAGTTTTGTTCTTACCTGGGGCAGAGTTGTCGCGTGCGACAGTGTCCAAATATCTGATGATCGAGGCATACGACGCTCAGGTAATCGGCCGGCTTGAGATTTGACATTTGTATAGCAAAGCAACCTAAACTTTGAGTAGGTTAGCGACTGGTCAAGTCGGATATCTCAAGATTAAAACAAGATAATCGGGATCGATCAGTTCTGTCCATTTGGCAAGGACGAAGTCAATCAGCACAGGAGGCTTGTCGAACCTCCTAAGCCTGGGGCGACAACATTTCTCATCATGCGATGTGGTGTGCAGGGAACAAAGAGACTTACCAAGAGTGTGGAAGCTGCGTGCGGATGAAAGCAGACAAAGCGAATGCTCTCAAGGTATAGCAAGCTGGCAAGGCGCAATAGGCACCGCCATTGTTGTAGCCGTTGCTCAGTTTGAGCGTTTTGGCATGGTAACAAGAAGAGGCGGAAGGTGAGGAATGAATGTGTTGATGAAGGAACAAGAAATTTTGGAAGAGTTTGAAGTTCTGAAATAGACATGCACGCCTGGTCCGTGCGCTCCAAAAAGACGCGCCCCGTGGCTGGAAACGAGCCTTAGCCTGGGCCTTAGCACCTGAGGCTCCTGCAGGCTCCTGGGCATTCCACTTTCCCAGGTGTCCTGTTAGGCTGTTCCCACTGCAACTGGGCAAATGGCAAATGAAATGCAAGCGCCGCGCAAAAAAACAGACAGCAGCCACCTTGAGCTCTCAGATACAAAAGAGGCTTGCCCCGCCCCACCACTCATGGGCCTGAGTAACCACCTCATCCGTCCGTCTCCTTCAGCCCAGCCTGAGAGATTGCTTTTGAAGCTCATTGACCAAGATATAAGATCACGGCAATCCACCACGCAGCACAAACAAACACACTCTACAACGGACCTGAACATTACGGAATAATCTCGTTTAATTTCTTTTATTTTTGTTTATTTTCCCTCTTTGCTGAGAGCCTTGTCATCGCGTTGTACCCTGCCGGCCACCCGCACTGAATCACCGCGTCCTTGGTGTATACGGATACTTGACGTCTCCAACATACATCGTCTACAAACACTCTTTCACCACCACTTCGATTCACTGAATCTACACTCTCGATAAAATGTCCGATCACGAGTTTGGAGGTAAGATTTTGATACATGCATCTCATTTGCTTGTTTGCTCGCCTACCTCTTATGTCCCATTATACGCAGATTGAGTCTTGGTTCTCAACCCATCTTTATTCTCGCGATGATGCGTCACTGCTGTAAAAACACCATGCTCTGAATCACATCTATTGTTTTGTATTTATACACAGATCTCTCTCATCATGTTTCTTCCATTCGAAAGCATTTTCATCACTTCATTATCGACACTCATGAAGATTCAACGACTATTCACATCGTTCTTTTCGTCCCAACTATCACATTCAACATCTAATACATTGCACCCCTCTCATATTCTTCTACTACGATTACTTCAACATGCCCTTGCCAGCATCGACTAAGTACTGGCGGAAATTTGACGCAGGAACACTGGGTCTGTCATGAACCAACTTCATGAACGTTTGCTAACAATCTTCTCTCACAGGCAACGACGATCTGTCGCTCCCCAAAGGTTTGTGAATATACTCCCTCTCCAGCAAATCTCGCGCTAACATTGTTGCAGCTACTGTTCAGAAAATCGTGTCAGAGATTCTCCCCGCATCAGCAGGCGTGGCCTTTGCCAAGGAAGCTCGTGATCTCCTCATAGAATGTTGCGTCGAGTTCATCACCCTTATCTCATCAGAGGCAAACGAGATCTCGGAGAAGGAGGCAAAGAAGACCATCGCTTGCGACCACATCACCAAAGCTCTGGAGCAACTAGGCTTCACTGACATGGTCCCTGCCGTTCTCGAGGCAGCTGCCGAGCACAAGGAGACCCAAAAGGTGCGTTTGCCACTAAATTATTCATGCTTGTCGATTTCTAACATCTTCCAGGGTCGAGAAAAGAAGGCGGACAAGTTCGCCAACAGTGGCATGTCCATGGAGGAGCTTGCTCGTCTGCAGGAAGAACAGTTCGCCGCGGCTCGAGAACGCCACGGCTAATTCTTTTGAACTTAACTGGGACACGTTTACAGACGGGAACGGGCGTCATGATATTTTGGCATTGCTAGGCGTTGACGTACAGGACTGAACTGGGTTGGGCTCATGGGTCCGGAATTTTTATTAGGGAGCGGGCCGATTTTGCTGCCTCATTATCACTTTCGCTTATAGGCCTTTGACTGGATTTTAATACCAGGGAGGTGTTGATCTCAACTTACGATTTGTTGAACTTCTGTCATGATTAAGCTTGCGACGTCAGTATCTTGTCCAAACCCAAAAATGATGCCGAACAGCCACGCTGGAGGATTTCACGCGTGGATCCCAAGCGATTTTGTTTGATGACGTGATGTATCAGAATACCGAGTTCTATATCAGGATACGGCGTGTGAGCAATACGGACTTATTCTAGGCTTCCGAACCATTCTTTGTTGCCTGCGTAGGACTCTCACTTATACATACCCTTATCGATAAGCGCCAGAGTAAAAAAATGATGCAAATCCCCGATCATCCCCCACCTTGTCGCTGAACCCCCCGCGCTGTAATTCGCAACCTCAATCTTTGCATGCGCCATCCAACATAGTAAAAGCTCGCTACTTTTACTTTCCTCGTCGCCAAAATAGGTCGAAGACGCAAAAACAAAAACAAGCCTGGACCCCGCGTCCCTCGTTGGCTTTCTCGCAAAATGGGTCAGGATGAGTCCTCCTTGAGCTATGCCGGCCCGCCTGCCACCCTCACCGAGCGGAGCCTGGCTGCTGTCGCGGAGTACATCAAGTCGGGTCGCAGCAAGCGGATTGTCGTCTTGACTGGCGCTGGTATCTCAACTGCTGCTGGAAGTAAGTCAATCAACAGCGCCATAGCCCTAGTAATACCTGGAATCTAATTATATTACTAGTCCCCGACTTTCGATCGCCAGGAACAGGCCTTTATGCCAACCTTGCCCGTCTCAATTTACCCTACGCCGAAGCCGTCTTCGACATCTCCTACTTCCGCGAACACCCCGAGCCCTTCTACGTTCTCGCAAACGAATTGTACCCCGGAAAGTTCCACCCGACCGTCTCGCATGCCTTCATCGCCCTCCTCGCCCGCAAGGGCCTTCTCCAGATGCTCTTCACCCAGAACATCGACTGCCTCGAGCGCGTAGCCGGAGTCCCCTCGGACAAGATCATCGAGGCGCACGGAAGCTTTGCGAACCAGCGCTGTATCGAGTGCAAGGAAGAGTACCCGGAAGATAAGATGAAGGAGCACGTCTTTGGGGGCAAGGTTCCTCATTGCGACAAAGAAGGCTGCAAGGGACTCGTCAAGCCAGATATTGTCTTCTTCGGCGAGCCTCTTCCCAAGGCATTCGACAACAATACATATCAAGTCGCCATGGCGGATCTGGTTCTGGTCGTCGGTACCAGTCTGAGCGTCTATCCCTTTGCCGCTCTCCCAGGTATTGCGCAGGAGGGTAAGCCCCGTGTGCTCTTCAACATGGAGAGGGTGGGCCAGCTTGGCACTAGGTCAGACGACGTAATTGAGCTGGGCGACTGTGATGCTGGTATTCGCAAGTTCGCTGATGAGCTCGGCTGGCGCGACGAGCTTGAGAAGATGTGGAGACAGATCGTTGGTGATGTTGAAGCGGAGAGACAGCTCAATGGTAGAAAGAAGGATGAGGTGCAGGACGAGATTGAACGCTTGGCAGCTGAGGTCGAAGCGGTTGTTATCGATGATGACAAGAACGATACAAACGACACACATGTCCAACAACCCAACGAAAGACAAGACGTGCCCCAAGAATCGGAGTCTACTACGCACCACGAGGACCCCGTTGTTCCAGAACAGACTAAGAACGAGGCCGACAAGGAAGAACCAGCAAGTACACCAGCTCCTCTGGCCACCACAGCTACCACGGACGAGCCCAATAAGTCGACCGAAGAACCCAAGCCTGAGATTCCTGCGGTTGAAGCAGCCAAAACAGAATCCCTTGTCCCAGAGCCACTAAAGCCAGAGACACCTAAGGAGGAGACAAGAGAGGCACCGAGAGAGGAGCCCACAAACGACATAGCTACAGAAGGAGCTTCAAAAGAAGAAAAATAGTCTATGCTCTGTATATGCTGAGCAATGGATGTTGCATTTCAAGGCGAGGGCAAAAATGGTGTTGCTAGAGTCAAGGGCTACAATTTTCACTGCCATCCGTTGCTGGTGGCAGACGACTAGATGAGTTTCTTATGTTAGTTACGACAGTTTTAGGTTATAGGTATATAGATGGCCTGCGTTGGCCAGAATCAACGTGGTAGCAGCCAGTCTAAGAAATGTTTATGGAATTATTATGGTCTGCGGTTTGCACAAGCTGACATACATTTGGTAAGCTGGCAAAAGGACCCGCATATTGTCTTGTCCTCCTCATCATCATACAAGCCGGCACCGATTTTAAGTACGTAGTAACACCGTCAGATAAACCAGAGTGCCGAGTTCGTTCTTGTAGCTTTTGATGTCAAGCTCAATAGTCTCGTCAGCTGGAGGTAAATGTAGCTTCAACTACGTAGGCAAAAGTTTTGACAACCCTCTCGTCTGTATTTTACATAAGATGATATGAATTAATATAAACTCTCTTAATTTATATAATTTTATACAATCCTATTCTAAGATTACTATAAAGTAGTCTTATCATTTCATGCTTTAGATATCTTCATAATTATATTATTCCTAGTCAGGTCGTTATCGGTATTTTTGCACGGGACTGTATTCTGCACATATATTGCAGTGAACACCACTGTAGTCACCTCTTCGACCACACCATCGGTATATCTACACTTCCCCTGCTTCTCGAGACTGCAAGTTTACTAACTCCACGTGTTAACGATGGCATGGAGACCCTTAGACATAATTTTTAGCAGTCTGTCTCTGATAGAGGCCAGAGCCGCATCTGTATGCTTGATAGTGTGATGTAGGTCACAAATAGGAGTCGTGTTTGTAGTCGGAGGTGGTGGTGATAGCCAGCAAAATGTTTTTGCCAAGGTGTCAAGTACCTCCAAGACCATCGCCTACCGCGTCGATAGCAAAGAGATACTGCTTCAGGCTTATCGCCAAGTCAAAACAATTAATCCTTTTACTTCTGTTGGTGGAATTATGTCCAGCCCAAGAATGAACCACCGGCACCCACGGCTTCTTCCTTCCCTCATGGTCGTCTTTCCTCTGCGAACAATCATGCATTGGTGTAGGTCCTTCCCGACCTATGGGCTCGTCCCTTCCAAAATGCGAATCCCATGAATAGCTCGGGAAGGTACAATTCCAAGACAGAGGCCTCTCAATACAATGTTCGTACCATTCTCCAGAAGACTCGTACAAGAAACAACTGCGTGCACACTGAGACCACAAGACCTTATTTTTACGTCGTTGTATACACGAGCACGAAAAGTGTCCCGGAAACGACTAGTTAAGTCTCTTAAGAGCAGCACAGATCTACGCGTTCAAGTCACTAAGGTCTCCGTCTATTCTACAAGTACAAGTCACCAAGATCGATCTCCGTCTATTCTACACGTTCAAGATCTCCGTCTATTCTACACGTTCAAGATCTCCGTCTACACGTTCAAGTCACCAAGATCGATCTCCGTCTATTCTACATATACGTTCAACTTCGGTGGCGGTGCTGGTGACGGTCGCGTCAGGGGCTTCAACGGCCGCTGCAACTTTGTAAGTCATATAACACCTTGTCTCCATCCTTTCTCTATAGTCCATACTAACAGATATTTATAGTGCAACAAGTGGGGCCACAAGGCAGGACGAGGAGAAGGACGAAGAAAAGGACGAGGAGAAGGACGAGGAGAAGGACGAGGAGAAGGACGAGGAGAAGGATAAAGAGGAGATGGAGGAGGCTGCTCCTCCTCAGCAGCAGCAGGAACAGATTGCTGTTCTCCCGGCCACGCTCCCCAGACCTCGCTATCCACAGCAAAAGCCGTGGCTGGTTGATTGTCGGATTACAATCGTAGCTGTATCATTAATAGATGTAAGTCTCATCTACGCACGGATAGTAACGTCGAGTTCATTTGCGAGGTCGATAATGGGGTGGAACTGTAAACCGAGTTGACCAGTCCTTTTAGGCGTGTGTTATCTTGCCCAAAGCTTTTAATTATGGCTGGTGCTGGATCTTTCATCAACAATTTGCGCTTGTTGGAGTCATCTTTCATCCTGGTTGCATCCAGCCAAAGAACCCTAGTGGTCATTGTCGATTTAGCAAAAAGCCTACTGGGGGCCTCCTTAAGCGGAGGGCCAAACCAACTTGCGGAGAGAATATTTTATATATAATATTACCCTAAGATTAGATAAGATTCTATAAAATAGAAGAGTTTTCTATAGTTTAAATTATCTTATATAAACTTTAGAAGAGAGGAAGTTACTAGAACCTTTACACACTCACTGTAGCAATCCGAGTCTGTCTAATGGTTGATGCAATAAGAAGTTTACAGACCACCAATGCGATTCCCGCATTGTCTTGCCCTTGCTGGATCACGAATGTGAGCTTCTCTTGTTCAGGAGACAAGTAGAACAGATTAAAGAGTTCAAAGTGATGTTTAGCAGCGACTTGAACAATGAAGAACAGTGGTGATTTTAGGTTCTGTTCAACTGTGAATCAGCAACGGTCATTGTCCTTGAACAACAGCTATTGCTTGAGGATGAAGGGAGACAAAAATGAGTATAAAAACGAAACCTGAGATTTTCTTTAGCATTAACCAACCTAATCTCTATCATCGCTACACCAGCCCTTTCTGATATCACAACTTACTTGGAGAGTTACACTCATCGATCGAGTCTTGACCTCTCTACCAAGTACAACACCAACTCATCATCATGTCCATCCGTCAACGTCTTTCTATAAGTCGACCTCGCTCACCCGGAGCCCCTCTTCAGCTAACCATCGGCGTTTGCACACCGCACACCGAAGACGGACCCAGTCACTGGGTTCTAATGCTTGCACAACGAGACGCCGAGTACGCGACCTGGTATCACGCAACCGGCGGTCCCAGCGTCGGCGAACCGTGGCAAGTGGTGATCGAAGAGGGACGACTAAATAGTTGGGCTGTAGACACTCGCTACAAGGTCGCAGAGATCTCAGCAGGACGCAGGAGGTCAGTCAGGGCTTCAGCGAAGAAGATCCCAGGTAAGTTCTGCCAAGACTGGGTGTTTGATGTCATCGGGGACTTGGAGAAGCAGGAGGTTGTGCCTGAGGGCTCGCAGAACAGGATTGCTGAGTTTCTCGAAGAGGATCCTTATGCATATGCGACACCAGAGGTGGAAGGGCAAGGCAGTGAAACTTCTGATGGTAAGAGTGAGAGTAAAAGTAGCTGGAAGAAGCTTTGCTTCTCTAAACCTGCTTCGCCAAAGTTACCAAGCCTTGGATGTTTTTCTGATTAAGCGATTCAGCCTGTGGCACTGGTTGCTATGGACTTTTCACTTGACAGACCCTTGTGAAGCTTGCGTCGCTTCTGGATAAGGTAAGTGGTATGTTGTAGGCTTGTTATACTGGCGTTTTGGAGTTCTGAGGTACGAACTAGACTTGCCAGATTGACGAGCCTAAGAGGCAGTTGTTATATTTGACATGGATAGCTGTGAAAGACCGCTGCTGAGTTGGTCGTCGTACAGTACGTCGTATAGCAATTGAGGATATGCTGAAGATGGAAGGAGGCGCAACAAGGAATGGACGTAGCGCCTCTTGCAGATCATGGCTTGTTTACTGTCACCCTTTCAGCAATTGATCACATGCTACCCGTCACTACGAATACAATATTACCTTTACGTTTGCTTCAGTATGTCCCTTCAACTATTGTGGCTATTTCCAAAATGTTGACACCATGTACCTGCCTCTGAAAGAAATCTATTATTTGTAGCAAGCTCATAGGATCACGATCAAGGTCCTCCAACGATGATAGTTTTCGATAAAATTATGTCTCACTACAGTCTTCAAATTGCTCTTCGTGATCGGAGTCGCTGTCGTCATCAGAAACAGGGTCGTCCTCAATATCGTCAACGTTTTCCAGCACTGCAACTTGACCATTTGAAGCTACTTTCAAGTCTCCCATAAGATCCAGAGCTCTTTCCAACCTCTCTCCTGCTAGTTCACTGTACTTTCTATCCTCGCTTGCCATATGGCGCAGGATCTCGTGCTCCTTCTTATCAAGTTCAGCACGCTGCCTTGCTACTTCTTCTTGGGCCTTTTCCAGTTGCACCTGGCTAAACTGCTTGTTCCGTACAAGTTCAGTCAGAGTTGCCTGAGTTTCTAGTCGTAGTTGAGAGATGGCCTGTGTAAATTTGTTGTCTCCCAGAAATCCAGCAAGATTTTCTGCATCAGCGAGAAATCGTTCTAGTCCCGCTGAATTGGTACGTAGACGATGAACAGTGGTGTGCCTGATTGCTGCGATAGATTGCAATAGTTCTTTTGAGGGCTTACCGTCCCCTTCCCAAACTAGATTTCCCTTACGTCCGAAAAGCTTTGCCCATTTGCTAAGCTCTACCGATTCCGGGCAATCCCAGCCTTGTTTCTGCATCACAATTGGAAGAGCTCTCAACCCAAACTGATAGCAAGCAAGTTCCAGGGTCTTTTGTATTTTCTCCATAAGCATGTGTTCCGCAGGGAATGGCAGGTATACTGGAAGCACTGATGAGTTACCAACGTCGTTTCTTGCACTGCTGTCGTTGATACCTGTCGATCCAGTCATTCAACATGACCGGTCTGCGAGATTGATTTCACTTACCGTTCAGGACCGCCGTGGCTTCTGTCAATTCCGAGTTTCCTTGGGTGTCATCGCCGTGGGTTTGGTGAAAGTCTTCGAGCGCAGGTTGTTCGGGCCTGGTCACTTCTTCTTCCAACAGAGTCCTAGCTTCGTTTTGGGCTACGGAAGGCTCAAATAGATCAGGGAACCGTTGGCTGGCGATCAATTTCGACTCGTATACCGCATCGGACAAGAGCTTCAATATTGACTGATGAATGGTCTTGGCGCCGTACTGGGTCATAAGCTGCAGCACCCAGCTTCTGTCCCCTGGATGCTCCCTAATATATCGTTTCAAACTTTTGAGTTTTCTGGTTTTGGCTTTCTCGTCTACAAAGATCCCTCTTGTCGCCTGATAGACATCCCTATCGAACTGAGTCAATACACCTGTTTCCATGTCGGACAGTCTGTAAAGTTAACTTTATATTCGAAATAAATAACAAAGAACCAAGGCAGAAGAAAGTTAGAAGTTCTTGGTAAGTTCTACTGCCTTGCTTATGGTCAAAGATCTAATTAAAAGGAAGAAGAAAGAAGAACATTTCTTCACAAATGCGTCTCGAGGCTGGCAGCGGGGAAGTCGTGCTGCCGTGTTGGTAGGCCTCCTGCATCATATCTGTGATACTTATTGGCTACCTATCTACATCTCTGTGAATTCTCTCACTTTCACTGAGTATGGACGTTTTATATCGTCATTGGGTGATATCCTCGTACTAACCTAACCGTGCGTTACACTTTCGCTGGAGACGGATAATGGTTTGCAGAGACGGTACTAGATATATGCCTTTTTGGGATTGGAAAGGTGTGATTGTCCTGTGAAGAATTCTGTCAGAATGCAAGCAAACTATTATTAAACCATTAGGCTAATCAGAATATTCTATTAGGGATACATAATAGTTGAGCATCATCATCCGACTTATTGGGATCAATCGATACGGCTGATCGGAACAGTCAAACTAGCTCTACAGTGGGTGTGCAAAAGTTTTAATAATCTCCTCCCTTTTACTCCGTGTATCTTATCTGAAATTATATAAATTATAATCAACTCTCTTTAATTTATATAGTATTATGTACAAGACTTTCTAGTTACTAAAACTTATACATTTATGTGAATATGTATATCTTCAGTTGGTTTGTTATTTATTGCAACTTTTGCAAGGGGTACCAAGCTTTAGCTTATCTTGACGCTAGCCAATGTCTCGATAGAATTGCGTATGCTTATATCTCATTGGCGTCGCTGCTCAACTGTAACTGGTTCGATTGCCCTGCAAGCTCATTTAAAGTTGGCGTACGTCAGGGCTACCAAGTCGTGCCGTAGGGAGCTGAAACAGGGCCTTAGTCTATGAGGAAGCTAAGCTCTTCCTTCCTCTACCACCTTAAATACCGGGGAGCTTCCCTGCCAACGTCATCAGCGGTAAGGGTACGTGCGACCAGCTTCAATTCTCACCAAACAACAAACTCTAAGATCCCAAACATGATGGATTTTTCTGATTTCGAAATCATTGACCCAATTGCCGAGTTCGGTCCTGAGAGCAGCGACGAGGAGGATGCGCAGCCGCCGTATCCTCATCTACAGGGCGGACATCCCCCGTGGCAGGGCCACGAGGGTAAGCTAGTTGGTGTTGTTGACATGGGGAGGTGAGAAACAAAAATATGCCCTCCAAAAAGAAGTGGACTAACGAGCAATGCGATAATCAGCAACGGCATTCGTCTTTCCATCTCCGATCTCTCAAACCCATTGGCTCGCATGCTCCCGACCGTTTACCAGTACCGCGCCTCAATCTCGCTCTACGACTCTCAATTTGACCCCGAGACGGGAGACAAGGTCCCAATTCCCGACGATGTCGTCGAGTCTGTCGTCTCTGTCTTGAGTAGATTCGTTGTTATTTGCGAAGACTTTCGTTGCAAGAAGGAAAACATCCATGTCATCGCGACAGAGGCAACGCGCGCCGCAGTCAATTCCAAGGAATTCTTGGCCGTCGTCAAAGAAAAGACCGGCCTGACGGTCGAGCTTCTCCCCAAAGAGGAAGAAGGCCAGATTGGTGCCCTTGGTATCGCCAGTGGTTTCTCCGCCATGGAAGGCCTGGTCATGGACTTGGGAGGCGGCAGTACCCAGATTACCTGGATGCTCAGCTCTAACGGCCAGGTTCGTATCAGCCCAAAGGGAAGCTTCAGTTTTCCATACGGCGCTGCTGCCTTGACCAAGAAGCTCCACGATCTGCGTCAGGGCAAGAAGAAGGATGAGGCCGACGCAGCTGTCAAGGCTTTTGAGCAGGAGATGATTGGCAACTTCAAAGATGCGTACAACAACCTGCAGATTCCCGAGGAGATGGTCGAGAAGGCCAAGAAGGAGGGCGGATACCGCATCTACCTCTCTGGAGGTGGCTTCAGAGGCTGGGGATATCTGCTTCTGTACCTTAACCAGACGGACGGCAGCTATTATCCTATCTCCATCATCAATGGCTACACGGCGAAGCGCAAGCAGTTCGAGGACACAGAGGCACTTAAGCATGTCGCGCATGCTGCCAAGGACATCTTCCGCGTCTCCGACCGCAGAAGATCCCAAGTTCCTGCCGTTGCGTTCCTTGTCAACGTTCTCTCCGAGTCCATTCCTGGGGGTATTAGAGAGGCACACTTCTGCCAAGGTGGTGTGAGAGAGGGCTTCCTGTTCCGCCAGCTATCACCATCTATTCGCGCTCAATCTCCCTTGGAGGTGGCCACTGGCTACTTCGCACCGGGCTCGCGACATCTTATCCAACAATTGCTCAAGAGCTCGATCCCGAAAGCTTCAAAGAAGAAGGAGTTTCCTGAAGAGTTTGGTGAGCCTGTGGTGGATTCTTTCGCAAACTCCATGTACCTGCACATGTTCATGTCCAAGGAGACTGCCTCGACAACCGCGCTGTACTCAACCAGTGTCGGAAACATGTCGGCTATTCATGGTGTCTCGCACCAGGACAGAGGAAGACTGGCTCTGATGCTCGAGTCTCGATACGGCGGTGAACTTCCACCCCGCGAGCTAGAGTTCCGCGAGTCCCTCCGCGGGATGCTCACCCCCGAAGAAGTCTGGTGGGCTTCGTACCTCGGCCGAGTTGGACAGCTGATCACGGCGCTCTACCCATCCGGCAGTATTCATAAGTCGAAGCCGCGCGTGGTCTTCACCGCCCAGTGGTCATACGCTCTAGGCAAGAAGAAGAACAAGGAGGGTCTGCTTCTCACCATCTCGGTGCAGAAGACCAAGAACGATCCAGCCAGGACCAAAGAGACGGTCGAAGAGGCTGCCAGTGATGTGGAGAAGATTGGAAAGAAGAAGAATTGGATCGGAGATGATGAGCCGTGGGGAATGAAGGTCAAGGTTAGGGTTGTTGAGGAGGGAATTCTTTCTGAGTAACGGATAGGATGATTGGATATGATGGTTTGGGCCTTGTGCGATATATCTTATGTGATGAATGAGAATGTAATGGACTGAGTATACGAGTATGGATCGACTGACTTGAATGAAATACTTCATTTGTTCTACCGATACACTGTGACTCGTCGTGCACGCTACTCCAGCAACCAACGCATGCCTTGCAGCAGATCTTCCAACCACTTCTTGGACACAGGCAGATCTGGACAAGTCGTCCAGAAGCCATGAGGAAGTCCTGAGTATACATGCGACTTTGTAGATAAGTCAGCTTCTTGGAGCAGTTGTTCCAGAAGAATAGCCTCATCACGTCGTGGATCCCAACCACAGATGGCGAAGTATGCCTTTTTTGCAATATCCGCATGCGAGTCGAAGAGGAGAGGTGACAGCCGCTTATCTTCTGGAGGAGCGCCGTATAATCCTGCTATGTGGTCAGCTATGGGTTTGAGGTCTTGATGCTGAGCCAGTACCTGCAAAGTAGTCAATTGACTTCCTAGTGAGACCAGGCGCATCGTCGATCTCGTCGACGCTTAGGATACGATCTAGGTACTTCTTGGGTCTGGCATTTGGATGGCAGAAACTACCGGCGAGGAACACAACACCACTGATCTTTGGAGAAAGGCCGTCGTCGCGAGCAAGGTGTGAAATACCAGCGGTGAAGTTGGCGCCTGCAGATGTTCCGCCGAGGATGAAGCCCTTGGTGAGGTCTGTGTTTAGCTTGCTCTGTCCTTCCGACGACGCAGCCTAGAAGATGTTTAGCAGACTTCTGGTGTAGTAGGATCGTGTCTTACCCAGCGGACGACATCGAAGCTATCCTCAAAGCCAACGGGGAACTTATGCTCAGGCGCAAGTCGATACTCAACGCTGGCCACAACAAGAGGCAGTTCCAGCGCTATTGCACGGCAGGTTAAGTCATCTGTCTCTAGACTGCCAGTGACATAGCCACCGCCGTGCATGTAGAAAAACAGAGGAAGGGCATCATCGCGGCTGGCAGTCTGACGGTAGATGCGCAGTGTGATAGGCGCATTGTCGCGAGCTAATACGTCAAGCTCGAAGATATCGAGACCTTCTTGTGGAGTGATGGGATTATGATCTCGGGTCATGCCCGAATGTTTTGTGTCGGGGGGAAGATTGTTGGGGAACTGGTGGGTGTTAGCAGAGATATCATGAAGTTTATCATGTGATTTGTGTTATTACATCTACCCACTCGGGATCAGGTACCGCGTAGTGTCTATACTCTGCCATTTTTTGTGAAAAGATCTAAGTAATACGATACTGCCGGAAAACTGGGTGAGTATCGTGCTTGAATAAATACCTGATTTCCCAAGCGGCTTCGGAGTTGGGATGCTGATCCCTGTTTATTGGGTTAACCACGCAGAGCTAGTCGACGATCTTTGAGGGTCTATGAGAGATTATCTTATCAGATGGAACCTTATGATCAACATGATTGGTTATAATTGCTTGAACATGTAGTTGGAGTGTCCGAAACTTTGCCAAATTTAACTAGATTACTTCGCAATACACTTGCCTCTTCCCCGTTCTCTTACCACACCCCTCATTCTTTTTTAATAAACGGTGCTTTCTCCAAAGCATCGGCCTGTATCTTCCAAACATTCTTCGCCATTTCCAGATACTGCTGTCCAAACTCACCGAGTGCGATCCTGACATCCTCGTCATTCACTCGATACGCCTTGTAGTACTCATCATCAGTGCCCAGTGTTGCCACCTTGTAGAACTGCTTCCATCCAGTAACCATGTCCTGGGCAAGTGTACTGTCTGCTCGAATGTTCTTGGCGATGAAGTAAAAGGCCGATCGTATACCGTGGTGTTTGCGGTGCTTGAACAGCTTGATCTCGGAGATTCTACTGAACTGGTGAATGAGGTGAAAGCAGCGCCAGGCCTCAACCTTATGGAGAAGAATGATCATAGAGCCGCCAGGCTTGAGATGGTCCAGGCTGATAGCAAGCTGTGTGAGCGTCAGGCGTATAGATTCATGTCGCCCGTGCGACTCTTGACGTGGATGAGTGTGCACAACTGCACCACCACAAATAGCGATATCGAACTTCTCCTCGTCGGCGAATGCTTTTGTGAAATGAAGACCGCGTGGCCCAGGAAGATTCGATGGAACATCCTCTTCAGTGATACCCATGTCGGCTACCAGTATGGTGACATCCAAAAGTTCCACCTTCACGGTCTCATCCTCGAGTCTGACCTCGTGACCGCCGCTTTCCTTTGGGAGTGTCATTGCTCTGACCTGAAGCTGAGGAGTCTTTTTCAAGGCATGGGCAACGAAGCCTCCAGGTGCCATGCACATGTCCAGCAGAGCTGGCTTCTGGACGCTGGTGAGATCGAATACACGGGTCACTCTGTCCATATCCTTGCCGATGGTCTGCATCAGGGTGGCCAAATTAGTTACTAGTAGTAACTAGTAGTTAAAAAGCTACCTGGGTTTTCCACTGTATTATGTACCTTTGGCTGACTAAGTGAAACCGTTCATCCAATAGATCTCTCTGGAATTTTTAAATAGTGGAGTAAAAGTCAAAAAATTACTAACTACTAGTTACTACTAGTAACTAATTTGGCCACCCTGGTCTGCATCATGGTGTAAAAGAAGCGAAGACTGTTTTGATCTGGTTTGGCTGAAGTTTTTCGTTGCTTCCGGAAATGTTTATCGCCTTCAGTGCTTTCCCAGCCCTATTGCTGTGTCAGTTGTTTCCTCTCATAACTGCAACGTTGATGTCCATGTGAAAGCCGGACGTACCTTCTTTCTCAATTCACAGAGTCGGCGGTACTCAGGAGACCCCTCCCAGAAATAGTCGTGCATTACTTGTTTACCATTATTTTCGCCCTCTAAATTGTCATTGTCGAGGTCAGGCGGCATTTGCGACTCTTGAAAATCCATTGCGTCAGAAATCTCAGGTGCAGAAGACATGTTGGAGAATAGAATTCTGATATGACTTTCTTGAAAACCAGGATCTACTGAGTTCCAGATGAGTTTGAAGTTGAGTAAAAGATCGAGCGGGCGTCACTGGTTTTATACAGATATGCTGAGAACAAACGGCTTTTGTTTTCCCTGACTCTTTGTTTGGACCAAAAAGTCCGTTACAAGTTAACAAGTGTTTGGTTTGTACCAGCAAACATCTGCGTTTGCTGATAAGTTATAATGTGGTCGGCCTCCGGCAGCAACACCACGCCACACCTGAGGCAAAACTCACAGCGTACATAGAAAAGAGAAAACAAGAGAAAAAAAGGTACCGTCTTCAAGTTGGACAGAATCTGTTGATAAGTGATCTGGAAGCCTTTTTATTACCGACGGTTAAGAGGTGTGGAGCACTATGTGGTGGAAGAAGCTCTATTATTTTGGTTTATACGTGCGCCTATCTTCTACTATACGAGGTTCTGCTCGAGCCTTGTTTGTCTAGCCATGTCGAGGAAAGAAAGACAATGGTTATTTGAGTAACCATCACTAACCATATATTCAACTGTCCATAGGAAACGCCATACGATGTTGGAGCCCTTTGCCTGTTGTCATTAAAAAACTCTCAATATATTACAGGTTAGAGCGAAGAGTTTTGATTCTTTTGATAACAAAGAGTTCACCGGGTTCTAATTCATACATACATAGTTTATTTTGTTATATTGTGTTGTCTCCCTTCAAGACAATGGATTGATGGAGAAAAGGAGCAGGCAATCGTGTTGAGCAGTACTTCTGTGACAATTCTCTTCTCTCGAATACGGGAGCTTCATTTTTCAGAAGTTCAAATGTATTGAAGCATGGGAAGATTATGGAAAGGTCCAAAGGTTGAGCCTTTTATAGCGCAACAACCAATAATCAATAAACCACTGACCTGCAACATACCTGAGGATGCTATTGAAGGTGCACACACATGGTCCAAAACCACCACATGTAATAGTAAGGTTTTCGAGCTATTCTACTGTGGTCTTCTGAGTCGGAAGATCACTGGCTAATGGCTGTGTCTTGGCAGACTGGGGGGAAACGGTGACCCAGATATTTAGCCCATGTTGTTGAGGTCTTGGCTGCACTGCCACAACCACCGCAAGCAAATAGGCGAATATGCGAATAGGCCTCCAAGTCTGATGGCCCAGGACAAATCATAGAATGTTGCTCGTTCAATGTTCCTATTTGGAATTGACTCATTATTCACTTGCCCCATATCAGAAGATCTGAGAATATGCCAAGACAGTGACACTTGTTCTTTTTACTAGTGTACTCTTCGCATCCGCATATCGTCCCTATTCCATCTCTAGTGGGTGGTGCCACCATGACGGCTGGGCTAGAGACGTTTTCTGTTATTAATGCCCTTGGTTCAGTATCGAGCAGGAATTCAAAGGGCAGCTTACTATCTTCTCATGTAGCTGTACACACTAGATAAGCTTCGGTGATCGCGATGCTTTTGTCTATATGTGACACAATCCCTACAGTTGCCTTCTCATCTGTGAAGGCTCAAAAGGAAGCACATCTCAAAAAGAAGAACACTATCCGTACTCATCCCCAGTAACGCTCCACCATACCTCGAATACCTTACCCAAAAGAGACTCACGCTGCGCTACCCTGGTACAAAACACCTCAGCTACACAAAAGAGGCTGTGCCCAAAGCTGAAATAAAGCACATTCCGCACACAGCCAGATCCCTGCATTCATCTCCCAGCCCAGAAGCTGACGACAAAACAGAGAGACTTACGCAGGCAGATTGTGGACATGATCGACGCTGGTTATCTAAGCACCTTATCGTGACGACCCCAGATCCAAGCAAATGTCAGGCAATCTAAGAGCTGCAGCCGAGACTGGCAATGGCTTACATCTTGGTCGCTGTAATGATCTCTTTTTGTTAATTGATTTTCACACAGCCTAGTTTGTAGCAGAGAGTTGTTTCATCATGTTTGGTGTGTTGTTTGTATATAATCTCCTTTGATTCCTTTCGAGTTCGGGTATCTTTCTATCTTATATCAAGCTTCTCTCAAACAACAGCTTCTACATCCCAATCATAAACCTTTAACAACTGCCATATTCGATACATCTGCTTAGACACGACAATGAGCGATAAGAACGAGACTTGGGTCCCCAACTATGAAAACTGCGACGAAGTCTCTACCCGCTGTCCTGTAGAATACACCATCTACGGAGACTATCTCTCAGAGGGAGCTTCGGCCTTCTTCGCGATTGCATTCGCACTTCTCTTCATCGCACAAGTCTTCCAAGGCTTCCGTGCAAGAACATGGTCATACATGCTCTGGTTAGGCATCGGCACAGCTTTTGAAACCCTAGGGCATCTCGCTCGCTATGGCCTGGCAAAAGACCCTTGGGAAGATAACTACTTTCTTGTTTCATACCTGACTCTCCTCCTGGCCCCTACGCTTGCCGCCGCTGCTATCTCGGTCACTTTCAAGCACTTGGTCATTTGGTACGGGGCAAAGTGGTCGCTTCTCAAGCCGAAGTTGTACCCCCTTGTTTTTGTCGGCACAGATTTCATCTCCATCTTCGTGCAGGTCATAGGCGGTGGTTTGGTGGCAATGTTTGCCATGGGCAACGGCTCCAAGACCACAAAGACGATAGGAGAGGTTTTGGTGATTGGAGGTGTTGCCTTCCAGGTCGCCAATATGTTATGCTGTGGTTCTCTTATGTTGTTTTACGCTCGACGCCGCACGCAGGCGATGAAGAGTAGCGATTCCCTAATCGGAAGTACTCCTCCTCAGTACTCAACCAGTTTGCCAGATCGTGGCCGAGTCCCTATCTCTCGCGAAGAGGCTACGCGTCAGGAAGCCAAAAAGACAGGTTATTTTGTATACGCTTTGGGCGTTGCATATGTTTGCATTATAGTCCGCTGTATCTATCGGTAAGATTCACAACACGGTCATCAGTAATACAAGCTAACCATGAATCTAGTATCACCGAGACGATCCCAGAGATTCAGAAAGACGTGCTCCGTAACGAGCCGCTCTTCCTCGCGATGGACGCAGCGATGATGCTTGTTTCGATCGCAGCCGTTACTGTTTTGCATCCCTGTTATTTCTTCCCTTACTTGGGTCTCAAGAAGAACAAGAAGAACCAGGGAAAGGCTTATGAACGATTCCAAATGGAGAACTCTACTCTGAGTGAACAGCCGCAGCAGCAAGAGCGTGTCTAAGACTGTGGCCTTATGAGTCTTGCCTACTGCAAAAGCTTCTCGATAACACCTTGTTAAAAATGATGAAGATACCCAGCGCCTCGGAGGAGATAGAATGGTTATCGTCCCTTATGCTTGTATGGTTGATACAGCGTTTGGGCAATATCTAGCGGCTATGATATTTTATTTTATTTTTGAATTTATTAGAGAAGCAATACTTTCTTGCTATGTATACAATAGACTACTGTTTAGAATATTTCATTATTACCATTCCATTAGACCATTCAATGTGACCATTTTATACCAATAACACATTGTCGCCTTCTTATTGAAGAATAGTACAAGCCCATTGCATTAGCTCAAACTCTCAAATCATGATCATTTATGTAATACGGCCCAAATTACAGGTGCAGCTGACATATCAATTGTTGTCTCACCAACACATCAGCCTGTGAGAACCGTGAGTGTCAGCCATCTTTTCGTGAGGCCGATATCGCATCTCATTCTGCGCCCTACAACAACAATAACTACATTTATGATAATGCATCGAGTAATCGAGATGTGTATCACAGGGCGCGAAAACATGTTCGAAGAAGGCGCCTTTCATTACACTTCGTATATATACCAAGCGTTGTCTTTTGATAATAACCTCCTGAGTAGACAATTCAGCTTATCGACTGGATATAATCTTCAATGTCACAAACTTCAATTGAGCTTATCACGCTGAACAGGGCTTCCTCAAATGAAGCCGGCAAATTACCAGATACATTTGATGACCGCTCCGACTCTCGAACAGATGCTGAATTCTCGCTGCCTCCTGTTGATGGTGGACGAAAGGCCTGGCTTTTCTTGGCTGCATGCTGGGTTGTAGAAGCAGTGACCTTTGGTGAGTCATTATGGTTCTACTTCTATTGCGAGAGCTAGCTCATATGTGACCAGGTTTTGGGTTCTCATTTGGTGTTTTCCAAGAATACTACAGTCACAATGAGCCTTTTGCAGGATCGAGTAACATCGCTGCTATTGGAACAACCACAACTGTAAGTAACACCGACTAAATCTGAAAACCTGATCTAACAAAACCAGGGCATGTTGTATCTGGGAGCACCCTTCGTAGTCATCATATGTCGCTTCTATCCCCGCCAAGCTCGCTGGTTCACATACGCAGGCCTCTTCGTCACGTCCTTGGCCATGGCAATGAGCTCTTTCTGCACGACTGTAGAGCAACTCATCGCAACGCAAGGAGTATTGTTCGGTATAGGCGGTTGTTTCGCCTACTGCCCTTGTACTCTTTATATCGACGAATGGTTTGTACGACGGAAGGGCTTTGCCTATGGCATCGTCTGGAGCGCCGCTGGAGCTGGAGGTGCTGTGCTTCCCCTGGTTCTTGAGGTCTTGCTTAAGAACTACGGGTTCCAGACAACCGTGAGAATCTGCTCTGGTATACTGTTTGGAGCTGCGGCCCCGTTGGCATACTTTATCAAGCCTAGACTTCCCCTCTCTGCTATTATTCACAGAAAACCTCTCAATATGCGATTCGTCACGTCTAGGACGTTTTTGCTCCATCAACTGGTCAATGTGGTGGAAGCAACCGGCTACTTTCTCCCCACTATCTATCTACCAACCTATGCTCGAACAACATTCGGCACGTCCACCACCCTATCCGCCCTAACCATTATTCTGGTCAACGTTGCTGCAACAGTCGGTCTCATGGTCATGGGTTCCCTCAGCGACAAGCTCGCAGTCACGACATGCATGCTCATATCAGCCGTTGGTGTGGGAATATCCGTCCTTTTAGTCTGGGGGCTGACTGCGTCTTTACCCGTTCTTTACGTCTTCTGCGTCATGTACGGTCTATTCGCAGGGTCTTGGGCTTCCATTTGGCCTGGTATTATGAGAGATGTGTGCCAGAAATTCCAAGACGAGAATGAGCATGTTGACCCTGTCATGGTGCATGGCCACCTTTGTGCCGGTAGGGGAGTGGGCAATATCATATCTGGTCCGTTGAGTGGCTCTCTCATCCGAGGCCAGCCGTGGCAGGGAAAGGTTATTGGGGGGTATGGAAGTGGTTATGGTATTTTGATTTTGTATACTGGTTTGACTGGTCTGGTGAGTGGCATGAACTTTCTCTGGCGTTATGTAAACGTTCTATGAGGGATGGAAATGTCGGTGGAAGCTTGGTTGCAGTCTGTAATGCTGGGGTAAAAGTTCGGCACTTTCGTAGTTATAATTCTTTAACAATATATTTATCTAATTCCTTTGTCTTCTCTTTTCCAAACGTGGTCAAGCGCGATAAATCGAGCATCCATAGTGCTTGAATAGTGAATGTATTTAGGGGCTCGAAATTCTATCGCAGTAATGATCATAAGAACTGTGATGTCAGGTTCCACGCTCTTTAGTCAACCACGTAGCTAGCCCGGGTACGATTGAAGTCAACATTCTCTACTAGGTTTAACTGATAGCAGTCATACCAGTTATAGTTACAGAGCTCCTTCTAAAGCCACATGTTATAGCAAGAGAACCTTTACTTGAATTATCATCATCTTTAGACTGGCCAACAAGACATCCTCTTTGCTCTTAAAAAGTGTAACACATTTCAAATTGGTGGTTCATTAAAATTTCAAGGACTAATACTGCCATCGACTTTCACACATTTCATTATTCCTTCTCACTTGCAAGTACTTGTAATCCCAACAGACACCATTTACCGCCGTGATCTCGACTGGACTTACTCCAGCTTAAGTGGATGCGCCTGAAAGAACTCCTCAGGAGTAACAAGCTTCCCCTTAACCTTCTCAGCAGCCCACGCAACAGACTTCTCCCCCTCGGGTCCAAAATATCCAAATTCCTCTCCAGCCTTGAGTGCATCAAGAAAAACGTCCTTCAAAAACGGTACGCTCTCTAGGAACTTCTCAGCTGTAACCTGCTTGTACGAGATATCCTTGCCAGTGGCCTTGCTCTCGATGGCAACTAGCTCATCCATGCTGTAGTAGCCCTGGGCCGCGTCGAAGCCAACGCCCTCGTACTTGTCCGGCTCCGCGAGGATGGCGCCTACGTAGCTTCCGCAGTTGCTCCCGTTGTCGATCCACGGAAGACGGGTCTGGGAGGAGATCATATTGCTCATGACCCAGTTGCCCTCGGCGTCCTTTTGGGGGGCCCAGAAGGGCACTTGGAGGATGTTCTCGAGGAAGAAGCCCAGACGGACAAAGGCGCTCTTGACGGGGAGTGTGCGGATGTACTTCTCACCCTCGGCCTTTGCATCGAAGGGGTGAACCCGGGCGTATTTCCCACTGGAGATATCCGTGATGCTAGGAAGACTGCTGAAGATGATGTACTCAATGCCAGCCTCGACAGCTGTATCGACAGTCTTCTTGATTACATCTAACTCAGGCTTCAAATCACTGGCAGTCCAAGCCGGAGTAGTCACCAAAAAGAGACTATGCGCGCCAGTCAGAGCTTTCTTGACGGAGGCGAAATCCTCCAAGTCGCCCTGTACGACCTCGACGCCTCTCTCCTTGAGCGTGCTCGCCTTTTCAGAGCTGACGTCACGGGTAATAGCTCGGATGTTGTACTTCTTGGAAAGTTCGGGGTCGTTGAGGACGAAGTTGACGACTGAGCTGCCCTGCTGGCCTGTGGCACCAATGATGGCGAGAGTCTTTGACATTTTGATGTTGATATTGGGTAAGGTAGATGTGAGTAGTGAAATGAAACCGTTAAGTTATTAGATGAGCTTGTTTGATTGTATGAATAGACCTCTTAAGCTAGCTAATGCTTCTATCTTTATATCTTTAGAGCAACATACCAAATGCCTCTATCATTACATATCAAGCCAAACTCCGCTCCGCCACCTTCACCAGTCCACGGCGGCTTACGAAAGAACCTCCCGGACCCTGCCAAGCCTGCCCATCGTTAAGGCTTAGCGCAACGACTAGCTTCCTTATGTAACCTAGCATTAAAAAAGGTACGTCGCGAAAGTAAGACAATTCAGCGTTAATCAACGTTAAGTGATGTCACTTTCGGCGCTGATAGTTAACCCGTCCGGGCCATGTCGTTGGAGAGTTGCTCCGAGTGGGATTAATCAGCAAAGGATTATCTGTGGGAGCAGATACCTTGACGATTAATTTGTTTAGTCTTGAACTAGCCGCTCCTACTTCCTTTCTTTTGCATAGTTCGCTTTTCGTTCAGACATGAATTTATTTCGCATTCGGTTAATATCCGAGAAAGCCAATGCATTTGCTTTGAATACGAACGGATGCTCCTCCTATCCAACATTATCGTCTCCGCTTCATAACGTACCCGCCATTACTAAAATGATCAAACTAGCCAAAATCATTGGGTAGTTGAATGCCCAAAGATAACTTTTGTCTTTCCAAACTCCGTCACACATCCTGAATATGTCTCCCAAGCTCCGCAAAATCCCCGACATCCTCACCGGTAAGATCCCAGTCCGGGTTATTATACATAGAATAGCAATGCTTGAAAAAGTCGTCTGTCGGAATATCCGCCATCATTATCTCCTGCTGCGGATCTCCCTCTGTGGCCTCGGGCATGGGGACCCAGAGGTTCGAAAAGTTATCCCACAGACCAGTGTCCAAAAGATGGAAATCTTCTGGCGAGGTTTGTCCGTGGGATCCTGGAAGTAGCCCGTTTTGTTGTGATCCTGCGTCACCAAAAGCAGCAGGTGTCGCGCCGTTGGAATGTGCCACCCTCTGGGTATCGGCGTTTGGTCCTTGAGGAGATACGTTGACAACTTGCAGGGCCTCGATCTTTTGTGCCATCACTTTCCATAATCTCTTCACCTCGTGTAGTCTTTCACGAGCATATGTATTGCCGTGGTCGGCAAGATGTTGGAGTTCCTCTAACGCCTGGGTGAGTCCAGGTTTGGGACTAATCTTCAACTTCTCCTCGCAGACTGAGTCCAGAATCGCTGCAAGAATCATGATAAATGCAGCTGAGAAAGAAGCCTCAAAGTCGTAGAAGCCAAAGATTGCTGAAATCTCGTTAGTATCGACGTACAAAATCAAAACTGATAGTTGACTTACCGATCATATTTCGCTTCCTCAGTGTAGCAACTACTTTGAGCTGACGTCTTGCAGCCTCTGCGCATGTTCGCGAGAGTCTACCTAGTGGTGAAGCGTGCAGCTGCTCGCCCGTAGGGCCGTGTCCACTGAGTATGAGTTTCGCAGCATGCAGCATGATTGGCCGAATCGTAAGTATGGTCGCCTATGCGGTGATTAGTGTAGTCACTCTTTCGATTCAACGTCTTACATACCTGGAAGAGCATCAGATGTAGCGAAGCAGTTGTTCTCAAAGATTGGTCTCGACCCAAGTTGTATACGTCCGTCACTGAGTCTGAAGGAATCTCCTGAGAGATCTCGTAGAGAGATTTGACAATGTCCTGAACCCTAGGGATGAATGTATGCTCTGACTCATCCTCTGGGTTGTAAAGCACTAGCACAGAGAATTAGCTACTTTTCATTAAACCTTCATGTAATGGGGAACAATTACCAGCCAAGATACGTCCTGTTGCTCGAGCAATCCTAATGTTGGTGCTCATGGGACCAACAGGCGGGAAACCGGGAGAATCAGTGGGCATGGGAATATTGATTGCCTCATCGCCTATACTCGGAGGGTTTCCTGTTGCTGCAGCATATCGTCTAACACGGGGTTGTCAGCCATTGGGTCTAAATCTTTGTCTTGGTTTATTTACCTTTCTTGCATGTAGATGGTCCACCAAAGACGATTCATGTGAACCCTCTCTGACTGCATCAAGTGTCTTGTTCCGCAGACTCTGTGATACTTTTGTGAGATTGCCAACCGCATAGCGGTGCTAATCTATGAGTTGTGAGTTAGTCAAAGTTCACCTAGTTTGAATTTGGGCCAACGTACGTAGAGATAGGCCTCTTCCTTACGGTTCATGTTGCCGAGGTAAATGGCGAAGAGAGCATATATCTCAATACCAAGCTTTCCGTTGAACCGTAGATCGGACAAGGTCGGTAAGTTTCTGTGGGCGTAATCGAATAGGGCCACACCTGAGAATTCATCATTTCCCACAGGATTGGCGTCAAACAGGGTTCCGATGGCAATCATCAAAATCATCTCGAGAACCCATAATGACTCCATCTGAGCAGGGTCATCACGGTTCTGGTAAAAGGCCCACATCTTGTCAGAGAACTCACGAGCATCGATGTGATGTTGTGATTGGCCGATATAGAATAGTGCAGTATCTAAAAGTCGCTGAGCCTCATTTCTTGGTGGCAGCTTGGGAAAGTCGCTGCTAGAAAGTCGCCATGGGTTGCTGATTAAATCGTTGTTTGCCTCAGGGCTTATCCAAGGCTTTGAGGTCTGCTCTGACTCTGGACGTGATGAGCCGAGCAAGTCCTGGACACGAGATCCGAAGGTGTGACTAGAGCTGAGTGAAGATCCAGCGAGGATAGCTGTAGTTTATGAGTATAGATTAGATACTTGGTTCATCTGAGTTGACTTACTTGCAGCTGGTGATGCCTGAGTGCCATCATAAGGCGGGTATTTGGGTTGAGTCAAAGGTGCGGAGAAGCTTGTAGATGGGCGGATGAAGCTAGGGGATCTTGATCTGTTCTGGTAGGAGAGGTCTGCTTGTGGAGAGGACTGAGAGGATAGTGGGTGGATATTAGATTCTCTCGGTTGGCCAATTTGTGTTGCACCTGAGATTGGGTTTTCTATAACATGTTACGATATAAGTTGGAGTGTCATGGGAGGCAATTACATACCAGATGCCTTAGGGGGTAAAGTAGAAGGTAGGCCATCGTATCCGTCTTTTTCATACCTAGCCAACTTACTTTCAAGCTCTTCAATACGACTAACAAATGACAGGCGTTAGATATGAGACAAACCCGGGCATAAGATGAACTTACTTGGCCATATACATGCGTTTATGTCCATGCTCAGGAACCCTGCAATCCAAGCCGCGTTTGGTGCAGTATTGGCAGGGCGTAGTCCCCGAACATCGAACTTTCTTCTTTCGGCATGTGAGACACCTATGAAAGTGTTAGCTATGCTAAATGCAGCACAAAAAGGACGTAGTTATTAAATGCAAGTGTGGAGAAGGCATTCACTTACGCCAATGAGGCTTTACGAGCATCTTTACCCTCGTCGGAGGGCGCCGAACGCTTCCGAGCCATTGAGGGAGCTGGATCCTCAGCAACGAGACTCATTGAACAAGTCGTAGAGATTCCACTTGCAAAGCTCGAGAGGTATCAAACGTCTGGAAGAATTGCCCGAGGGTTTTACGCTGTTGCTGGGAAATTGGTCCGAAGAGCGTGGGGAGCGTTGTTATTTCTCTCGGGGACAGTTCCGGAGTTCGGACTTTGACGGGCAAAACTTAAACCTTGCGCTTATCCGATCACGTGATAAGCCTTCCCCATGGAGTCGGATCAGCTTCCGACCTGTTGATCCACCAAGTCAGTGGTGGAGGCGGAGTCGATTGACTAACAGGCTTTGATATTGGTAGTACGTAGTTTGTTCAAAGTGGGAAACACGGTTCATGAACCGATGGATCAAGGCGACCGGGAAACGAAGCGCATGGCACATTTCCCGGGTTATGAATCTTGAGCTGGGTGAGGCCCTCCGTAAAGCGGCGTCGGCTGTAATTGTTGACTGCTATCGATAGTGTTGAGAAATTGCGTCACTAGTCAGAACTATTCTTAAGCGAATGAGTTGCGAATAATATGTGTAAGAAAGATTAGCCGGCTCTTCTCAGATTACTACTTCATCCAAAATTACGTTAGTATGACTGCCCTGTAGAGGACGTCAAGTGTGACCAATCTGTCCCCGACATCGGCCTGTAAGACCGAGATGCCGGAGGTGCTTCCGATACATGCATAATGTGTATATCATAATCCAATATAGACGGCAGATACACTTTTTACATTTCCTGTCTCTCTCTTATTGTTCTAGGCAGTCTTTGATTTCAATCTGAGTATACTCGGAGCCTGAAAAGGCCCTGATGTGCTTGAGCTATCAGTGAGCCACTGACATTCAATATTGTCAAGATTCATGTTGTAGATGATTCAAATTGCCTAGGCGTGACAAGAATCTTGAACCTGAAGTACTCATTAGATGGCAAAGATGTTTGACTAGTCGCTGTCATCTTCTAAGCTCAAGTCAAAGTCCTCGAGGTCGACTTCATCAAGGTCAATCTCAACAGCATCGGTTGAAGCCGGCTCCTGCTCGTCGCGACTTGCCTCCTCTTTTTCGGAATTCTCTAAACTCTCTGCCTCAGGTTCATCTTCCTGATACAGTGGCCCGATGTCCTCAAAATTATGCTCCGGGTTGTGGAAATCAGATCTGCGAACGAAACACTTGAAACAGAGGGAAAAGTCGTCCTTGCATTCGATACACTTCCAGCACAGCCCGATTATACCCTGCTGTTGGTCAGTTGAAACCTATCGATCGTTAGGATTTCCTTTTACTCACCACAAGACAGCTATTGCATATGGTATCTTTCTTGTCACCGGTCTGGACCCTGTGGAGAGAGTCCTCCCACTCCTCCTCACTGCCGTCTTCCTTGATCCTCGAGTGCTTCTTGGGCACAAGCTGCTCGAGGAGCGACGGAGGGCGGTCGGCAAAGTTTGCCAGCTTCAGGGCTGACCACCCACCGTCAATACTTCGCGTCCAACAGTCGGCGTTTTCTAACAGAAGTGTAGACTGTGGCGATAGAGCCGGACCGTGCTGCCCACATCAAAGGCGTCCACTCATCGTTGTCCTTGGTATTCACGGATTTGGCGTGTACTTCGTTACACTCATCAAGGAGATAATTAAAACAGCTAGGGTCTGGGTTTGACGCTGCAAAGTGAATGGGCAAACGGCCAAACGTGTCATGACCTTGCATGTCCTCCCCGCCTTGGATCAGAGCTTTGATACCATCAGAAGACGTAGAGGTGCAAACAAAATGCGCAGCACGACGGCCCTGGTGATCAGTAACGCTCAGTCGAGCCTTGTGTCTGATCAAGAATTTCAACATCCTAGTGCCCACCTCAGGAGATACTTTTGTCATATGCGCAGCTCGTACGATGGCGTATGCAAATTTCCCTCCCATCCTGTCGACAGGCGCTTTTGCTTCCTCTACCAGATATCGTATCATCTTGTAGAGCTTCGTCGAGTCTTCAATGCCGAGGGCGGTGTACACGAGGGACTCTCCGTAGTCGGTGTCTACCATCTCAGGGTCTGCACCTGATTTCAGAAGAAGTTTGACAAGATCTAGATCCCCTTTTCTGATGGCTAGATGGAGAATGCTTCCATATGTGGGAGCAAAGCAATTGACCTTGGCACCTTGTTCGATAAGGTACCTGGCAACATCCTTGTTGCTCTTACTGACGGCCACTGCGAGAGGCGTATAGCCTTCTTTGTCACGGATATCGAGGTCCGATACACATTCGGTCAAAAGCCGCATCACATTGACAGATGTCTTCTCATGTATAGAATGAAGCCATCATCGGTTTGAGTCCACCTTGAGGCCATATGGCGTAGAAAGTAGCAACTTCAGAGCCTTCTCGCAATCTTCTGAGCCTGGCTCCGCCCGGAGTAAGATACTGACAAGGTCCTCGTTTTCTTTGTTCTTTATATGAGGGTTAGCGCCAGCCTCGAGAAGGAGCTTGATGCATTCAAAAGAGCTCTTTGTGCAAGCCAGCTGCAGAGCCGTGTACCTAATTTCATGTGAGTTTGCCGAATTCTCTCCAACCACAGCCTCCAGGTTAGGCTTGGGGTCGTTGTCGACGAGGGTCTTGATACTGTCTGGGCGGCCATTACGCGCCGCTATGTGCAAAACCGTTCCCCATATACTTGTGCCATCAATAGGAGCGCCTTTCCTAAGCAGATCGGACAAGACATCATGCTGGTAATATCCTCCGTGGAGCATACCCATCCCATCAGACGCTGTCCACATCACGTCAGGGTCCGTCTCCTTCAAGAGATATTTCGCCACATACGGTGCTATATAATACAGAGCAGCAAACAGAGGATGGTCAGATTGTCCGCCTGTGTAGTTGATATCAGCCTTACTGTTGAGGAGAAGCTTGACCATGTCTATACGATTTTCCAGGCAAGCCCTAGAAAGCGGTGTTTTTGCGTATTCGCCTTTCGGATCAACGTAATCAATCTTTGCGCCGTGCTCGATCAACAAGGATGCTAAATCGATGTCCCCAGTACATATGGCACGAATCAAGAGGGTGTTCTGACCTGGGGGTGTGTCATCCATACTGGGTTTAGGATCATGCTCGAGAAAGATCCGTACAACGTCTTTGTGGCCAAATGCAACGGTGGCGTGAAGTGGCCTTCCGCTCGTGCATTGCGCGTCCATTCTTTCATGGTGACAAAGCAAGGCTCGCACACACCCCAAAAGTCCTCTGCTTGCTGCCAACTCGAGCTCCGTCTCGCCTTTCTTCTCCCCATCTACAGGTTATACATCAGACTGAAGGAGTAAATCAACAACTCTGTGTGCCGAGCGGCCTATTGCTTCTCGGACCATGCCCTTTCTTTCATCGTCATCAGTGTCGCTGTTGAGATCAGCGCCAGCGTCTATGATAAGCTTGACCAGGCCCGGATCTCCCACTCTCACTGCGACCATCAAAAGATCGTCACCTGTAAAGTCCTTCATAGACAGGTCTAGCTTGTTCTCTGACTTCAACAGCAACGCAAGTGCAGAGACCTGCCCCCGCCATGCCGCATTGATGGCTAGGCAAGTTTTCCAGTATATTCCATTCTTGTTGACATCAGAGCCAGCTTTCAGCATGACACGTAGCAGGCGTTCCTGTCCCATCGTAGCAGCTCGATGAATGGGGTTCTCAGGCCATTAGAAGGATTCCAGTTCAGACGTCTTGGCAACTAATGCATCCAAGATTTCGCTGTTATCCAGTGCCGCAGCGCAGAGCAAGGCTCTCTGGAGCTTCTTCGTATCCACCGTAACGAGATCCAGCAGGTTTTGGGCAATTCTTGTACTGCCTGATCGAACAGCTTCTATAATGGCATCCCAGCAATCTTCATTGAACCACGGCTGGCCTTCTTCAGATAAGATCTTCTCCTCAACTAAGTCTTCCAGGTCTAACATGGCAAAGACTGGGAGTGTAGATATGTAGCTTTGATCACTTCTTGCGAAGGTATTGGAGAGGAGCCAGAAGGTAATCTCCCAGCTGGCCCGGGCCTGCTTGTTGCTGAAGAGCTCATGTACTAGATGCTTTGGTTTGAATTCTCCACTAGCCAGGTAATGCCGGTGCCAAAAGCGAACCGCGTATTCAGCCATAGTGATACGTGGGTGGAGAACCACCACTGCATCAAGTGGCGTGAAACATGCTGCAGGTCTCGTCGAGCAAAAGTCGCTAAGAGTCTTCTGTACACCCTCGAACTGAAAGTATCTTAAGCATGCTGTTGCAATCGAGCTGTTTATCCTAGCTTGCGATCCCTCTTCATTCGACCCAGTCATTCGATAGAAAGATGGGTGGCTGAACGTGACGTTACGGTTTTCGATAGTGACAATTCTACACAGGGCCTTCTCTAGTTCGGCAATTTCAGCTTCACTGTCGAGATCGTCTAAACAGGGTTCCTCATTAGGGAACATATACACTTTGAGTGCTTCAACCAGAGCCTCAGGTGACCAGGGTTCTGCAGCGTGTCTGATCCAGTCGATAGCAGTCTCAGATTTGACTCTGAGGCTTGTCGTCAAAGTAGATGTTATCGCATTTATAACGGTATCGACTGTGACGGAAGATAGTTTGTCGATCGTGGCCGCAACCTCATTCTTTGAGTAACCGCGGTGGCAAGATTCGAGCCAAGTTAGAATTATCCTTCCGATCTCTGGTTCATTGCTGCAACTCTGGAGCACATCTTGAATCTGGGGTATAAAGTTGTTGTAGATTTGTCGTTCCTCTATCAACCTTTTGAGATCCAAAGTGTATTTATCCATCAATCTATCGCTCGACTTAGCGAAGAGGTGGGAATCAAGAAGATTCACATGTCGTCCCTGGATGATTCGGTCGATTCCAAGCCCATCACTGGAGGATGTGGATATGATCATGCGGCAGGAAGCTTCACTATATGTCTGCTTGTGGAGAATGCGATCCATAAACCATTTGTGTTCGTTTTCCTGACATTGATCAAAACAACTGATGAAGAAAGTCAGATCCAGCTTTGAGGCGAGTCTTGACCTGAGTCTTGAGAATATATGGTACAAGTCCTTGACTGTCCATGCTTTTATATCGCTTAGGTAGGTCAACTCCTGAAAAGCCAAGGTCTCGGACTCAGGCCAGAAATGCCACAGTACGGTATCCACCAGATATGTTAATAGAGACGAAATGCTTCTGTATCTCGCATCGTTCTGGTCGAATTCGAAGTAGACCACCGACTTTTCGGGACTTCTGTTTACGCCTCCTTGGCCTCCGGTAAGAGAAGAGTCGTATGCGGCGTATAAGAGACGAGATACCTCTGAAATATCGACCAGAGGGCTTCCATTACCATGGATATGCAGATAGTTCTGTCCCTGTTTCTCCTTCTTGAAGGAAAGGTAGGGTTCCTGTCCATAGAGCCATGTGAGAATAGGAGGACTTGGGACCACCGGGTCGAATGGGGTCCTTAACCCCCGCGTTGGAGGCGCAAGGGAGTGTAGACATGTGTGAAGCCGGATTAGGCCATAGCTAACCTTGAGAGCTAGTAGTCATTTTGTCAGATTCTCCATCGATATATGCACCACGTCTGATTAGGTAAACATACCGGGGCCAAACCACTTGGAAATAATGCCAAGGTTATGGCTAGACTCATCCTGAATGAGATTCAGGTGACTCATGGCATTGGCTCGCCACCTTCCGCTTGCTTCAAAGGAATGGCCGACGAAGTGCGCATATCGCGAGAATGGCGTCACGGCTTTACTAAGATCAACGAAATTTTCACCAAAGGGGTGAATTTCTGCAAGACTCGCTTTGACGTCCTGAAAAAAATAGTTGTAAATGCAAGCTCTATCAAAGAGCTTGGTTGTCAGAAATCTCTGATTAGCGCGATCGACTTGCGTCGCAAGGTGCCGAACTTTGGCAAATAGCTTGTTCCTAATCTCCGGGCCAGGAAGAAGCAAGAGCTTGTGCAACTGATCTTCGATTTCATCCCTGGACCTAAAACGATGGGGTGTACCCATAAAGACCTTTTTGTAACTTGGGACATATCATTGGTGTTGTGGGAACACTTTTACTCACCAGCCCTGTGGTATGCATGAATATATTTCCATACTTTGCAGGGTTCTGAGCTGCTATAAGAAGTGCCTTGCAACGTCAACACATAAGTATGCTACATCTGTGGAATTTCACGTACTTGTTTCACAATAATGCCTCCGAGGTCGTGGCAAACCCATATGATAGGCCGATCTGTTTCAGTCTATGATGGAACTATTAGGCCTAGTCGCTCAAAGAAACGACTGCTCGGAGGGTTACCTCTTGAAGACTTTTGCGCTCCTCCGCGTACTTATCAACGAGTGTTTGAGCAAGTGAATGAAGGCCATTGGATTGATATAGAATCTAGTCTTGATCGATCTCGTACGAATAGTTGATCTCTCTGATGGACAAATGCTGGAACAACTGATTTTCCAAGATCCAGTGTCCCTTGCTATCAATCCAAGCAGTCTTATAGTCGTCTCGTATGCCGTGAACGGCAATAACACTTTTTCTTGATAAGCAGCCGACTATCGATATCAATTGCTAGGTCCCCAACATACTCATAGTCATCATAGTTGGAGCCAGACCAACCGTGCGGCTTGTTTATGTCAAGCCCGAGCTTGTGTTCGTTGAAAGGTTTATCTGGCTCTGAAGGGAACAGATCGTCTGTGGTGATTTCGATGTCCGTTACATCTTGCTCGTCTTTCCCTTCAACAGTAATACTGGGCGGCTGAGGGGAGCTTTTTTTCCGAGCTGCGGAGGCTGTGTCTGATTGATTATTGACCTCGGAAGCCGCATCCAAGGAATCGCTCTGAAGGCATTCGGAGTCGTCCATTCTTTGTTCTGGTACAGTCCGCATCAACGCGGATATGTGTATAGGCGTAGGCAGAAGATAAATCTTTGACAGTCACCAAGTGGATAAAATCTCTGGGGAGTTGCAAATTGGGGGAATTATGTCTGACACAGAATCGTATCCGTAAAGAGTAATATCATAGACCCTGTCCACAGCTGACCGAGTCTTATTGGTAGTCTCAATCAACGCGTGCCGGGATTTACCTCATCGACAAGGCTCGGTTATCTCTTATTCGTGGTCCTGCGTGATATTGCAGTCAGATGTCAGCTTATCACATCTCAGCCGGTGTTGCCATGTGTCCAAATTTTAGTCGCACGGTAAGGCAATGGTCAGACCACGGTAGTAGCATTCAGCATCGTAGATGCCAATGTTGTTAATTCATTTTCAAGAATTAGGAAGGTACTGCATGTGGCTAGGACTTTCTTGTTCTGTTCTAATCATGATCACCTCCACACCTTCTCTCCATCACATGAGATAAGTCATCCAGATTGATGCTGCTTAAATCGCAGTGCATGACGTTCTGCAGAGAGCTGTGGACAACAAGGTCCTGATGTTTTGCTGCGCGCCTGATCACGGCAAATTCAAAGAACTGGACTACCCAAGCGGCCCCTGGCAACAGAGCTTCTTCCGCGTCGGTGCGGCTCATTCCAGCGGCAAGGAGTTCGAGTGGACACCGAACGATATCACGTACCTGTTGCCCGGCGTCGACGTAGTCCAAGATAAGATCAGCCGCATCTTCCCCGACTCAGCCTCAGAGCGAGATATCACAAATCTGCGAAAGAACCTAACTGGCTCCAGTGTCTCTGCCGCGTTGGGAGCAGGTCTCGCCGCCATGATAATCTACTGCGTCAAGGCTGGTATCCTCGCGGCCAAGACGGCGAAGCGGGGCGAGGGTACCATAAATGCTATTCCGGACGACGGCGCGATACAAATTGCTAAGCCCGATGCTATGAAGAAGGCTTTCAAAAGTTTGGGCTCGGTGACTGAGAACAGGTTTATCCAGGTTTGGGAGAGGTTGTATAAGGCGACGGAGATATTGGAGAGGTGGGAGAAAGAGAGGGAGAGGTCAAACCCTGAAGCTCTTTCGAAATGTGTTGAGGAGTTTACACGATTTACTATCAAGCTTGCAAATTCAGCTGTCTGAGTTGAATCGATGTGGTCATGGCAAGCCTGTCGTCATGTATCACGTAATAGCGGTGATAGTCTCACTGATATTCCTCTCCGAACCAATACCAATTCTGGGAGTATCACATCTCTACTATGTTTTAATAACTTGATCAAGTTAAATACTAAGACAAACTATTTACCTATAACTACCTATGTTGAAACCAATCAGCCGCTACCCAAACTTGTTACACGTAATTATTTTAAAGCCACTAAACTCCTCATCATCACATCCTGGGCTCCCGAGGCTGCTGCATCATAGACGCAGCCATCTTAAGCCTGTGTCTTGCCTCAGCCAAAAGCTCCCATCTCGTGTTCGTCAACGCATCATCAACAATACTCAGCAGCCCAATAATCTTGTTCCGGTTTCCAACCACCCCAGCTTGGTTTTGGTGCAGGTGGAAGGCTTTAATAGAGTCAATCGTGGGGGGGATCATGATTTGGAGATATGTTCGGAGATCCTCGTGGCGGTCACGCTTCAACGTCTCATAGTCCATGTTTGATGACATGGGGGTCTGCTCGGGGTGCGAGGTCTGAGGTGTGCTCGTTGCACCTTGGTTTGAATGGATACTAGGCTCTGTAGTCATCGTTGGTATCCCAGCGGAGCTGGAGGGATATTGTAGATGGTCGGGGAATGGCTCGATATTTCCATCTTGCACGAATCCATAGGCCCACAGCACCAAAGACGCATAGTACAGAGCCCATGCTCTGACTAGTAACTTATCATTCCCAGCGTCATATTTAGGATATGCAGATGGTGAAAACACAGACGGCATACCACTGGCGTCGTTTGTTGTTCCTCTCTTGGGCTCCTCTTGGAGAAGAATCAGTCGAATGAGTTGAAGTGCATGGTACACCCCGCCGATTGCTCCAGGGGATGCCACCCACTCCTTGATCTTAGCTTCTGTTCTTCTCCAGTCGACAGAAGAGACGGTCCGACCAAGGATCTGGGGGACGCCAGCAAATATGCAAAGCTCTGGCATGCTGATGTAGACAGTGATATGGCCCAGATGATACAGCACCGTACCCAATGTTTCCATAGCATCGCCATCATCACTCCCGCCTCTGCTACTCAACCCAAGTCTCTGCCAGTCAAAAGCAGCATGTTTTACATGAGCAACCCCGTCATCGTAGTCCTTCTTCCACCAGTCAAAAGCCCTTAGTAGCTTTGGTCGCCAGCGCTCCTGAACACCGGGTATTGTATCAGTTCCAAGCGTTGAACGATCTAGGTCCCTTTGGTGCATCTGCCATGTCACAGATAGCAGCGCAGCAAGAAGTGCTATCCTACCAAAAGGACTCGTTCGCACCCGTTGTCCGTTGAGTGTGCGTTGTAGGCCGTCGAGGAAGGTAATCGGCGTGACTCCGTTAGCATGGAGACTTGACTCCACGCAGCCGATCTCTGAGGGTGAATCGGATGACCAGAGGGTGTTGTCGCAGGGAAGTGGGAGCTTAATCTCGTGGATTACTAGTGTTGGTGTATGTCCAAATAGCGCAGCGTGTGTAGCGTCGATGATAAACGCAGCCAAGGCAGCGCGGCGTGTGGCTTCCTGCGCTATCCAGTGATCCCACCATTTTTCCGGCGTTGAATTAAAACCTGGTCTATTCGGTCCGGGGAACAATCTCGATGATCCGATTTTGGGACTGCCAAGAGGCGTAGGCACTCTAGATACATAAGAAGACTGTTTACCTGTGAGAGCACTCCCCCTGCGCATCAGCGACAGAGTTGTAGGGAAGTAAATATGAGCACGTTCGTGGAGAACGCGAGTAGCGTTCATCTTCTCGTAAACCTCCAGAAGCAACAGTGTCTGTATAACCCACAGCTTTGCAGGCGGATGAGAGTCGGCGTGCATGAAAACCTGCCAGCGTAAATTCCACGAGACAAAGGTGGTGAACTTTGAAATTTTCTCCACGGTATCTTGCGAAGCCCCCTTTTTGTCAACCATAGACGCACCCATGATCAGAACAGCCAACAGGAGAAAGTCGTTGGCAGTCTCAGGTATGAACGTTGGGCGGTGCAGGATGGGAAGCTGATCATGAAAGTGATCCCAGTACGAGTTGAGATAACGTTCAACGTTGACGTGGCTGAGCACATGATCCTCTGCATCAGTGTCGCTGCCGAAGATCTCATCTTTGATATCCGCTGCGGATCTACTGCCGTGCAGACTAATCTCGTTGAATCTTTGCATCATGTAATGAAGTAATGACTGTCGCTTATGCTCTGAAAGACCGGTCTTTCCAAACTGGGATACGTCCACCATTGGTGTCGCCATGGCCAAAGGTTCTGACTGGAACCAGAGGCTGTTGATGGGTTCGACGTAGGAACTGCCCATCATTCCTGGCTGGGCCGCATAATCGGTACATAGTTGGCCGAAATTGTTCGAGTATCCTGCCATGCCGACGTTGCCGGGCATGAAATTATAGTTAGAGCCTAGCCCTTGGCCGGTAAAGAGCCAGGTGGTGAATTCATCTGTACTGGACGGTGAGAGTCCGAAGTGCTGTTCGTCCATGATTTGGTCCGTATTCGTCGTTGGAATTCCATTAGGCATAGCATAAGAATGATTCCGGCCGCGTTCGGGGCGAGTAGTTAGCTCGGGGCTGGTTAGAGGCATGGGCATATCAGTAGGCGGCATCTGGTCAATCCGAAAAGGCACAGAGCCTAATGCCTGCTTATCCGGTGATGAGTCGCGGCTTCGAAGTTGTCGCTGGTCGGCATAGTATCCGCTTCCATCACCTAATTCATTCCGCTGACCAGAGTCTTGACGCGATAATCCTCCCTCAATAACGTACTGTTTTGAGTTGTTGTCGATTCCAGATGCATCCATTGAAAGTCGAGTCGTCGAAGGCTGTCTTTCCTTTGCTGGTGTCTCTCTCGCCTCGTCCTGCGTATCACTCCAAGCCGAACCGTCTTCACTGAATGAATAACGCTCACCGCGCTCCCTTGGTAATCTAGCAAACTCCTTCTGAGGCCTTTGTGAAAGACGGCCGTTACCGTATTGTTGTACCTGACGCTCGTGCCTCAATTTGTGACGCGCATAGAGATCTTTCCTGACAAAGGTAAAAGAGCAGTCAGGATAGTCACAGTAGTAGATCTCTTTGGGGGAATCTATATCTGTCAGCACCGTAAGTCAAGTATGTCGGATAGATACTGACGATTGAGTTGATGTCTTTGGAGATGCTCGGCACGTGAATATGTCCTCCCACAACCTTCGTGGGTGCATTGAAACTCCTTGCACGAAGGCTTGCGGCGTTTCTGGCGCGGGGGTGATGAAGCCATCACGGCTCGTGACCTGGCGTCTTGCCTCGGCTAGAGCCTAGAAGTGCCTCTAACAGTGCAACAGCTCTTCTCAAGGCCGTTTGCCAAACTCCAAGACAGCCTTTACGCGTCTTTGGAGTCAATTGAGACCAGCCCGTAAACGTTGAGAACGAAAAGTCAAACTCGATGCCCCCAGCCTGAAATTCGAGATTATGGGGGTAAAATGTGACCATGCGCCTCTTTCTTACCTGTCACCTGACTCACCTGAGCAGACCAATCCATTCTAGGCTCATTTCTCACTTTCTGTTGGGTGCAACCTGCCATCCCCGCGATTTCCCCGCCTGGGCCGGGTCTAGAATTGCGATTTGCGGGGGTTAGTCTGAAGATATAGGGTAAGCTACCGGGCTGTTTCTTTCTCCGACACGTCCAGAACAACAATGATAAATATCCGTGCTGCTGATGGTAGAGGGTCTTCAGAGACCGTTATTCTCATAGGGCTCCCACTCAAAGGTAACGTGAGAAATAGTAAGCCTAAGTCGTATGTATCTCTCAAGAAAAACAAATCGAATTTGCTAGCACTAGCACGTACACACCATCCATCGTAGGGTGCGTATTTCAGTACTCAATGTCCAGCAATCAGACAGCGCGAAATTCGTGGAATTATTGTCTTCTAACGTGAAAGAATTTCATCCACAAAAAATTAAAAGTATACTTAGTTAATCCTCAAGCAAGTTAATATTATGAGGTAAAACTGAATTGTTTACAAGCTATCATATTACCTGAAAATTTAAAAATGAATCTCTGTGATAAGAACATGTGTCAAGATGATGCTCTTAAAACATACCAAAAGCGTAGTAAATCATTCGCAGTTCTATACTCTCACTATGCTCGTCATGACTGCATGAACCTCATCTCCACTGCTTTTTGTTAGACATGCATTACATACAAGAAGGGTTTAAAAATGCCCGATTGGCAAGTGGCGTGTCACAATGTGGCGTCTTGCGCATAATTGTGCTACAGAATTTAGGTGCAGATTTAAATGATGTATCGCTCGGAAAAGATTAATGCATCAATGGCAATGCATTTAAAGGACAGGGCAATTTTGCACGGTAACCTTCCACTTCCATACGATAGTCTCAGGTCCTCCTGGCAGAAAATCATTAATATCTGAGTTATAACTCTCGGTATCTGTAGATCATCACGTTTTCGTGATCGATTAATCCGGACGATCTTTCAATAGTCGTTGATAGTGGCCAGGCCCCTAGCTAGAACGATGTTAATCCTTGACAATATCTAACTCAGACTATAATTCTGGGCGCTATGGAGTACTAAAAATTAGAATTGTCCCTAGTGATCTAGCCTCGACATTTCTTTACCCATTTCGCTTGCTGTGGCATTCGGCTCAGCCGGACGCCCAAGACGCCCGCAATGTTAAATCCTACAGCCCTAAAAAGTTTTACAGTTTAACTACAGTTTGTCCATGGCTTGTCGCTATCGTGGAATTGTAGTCCGTGTCCTGCACTAACATATTGCGAACCTGGGGTGGCGTCTTCGTGCAGCAATCGATCGTTTCCGCACGTGGTCTGTCCCCTTGTAAAGTTTATAAGCGATGGGCGTTCCCAGCCGATCGAGACTTTTGTTTCATCTTGGGTGGATTTGGGGTTCGAGCCACAAAAACGGAATTCGAGAAGAAAAACAGTAAAGGTGGCTTTTTTTTGCCTCAAGCCATGGCATCATTTTCAGTCGCGTAGCTTTCCGAAGTTGCGAGCAATACGAGGGGTTGAGTGTCACTCTCGCTTTGACCTCGACATTCTATTAGCGGAGACAACCAGGATTCCGCGATAGCGAGATGTGAGTGTCTTAGATTCTGGCCTGTTCTGGCAGTGTTTTATCCGAATCCACGCGCGTTGGGAGCGATCATCTTTTTTGCTCTCCACAAGCAATGCAATGCTATCAGGCCGCAAGAGGAAAGTGGGAGAACACGCGGAAAATTAAGGGCTAATCTGAGGCTCAATGGGAAGATCAATGCCGGGTTGGGAGGTGGTAAAAGGGGAGCTTTGACGATCTCGGGCAGGGTCAGTTATTGATTGATAGATGCTAGCGCACTCAACACACGGTCCATTCGTTCTTTTGGCAGTGGATGGATGGTGCAAGACTTCCTGTGCCTGAGCGCATTGCATTGCAGGTATCTTGCCAGGGGTTGGTTGTTGTGCACTAAGGCTTGTCAAGTCACCATGACTCGACAGCCCCCGCACGGCACTTGCTTAGGCAGTCATGGCTGGAATTCTGTCAAGTTTTAGAACCATAGCGGAACTTTGAGACTCGACTCAAGATGGGTTCACACAGCCCTAGATTCCATGTGGCGTGACATGAGTTTATAAAGCCATGCCAGCGGCCAAGTGAGCTTCCTGTCGACAGTTTGCCTAACGCTGGTGGAGAATATCTCGGCGCTGCTAGCGACTGCGTTGCCCAAAAGGGGTCGATATACCCGTCCCTCGGCTCAAAGTCTCTTACTCTAGGTAGTAGTCTTTAGTCGCTAATTTAGTAGTCTCGCGTCAGCGTAAGAATTGGGGCTCCACAGAGACGAATCTGTGTGACTGCATGAGACACTCGCTCACCTCAATGGGGCTAATGCCAGTAATTATCAGGGGTTTCTTTCTTTCTTTCCTTCCGAGGCGACGCAACTCCCTTGTCAATGCCCACTAGTCTAGTGCCTCTTCCGGCGGGCGTTCCCCGTTGCTTGTACTGTACTTTGTGTGTTGTGCTACACTCGGAGAGTAGCCAAGCCGGGCACTCAATTGCCAAACGCTATCCCGCGAATGGTAAGCATCGCTGCCCAAGACTGAAAGGACACTGCAGATCCGAACTTGCTGTCTTGCACCAAAGTACGGTGGCCTCGGTGGGCTTCCAGGGCCTAGATGTAACTGTACCTCTCTGTAAGACAGCAGAATGTGGCATGTCACCGGCCGATCCAAATCTGGATTGGACCCGACATGTTGGGAATGGGAATTGGTTTCAACTTAGCCGACTACCATCCCCTCGGAGCCTTTATTATTAAGAAAAAAACTCATATATCTGCGACGAACTCCATTTTCCCTGGCGGCCCGCATCTCCCGGGTCCTGGATCCTTTCGTTTATCGTCAATCATTCTCCCATCGCTTTCTTGTTTGGTCCCCCTTATTCCCATATGTACTTCACTCTGACTTGGGATCTTTAATTCAGCCTTTTCAGTCATGGCCATCCCTAACAGGGGCCCTGAGCTTCAGGCTGTGTGTTACACACTGCTTATTGCTTCTGTGATAGCACTTGGGTTACGTGTCTATGTTCGACTACGCATAGTCAAGAACTTTGGCTTTGATGATTGGTGCATGTGCTGTGCTCTCGTGAGTTCCTCACTTTCTGATACCCATCTCACCCACTTACTGACTATTCAAGGTCACATTTTTCCTATTCTGCTTTTCTGCTCTTATGGGAGTCCACTATGGAACCGGCCGTCACCGCGAAAATCTCGACCCAAACGACTTTAAGGAAGCGATGAAGTATTGGTGGTGGTGCTATCTATGGTACTGTCTCACCATGATAGCCTCGAAAATATCCATCGGTTACCTGCTCCTCCGAATCACCAACCGAAAGCTCGACGTTTGGATCATCTACAGCGTCATGGCCATCACCGTCTGCACCGGCGTTGTCTTTTTCTTCGTCACACTCTTCCAATGCTCGCCCATCTCTTTCTTCTGGAACAAAGACCAGCCCGGAACATGCGTCAAGCCCGAAGTCATCATGGCCCTTACATACCTATACAGTGTTTTCAGCGTCATCTCGGATTTCACCTGCGCTATCCTGCCAATGTTCTTGGTGGCTAAGCTCAACATGGGAAGAAAGACAAAACTCGCTCTGATTCCCATCATGGCTATGGCCTGCGTGTTGGTAACCCCTTTATCGTTATTATGTACCCCAGCTCACAGTATTCAGTGCAAGCTCAGCCGTCGTCGTCCGTTTCGCCTTCGTTAAGGATTTCAAGAACCCAGACTTCCTATGTAAGTCGCCCAACGCCATCCATATCATCAATTCATACTAACCACATCACACCAGGGGCAACAATCGACATCGCCATCTGGTCCACGACAGAACAAGGCCTCGCCATCACCGCCGGCTCTTTGGCAACGCTGAGGCCTTTGCTTCGATTACTCGGCCACAAGCTTGGCATAACGACATCGGGACGGTCTGAGTTACGCGACACAGATCAGCACATGGGATCAGGAGGTTTCAGGCCCGCGGGGGGTACCAACGGCAGCGGCAATAAGCAGCGCGATCTTTTCAGCCTCGCCACATTCGCACGGGAGGACGACCTGGACGGCCACGGGCGAGACGGCCAGACAGCTTACACTGGGGAGCACCATTACGACGGTAGATCGTCGGCCGAGAAGGGTGTTTCGGCGTGGAGCGTGCGCAGGGCCGCGGATAACGACAGCGAAGAGGAGTTGACAGGGACGGGCTTGAGTGGTACTTCAAGAGCTGTCAAGGTGACGACCACGTTCCAGGTACAGGAGGATAGGATTTGAAAAAGGCAGCAGCCACAATAACAATAACGACAGCCTTGATATTTATAGCGAACAACAGCACATGCTACTTGGGTATTACAAGAATAATAATATTATGAAACGAGGATAACGCAAGCTATTTAAGCATTTGAGGTGACGTCCATACATAGACTTGCCCGTTGTTCAAACCCAACCCACAATAGTTCCAGTGACGTCAACCTTAGGATCTCAAGAGCTATACGACCAAAGGTATGCACAGCTAAAGCTCTTAAGCTTGGCCATCTTGAGCTAAGTTGGGGTCGCAAATATCCTAGTTTAGGACAAAAGGCCACTGGTTGACCAGTTGATTTGCGTCAAGACAAGCTCGCGTGGGTATTTAGACGCACAGCAACATTCCACCATGATCAACGTAGCTGCTTATCCGCCCGCCCGCGTCGGAAATTATATCGATAAATCTTGTTTTCCAAACATAAACAACACCTCAAATATGACTTGATAGGTCAATTCGAGGCTCAATAACCGTTGGCCCCCAACAAAGAAAATATACGGCATTTTTATGACTTGATGGCTGCAGATGCACTTTGCAAAGGGGCTTCGGAGCGGCTCATAATACCCGATGCAGTTAGAGCGAGTTGCTGGCCAAGACGCCCGTATATGCACCATGAGGAAATCGCTGACTTTGACAGGCACCACGAGAAGAAGGTTAAAATCGAGCTATAGGATCTTGCTTGAGATACTGAGGAAGGACAAGTCAAGAATGTTACTTGCTAGTACGTTTCCAAGCTGAGGTTTTGTTGTCTATCGATCCTGATTCATGAGGTGGGGGCCAAAAGTGTGTCTCTGAGGTTCAGTCCAATGTGACTGACTAGACTCTTGATAACCGTATCTCCAAACTTTCAATTGGACAAGCAACCATTCATTGCAATAAAGATGGCTATAGAATCATACGGCCAAAGCTGTCATTTTATGTAATAATTTGGAGTTTTGGAGACCAGCTTCATTCCCTTTGAACGTGGAGGCGTGTGACTTCCTCCTAAATCAGATAGTACACAGAACAATAACGAGACAGAATATGGTGTTCAGAGTAGCAGTATATTTTACTTGACTGCATTCCTTATGTCTATTCTTATAATCAAAGAGCAGTTATCGGAATTCCCACGAGACATACTTTGGGCATCGCTTGGCGAAACGAATAATATTCCAAGCAACATATAATATTCCAGTAATATGCTAGTTTCAGTAATTCTTGATGTCCTCCAACAATTCTTGGCATAAGACTAGTAACTGCCCGCCTGCCTGCCTTTACTAACCTTCTCGATAACAGACTGATAGGAAACTTCGGACCGTTCTGTAGCTTGAATCTCAGATGCAATGCCGACAAGGCCGCGCCTTAATACAGCCTTAGATGAGGTGAAAATCATTTTTTGCTAATTTACAGTCAACATAATATTCAAGTACTGTTTCTTTCTTAGGAAACTCGCCTTAATCTTAGCTGAGTCAGGGGTCCAGGAGATAAAGACAATCTTGTTCCTAGAAAGCGGTCAGCTATAAAGTTTAGGGAAGAAAGATACGTGTTTTACCTTTTACCCCCACCCTCTTCTTCGAAGCTGAAGTCGTATATAGCCCATCGACACTGATACTTGTTAGTTTCTTTTTTTCTAGATCAGTAACGTCCTATTAATGAATACGAACTTCGGTCTCCGGAAGTTCCGCCACGAAACCATCCCAGTCCGACTCAGTGCCGGATTTCTCAACTACAATTTCTTTTAATTCTTTGTTGAGATTACAGATGATGAATGTCAAGCTGTGATCCTTCAACTTCTGAAACTCTTCGTTCACATCCGGTGAGACCTCAACGCTAAGGAGGATATAGTAAGCACCCATAACGTATCATCCCCATCGCGCATAGTGTGAGGAGCTGTTGATATGGGACTATGGTTAAGTAGACATACCCAGACGACTAAAGATTTGAGCGACAAGATTAGTCCAGGAATTAAGTCTTTCGTTAGGTTGGTACTTACCATAATGATAGATTGATAGCCTGGGATAGTGACTGAAATGTGTTTGTAGAGATGGGTGTGCTAATAAAGTCGCTCTTCAAGTGCCTTGATGGTTTAGGAAGAAACCGATGAGTTGGAAGACGAAGAGAAGAGATTGAGAAGACTTAGGAGGGGGAGGGTGACTTAAATACACACCGCAAGTTAAGTTTGTAGGAACAATAATGGTTGGAAACATGTATGCGTTGGCGCGGGTGAGACATACATACTCAACATTCTAGGAGCCCGACCCTCTGAGCCAGCAATCACGATTCCCCACTGCTGGCGGAAGATGTAAAAAAGGGGACATAACGCAATAGCTGAAGTCATCAAAGACAATGTCAAATCCGGGCCGTCTCTTGCCTCGCTCTCATTGTCAAGTCTTGTAGATCGGTAGGGATTATAAGACACAGCAGAGTTTGCAAAAGGGATTGAGTGGTTAACATGGCCCCAACATTTCTGTTCTAGTTAATTTCTTGAGCAGGTTTGGGAGATAGGGAGGACGAGTTGCTTTTGCAGGCTTGGCAGGGCGAGCAAACTCTCATATCTAGCCTCTAGCCTGTATATACATAATGTTTTCACCTTGTAGATTGTAACTCTTTTTCGGATGTGGACAGCTTAGCGTGCCCGCCCATAAGGTGTCATGGCGGTGATATGTCAAGTCGGTCACCTGAAGACTATCACCTTGCTATGCTGGGACTACAGCCTCATACCTTCCGGTCTTCCGATTAAAGTAGAAGTTTCGCTAAAGCTGATGTCCCACTTGGATCTAGATCTAACAATATAGATAGGAAATACTAGCTTGTCAGCTTCTTACTATTCAGCTAGTCCCTACTCTTAAGAATTTACTATCTACTAGAAAGAATACAGATGCTTCTAGGCAGGTGGGAAAATAACAACATATTTAGTTCCTATACAAGACCCTGATGCTAACACCGTCATCCTAGGCAAGGTAAAGCCTCTGCCTAGGCACAGGGCTTCTTCTTCTTCTTCCTCTTACTCTTGGTTTTCTTCTTAGTCTTCTTCTTAGTCTTCTTCTTAGGCTTCCTCTTAGGCTTCCTCTTAGGCTTCCTTCCAAGTCTTTTATAGAGGCTCTTTTCTTCAATCTTCATAGAGGGGATATTTTATAACTACCCTCCGGGGGGGCCTCCTTAAGCAGAGGGTAACCTAAGCCGTTACCTACGGCTCCGGCAAGGAAGAGGAAGAGGAAAAGAATATATCCTAACTTATACGTTTAATCTTTCAGTGGATTTAGCGATTAAGCCGTTACGCTACGCAAGTTATAGCCAATAGCGTATTGAGTTAAGATTCTCGACTAATGGCATGTCAGCCATTAAATTAGCATAGCCTCACTTTAAAGAGGTAAAGCCAGAAGGTATACCTTCTTCACTACGTTTATTAATAATATCTTCAGTACGGCTTTACCTAATAAGGTATGTAGTGGTAACCTTGGCATAACCGAGGAGATAGTTTAGTATATATTTGCTTGGACGAATAGCTTAACCTAAGGCTAATTATCAAGACACCAGATGGAACATATTTCAAAGGCCAGCCTGTTTCGATATTCATTTCATCGTTATAGAGCCAATTTCAAACCAAGATAAAGAACTGGTGGAATTTATCGACCTGTTAAATTTGGAGGCTATGTTTGCTTGTCTACATATCTACAATTTTAATCTGGTCGAACTTTCTTTTATTCGACTCCCATCTAAACATAACAGTCAGCCCAGAGCTTCGGAGTCTCATCCTCTGGGCTCGAGCATAAAAGCCCCGAGTCCCTCTTTCTTCCAAGGGATTGTCGATGGCAAACCAGTACTGGTCGTTTGCCTCAACATTGGCCCCCGGGTCTCGAATCCAACGCATAGACTCCAGCCTCTGAAGTCCAGAGTTCTTATGTTCGAGTTCCAGATTGCTCTAGCGCTTGAGTTATGGCCATTGGCGAGTGCGACATGTAATGCATTTGCCACAGGCTTATCTACCAAGTCCAAGAGGATCTTAGCACAAGTCCTAAGAAGAGCTTATACACATTATATGTACCCAAAGGTTGCAGCGAAATGTATCTGTTTCAGACCAAGTGTTCCTGTGGCGAGGTTGACATTATTTCTTATGGCAATTAGCTGCCTTAGATATCCCACAGTGTGAATTAGCACCGGCAGACAGTAGTATTCGGGTGATTTTACCATGTAACTCCCCTCAAAGCTCCCAGAGACAGGTCTTGAGTCGGTGAGTAAGGCAGGTGAAAGAGGGATTATATGTCTCAAAGTATTACCAGATGGAGACAAGTGATGCGTCCATCAAAGTTGTCTCTATGATCTGGCCTTACTTTTAGCACACTCTGCAAGATATTCTCGTTGGCGCCAATGATGGCCCAGTGAATGCAAAAAAGTATGAGAAATAGATATGTTTTCCTTTACACCAAATTGAAACGAACCAGCGCCGGGAGGGATTATGCAGATGGTCTTGGTGTCAGCTAACGGGCCCTGCTTAATAAAAACACGCTCATACGTAGCATCTCCAAAGGGCTTGGTATTTGGCAACACAAAATTGTTGAGATCAGATCGAAGGTGGACGAGTTGATCACCTAGTCCCTAGACTTTCTTGAGATATATGACTGGCACCTCTCGTTGTCCGTCTTTGACTCGTTCACAGTTGAGCAGGACCCTGAAATCAGCTTCATTACCAACACTGTCATTTTCGCATGATCACTTACGTGAAGCCGTCCGCAAGGAGTTACAGTTAAATGCCAGCCCGGGCTTGGGTTGCGGGTAGTTATGAGCTACCCCCCTATGAAGATGGAAGAAATCCCCCGAGGAGGAAGAGATGTTGGAGGAAAGTGGAAGCAGGGGAAAGAGGCACAAGAAGACAGAATATGACTATACTCAGGCCTAGTGTTTGCCATACCTAGGTATGATAAAAGCTGACTCTGATTTATGCTTGCTGTCAGCATCAGGACATACCGATAATCAAACATCACATGCTAGCTATTCTACTACAAGTGTGGTTAGGCTGTTTGTCCTGGTCGAGGCTCGAGTGAGTAGCGTAGGCATGCTCTTGCAGCCTGATATAAGTGGATTGGGATGACAAGTCAGCTTGTGGTAACTGCATAGTGTTCCACAGATGGCATTGACACATGCATCAGATCTCGTAAGCCTGACAGGACGCTACTGTAGACGACGGCATACACAGTGAGGCAGTGATGCTGAGCCTACACAAACCAAACAATGGCGGGCACAAACCAAAGCTGCATACAGATCAAGGCGTACATGTGATAGAGTTTAGAGCTTGTAGAATGAACCGTCGGTAATGCTAACCGATAACCGAGCAGTGTCTCCAAACAGGCAGTTTGCATGGATCGCACCAGAAACTACTGCAAGTGAGAGATTCTAATGTTTGTTGGAAATTCTGAACATGGTTCAAGACTCCTCCTCTAGAATGTCGTTCCACTATCTCGGGACAAAGTAACCCGAATGGCGTCTAACTCGGGATCTATTGCAAGCTCGGCGTTTCAACAATCTTTTGATTTGCTGGCTGAAGTAGATTTCAGAGAGGGAAATTAGCCTGAGTTGGTGAGCGCCACAGCCATGCATTCAGTATGGGTGCAAGACCTAGCTGTCAAGGTCAGGTGTAACCCTCCCCTGCCACTCCAACCAACTGTACCCCCAAATCGTAGATATTTAGATTGACATGACAGAGTTTGATGATTCTAGTCCCAGAACAGATACAACAATCAAACATCAAGAGAGGACTGGTGAAGAGGCAGAAGGATGATCCTAATTTTAAAAGCCGGGACTCCAGGCTGAAGAATAGAACCAGACCAGGAGATACCCCCAACCAACGATGGAGTAAGATGGGGGGTTGCTTCCATGAAATAAGCATCACGATCGTGGTAACTTACTGGAAGGCATATAGCCCAAGGTCGAGACAAGACGAATGGCATATACATGCACTTGAGTGGGTGTGGTAGCATTGATACTTTACTCACGAATCACATAATCCTTGTAATCGTCAAGGTATTGGGGACATACCACCTGTTCCTGGGCATTTGTCGTTCTCATAATAAAGGCGGGGAAACTAAAGATCATTTTAGTCAAGCTTTGTTAACGCACACTAGAGTTGCATTTAACCGGGGTAAACTGCAAAATAAACAGTAGATGATGCTTCTCCAATTGCTGTTGAGAGAACGATCAACATTCCCCCGGAATCTACCCCAGATTCTCCCGCCGGTCGCAACGGACAATCGACCAAGAACCTGGGGGATGAGAAACTGCTCTGAATGGTCAGTGGCATTAACCGGTCCACTAACGATCGATGTGAGCCACACCAGACCTGGTCTGCATCCTACCATCCCCGCAGGATGGATCTTCCACCAATCGCCGGGGACCATCAAGTACGATATAGCTTCACTGGCGCGACTCTCCACGGGCCGTCGATCCTATATCTGCGGCGAAGTGAACCGAATCCCGGCTTCATGGCTGCATGTGAACATGAGGAGAAACAATACAGATCCTTGCGCAATGGTCAATTGAGAGTGTCTATAACTGCCCATCATGCCCCTCACTTACATATAACGTAGGCTCTCTGCCGTTATTAACTCTGCTCAAGTACTTCGCTGCTGGAAAGCCAAGAGTCAGTTAACAATGACTACCAGAAAGGACTCCGGGGAGATCAATCCCCACGTTGAGAGCACCGATGCTGGACTCGACCATCTCAAGAACGTGAATCTTCACGATAAGGCCCTTGCCAATGAAGCTCTTGAGGCTACAGCCGATGAGCACAGCTACACCGTCTGGCAAGGCTTCAAGACGTACAAGCGTGCTGCCTTTTGGTCCATTGGTGAGCCAACTCACAAGTTTGAGAGCACAAGTTGGACCTAGTAACTAACAAGTCAAAGTCATCTCAACAACAGTCATTATGGAGGGCTACGACGTCACCCTCCTGGGCTCCTTCTACGGCTACCCTCGATTCCGAGAGAAGTACGGTGCCTATCTCGACGAGGATAATGATTACCAGATCTCAGCCAACTGGCAGCAGCGCTTCAACTGTCTCGGTGCTCTGGCCAACATCATCGGCGCCATGCTGAACGGCTGGGCGACTTCTAGATGGGGACACCGCGTGGTGCTTATCAGCGGTCTTTTCTGGCTAACTGCTTTTATCTTCCTCGTCTTCTTCGCTCCCACCATCGAGGTCCTGCTCGTTGGTCAGTTCCTGTGCAACATCCCCTGGGGTATCTTCGCCACGACCGGCCCGGCCTACGCCGCCGAGGTGACGCCTCTGGCCATCCGAGGATATCTCACTGCCTACGTCAACCTCTGCTGGTGCATCGGACAGTTCATCTCAGCCGGTGTTCTCAAGGGCCTTGTCAATAACCCTACCCAGTGGGGTTACAGAATCCCCTTTGCGATCCAATGGATCTGGCCTATCCCTCTAGCCATCGCAGCATATCTTGCCCCCGAGTCGCCGTGGCATCTTGTCCGCACGAACCAACTTGAGAAGGCAAAGGAATCCCTCGAGCGACTTTCCAACCCGGAGCACAACATCAATTACGACAATGCCGTTGCTCTCATGGTCCATACCAACAAGCTTGAGATCGAAGAGCGATCCGGCACCTCGTACTGGGACTGTTTCCGCGGCAGCAACCTTCGCCGTACTGAGATCGCTTGTGTCGGCTTCCTTTCACAGATCACCAACGGAGGTGCCCTTTGTTACAGCGGATCTTTCTTCTTCCAGCAGACTGGCATCGGTCCCAGTGCCGCATACGGCATTGCCCTAGGCGGAACCGGTATTGCCTTCATGGGCACCATCATCTCATGGTTTTACATTTATAAGTTCGGTCGACGAACCATCTGGCTCACAGGTTTCTCGCTACTCGTTGCGATCCTCTGGCTGATTGGCTTCCTTGCTTTGCCCAAACAGACACTGGGGCTGGCCTGGGCGCAATCGATCCTTTGTGTGGTTTGGCTCGGAGCCTACTCCATGTCTGTCGGACCCATCATCTACACCATCGTTGCTGAAATTGGATCGACTCGTCTGCGTACCCAGACTGTTGTGCTGGCGCGTTCGACGTACTATGTCGGTAACATTATTTGCGGAGGTCTCCTACAGCCAGAGATGCTGTCGCCTGGATCATGGAACCTGAAGGGCAAGACTGTGAGTCTAGACGAGTACACATGAGGTAATAACCATGCTAACCAACAATCCAGGCTTTCTTCTGGGCAGTTCTCGCCACATTGACTCTCATCTGGGGCTATTTCCGTCTATTTGAGACAAAGGATCGAACCTTTGGTGAGATGGACTACATGGTAGGCGATCCATCAAACCAACAAAGGATTCAGCTAACAAATTTGAACAGTTCCAAAAGGGAATTTCAGCACGAAAGTCCTCCAAATACCACATTAACGAGGAGGAGGTCTTTATGGCGCACGAGAAGCCTGAGGCCGAGAAGCATTAATGACCACACCTGTGTTTGGCGATTGGAGGCCTCAGATTGTGCTGAAGATGGCTATTTCAAGTTGGCGATGCCATTAGTTTTCACCTCGATCGCGAATATTATTGTGCTTGATGATGATAGCCTTGGACTTGCGTGTCTGAAACTGTCCTAAACTAATGGCCAACCGAAGCCACAACGGAGTGATTTGGTGAGACATTGGGTCCTTGATCAGCGCCTAATTTCGAGTCAGCAAACGCGACGACTGAATGCTGAGATGACCTACCTAAGAGCATGCTTTGGTTCCTATTTGAGTCGTTGTAAATAATCACGAAGGCTGTACATTACTCAACGAGGTATTCGCACTACTCTCTTTGTTATCTTGGACCTTGGTAGACCTATCAACACATTCATTCATCCAACCCAATCCAGGAACGGATCGAGCGGCTTGGGAGCCAAGCGTCATATTCTCCACTCCAAGGGGGAACGAGCGGCCATCAGCTTCACCCGCGGTTGCAGCTAAGACTTTAGCGTCTATTTGAAGGGCTGCCAAGGTATTCTACCGGCCTCAGCGAAGAATTGCTTGCTTGTTGCATGACGGAGGCTGAAGAGCAGAAGTATCAAAACAAAGAAGTGAAAGGATCTAGACGACGCATTCAATTTCAGTGTCCACATATGTCAAACACCAAATTACATTCAATCTTCTGGTGCTTGGCTTCGTATACAGAGATTGGTGAAATGGCGACTATGGATTTGAACCCCAGTATTGAATCCCAGTATGTCGCACACATTGGAGATTGGCTCAATGATAAACTTTTGCTGTGTGTTTTAGTTTCATCCTTTCTTGCGAATTGACTTGTCCACGTTTGTTATGGGCAGCGTTGTTCCTTGCATAAGTTCCGCCACCACATTTGATTCAAGGGCGCACCGTTGAACGATGAATTGAGACTTTTTTTTTTAAGAATTCACCCAATGCATAAAGAAACCGACGGTTGTCGAATATTCAAGCATAACAAGAAGGGATGATACAGGCATTTCATCATGACAAAGAATAGCAACATTCATCTCGATTATTTATCGTCGATCACGTAAATAAGAAAATTGCCATTTGGGTACGAAACAGGAGAAGCTGGGGTCGACAACCAATAAACACATCCACTAAAAGCTCGGCATGCTAGGCGTGCTATTCTTAGCGGCCTACGGCGCCTTGAACCGTCGCTTTGTGGACCAGCGTCGTAAGCATTTCCCCTGAAAAACCGGGAACTTGGCGCAGGTCCCAGCACGTGACGGCTCCACGCCCGCTGTAACCGCGCCCCTACCTAATCTCACCGCGTTCCGAAAGCATAACAAAGCGTCTTTCTTTTCATTCTTCATCCAGACATTTCATCATCGTTTCATTTTTTTTGGTCGATTTCTCTCTCTTTTTTAGGATTCGACATTTATCATTCCTCGTCACTCTCTTAAACTGCCTCAACGGCTCTTGTTTTTTGTTTAACCCACTTCCGAAATAACCACGCTCCTTTTAATAGACTTAGCATCCGACGTGGTGTGACTTTGTTCGACGTTGTACCAATTACCAACTTTCCAGGAACTGATAATCTGTAAACCGTCATCATGAAGGTTTCCACTACCCTCGCTGCTGGAGCTCTCGCCATGGGCGTTGAGGCCAAGAACTACCTTGGTTTCAACTCGGGCGCCACCCTCGCCAACCGAGAGGCCAAGTTCAAGGCCGACTTCGCTGCCGAGTTCAAGACTGCCCAGGGCCTCAAGACTGCCCCTGGTGACTTCAGCGCCGTTCGACTCTACACCAACATCCAGGCTTACTCCGAGGATGACCCCATCGAGGCTTTCGAGGCTGCCATCGACACAGAGACCGAGATCCTCCTTGGTGTCTGGACCTCTGGCACTGACAACATCGACAAGGAGATCAGCGCCCTAAAGAAGGCCATCGACAAGTACGGCACTGACCTGACCGACCTCATCATTGGTGTTTCCGTCGGTAGCGAGGATCTCTACCGTAACTCTGTTACCGGTGTCAAGAACAAGGGTGGTGTTGGTGTTCAGCCCGACGCCCTCGTTGACTTCATCAACGACTTCCGCAAGGCCTTCAAGAGCACCCCCATCTCCAAGATCCCCGTCGGTCACGTCGACACCTGGGACGTCTGGGGTAACACCACCAACAAGGCCGTCCTTGACGCCATTGATTTCATTGGTGTAGATGAGTACCCCTACTATGAGAACGGCAAGGGCAACGGTATCGAAAACGCCGGCAAGCTCTTCAACAAGGCCTACGAGGCCACCATCGCTGCCTCCGCTGGCAAGCCCGTCTGGGTCACCGAGACCGGATGGCCCTACAAGGGCCCCGACTGGGATGAGGCCGTTCCTAGCATCAAGAACGCCCAGAAGTACTGGCGCGATGTTGGCTGCAAGTACCTCTTCAACAAGACCCCCACCTTCTGGTACAACCTCCGCGACTCCAACCCCGACAACAAGATGAAGTTCGCTATCACCGAGAACCTCTCCACCACTCCTCTCTTCGACCTCTCTTGCGACAAGGTTGACGACGATGAGGAGAAGACCTCCAGCTCTGCTGCCGAGTCCAAGACCAAGACCTCCACTGCTGTTTCCAAGTCTACTCACGCTTCTGCTTCTGATTCTGATGAGACCACCATGGCCACTGCCACCGCTTCCGCCACTGGCAGCTCTGGAAAGGATGAGGATGAGGACTCTACTGCCACTGCTACCGCTACTGGCTCCGGTTCTCACTCCAAGCCCACTTCCGCTTCTGGATCCAGCTCTGGTGACGACTCTGCCTCCGAGTCCGGCTCCGGTTCTTCCGGCTCTGGCTCCTCCGGTAATGGTTCTGCCTCCGAGTCTGGCTCTAGCTCCGGCTCTGGTTCTGGTTCTGGTTCTGGTTCCGCATCCGAGTCTGGTTCCGAGTCTGCCCCCGCTGAGACTCCCAGCGCCGTTGTCAGCGGTGCTACCAGCTTCACTATCTCTGCCGCAGCCCTTGCTTTCTTTGCCCTGTTTGCTCTGTAAATGTCCTAAATGGATCATGGGTTGAATGACGCCCATTAGCGTGTCTTTACTAGTTTCTCGCGCCCGAGATCTGTTTCTTGTATTAGTTATGGGTAGACTGGATAGACAAAGGTTGCTATTATTGCATATATATGTTTCAAGAGTCTGACTGTGACCTGTCTTGTGACTGTAACTCTTCACTTTATCATCTTGACACGAGATTTAGTGTTTTATATTCGTCAACCTGAATTACATCAATTATACTATTAAGTTTTATACCGTAACGCCTTGTTTAACCTATAATTGGTTTAACAAGCTCGCTAAAGTGGATATCAACGTTCCGTATCCGTAGCCCGAAACCTTGATTCGCGCCAACTCCATCTACACATGGAACTCAGCCGTGATAGTATCAGCGTAGACAAAAAGAAAGACTTCCACCATGGTCAGGACATAGAAACGCCAAAAGGAAGGATCTGGCCGGGGATTGAACCCGGGACCTCTCGCAAGCCGTGCTGTAGGGTTTTCCCTAAGCGAGAATCATACCACTAGACCACCAGACCGGACATGATTGAGATCATGTTGAATCAATCACGTGATTGGTTCGTGGATATTGAACACGCGATTTGGGTTATCTTGTTGATTGGACGGTTGGCGGCCTCTAGGGTGGGAGAGGCAAAACATTTTTGAGTTTCGCTCTGATGATTGAGCATGTTTTAATATTCGCGTTATTATGTGGCTTGTTAAATCTCATCCAGTATCATCTTTCGACCTTCTTGTATGTCGATTCCCATTCCGTTGAGGCGTTGTATAAGAAGCCAATTCACGACATGAAGCTTTTATCGCTACCTCCTTTCGCACAACTAAGTAGACCCGGTAAATAGAATCCCGGCCCCCAAATTGTCTTCTTCAATTCCAAGATCTTCATTCATTGGATGCAAAAAAAGCCAAAGGCAACGGTAGCACCAGCACAGCCGCAATGAGGGCAACGTCAAGTTGTTGTGAGACATCATGGGCGCAACCCCATTAACTAGTCATACGGGACTTTTCTCAGCCAAGACATCATGACGCTGATCTGTCGATGTCTAGAGTGCCGATAGGACGGATGGGGATAAGCAGCTGATATCACACTTACTCCAGCTGGGAACTCATCTTCTTTCCATTTATCGATATCTCCGAAGTATGCTGCTGGGTTCCGTAATAGTTGGGGGCGGAGTGGACAAAAGGATGGTATACCTTGAAGATCAACGACACGAATAAAACCTTGGAATTATAACTCAGCCTTGTGATGGTCCATATCTTCTCCTCAACCAGATATGGATGTTTCCCAATGGTAAACGCCTCCACCAACCACAATCAGTACAAAAGTTCTAATCAGCCTTACCGGTTCCTGGCGCGCGCCATTCGCTAGGCTGTGCCTTGCTCCCGACCAATTCCATTCGCAGAGATCAGCCCTAGGTAGATTGCTAGTAAGCAGCGCCGCCCAAGTAGGCTGTTGTCAGTAGCTCAGCTCCTCCATGAGGGGTCCCCGAATGGTTGAGGCATCCGATTTCCATGTGACGTTTTGTTTTGATAGAGCTTATATAAATACCCCAAAACTCCGTAGGCAACTCTCACAGTCCTTCAAGTGGATCTCCACATCTTTAGCATCATACAGCCCTTCTAATTACCACCGTCTCTCCTAACCCTATTGATTCAGTATCATTCCAACAGCAACCATGGCCGCCGTTCAACTTCAAACAGCGCCCCACCAGGTCGGCGTCTTCAAGAGCTTCATCGCCAACCAGACCGAGACGCTCGTCCTCAAGGAAAAGGTCATGTCCCTCACGGGCGACAGCTTCGACATCAAGCTTGCCAATGGCCAGCCAATCCTCAAGGTCGAGGGCAAAGTGATGAGCATCTCGGGCCGCAAGAAGGTCTTTGACATGAACGGCAACCACCTCTTTTCCATCGCCAAGGAGCACCTTCACATCCACACAACTTATGCGGTAGAAGACCCTAACGGCGTCAAGATCATGGAAGTCAAGAACAGCTTCAAGCGTGAGTCTTCAAGTCTCCCTGAGTATCCGCGGTATTTCTGACAATTGTTCTAGTCATTGGCTCCAAAGCCACAGCGACGTTCACCTCTAGCAACGGCACAGCGGAGGTCCTCGAGATGAAGGGCAGCTGGTTCGACTTTGCGGCCGACATCTTTGACAAGTCGACAAACACCGTGGTTGCGCGCATTGACCGCAAGCTCCTCAGCGGTCGCGACGTTTTATTCGGCCAGCAAACGTATGCGCTCATGGTTGCGCCCGGTGTTGACATGGCTCTCATGGCGGCGCTGTGTATCTGCATGGATGAGAAGAACAACGAGAAGTAGTCTTGGGACATTTGATGATATTGTGCATGTGATACCCGGATTGGAGGAGCAATGTTTGGAACGGACAAGACCTACTTGGGCCAGCTGTTGTTAATGCTGATAGCATACACTTGTACGTTTCCTAGAGAATTGGGAAACAAGAATGATTAATGACCTGATTGAGAACATTCACTTTCAATCCAGAATCCACAGTGAGTGAGTGACATGTATTTGGACACGAACGAGACTGTGCCTGGTGATGGTTCATGCTGAACCACTTCCTAGTACTAACGTTAGAGATAAGCAGTGAAAAATATCTCTTTAAAAAAGAATAAACAATTCTATAGACTCAAATCTGACTCATTACAAACTATCCATATTAACCAAAATCATCCACCGCGACTCGTGTCGCATCCCGTGGTCGACGTAGACCCTCACCAAATCCATCCGCCGCCAAGCTCACCAGCCAAGCCCATGTCAAACCCGGCTTTAAAGATAAGCATAACTCAAACAAGAAATCCCCAAGGAGCGACAAGCTTTCCTCAAGCTTTTTCTCCTCCAAAGCTTGACCGCGACAAGCAATATTAGACCATGTCCGCTCGGCAATATCAGTGCCGAGTAATACTCACAGTGACATTTTCTCACCGTTCATGCATGGGATGTTGATCTGCTCTACGGATACATAGTACTGTTTCCACCTGGTGAGAATTTGACAGAACCGCCCAGCGGTGAATACGCATGCTGTCCCATAAAATAAACGGTGCCCTGAGCAAACATGAATAACGCGCAATGTTCGGGATGAAAGACGCCCGCTGATAGTAAAAAGTCGAATGTATTGCATTGCCGTTGCGTTGCCAAGAGAGGTCAAGGGGGCTGTGCAATGTTCGTTTGAACATCGTGTAATGCCAAGCGTGGAGACTGACAACTCATGCTTTTGGCTTCGAAAGTTCGCTGTTGATGACCTTTTTTTAGTTAATTTATCTAAAGTTCTATTCATCTACTAAGAGTCCTTGCCATAGTGTTCACGGTTCGACCATAACTCCATTCTCTGGTGTTTTTCAGCTCCGAGATGTCTCACTGCAAATTGAACATCCGAGGTTCAGTTGCACGTAAACTCCAACGACAGGGACTATACAGCAAAGAGGGTCCAGCAGTTCTTGGCTCGGTGCCGATAAGCGAAGGAGGCTGCTACTTGCAGTGCTAGTCTGCAATTCTTGCATCTTTAGCAGGGTCTGACACCTGGCTAGACAGGCCATGCATGTGCCCCAACATGCACGCCGTTAACGTCCCAACATCGAACAACATACGCGCCAAATATATCGACATATTTCACAAGAGAATCACCCAATGCTTGTCTGCTAACAAGCGTGCCAAGTCGGATAAATGCGAAATGGCTGTGGTATTGCACTACTAAGGTATGTATCAACAAGTGAAAAATTCAACAACCTTTTCCTCCTGCCTGTGCGGCTTCAACGTAATCCAGTCAGAAATGGACGTAACATGTCGTTATTCGTAGCTTGGTTTTTAACCACTTAGTCCTCATACACCTCTTCGTATGTCTCCTCGTACTCCTCTCGAGCCTCTTCAAGGGCCTCTTGATCGCTACTGCTGGCGTCTGAGTCGGCAGCATCTGCCAGGGCCTCTTCGTATTCTTCACGCGCCTCTTGGACGTCCTCGCGGTCGCTAGATGAGACGGAGTCGCCATCAGCGTCGGTAGGGGGGAGGACAGCGGGAGGACCATCCTGTGCGTATGGATCGGCGTAGGGATCATGAGCAGGAGGCTGGTTGTAATCGTAGACCGGAGCAGGAGCAGGAGCGGGAGGAGGAGCGGAGTGCTCGTGGTCGCTGTCACTGTCGTTGAGCTCATTGGCAATCAAGGCACCACCTACAGCACCAAGAGCGAGACCACCTGCGGCACCAAGAAGCATGCCGGAGCTGCCGCTCTTCTTCTTCTCTCCTTGACCATACGGGTTGGTGTCGCCGTGACCGCGGTCACCGCTGTAACCCTCACCTTGGGGGGCACCATATCCACCAGGGGCGCCGTAGGGAGAAGGAGCACCGTAAGGAGAAGGAGCGCCATAGGGAGAAGGCGCACCATAACCGGGAGCACCTCCGTATCCCGGAGCAGGAGATCCATAACCACCTGGAGCAGGGGATCCGTAACCAGGAGCACCGCCGTATCCACCAGGAGCCGGTGAACCGTATCCACCCGGGGCACCGTAACCGCGAGATCCATCAGAAGGCTGAGACTCGTAGGGAGGACGAGAATCAGGAGGAGGAGGGGGAGGGGCTTGCTGAGGAGCCTCCCACTGGGTGCGGCCAGAAGCTGTCTCAACATAGTACCATCGCTGGTGCGACTGGTCGAACTGAGCAGTCCAGCCTTGAGGCAGAGGAGGGCGGTCGGAAGGAGGCTGATAGGCGGGCTGGGGAGGGGGAGCACCGTATTGTTGCTGAGGAGCAGGAGAGCCGTATTGTTGAGGTGGAGGGGCGCCGTACTGCTGAGGGGCAGGAGAACCGTATTGTTGGGGGGGAGCAGGAGAACCGTACTGCTGGGGAGGAGCGCCGTATCCGCCGTCGCCGTAGCCGCGGGTGTCTGAGGTTGGAGATTTAGCAAATGGAACTATTATAACTTTTCACATATGAAAAAACTTACTATCGTGAGACTGCTGAGGAGGATAAGACTGCTGCTGAGGCTCCTCCTTCTTCTCCTCCTTGTCCTTGTCACCGATACCAAGGTTCTCGAACTCCTTGGCAATCTTCTTGAAGAAAGACATGGTGGGTGTGACTTCGAAATGAGAAATACGAAGTTTTGAGAAAAGGGTTAGAGTTTTGAGAGGGAAGGGAAAGAGAACAGGAGAGAAGAGAAAAGGTAGATGAGAATGGAGGAAGTCGAGAGAAGGAGCGACCAGGTCCCGTTTATATATTTGTGGAAGGCCTTGGGCGTGAGATGAGATGTACCCGTGTAAGGCGTGAGGTGTGAGGTGTGAGGTGCGACCAGCGCAGTTATCGCCGGCAGAGGTCTATGCTTGGCAGGTGCCGACAGTGCATGGGTGGCGGATTGAGACGTCTCACTGCTAAGAAAGGAAATAGCTCTGCGAAGTGACAATGGATCACTGTGTGAAAGTGGTTACGGTTCCATCCTTGTCAGTGATGGGCCAGGTACAACTGAGGAGAGGGATAATTTGATGCTATCGCACATGTTCAGAGCCGCCCCCAGGAACCGCACAAGCCCGTCCAATGCCCGTTTACCCCTCCACCCAGCGTGCCAACCTTCGAGCTTCCGGGGACCAGCCAGTAAAGAAGCTACGACGTGGCCAATCAGTGGGTTTCCAGTAGACCCCTGCGGGCCGTTCCGGCGGGGCACGGCTCTGCTAAATGTCACCAGCTTGGAGCTTGCTTTAAGCAAGATGCCTCCTATGTTTGGCTTATACGGGGTTTGTTTTGTTCAAGTATCGGATAAGCTGGGTCACGATTTCATGAGTACTTCAGCTAGTACACTATCGATAATCACGTTCATGCTGGTACATGTTGAGCATATTTTCAACATGCATAGAACAGCAGGTCTCCACATAAAGACGGCGTGTTTCCAGAAGAATAACACAACCAACTTATCCCTCATCTGGTTTGACAGTCGCCATGATCGCTGGCTATGGGGTAGAAATTACTAGGTCATCCTTTACGTCTCAAGCGCTGCAACGTCCGCTTGATCTCCATAGATTTACATAGGGCAGGCAGTAATATGGGGTACCGTCTGTTGCTGCAACACCGTTGTGGCGGAGTGGAAAATGCAAGCTGTCATGATGTATTCGTACAATCAACATTGCTGTGCTGTGTGTTGCCAGAAGGGAACGTAAATAACGGTTGATAAGCATGCCTCAATCAAACAGCGACATGACTCTGCGTCACAATCGCAAAAGCGAGAGGCCGCCCATGATGTTGTCATGAAAAATATGTCATTTGGAGGTTGGCGATGGAGCCCTTCTCGCGGGATCATGGAGGGGTTTCATGTCGTCTCACACTCATGGATGAGCTGTATGACTCTGATGCTGCTGCGGTGAGGGGGAGGGACTCCGTGCAGCGCCAAGACCATCCAGGTCCCTTGGCGTTCCATTCCATCCATTTCTTTCAGCGGCCTCCAGATCATTTCCAGGGCGTTTCCTAGGGGAACTTCAGGGCTGGAGGTTCAGGCCTGCGAGTCCCCCCGCGGGACACTTCCGCCAAGCTTACCCCTCCATCCATCAAAGCGCGTCCCGCTTCACAATTAGCGCCCGTGAATGCAGCCCAGTCCAGCAGTAAGCAAGCAACCCAAGCTCAATTGGATTGTGGGATTCAGCTGCTGAACCCATAATTGTTTCTGCATCTGGCAGCTTCGGACCTCGCAATCTCCCTCCTGCATCTTCTTTCTGTCTTTTTTCTCCACGTCGAACTGCCAATCTAATTTACCTTCCACAGAACAGCTCAACATGTCACACTACCCAGGCCAAGGATATCATGGCGATGGAGGCGGAGGCGGCGGCTATGGATATGGTCCTCCCTCCGGGCCTCCCCCTCCCCAACAACAGTACGGAGGCCAACAACAATATGGTGGTCAACAGCAATATGGTGGCCAGCAGCAATACGGTGGCCAGCAGCACCACGGTGGCTATTCCGGAAGCCAGTCTGGAGGTCAGAGATACCCTCCTCCGCAACACCCTCCCCCTCCAGGCCTCGACGCTTACGGCTATCCTCTCCCACAAGGCCAGCACAATTATGCCCAGCACGCTCGAGCCGGCCCACCTCCTCCCTCTGTGCCCCAGCAGTTCGGTCACGGTGCCCCCGAAGGTTATACTTTCCAATACTCCAACTGTACCGGTCGACGCAAGGCTCTTCTCATTGGTATCAACTACTTCAACCAGAAAGGCGAACTTCGCGGCTGCGTCAACGATGTCCACAACGTGTCGGCGTTCCTTGTTGAGCGCTATGGTTACAAGAGAGAGGATATGGTCATCTTGACCGACGATCAATCCAACCCTGTTATGAGACCTACCAGGGAAAACATCATTCGCGCCATGGGCTGGCTTGTGTCAAATGCACAGCCCAACGATGCTCTGTTCCTCCACTACTCTGGTGAGTCCAAACATGCATATCAATATGTGATTTCTAACATATGTTTCTCTAGGCCACGGTGGCCAGGTTGAAGACGTGGATGGCGACGAAGATGATGGCTACGATGAGTGCATCTACCCCGTTGATCACACTGAAGCCGGTCCCATTGTCGATGACGAGATTCACTACCGTGTCGTGAAACCCTTGGGACAAGGTGTCCGTCTCACTGCTATCTTCGACTCGTGCCATTCTGCTACAGTCATGGATCTTCCATACGTCTACTCAACCAAGGGTGTTTTGAAAGAACCCAACCTCGCCAGGGAAGCTGCATCTGGTATCTTCGACGCTTTCAAGGCATACTCTAGTGGAGATATGGCTGGCGCCGCGGGTTCCATCTTCAGCTTTGCTAAGACAGCTTTTAGAGGTGACGATGCGTATGTGAAGACCAAGGAGACACGAACATCGCCCGCCGATGTTATTATGTGGTCAGGAAGTAAAGATGACCAGACATCGTAAGTCGCTCTATTTCCTCGTAGAATCTTGCTAACAAACACTCCAGAGCCGATGCCACCATCAACGCGCAGGCTACCGGCGCCATGTCGTGGGCTTTCATCTCAGCAATTAAGGCAAATCCTAAGCAGAGCTATGTCGAATTGCTCAACAGCGTCCGCGATATTCTTGAGACAAAGTACACTCAGAAGCCACAACTCTCTAGCAGTCATCCTATCGGTATGCACATTCTTGCTTGAACTCATACTAAACTGAACAGGATGCTGACGTTCGCTCACAGATACTGACCTCCTGTTTATCATGTAAGGCGTTGGAAAGGATAGCTTAATGCCTCTACTTTGTGTGAAGAGTGCATTTGAGCAGAGGACGAGAGCATAGATGAGCCAACGCCATTCGTGGCCTTCAACGATAAAGCGTTATGAGTAACGGACGAATGAACAATACAAGATCCATAATGCCAGTGAGTAAGCTGTTGACTCTTTCGCAAGTGATAACGAAAAGTCTGGTAAAAAGAACCATGTCATCCACTACTCTCTCTCGCCCAGGCAAAAACTTCCATTCGTTCGAAGGTTGAAAAGGCAAAAAATCAGATTCAATCGTATCATTTGTATAGGAACAGCCCGATGCGGGGGTCGAACCCGCAACCTTGAGATGGTGTACTCATTTAAGAGTCTCACGCTCTACCGATTGAGCTAACCGGGCGAAGCTCGGTTTTCTTGTTGTTGAAGGCTGAGTTGCAAATTCGCTTTATTCAATACGGCGGTCCGGATAAATAGCGCCGGGATAGCCTATCCCAAGTCTCATACATCTGTGAAGTTATCCATTGTTGCTCTTTTGCCACGCTTTGGTAGTGATTAATTGTGCTATGAGCTGAATGAGCTAGTTGATTCTAGAGATAATGACGAGCCACCGGATCTTCTTTGTCTCAGGATGGGTTCCTACTGGGATTTCTGATTGGGAGGGATAGTACCTTGAATTGTGGTATACCCAATGAAGCGGCTGTTGTTATAGACATTCATTGTGTTGGGGGAACAATAGACTGTTATCATGATGACATGTAGATAAACATCCTTTCTGCCTAAACCACAAAACGTCGGTCTCTGAAAATTAGGAGAATCCATTATGCCACGTGCTAGAACAGCTCAGCCACGAGATGGAATCGGAAGGAGAAGAGAGAGAAAAGAAAGATATGAGATGAGTCATTTGTAGCAAGCTACTACTCTTTGAAGTTGACGGACTTGATAGTAGCTATATTCCCAACAGTTAAGTGCTCGTAACACTCGACAATACTTGCAGGAGGCTCTCATACAGAAGAGCAACAACAATCAGATGGCTGCTGGTCTACTGCCTCTTGTTGTGAAAGAGCCTTTTCTCGATGGAGAAAGAAAGATCGGACGAATGGAGAGGAGTGGTTGATGTAAAGAAAGAATCAACGAGAGCAGCATCATGCGGAAGGATCTGATAATTTAGGTAGTTGTTTTAATAAACCTTTCTGTATTTAATCTGAAGATAATGGCGCTCGTAAGAAGGATGTGGTTTAGGCAAATTTCTGGCAAATGGTACTTTTCCAATGGGAAAAGGTTGAGTACCTGTGCGCTTAGGTCGCACTATCTACTATTGTTTCCACCGTAGTTACCATTGTCTTGTTAGTGATTCACGCTTTGTCCACGCATTTGTGAAGCATGACATCTGCAAGCTATTATCTAGTGAAAAGAGTTGTGTTTTTTTTCATCTCGTCTGAAGCCTGAATAGACTTTAAACACGGGTTCTCATTAATGAACCTTGTTAGTCACCTTTGTGCACGCTGGAAATGTTGACTTTTGTTTCACATTCAGATATTCTCCTATATTTGATTGTTACATGACAATGTTCTTAGCAACTTCCCCAGGTAGCCAGTTCTAGCCACAGTTAGGAAAGAGCTATCTGCTCGGACTCGTTGTAGATACAGTATAAGCTCTCGAAACTCGGTCTCTGTATGGAGCTTCCTCGTACACACACAAACTTTGTTATGAGATTCGGCCCATCCAGTCTTTTATATTTATAGCTTCAGCTTCACCGCGTCCCATCCAGCTTTTCAACACTTATTCCGGTATTATAACATCATTCTTTCAGTATCAAATTCTACAATCGTTCAACATCGCAGGCTTCTCATGGCGCCTCGTGAACCCAAAAAAGAATATGAATGTCCCAAGTTGGGCCGATTTCTGCCAGATCTTATGGCAGACGACGTAGAGTTCCTCAAAATTCTTGACTGCCAATCGGCTCATGGAAAAATCGTCAAGATGAGAATGAAAGGGCGTCTCTACGCCATCAAATTTGTAAGTCAACCAACAACTGGTATACAAGAGAGTAAAGATTAGTGGTGAATTTTAACAGCACCCGCAGTTCCTTTCCGACAACTTTGAGCCCAATTACGACTACGTATACGACGGAAAGAATAGACCCTACTCATGTTGTCATTCATTCGACTGGCACTTCTCTCCTTTCGACAACGAGGCTCGGGCATTCGGCAGGCTACAAGAAATGGGCTGTCAACACCTCGCAGTCAAGGGGCACGGCTATGTCTGCCTCACTGTGGCTGATATCGACAACAAGCTTCAGTCATCAGACTCAGATCTCCGTATGTCTCACTTTGAAGATGGTCCTTATTCGGACGCGATTCATTTGCATGGCATAGTCAAGGACTGGGTCGAGATGGCCGAACACCCTGACCAGGAGAAACGTGAGATGCGGGACCGGATCAGTCAGGAACCCAAGTTTCCTCGTATGCTTGAGGATCTTCATGAGCTTCACCGAATTGGCATTGTTCTTCGGGACGTATCGGCTCAGCAGTACGTCAACGGTATATTGGTTGATCTGAGCCTCGCAGCTACTGCCCCTCACCCATATGGCCCAAAGGACCCAAATGCCTTTGGGACAGGGGGGGCCTACTCACCACGCTGGACATTTCAAAGCCTAGCAGCATACGATCTACTCGGCTTCCAAACACAAATCATCGAGAGGTGGAACTCGACTTCCGCGTGTGCATATCTACCGGACAAGGCTCCAAAGGTGTGCACTCTTCGAGCTTATCCCTCAAAGGAGCACTATGAATACCAGAAGAATATGCAGATGGGTCCGCATCTACCGCTGCTGAACCATTACAACACAAGTCTGCTGATGATACAATGTCCAAGACACGATCCGCTTGACTTTTTGGCAAACCGAAAGGCACCAGCTGAGAGCTTACGGGAGGGAGGTACGAGGAATTTGTTTAATGCGTTATCACAAATACCGAAATAAAGAGATCTGAGGGGTTATGGGATGTTGAAGGAGTTGATTCACAAAAGCGATAGCCCGAATTATTGAGAGGTCTACTTTGCACAGCGCTGTCCCAGCGGATAGGACCGAAGGGAGAGAGCATTACTATGTGTTGGCCACACTGGTACTAGATAATGGCTAAAATATTGCTTTATGCTCAATCTTCCTTTCGTACTCCTTTTCTATAGTAGCCCCTAATTGTAACGCAGGGATGTCTGTAATAACGAAGTTCCCCCACGGATAGATTCCACCAATCGGTGCTCGCCTCAACTCTTCCAAACTAGGAAACCAATATACACACGACACTGATATTGGAGGAGTTTCTTGTTCATCTCTATGCAACCCTCATTTGCATATGGTAAAGATCAACAAACCCCGGTCTTGTTATGTTCGCGACTAGGATCCTCCCACATGGGGTACATAAACCAGATCCGCCTCTCTACACCACATATGGACCAGATCTAGATGTGTTGCATCTTTGATTATCAATAACTATGAAGCTCGCGAAATTATTTGCTTTGACGACTGCCTCAGCACAGGCTGCTCAACTCGCGTTCCCTGGCGCCGAGGGTTTTGGTAGAAATGCGGTTGGTGGTCGTCAAGGTGAGGTGTACAAGGTGACAAATCTCAAGTGAGCCCAATACCCATCCAACTTCTCCTCTACAGTGGTGACCTAACTTGCGAGTAGCGACTCTGGGGAGGGCTCTCTCCGAGATGCAGTATCGAAATCAAACCGAATCGTCGTGTTTGATGTTGGTGGTGTTATTAAAATCTCTGAACGCATCGTCGTGTCTAAGAATATCTACATTGCTGGCCAGACTGCTCCTGGAGGCGTGAGTCTATATACGAAGCTTTTCTTCATATACTAAAAGATCTATAGGGAATTGTAGTCTATGGAAACGGCTGGTCTTTGTCCAACGCCAATGATTCTATTGTGCGATACATCACGATCCGTATGGGTAAAGGCGGAACATCTGGCAAAGATGCCATTGGCATTGCTGACGGCAAGAACATCATCTTCGACCACGTCAGCGTCTCATGGGGAAGAGATGAGACATTCTCTATCAACGGCGACGTAACGAATGTTACGATACAGGATAGTATCATAGCTCAAGGCCTTGTCTCGCATTCGTGCGGTGGTCTGATGCAGACTGATGGCGGAGTCAGCTTGTTTCGCAATTTGTATATCGATAACAAGACGCGTAACCCCAAAGTCAAGGGCGTGAATGACTTTCAGAATAACGTATGTGAATAGGTTGCTTGAAGGTGCTTGAGCTTACTGTGCTATAGGTTGTTTACAACTGGGGAGCTGGTGGTGGCTACATTGCTGGAGACACTCAGGCTGACAGCTATGCGAACGTTATTAACAACTACTTCATCTCTGGCCCTGATACCAGTGTTACTGCCTTCACGCGCGGTAATAAATACTTCCATGGCTGTAAGTCTGACTATTCTCCATGTCAAACAGATCACTCACTGACTGTGCCCAGATGTGAAAGACAACTTCTACGATTCTAACCGCAACGGAAAACTCGACGGTGCCGCTCTTTGTGAAAGTACCACATGCTATTCAGATATGGACATAGTCAAAACTCCATACGCTTACCCAGCCCCAGCCTCTCTCACGGCCCAACAAGCCGTGGAGGTTGTTCTCAAAGGCGTCGGGAACTCGCTGCACAGAGACACCGTTGACACTGCCCTTATCAAGCAAGTCAGGTCGTACGGGACAGAGGGCAAGCAGATCTCCGACGAGAAAGAGTTTGGTGGTGTTGGAGAGATTGCCGCTGGTACTGCACCCAAGGACTCAGACGGTGACGGAATTCCGGATGAGTGGGAGATCAAGAACGGTCTGAACCCTCAGGATGCTTCTGATGGTATGAAGATTGCATCGAATGGGTATGCGAATCTTGAGAATTATGTAAACTCTCTTGTCTAAGTGTTAGTTCTCTTCGTCTTTTGAAGACTCAAATTCTATGTGAGCAGATATTGTGGAAGATGAGCATGGCAAGCCCAAGTGAAAGTTCTATGAGGGACTTATGCCGAAAGACATTAGACAGGCTTTATTAAATCGTTGTAGATCCCACTATACCGACACCTCGTTGGTGCGTTGGTGTTTATCCGAATGTTTCGTTTGGGCGATCAATGCATCGTATGCATGACTTTTGTTTCAAGATCCCAGGCAACGTTCCATTGCTTTGGTTCCATACATATTAAGACCATCGATATAGTTACCCAGTCAGTATTTAATACCCATTGACCGCTGTTTATTGTTTAATCTCCCATCATCTTCAATTATATAAAAAATGCATCTCAAAGACGTCCTCTTCGCGCTTCAATGCGCCAGCGTCTCATGCTCCAGCCTCCGCCCACCGATTGAGAAGCGCGCAACAACAGAAATCCCCTCAGACTCATTCAACTCCCTGGAGACATACTGGAACTACTTATACCCCTGGGGTCCCACGCACAATGGCGGCGCACGCATGGACGAAGAACACGTCTCCGTGACCGATGGCGTACTCACCTTGACCGCCGAGCCAAGAACCGACCAGGAAGACCCCATCCACTACCTCTCGGGCGCAATCCACGCAAAGTCCACCTTCACCGTCTCCCCGGGCGGCGGGTACGACATCAGTGCTGAGTTCATCGCCCCCGTGGACAAGGGAACGTGGCCTGCGTTCTGGCTAAACGCCGCGAGTGGGTGGCCGCCTGAGATTGACATCGCGGAGTGGAAGGGCTCTGGAAAGATCTCGTTCAACACGTTCAATACGTCTGATGAGGTGACAGCGCTGGATAGGGATTATCCGAACCCCGGGGAGTGGCATTCTGTTCGGGCTGAGCTGCGTGATGAGAATGGGCATGATGTGAGGGTCAAGTTCTTCCTTGATGGGGTTGAGCAGACTACGCAGTATGGGAGGGATTACATTGGAGCTGGACTTCGTCTGTAAGTTATGGTTGAAAGGAATGTGGTACTTTGGCTAATGATTTGGAAGGATTGTGAATTATCAGACTGAGGGATCTTCTGGCTCGCCTGGGCCCACGACACGTATGTTGCTTTGTTCATTGCTACTGAAGAACTGAAAACTAACTCTTGTCACAGCTACCACTTTCCAGGTCCGCAATGTCGAGGTTATTAGTCTCAACTAACGTTAGAAAGGTCTGGGGAAGATATATGAGCTCTGTTGGTGTAAATATGTTGAGCCGCAACTTATATAAATAGGCAGAGGTTAACTAGTATCTGTCTTATTTCATGCACCAGTCGAACAAAATGCCATAGTCAACCATCACGAAGATTACGCTGCACTAATATAGAGCAGTTGGATTGACATGAAACCCAGAGTCAGCAGGATCACGGCAGTCACAAATAAAACAATAGTGATGTTCATCATAATGGTAAATACAATGCTATGTTAGACTACTCTAATAACGCACCTCACTTCAAGTGAGTTAAACACATCCCAGTCATCCATCTAAACCGATTTGACAACCTCAGCACCAGCCGTCCGTCCATAAACAACACATTCTAGCAGTGAAGATCCTCCTAAACGATTATCGCCATGAATGCCACCGGTGATCTCTCCAGCCGCAAACAGACCAGGAATAGGCACAAGCTTATCTTCACTCTTCTTCAACACTCGAGCCTTCTCGTCGATGGCAACTCCTCCCATAGTAAAGTGTGTAATGGGTGTTACACGTCCGACGTAAATATCCTCATCGCGGTTCGCTTCTCCGGCCTTGAGCGTCCAGCGACCGCGTTGTGTACGGCCAAACTCATCATTTGCACCGTCGGCCACGGCTTTGGCGTATTTGTCGATGGCAGCGATTTGAGCCGGTTGTAGATCGCGCACCTTGACTTTCTTCATGAGACCCTTCCACTCGTAGAAACCGATGTGGTTGGCTGATGCTGCAGAAGCACCGGGGTCGAGAAGAATTGTAATATCCCACTGCTTGATAGCGCCGTCGCCATCAGAAGCAGTTGGGAGCTTCATGATGGCGTCGCTGACGTGCTCGCGAGTGTCCATTTCGTTTACGAAACGTGATCCTTCGGGTGAAAGGAGAATGCCGCCTTCGCCACGGAGCATCTCGGCCGCGAGAAACTTGAGCATGGTGTTGGGACTCGCGGGGTCGACGAATCCTGTGGGGTGAATCTGAACGCTGTCCATGTCTAACAGCTCAGCCCCAACAGATGTAAGAATATCGTGAGATCCAGGTCTTTCTTCGTTCGTTGAAGGAATACCCTTGAGATCAGGGCGATAGCGTGCTAGAAGACCTGTAGCATCACCAGCAAAACCGCCACTGGCGAATAGAACTGTACCCTCGAGATTGTGCTTCTGACCCTCGAATTCGTATTCAACACCTTTGACGACATCCTCCTCTTTCAAAAGTGCCTTAACCTCTGCAAGGTTAGTTATTGAGAAGTTCTTGTTCTCCTTGAGTTTGTTCAGTAGAGCGATTATGATGGCTGCTCCAGGGGGCGTCTTTCCAGCGCCGCGGTGTGTGCGAGCAACGCTGTGGCCACCAAGAGGTGCAACAACGCTGAGATCTACCCCGATTTCATCAACAAGCCAGTCGACGGCGGCTGCTGATTCAGTTGTGAGTTTCGTAACAAGAGCTTTGCGATCGACGGGCGGTTGGTTGAGATGGAACCGTGATCCGGCGGAGCGTACAGAGTCGCTATAGAAGAGCGTATCACTCTCTATCCCAGCAGCGCGCTGATACTTTGTGCCCGCACCGTTTATACCAGACGAAGCCTTGATGCTGTTACCGCCAGGCTTCGGAGCGCGGTCAAGTAGGTGAACCGATGGGGCACCCCGCTGCAGAGCCTCATACGATGCCGATAATCCGGCGAGACCGGAGCCGACCACAACCACCGGACGAAGAGTCGAAGAGGAGGAAGACATAGTCTTTGAGAAAATAGATGTTAAAGTCGAAGAATGTAGGATATTCCCGTAGAGCATAGCAGTAAGAGCGACTGCAAAACCGATGCAAGAGAGGAACAGAATCTGCGGCCTGCTCATTGTCCAGCGAAGGATACGAGGCATTGAAGTCTTATTGCGGGGTGGACCACTGGCGGTTATCGGCGGCGCGGTCTCTTTATACAGCAGTAGGGCCCAGATTGGTATGCGAGAGGTGCGGTCGTCAGCAGTTTTTGGGACATTGCGCGATGGTGGACTGTTGTGGTCGTGGCTCACGGTCCATCAGGTGATGTCTGAAGCATCGTACGATGGGTGAGAATGATGTTTCTCCGGTTTGAGATGGAAAAAGGGGTTCCGAGATGCCACGATATATGATGCACTTGCACCTAGAATAGATTATCTCGGCAGGTTAGAAATATCCTCCGCGATTCTGACAATTGCCGTGTTGTTGTTTTTGGACGGTGACGGTATCCGCCGGCCGGTCCCGGGTTTCGGACGGCCCCACTTTCGGCATGGGTCAGAAGATGGCAGCGCAACTAGAAGGATGCATCACAGATTCATGTGCCGAGACTCGGAGTTTAGGTGGGAATCAAGTACCGACGCGGCATGAAATCTAGACTGATGAGGACCCCAGAACCTTGTAACTGACATGGAGCGTAGGTGACTTCACATGGCGTCGACATCTGCATGCGAGACGAACCAGCGGGGTCCATGATTGATCTTCATAGCTCCTCTTGCGAAATATAAAACATACTAGTGAGCCTTATGAGGTCTAATTTGCGAGGACGACGGTATGTGTGTTCTACTATCTCATCAGAAGCATCAGGTGCACAGTTGAGGAAATGTGGTCAGTAATGATCATTCATTATATCGATATGTACATCCTCCAGCTATTTATATCACATCGTAACCACTCTCTATATAAGCCGTAGTCTTCCATACGGCAGTGGTGACAACAAGAGCCAGCAATCGCCAGCTGAAACAGCGAAATGACTTTCCCAAACTCCTTCAATGCAGTAGACTACAATAGATGTTCGCCAGTAATTGGGAATATGTAACTCCGTTTTATGAGAATCCAAGTCGTAAAGCGTGAAATGCAAGCAAACTTTGTCTAAGCCAAGTCTCGCTCAGCCTTTTCGTGGCGGTGTGCCCGGCCCTCGTCAGACCAGGGGAAGTGGATGACGGGAACCTGGAAGAAGGAGTTGCTAGATGGCGTGTTAGTGAAGACTACTTTTAATGGCGATGCAAAGGGAAAAACGTACCTGCTGTCTTGGAGACCGGCGAGGGCATTGTACCACGCCATGAAAGCAGCCAAGAAGCCGAAGAATCCGGCAGCCTTTTGGAGAGCAAGCTGAGCGGTGTGGTTGCCCATATCGTGGGCATAGTTCTCGGTAGCGAGCAGCAAGAAACAGATGTCGAGGAAGAAGAAGAGGAGGAAGAATGCAAGGGTGGATCGCAGGGTGCAGATGAGAAGAAGGGTTGTGAAGATAAACCAGCCAGTCAGGAAGAAACCCATAACAGAGCCAGTATCACCCTCGTAGGGTCCATCAGCACCGAGGACGTTCCAGGTGGGTGTTTGGAGAAGACCGTAAGCGATCCAGAAACCTCCGTACGATGAAAGAGCAGTAGCACCAAAGGTGTTTCCAACGGCCATTTCCCTAGGAATCATGTTAGGATATACGAAAGTGAGGCAAGTATTAGATTGTAGATAGACATACCACATGCCAGCGCAGAGCTGGACGAGACCTCCGTAGCCAAACGCTACAGGGATAGCAATGGCAGCGGAGGATTCACCGCGGACGTGCATGTTGATGCATGACAGGACAAAAGTGGTGAGAGCGAAAGCGCATAGTCCCAGAGGAGCCGGGTTGGCAAACTTGCGGTGCTCTACGGGCTTCCAGAGACCGGGCTGGAGGGCACCGCCGAAGGCAGGATGGATTGCCTGTGGATTGGCATAGAGATGGGGATGAGCTTGTTGATGCGCAGCGGTGGTTTGGCGCTCAAGGGTCTTGTCTGAGTCGTGGGGGTACTCGTTGGTGTATTGTTGTTGGAACTCGGGCTGGTCGTGTGAAGCCATTGTTATGTGTGAATGGGACTAACAAAGTCCGTGAGATCTATAAGTGATGATATATGCCGAATAGAGCAGAAACCAGTCGTGGATACTTGCTAGAGACAAGAACTGGTTATGATGTAAACTGCACAAAAAAAGGGAACCTAATATGCGACAGGTCTATATGTAAACGACGTGACCAAAAGCAGTTTATTGAACAAGGTTGTAAAGCGTGAAGATGAACGGACACGAGCGAGTGGCAACGGGCGAAGAGACGAGATTTATAAACACGACGGGGGAATAACCAGGGCCTGGAAAAGAAGAGAATTCAACAATACGGTCATAAGAAAGACTATCAAATTAACGTTAGTAGGGGACCATGGCTTGTCCCCCCTTCGGAGAGGTAAAAAAGAAACCTGCCCGTGGAGTGATATGGATACGCAGGTGGAGTGACGGTGGAGTGCCCCGGAGAGGGGAGAGGGGCGTGGAGAGAGTGAGAATTAATTCTTGGGGGTCTTTTGGGTCTAGAGGCTAGAGTCTAGACTCAAAATGGTTGAGGATGTCTAGGATGTGCTAGGATGTACATATGGGAGTAGAGGGTGAGGGGGAATAGCAAGAATTGGGGGGAGTATCGACATGATTGACATGTAAATCACCTTGATTGGCATGCTAATGATCAAATTCATAGAAAAACTACCAGTCCTCCAATTGTGAGCATCGAGGGTTGATTTGGTGAGTGGTGATCCATGATATAATGTGACACGACCAAAAAGGCACAGCGGCCCGGACTGCCCACCTCACGATGTTTCTCTCCTGACAGGATAGACATAACTCCGGTATAAAACATCCAGACGAGTGAGCAACAAAGAGCCCCGTCTTGATTACTATCCAACTGGAGCACCATAAAAAAAAGACAAATCATGAACACTCTGCGGGGATAAGCATATGTGGGGGAGTCATGGTGATCTGCCTTCACCACAGACACGCACGGCCGAAATGACTCGGCCAGAGATGCCGTCCTTGTTTGCCATCGGCCATTGACTTCCAGCCGTTTCAAGAGGAAACAAGGCGTATTGAGAGGTACGCATTTCTATTACTACACATCGTTCCCGCGTGCATGTGTGGTCCGGTCCTGGCATGCATCTTAGATCTGTGGCTGCTGGGGAGGGGGTCGTTGCCTCAATTTTGCGGAGAAAGGGTAACTCGAGACGAGAAGATTTGAACTGGAGTGAGGATGGTAGGTTGAGGTTGGATTTTTCGGGAACTGATGTCGGCAGAGCTTGTTCACTGGGGATATGGATGAAGTCGAGAATGACCCTCACTCCAAAACAACAGAAGCACCAGCCATTGTGGATGGACATTTCTCTCCGCGCAGATGGTCCCAATATACAAATCTCACAACCCAATATCATTGAAACAAACTTGGAGAGCCAACTAAAAACCAAAGACTCTCTACACTCAACTTTGAGGGCGATCATCTAAGACGCTTCACTACAAAAACGTGGAGAGCCACGCAGAATCACCATTTAGCGCCTTTCTCAGTGATGATCCATCTACCCAAGTCGATAAATCTACATAAATCTACGTAATTAGTCCTTAGGTATTCTAGGAAACTAAAGTCTTTACTCGCACGTGGTTTATTTTGCTACAGACTTTAGTTGCAAATCATGATGCAAAGCTCGTGTTGACGTGAGAGGGGGCGCAGCCTCTTCGATGTTAGCGGCAGGGGCACACAGCCAAGATGGTGTACGATGTTTTTTTTCTCTCCGACGGCTGCGGCCGAGATGCAAGAGCACAAGAGAGAGAAAAGGGACATGGGCAACAGAGGAGCAGAGGGGTGCTCTTAAGAATTGGAGAAATTGAGGGTGTCTTGGTGTTGGTCACACACCCCATGACAGCATCACTTACAAGCCCGCATTCAAGAATCTTCAACAGAAACTGCACCAGGAAAAAGCAAGACAAAGTAAAACCTGGAGAGGATTTAAACTTGAATTAAGAAACTCTGGGGGAATAGATTCTGGGGTCTGGAGTACATGAGATCCCCCGATTGTTTCCCCAGAGTCCCCTTAACAAATGACGAATTCCGAACAAACTGCGTGAAGAAAAGGTCGTGGACGATGGCCGAGGTGGGCCTGGGTATCCGTACAGCATCACTTTTCGTCACAGAGGCAGAGGCGAGATAACGGGGCCCAGTTTATTTTTCATACTTATCGCCGACTTATCCGTCGAGATATTACTGCTCTGCATTATTGACGATGGTGCATATGCGAGACGTTGAGTTGGCTCGAATAAAACAGTCTAAATAATAAAGCCAAGATGTAATAGCTACAATTATGAAATCACCGTGACATAGACCCTTGAAGAGCAGCGTTTCGTTATGACAACAGCCAAGTCTTTTCTCCAAAAGGGGGGAACAGTAGGGTTCTCCTCATGGTGAATTGGGGAAAAGAGAGCGTGGCTGGCGGGAATAGCGAGGGAAAGAATTCGCGATGTAATGGCGTTCAATGGGTGGCATTCAAAAGCAGACCCTACCTAGGTAATTAATGGCATCCTCCCGAGTAAATACAACTCAATTCAACGGAAGATGGTGTCCACGACTGAAGATTTCCAAACTTAGCCGGCAGTGACCGCTCGTCGTAATTAGTTCGCAAAATCACCAGAGGAGCAGCAAAAAGGGCCGTTTGCGACGGACACGGATAATATCCTCCAAGTCTCAAATTTCAGCCTGGGGCCCGTCCAGTTAATAGGTAAGCAAGAAAAACACCAGCTCATAACCTCGGTTGCCAGTCGGTTACAAGACGGGCACTGCAATCACATCAAATCGAATGATGAGTGCCCCCCAAATTAGCTGGCAGAGCCTCGCGCGACAGGGGTGCTGATAGCGCTCGGCATCCAATGTCTTGGCAGCAGGCGGCTCTTTCAAAAGTTCAAGATTGGGTCGGTTACAGCAGAGGTTTGTTGTGATTGGCTTACTGAGTCGTTAAGATGCTGTGGGACACGTGCTATGACTCGAGGGCTTCAGGCTGTTTTCCAGAAGCAATGCGTCAAGGCCCAGGGATCTTCCATCCTGGTGGCGTTGTTAGGGGGAGTTCAGCGCGTATCCGTGGGTGGTGCAGGAACCTACAGCGATGACGCCACGGGCTGATTGTTCTCCGAAACCCCCCAACTGCCTGTTACTTCTCACTGAGCTGAAATGTTGCCTCTTGTCACTTTGTCATCTTCAACACAGCATCATCAACATATCGAGCATTGCATCTGTTCTTAATATTCACTATCATCGCAATCTCACTCTTCATCCACACCGTACAACCATTAATACCCACCGGGACAAGAGTCGCAACAGAATTTGCCCCCCCCCCCCCCCCATCATCATAACCTGACAAGTCTGCAAGTCCCACTATTCATCCTTGATCGTATGAGCGAGGATCCGCTTCTTGACATCTTGTCTCGCCACTCTTCAGATTCCGCCTGCGGAAATGTCCATCATTCGCTGCTGGAAATACCGATGCGACTCTTTGTTGGTATTTCGAACTGAATTGTGACCATTCCTGGCTGACAAAACAGACAACAATAGAATTGCGGATCCGACGCAGTTCAAAGCATAAACACCACCAAAGAGCTTTTCCGCTTGAAATTCAGGAACAACAGTCAACCCCCAAATACCGACCTGAGTTATCCCCGTCTCGATGATCAGATTCGTTTTCGATCAAGGCCCGTTCTCCAAACAAAAAAACCCTGCTCTCATCAATCTCTGACAGGACGGGCACAGGCCACTGTTCTCCGCCAGCCAAGACCAAGAAAGAGCCGCGAGGGGGCCAAGCCTATCTAGACAGGGATGCGATCTGCTCCCGTTCATCAAAAGGTAACCACCGTCAGTGCCGTATTGCCATTGCCATTGCTGTTGTTACAGACACCTCGTTGGTGGCATGGCGGACTTCAATATCCGTGTCCAATACGCGGGTTGCATGCATCAAAGCTGTTGAGTAAGTCTCTGTGTTGCACTGCTGAGCATCGTGATTGTTGGACCCTTTGTGTTTCCGTTGCAAGCATCATTACCCCTGACTTGCTGCCGTGAGATTTGAACACCAGGCAGATATTCTATCCAACTGGGACTTGGCTAGCAATTGTCCTCGGCTGTGTGTCCACGCTGGAGCTACAACTTAACATTCTCCAAAAGCAATTCACATCCCTTCTAGGCAGCTTCCTTCTCTCCGGCTGCTGAATATCCGGTTCGATGTGATGCTTCGACATTGGGATGCAACGCACCCAGATATGCTAACCTCGGTTCTATTCCCACTGGAGTTCGTTGTATCTTCTCCATAGGCTAGCCCCTTACTTCGGATAAATGTCCTCTCGTCAAACAACAAGCGGTATACTCGGAACGGTCGGCTTGAACAACCTTGACCCATGCGAATATGGATAGGAGTTTGGTGGATAGTCAGTCTACATACTTGGTTGATAATACCAGTTTGTAGCCGATGCTCTTGGGCGCTCTACAGAGCAGATGTTGCTATAGAACGCAGCCTTCAACTCGCATTCTACACATGGACAATGTCTCATTGGCGCAAGTGTCTCTTCCTGATGGTTTGAGGAAATATTTTGTGTTGTTGTGGCCTGAGTGCGGTTCCGTTCGGTGTGTTGCGCCCTTCAACGTCGAGATCTGTACGAGACTCTCAGCGTTTATTGCTCGGGATCACATTGCGTATTAGGCTGTGCCGGTAATCGTGAGTCTGCTACTCTATATTGGCTAAGCCTAAGCCTACAGATCGGAGTACTTGAGGCAAGCCAATGAATAGTCCATCGAAGTGTTCCAGTCCGACGATGGACATGAATATGTGTCTCTTGATACCCTTGGGAGTACCCTTTATAGAAGTACCTCCGGTCACGACGATTTAGTCGGTTGGGAGAGGGTGGTATAGCTGGACAGTTTATGATTTACCTTGAAACAATGCTGTTCACATAGCCATCATTAAACACTGCCTCAACTCTCAGGCTGTAGCAGTTCAAGCGACTTCTCCTTCTGCGAAGACGCAAGAGCCATTTAGGTTCCGCAATCGTACCACTCGACCTGGGACTTGACACAAGTCCCCATTCTATAAGCACCAATTTGCCCATGAGTCTATCCCCACGGGGAGAGCCCTAGTGCTGAACCCGATGGCACGTTTCTGCCAAATCTGAATCTTGTATCCGTACTCAGATCAACTTTTGCCACCTGGCGAGATACCCGAGCTCCACACATTACGGGCAGACTCGCTGAGTTGCAGTACTCATTACTAGAGCTTCAGGGACGCATATGGAGTTTAGATGGCAGAAACATGGAGTATAGAGTTACTTGATAGGTGTTTTTTTTTTACCGAATAGTTTAGTTTGTTGGAGTGTCGATGTCAAAACGACTGCTCATGAAGAAAGTCTGAGCTACTATCTTTGACCATGTCTTCTTATCCTACGACGTATTGAAGGCGTTGCGATATTGTTACTATTTGGCACATTCACAGCGGGAACTGATAACATGTCTAGATGAAAGTTTACAATTTATTTTCTGATTTACCTGCTGCTTAACCCCTGACCAGCAGTGGTTTTCCCAAACTTACCTCTCGAGACTGGACAGAGCGCAGTAACTCCTTAGAAATACCATGATACTTACCATCCTCCGTGCCATGATCCACACATGATCATGTACGTCCAAGTACTTCGAATATACATCATATCTCGAATTGATCTCCTCAATTGCATTCACTCCCTCGCATAAGTCCTCTAGTCGACGCTGAACCTGGTGTAAGCGGGCGTCGCAGGTTCAAACTCCGATTCACGCGGCGATCCCATCATCTGTGTGGACCCCCAGATCCAGGCTGGTTCCTCATTCTCACTTACAACTTGCTCCGCGTCTGTCGAGATGCGAACGTGTGTTTCTGACATCCAGCATGTCAGACCAGCTATAATCTTGAGAAAGTCCAGAACATACTGCGCTGGGAAGCTTAGTAGAACGCACAAGAAGATTGTGAAGAAGCCGTACTTACCGCCTCTGTGACGTACACGGAGAGCCACATCCAGGGCCATGGCCGTCTGGAAAAATAACACTACGACGCCGACGTCGATCCAGAAATACGTCGCTTGATTGAGACTGTTGTTGTAGTATGCAAGTGCAATGACGAGAACGTCGTTGATCAGAGCGTAGGAGAAGATGCTGTAGAGCCATGTGTTGTAGCAGGCCCAGGGGAACTTCTTCCCTGACTTATGATGAAGCATGGAACCACTGAGACGCCATGTGCTGTGTGTTGTTCGTATGTACCCGCGAATGAATCCGCAGAGAGTTGGCAAATTCACTCGGACGGTGGTGTCAGGTACATCTTGGAACACAACAGTGCCGCCTTCTTGTAGAAAGTAACAGTTGAAGAAGCAAGTTTCATCTCCGTGTAGGACACCTACTTGGGAATATGAACTTGCCTTGTTCTCAAATTCGGCTCTGAACTTAGGGTCTGCACCGTGGTAAGTGCGGAACAGGACAGTCGAGCCGCCAAAAAGAACAGAGGAATCCAATGCGTTGATGGCCTGGTTCTCATCAGCCAAGAGTCCGTGGTAGCATGACACGAGACACGCCCAGAGTGCGTAAAAGAAGTTGACAGGTCTGCGCACAATCTTGGGCACAGCAACGGCTGACACGGCGGGATCGTCGAAAGGAGCCAGGGCGGAGTGTAGGAAGCCCTTGGGCCAGAGGACGCCCTGATCTGTTACCACCGTCACTGGAGTATCGATGGTGCTTAGGGCATGGGATATCATGCGGCGTTTGTTAGCCTTATTCACAGCACCAACACTAATCTGAGTGGCGAAAGCAGACTCCGCTCGAAAGCGTTCCAGCTTGGCGTTCACCTTTCTCTGAGCCTCCGTACCAATGGTGACGATGTAGAGGTGTGCGGGACGGTTTCTGAGAATCTTGTGGATGCATTTCCTCAGATCGCGGTCCTCTGGGTGAGTGATTGGGAGAATGACCGAGCAGTTGCTATACAATACTGCGGGTCTCTGGCGGAGGACAACAGCGTGGTATTTACGGCTACCAACCTGGTTGATAGTAAACCGGATGAGACGCAAAAGGAGAACAATAGCGAGGAGGACAATGCAGACTATGGAGCCAGTTCCGGTGATGGGTGAGTAAGTCATCTTGGATTGAGAAATTGGGTAGATGACCTCAATGCAAGAATGTTTGGTGAGTATGTGATGAAGATGTGAAAGCAATTTGCTCAGTGTGGAGGGAAAGAACGTGGAAGGGCTTTGGGGGTTTATAGGCCTTCCATCTGTATGTAAACGATGAGTGTTCTCGTGTTCTAATGAGAGACAACCAAACAATTGCTATTGTTTCGTATCTCAGGGTGTTTCAACCCGCCTTGCCCAAGCTTTAAAAGTTAGAACAATGCCTTTGTACTAGTCTGGCTTCCGCTGCAAAGAAATGTTGGATGATATTGGCTGTAATTAGGATACTATAATCTAAATTCGGCTCTTAGGTGATTTTGATCATCATTCGAGACGCGGCCTGGACATAAAGAAATGTAAAGCTTAAAGTATATCTTTTTGTTGACCCAAAGTTGGAGTTTCGAACAATATCTATGCATGTCCGAATTCGATTTGCTTACATCTACAACAGGCATTTCTAGCGGACCAGGCGATGATAACTTCATCTTATGTAAGAGAATGAACAAAGGTCCTCATTTTCCTTTCTTGTTATTAAGATTATGGTCCGGGCGACCTCAACAATACTAAAACTTCACTCGGAATCTTAGTCTGACTCATAACCGCATCTCGTGAGGTCTCGGGGTGGGTTAAAATTGCAGTGCAGACAGTCATAATATATCACATAGTATGCACGTACTTTAACTCCTTGCCCGTAAGAACCCAATGTACATTCTATAGATAAATACGTGATCACCACCTGCAATTTAATAGTAGTCCAATAGTTACATGCATGATTGGTCTTGAACATCATCGCATAAGCAGTTCAATACCATAGTTCATTATGCATGGCGATTATCAATAGAGCTGATTTTCCAGAGAATATAGGGGTTCGAGTAGTACTACAATTGAATCGAGTAGCGATACAAGTTGATATAGTTCCGCGTCATGTTGATATTGCTGAGAGTGATGGTTTCGTAATGAGACAGTTCAAAGCCGACACACCGGCTTACCACATGACCGTTGTGATTACAAAGGCGGAAGTGGGAGCGGGTAATAGCCGATAGATTAGGTAGATTAGCTCATACCCTGTAAAGAAGAAAATAAATGTGTTCCCCGCTTTATCCCCAGACCGATATCTCACTCTCACTCTCACTTGACTGGTACCCCCGTCTCGGTTTTTAACTGTATACGGAAGTCAAAAGGAGACTCGGGTACAGCAAGACTTGTTGGTTCTTTACTGTATACATCCTTCAGCGTAAAATATTGATAATCAAACGCGATAATGATACTCTATACGGGTTAGGTTAGTAGCAAGCCCCGCGCGGTTATGCGCCGCCAGCCGAAGCCAAGATGCATCATTACCTTTGCCCGTTCTATCCCCGGACGCCATTTCCGGTCCTCGGGGGACCCATTAAGCCAACCAGGGGAGGGGGGGTTCCGGGGGTTCATAAGAAGCACCTGGTTCCCTTTTTTTTGTCTAGATTTTAAATCATGACTTCCCCATCTGCACATACGGCCCTTTTACAGTGACCGTGTCTTATTCCCCCAAGTTATCGTAATTATGGGAGACGCGGACGAGAAGAAGTCACCCCGGGGTTCGGATCCGGAGACGGGTTCGGCTCGGAGAAGTCAAGACACTACCACCACGGAAGAAGGTGATGTAGATGTCATCGCCCCGACACAGCAGATCCATCAGCAGATTTCGGTTCATGAGAAGGAAAAGGAAAAGGAAAAGGAAAAGGAAAAGGAAAAGGAAAAGGAAAAGGAAAAGGAAAAGGAAAAGGAGAATGTCGACATGTTTCCTCCTCGGACTGATGTTCCACCACCACCGCCCAATGGAGGCTACGGATGGGTATGCACAGCATGTGTGGCAACCATCAACGCCCATACCTGGGGCCTCAATTCGAGTTACGGAGTCTTCCTCGCCCATTTCATCGCAAACGACACGTTTCCCGGTGCGACCTCTCTTCACTATGCCTTTGTCGGATCCCTGAGTATCGCATGTGCCATGCTTGTCTCCCCTCTTGCTACTCTCTGCGTTCGCGAGTTCGGCACCAAGCCCACTCTTTTCGGCGGCATTATCTTGGAGACTGCTAGTTTGATATGTGCTAGCTTTGCGACCAAGATATACCAACTCTTCCTCACGCAGGGCGTTCTCTTCGGGTTGGGAATGGGCTTCCTCTTCGTTCCGAGCGTCGGTATCGTTCCCCAATGGTTCACTACACGTCGATCTCTGGCGAACGGTATCTCTGCTGCTGGGTCGGGTCTTGGTGGCTTGTTGTACTCCCTAGCAGCTGGGGCAATCATTCGAAACATCAGTCTCGCATGGGCGTATAGGATTCTCGGTATTCTTGTGTTTGTCGTCAACATCATCTGCACTATCCTTGTCAAAGACCGCAACAAAATCATAGGCTCTCGCCAGGTCCCTTTCGATCTCGGTCTCTTCAAACGAGTCGAGTTCAACCTGCTTCTCGGATATGGCTGGTTCAGTATGCTCGGATACGTCGTCCTCATCTTCAGCTTGGCGAACTACGCCAACTTCATAGGCCTCAATGCTTCCCACGCGGCCATGGTCAGCGCCATCTTCAACCTGGGTCAGGCTGTTGGTCGTCCCTTCATTGGATATTTCAGTGACCGCACAGGACGCATTAACATGGCCTGCGCAACAACATGGATGGCTGCGATTCTCGTGTTTGCGATTTGGATCAACGCCAAATCATACGCACTTCTGCTCTTCTTCACCATCGTGGGAGGTGCAATGGCCGGAACTTACTGGGCCACTGTCGGTCCCGTCACAGCCGAGGTTGTTGGTCTCGCCGATGTCCCTTCAGCGCTCAACCTGACGTGGCTCGTTATCAGCTTGCCTTGCGCGTTCAGCACACCCATCGCGCTGCAGATCGTCGCGGGGACTGGTAAGTATATTGGAGCTCAGATCTTTGTGGGCATTATGTATCTCGCGGCGGGATTATGTTTGTTCTTCCTTCGTGGGTGGAAGATTGGAGAGCTTGCTGAGATATCTCGCGCTACCAATGATGATCCAGAGGAGATTAGTCGGGTCAGGTCGCATGCGAGTGGTGCTGTTAGCATCAAGAGTAGGAGAGTCGGTCGGAAGAAAATGATGGCTGAGTGTTATAAGGGCGGAAAGGTTTAGGGAAATACATTTGTGCACAGGGCAAATGGTGCCCTTTTGTGTATCCAAAAGTTAAATTATATACGAATTTAAGTTCAACGAATTTTAAGTCACATATATCAATCAGCAAACATTCTCGGCTGGTGGGACAATTACTTATCACACACGAAACGAAAGATGACCAATGAAGCGGTTCAATTACACCATATATCTGAACAGTATCTTTATGTCGAGATTTGACAAGTCTTACTGCAATTGCCAATCACTATTACTGACATAGAAATCACAACAGTACTAGAAATAGAACCCTGATTAAACCATTACTAATTAAGTTTAAGACAGTTTATACTTTGACTTGCAGTGTCATGCGCTGTTAATGCACGCAATCGACGTTCCCGTTGAAAGCCTTGTCTCAGACAATTCCCTTTGTAGTAACCCGATGTAACTTCCCAACAACGTCCAATTATCTCAAAGGCATGGCCCATTTCCAAACAAAACAACCAATCTAGGATATCAGGAGTGACATCAAAGATGAGCTAATAGACTATGAGCCCAATCGCGCACAGAGACACATCCTCTCGCCTATCATCATAAACACTATCGCAGTATGGCCCCCAATCCCGACATTGACGTCAATCGGCACGACAGGGCTCCGGCTAAAGGCGAGGTCATCAAGCTCTAAGCAAATGAGAGAGCTCGTTGGAACCCTACCCGGCATTGGGTTGCATTCTTCGCGGTATGGCCGAGCTTCGAGTGTCAGTCGACCGCAGAGCCGCATCGGAATAAAGCTCGAGCTTCTGGCCTACTTCTGGTGCTTTTGAATCGATACCAGGGCGTGTAAGTCTCTTATTCTGATCCAAAATACTCAAATTATACGTAAGTAATCAGAATATGGGTGTTCTAAGTGAACAATACTAACTATATAGTCTGGCCCAATATGCCCGATGAAACAAAGGTTTATTACTGGAAATGTGTTAGTTATACTGGTTACTGTATCTCAGTACTCACCATCAGAAGCTAATTGTCAACAAAAAGTGCCAGTGTCTTCAATCTTGGAGCTGGACTTTGTGTGCTAGCTGTTTGCACTGCCATCACATACGATGCGATAACTGTACTATCTACACAAGTTAAGGGGCGATGATCCGTTGTAAAGATATGCATAATTGGATGAGAAGGGAATCTTTTTGCCCGTCAGTTAGACTCATCGAAGTCGCAAAACTGTTTATCATCTTGCTTTCTAAGACTGCTGCACGATGAATAGCGGGAAGGGTGATTAAGTTGAAGATTGCTCCAAAGGAATGGCGTCTGGAATTGTATTATAACATTGGGGTTACGCGCCATTGCTGCGATCACTCACATCACTGAATAGTGAATAGTAGGGTCTAGAAACGCACCGCAGTAATAAGAACATTCAACTATTTTCTAACAAAGAGCTAGCGGGTCTATTTTTCTGGTACGGCCAGGCAAGAAATCTTGTCGCTTGACCTGCTATCACAAGATAACGTGTCAAGTATGTTAATTCTATGTGGAACTTAGTTTTGCGCATACGAAAAAGAGCCAAGCCTAATTCTTTCATCCATAAGAGCGAACACAAAGAATGCCATGAGCCAATGATCTCTTTGTTCATACCTCTTTGACTTTGAGTGAGCTTAGGGTAGCCACGTGATCTGGCGTCGCAAAGGATGGCCCAAACGCGTCTCAGCCCCCGCAAGATTCAAGATTCGCGACCTTTGACCTCACGTCATAACCTCCTGCTTAGCCCAAACTCTTATGGAATTGTGAGCGACTTCGCGTCGTACCTGGCGCCCGGAGATGTGGATCCTGGAGAATTCAGAGGCCTTTGATGGTGAGTATTTTACTTGTTAAAGCTCAACGTGGCTGACTTATCCTTAGGTCGAAGACTGTGGTTGCGACCAGGGAAGATCTATTTGTTTGGCAGAACAGCCGCAGAACGTAAGATATTCACCGTGCAAATGAAAAATCCCGAGCTTATAATTCCTATCCAGCCGGCCAATTGGCCATATCACACAATACCATCTCGCGCAAGCACTTGACCATCACCGTCAGCCCTGTCGAAAAGGGACAAGCTCATAATCCCACCAGCCGCTCCACGCTTACGATTGAAGATTTGGCGACCAAGATAGGAACAGTCGTCAATGGAGAAAAGATCAAGGGCAAGAAGAAGGTGATCGAGGGGACCAAGGCTGAGTTCACTATGGGAAAATGCCCAAATACGTTCTGGTGAGCCGTTTCATCCGGTCTTCGTGTTACTCCGCTTACAGTCCGCAGCATCTCATGGGAACCAGTCGTTTTCGCATTTTCTTTCACAAGCAAGGAGTTGCAAACAGATCCCCTAACTACACTTCGCAAGAGATTCGAGCAGCTTGACATCAAGCTTGTGACGGAATATGTCAATGTCACCACGCATGTCGTGTCGAAGAAGCGAAACACCGCCAAAGGCCTTCAGGCATTGATTAATGGCAAGCATATCGTGACGGAGACGTTCCTAGATGCGGTAGTAGAGGCTGGAAGCTTAGCGGATGGGGCTGAGATCACTGACCTTAGCCCTCTGGAGCAGGACTTCAAACAAAACTGGCCTGATGCTCTGCAACATCTACCACCGAGAGGCGGCGAGCCTGTGCAACACCCAGATTCTACGTATGCTCCAGATCCAGCACGACAAGACATTTTTGAGGGGTACACCTTCATATTCTACGACGACGTCCAATACAACAATTTGTTAGCTCCTATTACGAATGGCGGTGGCAAAGCGTTACTACGAGATGTTGTGCCTGAAGAAACCCAAGTTGACGATTTTGTTCAGTATGTCAAAAACGTCGCAGGGGAGAAAGGCCTCGGTGCCTTTAACGACGGCAGCGAGGGAAAAGGTGTGGTGGTAGTACGCTTCGTGCCCTCGAAAGGAGGCTCGGTCGACTGGTATGTTGAGTTCTTCAGAGCCGTGTCTCTTAGACTGGACCATCGCCCGATTGAGCAGAGCGAATTTCTAGAGGCAATTCTTATCAAAGATGCGAGTATCCTTCGACGGCCTCTTGAAGTCGAGACTTCACCACAGAATACCCAGAACCAACATCAAACTCGTCAAGAAGGTGAAGTGTCGAACGAAACCCAACAGCCAGCCACGCAAGCTCAACCATCACAATCAGCCGAAGATTCACAACCCGCTCCTCGACGAGGACGAACTAGGAGAACCGTCAAGAGACGATTCGCAGGCTTTGATGACGATGCAGATATTGACATGGACGATACTCCTCTGGCATCAGTGCCCGCATATCAGCCTCCAACCCAGGCAGCTACTCAGGCCGAGACACAAGCCCAAGGAAATGAAGATGGGTTATTTGTCTCGCAAGAAGCAGACATTCCCCTAGAAACACAACCATCAGGTAGTACTCGGTCGTCGCAGAGAAAAAGGCGGGCTTCGCCATTGCCTGAAGATAATCTCATGGATGGCATGACAACTGCCGCAGAAAGATTCAAGCGTCAACGGATAGAACGAGGCGAAGATATGGATGAGCCAGCTGAGCAGATGGAAACTCAACCGGCCAAAACAGTCCCGAAGCCAAAGAAGAAGATCAAGAAAGAGTTTGATATTTTGGCACTGGCCGCTCAAAACAAAGAGGAAGAAGAGGCTCGCGCCCGAGCTGAGAAGGAAGACCTGGCGAACCTGCCTGACGATGTCGATCTTTCTGAAATTCGCAGACTCAATATCGTAGAGGAGATAGAGATACGACAGCCCAGCCATGGCCGGACACGAGAACAAGACATCCGTGACGGACGATGGGATCCCAAATGGAACGGGATGAAGAATTTCAAGAAGTTCAGACAACGAGGAGAGGCGACTGGTCGACAACCAGCAAGGACTATTGTGCCCCTGACGCAAGTCAAGACGAAGGAGTTTGGCGTTGGAGACGACTACTGGCTTGAGGATGAAGAGACAGACCGGAGGAAGAGGAACCCAAGCCAGCCCCCAGGAACAGAGTCGCAACCCTCAGCTCCGGCACCGGCTCCTTCAAGGACACAGAAGAGAACAGTCGCTACTGTTTTATCGGACAGCAGCGACGATGAGAACAACCAGGGCTCGCAGAAATCTTCAGCACCAGCAACGCGCACACGAGGAGCCCAGGCCGCAGCATCACAAACGCAGTCGCAAGCCAACACAAAAAGCCAGTCTTCTCGAAATACTAGCCAGGCGAGCAAACGAGCTGCAGCAGAGCCTGCCGCTGGACAGCAGCCTGCAAAGCGGACTCGGCAGACGAGGAAGGCTATTGAAATCGCGGATAGCGATGATAGTGATGATGAGCTCAAGTTTCGATTTGGAAAGAGACGGTAAAAGACGGTCTCAATGGGGTATCTTTCTAGCTAATGTACATCTATCTGTTCCAAAAGGAGCATCTATGGCGCAACGGTATGGTCTAATACATGTAAAAAAAATCCTTCCTCCCGTACATTGATTACGATGGTAGTCTGCGCCTGTGCTGAGTTGATTTTAAACAACTATCGTCTAATCCATCTGGTCCATCTTACTCTCGGTCCCTTCGGATTCTTCAACAAGTAGACCTACTAGACATGCCGACAACATAGTCTCATAGTTGACCCAAGGGTGAACCTCGCCGAACAGTTTAGTGCCATCACGACCAGCACCACGCAACAGTTCAGGAACACCGCCAGGGTGAAAGTCGGCATATGGCGAAACATTATACACCTTGCCATTAAGCGCCATCCACGCATCTTTACCCTTGCGACCCGTCATGCGCTTCAACATGGACGGAGTCACGCGCAAGTACGGTGTCTGAGATTCAACGCCCCGAAGGTCGGTATTAGGTCCAGATATGCGAGCCCAGTCAAGGGGAGAGTGCCCTGGGGTCAGCAGGACTTTGCGATTGGGTTTGTTGGGCTTCGCGGAGTGTGTAGGTGGTGGTGCTAGGCCACCTGACGTCGGAGGGCCTCGATTCGGGACGGGACCGCGAGCTCGTTGAGGTGAGTTTGCGGCAGGAAACTGTGAGAGCGACGGCAGGCGACCGGCCGACAGGCCAGATGATGTCGGAGGTGGAAGACGTCCCGGTTGTGGAGGCGGGGGCATCATAGAGGACAGGTTCGGGGAAGGAGCGGGACCCGGCGCTGTGGGGTTGCGACGCGGGGCGGGGTGAGAGCTCGGCGCATTATCGAGGCTGAAGCTGGGGACGGGAATAGAGGGAGGATCGGATGCGACAGCCTTGGGGGTTGTTTGTTCGTCGGGTTCGGCGATGGTGGGGGTCGGAGGCGCAATCTTGGGCAGAGGTGGTGGCGGCATAAACGTCGCATCGCTTTTGGCGGTCTTCAGCGAAGACGAGGCACCGGTCGCAGTAGTGGTAGCCTTCCTCTGGTTGACATGCTGGTCGTTGTCTCGAGTGGTACGGTTATCGGCCGGACGAGCCCGGAGTCGAGGGCCCGGTTCCACCTCGTGATCCGACACCATGATACTGGGACCGGGATCGGCATCATGTTCAGCTCCAGCCTCGTCCTTAGCTGCTATTGCGGGAGGACCACCTCTCCAGCGAAGGAGTATTTGTAGCGGCTCTGGCATCCATGATGGCGGGCGGACAAAGATCCAAACGACGGAGGCGACGATGAGCGAGATGCCAATGAAGCCCATGACGACACCGATGAATAGAGTAGAAAGATAGAATAAGACTGTGAGACACAAGGAACGAAACAAAGTCTTTTCCCCAGGTGACTCGCCAGAATTGGGGTCGATTGGCGAAAGGAAGGGAAGAGAGTGGGTTGTGGAATGGTTATTGCAGAATCATCGAGCCACCTTTTGGTTTGATGCGCCTCCAATTGCTTTTTGTCAGCGGACAAAGAAAAAGAGCTGGACATGGAGCCTTGTAACTGTGAGACGTTGATTGGTCGCTATGGGGGTTCTATTCGTGGCTAAAAATGACAGCCGAAAGCTCCGTGTAAATGGAACGGATATTGATGGGGAAAGCTAGAATGATTCCAGATGATTTCAGGTGGTAACTACCTAAGTAATAGTACCTTTACTACAAGCTTATTTGCCAATGAAAGCCTTCAATTCACACGACACATTGGCTATTTTGCTTTATCTTTCACTGTTACTCGTGTTTGGTCTCACCAATTCATGGAATTCAAAGCATGAGACACCACTCGAGGTCTGGACAAGGCAAAAGAATTACAGTAACAAAACGTCTCACTCCGCTGGCTGTTGGCGGTCATGCCACATGCTTTTGGACGCTGAGTGATCGACACCAAGAAAGCTGGCGTATTTTGCAGGGGTAAGAGATGAAAACTGTGCAGGGGGCATTGAATGATCAGTGGGGGCTCGGTTGGCATGAAGTTATAATCACTTGTGGATAACTGTCAATGTTCAAAAGGGGGAACTGCACGGAGGTACGGAGCATGGAGTATCCCGTTGGGATAGTTTACGATTCTGTCGAAGCAACAATGTTATGATCAAGTCGTTGGAAGGAAGACGCATTTGGGAATAAACAATTGAGTTGTCGAATCATGTCTTTCATGAGATCGATCCGATCTAGACCGTCAGGCATGTTTCGTGATGATGAGAGCCAGTCAAATTGCTCAATTGATAGACATATAGATATGTTTCAATAGCATGTCATGCACATGTTGGGGTAACCAGAAAAGCAGAAGCATAACATAACACAGAAGTATCTGAGCATAATTACAATGAAAGAGAGGGCGAAACTCCAGCAAGGATGGTCCTATCCTGGCCATGTCCATGAATGACCACAATCCGTTCATTCCGCTAGTTTCGCGAGCATTATCCCTAGCATTTCCCGGTTCTATTTTGGTTCTTGCGATTCTTCTTTTCTCCCTTTTTCTCGCCTCGCATTCCTCCAATTTATCAATCTGTGGCGATCTGTTTTCCTCTTACAACTTCGGTTCCCAGTGAATAGAACACCCTCTTTCGATGTATGTTGTGGACGACACTATTGCATATTTCCCTCTCACCTGCAGCAGAAGCGAAAAACACAAAAGACATCCCCGCTTTCACACGTGAAGCCACTTCATCTATCCAACAGTCAACAGTCAAGTCAACGCCACCGCCTCTTGTCTCTCTTGGTCGAGAGCTGTTTGTGTTTGTTTACTTTCATGTTGTCACCTCGACACTGGACTGGAGTGAAACCCAATATCAACTAGAGACCACTAGTGTCTAGTGACAACCAGCGCTGCAGCCCTTGCGCAACGGGTTGTTGCTCAGTACAATTTACGGGGAGGTCCCCTTAAACCTATTTTGCTACCGCTTCGACACACAGCCAATGAGAGCTCACCGCTCCGTCCCGCTACCAGTCATCTCAGCCTGAACCAGCAGTCGAGGATCGTCTCCGACAACCCAACTCCCGTCGTGGACAGGATGCGCACTCTAAACACCATCAACTCGTCATCCTCTCGTCCTACATCGCCTGGCCTCGCTGTCTCCCAGCCTCAACCTCATACTCGCCGTTCCGCTGCCTCGCCAAACGATAAACTCGTCACCTCCTCTAAACCTCTCCCAAAGATCAGATCTCGGACCCCTACTTCACTCCAGGTTCAGGCTCGTCCCCGATTTCCCTCGGCTGGTGACAATCGCACGTCGCCATCCCTTGGCTTCCACGACACAAATAAACAACATGTACTTTCAGTAACCGCCACAATTCCCTCGACCCGTTCAACCTCGTCGAGTTCCGCACCTCCTACCTCGAAAATGGCCCCAGGCGAAACGAGACATAGGCCCCCGCAGCTCAGTGCTGCTGCAGCAAAGACCGCCGGCCGGACGCCCCTGACACCCAAGATTGCCTCGACGCCAAAGGGTCCTGCAATAGGTGCACCTTCTCTTGTTCGTAGATCGACACAAGGGCTTTCCACTGGCACACCTTACCGAGACGACAATGCTGTTACCCCCCGGTCCGGCAGTCGACAGGGCGGTCGAAATAATAGCAATAGTTCCACTCCAGGCGGAACACCAAATTTGGACCGAGATGGATGGGATCCTCGAGCCTCGTCGTCCTCTGCAGGCAGACAGTCATTGCCTCGAGCAGAATCGCCAGCTGACCCAGATGCTAAATTCTTTCGTGCTAGCGATGGCCCCGTTCCATCACAGACATCCAGTCGTCCGTCGTTAGGCTCTCAAAAAGCGAGTACATCGTTCTTTCATGCCAGCAAAGTCAGCACCGAGCTCAAAAGAGCCAACACTCCTTCGGTTGCTGCACCTGAGCCTCCATCTTCCAAGTTCTTTTATGCAAATGGTGTCGATCTGGATCTCAAACCTAACTCAGCCAACTCCTCCAGCTCCCGACTCCAGTCAAAACGTCCAAGCACCAGCAGCTCAGCAAACGAACCCTCAAATCCCTCATTGCCTTCGAGGCCACATTCTCCAATGAAATTAGCCCAACCGGCTCCTTCAATACTCAGAAATAATGGTCTAACCAACAGACCGCAAGTAGCGTCACCGCCTCAGATAGCTTCTCCACCGCCTTTAGCTCCGGCAGCGTCTATCGTTGCCAAGAGGAGGGTCAGCATTGAGTCGGCCCCAAAAAAGCAAAGAGGCCATGCAAGAACTGGTAGTGTTCCCAGTTTCGACCACTCTCACTCGCCTAGACTGCCTATGTCGCCGGGCCGGCGACCCCTCGAATATGGCTCGCCTCCCAGCAGCCCTGGCACGACACAGCCGGCTTTGACCATGGCCTCAATTCTTCAGATTGCCGAAGATTTTGATGACGAAGAAGAGGAGGAGGAGGCGGAATCCAAGGACGAAGGAGCCCAGCCTGATGTGCAGAGTCCTACGAAATCCAGCCATGGGGAGCCTGTGAATGATCTTGTCGCCAATGCTCGAAGAGAACGAAAGGTGCAAGATCTGGAAATCACTAATGCCTCCCTTGAAGCTATAAATCGAACATTGGAAAGACAATTACGGAAACAGCAGGCTGAAATCCGCAGATTTCGCCGACTGTCCAGATCAGGCCGGCTATCTGCAGTTGCTTCAGCGGCCTCTAGCCGAGTGCCCTCTGCGGCGCTTGCAGATATTCCCATTAGTCTCTCGGATCTTAGCGAAGAAGACGATTCGGCACCACCTTCAGAAGATGAAGAGCATGACTCGCTGGACGAATCTGACGCGTCAATGACCGACTCAGTCTCAGCTTACGATGCTATCGACCCTAACGACGAGAAGGCAATTGAGAAGGCCATGTCGCGACGGAAACGTGACGAAGACCGCCTGCAGCTCGACTTGTCTAAGCACCGCGAGTCTCTTGTCGGTAGCCAGAAGATCAACCAGAGCATTAAGAGATGTCTCAACTGGACCGAAGTTCTCATCAAGGAGGGTCAGAAAGCACTGGAGTATAAGGTCCGCGTCACAGATGTTGAGTTTGGCGGCCAAATACTGGCTCCAGCTGGAGGAGTGGAAGATGAAGATGAAGAAGATGAAGAAAACGAAGAAGATGGTTTATCTGGCGTTGATGATCTTGAGACTGATCCTGGCAGTGCGGTGCTTGAGCCCCCTCTGCCTTGGGAGAAGGGCTCCCAGGATCGTGATAGTGGCATTGAATTGCAACCGGACAGCAACTGACTCTACTCAATACCTCCCTGAAGTTTATTCTTGATCTCGGTAATCGACACAACCAAATAGCGACCAGGATGTCGCACACAACTCGCAACTGAACTTTCCTTTCCTTACTGTCAACTCTACATCACCAGCCGAGCCTCAAGGTACTACGACAAAACATTTTCATCAGATCTACGAAGTCAATGGAACATGACATGCATGCATACAAGGCGTTGGGCAAGCAAGCGATCATTTCTGCGTTCCTTTTGCTTTCAACTGGGTTCTGCTTCCCAGCGACTGCCTCGCAATGCATTATCAATTCCACCTCTCTTAAACGATCTTTTCTTCTCAATTAGAGGAGCACAACCAAACAACGGCCTGGACAACAATCATCACACTCGTACGCCCTTCGAGACGGGCATCTTTCTTTCTCATTTGTCGCAGAGATTTGTGCTTTTTTTTTCATTTGCTTTTGGATATATATGTTGTATAACAGATACCCCGGAGGAAGTGATCACGCCAACGTGGCGAGTCTATAAGATGGAATCATTGGAGGAAACTACAGAAAAGAGAGCCTGAGATGGAATTTGCTTCCTGCGCTCAGTGGCAGAATACTCTCATGTACGGGATTAGAAAGAGATAGGGAAATCATTCAAGTAGCCACCAGAAATAAGAAATGAACATTGGGCATCAGGAGATGAGCTCCAATCTTCAACTTAACCTCACGCTCCTTCATTATACTCTGACATATGTGCATTCTTAAAATAAGAAGTATGTGAAGCTATCGAAAACGGCCGTGGAATTCATTGAAAGAAAGGGGGGAATAGCGTCATGAAAATTATGTCTAAATCAGTCCCAGTCGTCCTCGTCTATGCATCCTTCCGCCTATCATACTAGCCGCCAAGCCAAAGTCCGCCAAATTGATATCAACCATCCTTTTGAATACTCAACCACGCATATCTTGCGTGCCAGTGCTACGCATGATCCTGTTACGTCATATCCTGACCGGACCAGGAACTTCTCTCGTTGCGGTAAGACCGTTTAAGGTGTTGAGACGGCAGGTTCCTTGTCTTTGGACTCCTTGTCTCTGCCATGCACGAAGGACTTGCGATCCTTCTTCTTCTTCTTGTCGTCTTCCTCCTTGTCCTTCTTTATGGCAGCCTCAGCGACGAGCTGCTCGAAAACGAGATAATCGCCCTCCTCTTCAGGAGATCGCTCAGACTATAAACTGTTAGTCGTATCCGATAGGAAGCAAAGGCTTGACGTACCCTGATAAAGACATCACCAATGAGAACCAGGGCCTGTGCGCGCTCGAGTCGCTTGTTAAGGTGGACCTTCTTGTCGTAGAGGATGCTGTCGCAAACCTCGCGCAGAACACTCTGGATCTCGAACTTGCTCCCCCTCCATGCGGCAGTAAGGATCTTGCCTGTCACACGTCTCTCGTACTCAGCACGCTTCTCGTCAGTCCAGTCCTCGCCACCCTTCTCCTCCATCTTGGCCATGTCCTCCATAGTCTGCTGAGCGTCGATGGCACTGCTGATGGTGTTCCATGTTTCCTTAACGAGGGTGCCCTTGTCGCGAAGTCGGCTGAAGAAGCCACCAATACCAAAGAACTTTTGACTGCGGAGCAGGCTTGACGCCTTGGAAACGTAGGTTTGGCCAATGGCGTGCAAAATATCAATACCGAATGACTCCATCTTGAGATTCTCAACCTCAAGTCGCATCTTCTCCTGGAAGGCTTTGGTAACATCAGCACCCTTGTCTGTCTCGGTCCACACGCTGAGTCGGTCGAGAAGCTTTCGGACGAGGGTATCAACACGCTCCTGGCGAATTCTGGCACGCTCCTTGTCGAGAGCGACCAGCTGCTCCCGCTGCTCCTTGGTCATACCACCCTTCTTCTTCTCCTTCTGCTTGAGCTCCTCTTCTGTTAGCTCGCCCTTGTTCGCCTGTGCATCGAGAAGATCCTCATGCGACTTATCCATCAGTGCAGGTCGAAGGGGAATCTGGGTTCGGTTGCGAGAACTCGACGAGGGAGCGGGCGATGTGGCATCGGCTCGCTGGGGAGCATCGGCAGAGAGGCCGGCAGCAGGTGCAGGAACGGGGGAAGCAGGCTTGGTCTCTTTCTCTTCGTGAACGGCGGCAGCGGCGTAGGGTGGGGGTGGTGCGCCGGCTTGCTGCTCTGCGGCGGCGGCAGTCTTCTCTTCTGCCTTTGCCTCCTGCTCCTTGAGGCTTTCTTTTCTGGCGCTTTCGGTGCCAGGGAACTCTTCCTCAGCGGCTTGCGCAGCAGCGGCTTCGGCGGCGGCGGCTTCCTCCTCCTCCTGCATCGTGATATCCATGGTCGCTGTGAGGTCCTTCATGAGGCTAATCTCACCGATCCAGTCAACGAAGGCCTCTCCTCCGAAGATGGAGCTGAAGAACTCAGCAGGATCAGCAAAGCCTTCCTGCGGTCTCGCAGAATCCTTTCCGAACTTGTCGTATGCTGCGCGTAGGTTGGAATCGGAGAGGACCTGGTAGGCCTCACCGATGGCCTGGAACTTTTCGTGTGCGGTGGGGTCATTGGGATTCTTATCTGCAAGTTGATGAAGGGTTAGTTTTGCTTGAACTCTACGGATCGCTTGACGCAGAGCAAAGAGGCGAACCTGGGTGGTGGACAATAGCCATCTTGCGATAAGCCTTTTTAATCTCCAGCTCGGTGGCCGTGGGCTGGACGCCCAGGGTGTCATAATAGGCGGTATCGACGACCATGATGGGAGTGTTTTTCAGGTTCTAGGTCGTAATTATGATGTATGTAGATAATATTGAGTGTCGGTGTTTAGGTATGAAACCAGTCACCTATAGGTAGTATGTAGGAGGTATCTATGGGAGAGTGAGGTTGAGGGAGAGGGAGAAAAAAAACTCTACGAGCATGTGCATGTGCATGTGGTAAGTGACCAGCAGGAGCTGGAACTGGAACTGGAACTTGTTGATGATGGCGTCCATCGGACCGCCTAAATTTAATGACCAAACCGGCCCTGCCCGCTTAGGCTCTGGTTTGGCTTGGTTTGGCTTGGCGGGAATTCCCTGAAATTGACCTACCTACGGGCAGTTCCAACTTCACTAATGGATGTATCGTATCGACTGCGCAATTTTAGGTTGGGACTTTTCAGGTTCTTTCCATGTTAATTTACCGTCAGGCATCATGCCCAACCTTTTTTTCCAATGTTTAGCGGGAGAGGGGTAGACAATCTTGTAGGCTTGTAGGGTCTTCAGGGCTATGGTCTACGTAATGGTGGGGCAGTGCCTGTTGGACCACGTCACGAGTCGACCTTCACAGTCATCTTGGAACATTAGTCAATTATACTCCAATTCTTGGTTGGGAGTTGACGTTGACTTCTTGATAGAGCCAACTCTCTAACAATAGGTGCATATGCTAATCATTTCTAGATCTACGTTATATTGTTCCCGGTCTGATATATAGAGTGTGCACGTAGAAGTTCCGATAACTTCTTCTCCTCCCTAAAGTATACGTAACACAATATATATTTTTCAACCTTTTTTAGTTTATATAATATTAGGATATTATTGTCGATAAAATATAAACTATCATGAATTCTCCTCATTTTATATAATCTTAAGACTGTTTTTATACATAAAATACAAAATACAATAAACTTTGTTCACTTTATACAATCTTAGGATAACATTATACATAAAATATTCTAACATTATTAAGTGATTGTAGGTAGGCTATCCTTGGACTCATCTTTATTCATTACTGGAAATGCTGAGATTTGAGCCTCAATAGCGCAACTATCCCTGCCAGTGTTTCCCCAGCAGCCTTCATTCTTACAATACTCGCTCGACAAGCCTCCTTCACATCAGGGATTGTTCCTGTGTAGCCATATTCTTGAAGCGTTTGCGTGAGCTTGGTCGTGCTCAATCTGCTGTTGGGTACCTTGTCCGTCAGAAATACGTCTTCACTATCCAAGTTCGAGCCAGCAAAAAGGTCACTAGGAGTGTGACTTGTTAGTCTGGCAATTGGCAAACTCCCAGACTCTTAACTCATCTAGCAAAGGTGGAGGAACTTGTGGCTGTCCGGGCTGGATAAATCCGGCTGGGCGGTCAGAGCGACCGGATCGTGTACATGCATATGTCATCTCAGACCAGGAACAGGCTGAACTTTTAGTATTGTGAATCTTCAATGGGCGTATATATTGGCCATTGAGGAGGAATTCGCAGCCCAGGTTCAGGTCTGGAATGACAAGCTATTAGGTGAACATTAGGTATAGTAGAGCCTTCACCGCATCCCCTATGGGCAAAAGATATCGAGAACTTATCGATGAACATGTCATTTCTCAGCTTTCAAATGCTGCTGGAGCTGAACCTGGGGTATGCTAAGCTAGCTCGCTTGTTGAATGTCTCATCTCAAGCTAAGGTACGGACAAGTTTTGGACGCACCACCGCATGTTCGGACCGGCATTTGAATTGACCTTCGGCACGGGAACAGCATTGGGACCCGGCCTTCCGGTTGTTAGACAGCCTGCACGATCCCGTGTAGTGTCAGCATCTTCTGGGTCATTGTCGTTGCTGCATATGTGCACATCCACGACAGGACTGGCGTTGATTGAGATTGTTCGCTAATGTGATGCTTAATCCGAATACGATAGGTAATGCACATAGCGCGGCGCTTATGCCCCTCTACAAGGGTCAGCAGCCCCCACCTCCTAGCAAGAAATGAGCTCTTTGCATTTTTGTGGATTTATCCGGAGCGGAGGTTGAACAGTCTTATTTTGCTTCTCCCATCTGTCCTTCTGTCTTCTTTTCTCTCTCAAGCAACCTGGTGGTGAGACAATACACCAAGACGCTTCCGGGACTTAATACTACCGAATTGGTATAATACAACCTTTTCCTCCTCCCGTTTACCTGATCGTGCTCGTCTGTTTCAAGTCGTGCGCTATTCCTTCAACTCCTCACGCGCTCAACCTCAATTTCATCCTCCTCCCCTTGCCCCCTCACACATACGCCGCCAAGATGGGCTACCTCTACTACCTCTTCCACCCCTATCAGCTTCGATCCATTATTCAATGGTGAGTTACTATTCTCAGCAATTCCACTAGAAGGACCTGTCTAATAGTGCTCTAGGAAGGTATGGCATGACCCCGTTCACGAGCGCGACCCCAGCACGGAGTCGCCCGAGCTAAAGGAATGCTTTCGCTACCTTGACATGACAAGTCGCAGTTTTGCGGCTGTTATTCAGGAGCTTAACCACGAACTCCTCGTCCCAATTACCCTCTTCTACCTCTGTCTCCGTGGCCTAGACACCATTGAGGATGACATGACCCTTCCTCTAGACAAGAAGATTCCCCTCCTTCGAAATTTCCATGTCACTATGGAACAAGAGGGATGGCAGTTCCATGAAAGTCAGGAGAAGGACAAGGAGCTGCTGGAGCACTTCGACGTGGTCATCACCGAGCTCAAGAAGCTCAAGGCCCCCTATTATGACATTATCAAGGATGCGACTCGCAAGATGGGTAACGGCATGGCTGATTATGCCGAGAACGAGGAGATGATCAAGAACGGCGTGCAAACCATTGATGACTACGAACTATACTGCCATTACGTCGCCGGACTTGTGGGTGAGGGCCTAACGAGTCTGTTCGTCGCATCCGAGCTTGCCAACCCCAAGCTTGCCGAGCGCCCTTCTCTTACCGAGTCGATGGCCCAGTTCCTCCAGAAGACCAACATCATCCGTGATCTTCACGAAGACTGGCAAGACGGTCGAAGATGGTATCCCAAGGAGATCTGGAGCCAGCACGTGGACAAGTGGGAAGATCTCTTCGAGCCTAGTCAACAAACGAAGGCTTTGGAGTGTGTCTCCCATATGGTTCTCGACGCACTAAAACACAGCGAGGAATGCCTGTTCTATATGGCGGGTATCAAGGATCAGAGTGTCTTCAACTTCGTGGCTATTCCCCAGGGCATGGCCATTGCAACTCTGGAGCTTATCTTCCGCAACCCTGACGTTCTCAAGAAGAACGTCAAGATCACCAAGGGTGATGCCTGCAAGATCATGTTCGAGTGCACACAAAACCTTTACACCGTGTGTGAAGTGTTCAAGCGATATACCCGATTAATTGCCAAGAAGAACGACCCTCGGGACCCCAACTTCCTTGCCATAAGTGCGCAATGTGCCAAGGTTCGTTTTTCCACTTTCCACCTTCCAATTTGAGATTTGGTCACTGACATATTACAGATTGAGCAATTTATCGAGACCCTGTTTCCTAAGCAGGATCCCAAGAAGCTCGCTCTTACACAAAACCAGAAGGAAAACAAGGAGCCTGGAATGGACGCTGGTGAGGCCGTTGTGCTCTTTGGCGTTGTTATTGCAGCTTTGGTCTGCATTTCTGGTCTTATGGTACGCAATAATCTTGATCTTGGTGCCACACATGACTGACTCTATTCACAGCTCGGTACCGCTTGGTTCTTTGGAGCCAGATTCGATACCATCTTTAAGGAAGCCAGTGTCTTCCTACCAGGTGGCGAGAAGGCCACCCCCATTATCACGGGTCACGAAGAATTGTAGCACTATACGCGCGCCGATTTGTTTTTTGGTTTTATAACGGCACCAACCTTTTTAACGATATCCTGACGTACATACCACATTTAGCACAGTCCTCTTTGAACGGACAAGCCCAGCCAGCGTGCTGCTGGGCCTTATACTCTTGTTAATATTACAAGCAGCGGCGCGATACAGCGCGCGTTGCTTTTCAAGTTTCGTCCCCCTTCACCCTTTTGCTGGTGATGTCTTTTGTCTTGATCACCACCTCCTGCACGGATGTCAAATTGCAATCGAGTCCTCCAATGACTATGATTGTGCCGAAGAAGTGCGAAAATTAAAACTCTCTTGCCCTTGGTTTCCGCCTCACGGCGACGTCACGCCACAAGTCTATCCCGACGTCTTCAAGGACGGCGGACTGGTGGCGGCGGGCAAACATTTCAACGTCTCTTGTAAACTTTTTCCGTGATGATGTTCAACGATCTCTGCCTCTTTGGGACTGTTGTGGCCAGCAAGGGATGAACTGCGCATGGGCAAGGTTTCATCTTTCTATTTGTGCTGTTCTTGGTGTGAGTTGCGGTTACACTAAGGCGGGCCATGCCTTAGTTGATCTGTTATCGACGGGCCTGCTCATCAATCAGGGGTTCCGGTTTTTACGCGGCACTGAAAGGTTACATCGTGCTGTTTGGCGAAGTATCAAGATGCAGGAACAGGTTTTCGTATTGCGTCAGCTGGTGATGTATTCAAAGAAGCTATGCATCAAACTTGTCACATTGCGTGTCACATAAAATCATTTCATAGGCAAATAAATGGTAATCAGAAATTCTATGTCGTTACAGACCATCTATAGTAGCAAATGCACACGTCCTCCAAGTTTCACAGAAAACTCCTGGTACACATCGAGTCATAAATGCACCCCTATATTACGTCCCATTCATACATATGCGAGGCATAGACTGTTCGGGTTTGTACGGTAATGTAGCCAATTATCCTAAAATAGTGTTTTTTTGTAATGTAAGAAATGTGTCGCTTTCCTTTGTCCCCTAGTTCCCTTTATGAGATTGATGCTGGTGCTGCTTCTATTGTTGGTTGCCGTTGTTGGCGATGAGGTCGGTGGTGCCCTGGACGTTGTTGCGGACCTTGGCACCGCTCTGCTGGGCAAGGCTCTTGATGAGGCTGACAACCTGAGCGGGACTGTCAAGCTTCTGGAAACCCATGAGGTAGGCGGCGAGACCAGCAACGTGAGGAGAGGCTGTGAATTGAGTTAGTGTGAAACTTGACTTCAAGGTGATGAGAGATAACATACCCATGCTGGTTCCGCTAAGAGTAGCAGTATCAGTCTTAGACTTAATACCAACACTAAGGACATCAACACCGGGAGCGTAAATATCGACCTCAGGGCCGAAGTTGGAGAAGTCGGCTCGCTCATCGGTGGTGGCATCAAAAGCACCGACAGTGATGGCGTTAGGGGCAGAGCCAGGAGAAGTCAGGGCGGTCTCGCGCTGCAAGGTTGTCAGTCATGGTACTTCGCAATAAGAATGGTGTTCACTTACGTTCTCGTTACCGGCGGCCACAACGGGGACAACGCCAGCCTTGAAGAGGGCCTCAATAGCGCGGTTGATGGCCGCGGAGAAGTCGCCACCAAGAGACATGTTCATAACAGCCTTGCCGGTCTTGCCCCTCTTCTTAGCATCGTCAACAACGAACTGCATGCCTTGAAGGACACCAGAGTTGCTGCCACCGCCTGAGGCGTCAAGGACCTTAACAGCAACGAGGTCAACCTTCTTAGCAACACCGAAGGTAGCACCGCCGATGGTTCCAGCGACGTGGCTACCGTGTCCATTTTCATCATCATCCTATCTCAGTTAGCTTTAAATATCTCGGAAAAGCTCGGTGTTAACTTACAACATCGTTAATGAAGTTGCCGCCGAAAGTGGCACGGCCCTCAAACTCGCTGTGGTCAACCTTGATACCAGTGTCAACGATGTAAGCAGTGATACCCTCACCGGCCGAGTCGTCGAAAACGTAGGTATCCTCATTGGCCTTGGTGTGGGATAGACGATCAAGGCCAGGAGGAGCGTTGACTTGAGCAATGGCAGCGTTAAGCTTGACGTGGGTATCAGCCTCGATGTAGGCAACCTCGTCGGAGTTCCAGAGGTCCTGAACAGTAATATCATCGGCGTCAAGCGACATGGCACGCCACTTGTTCATGCGGAAAGACTGAATGGTAGTAGACATAGCCTTGCCGACTGAGCTTCGCTTGTTGAGGTTTCGCTTCTTGATAGCCGAAGCAATACTGAACTCCTTGGCGTTAATCGTATCATCGTCGAAGGTGTCGTTGTAAACAACGATGTATCGGTTAGGGATGATGTTAAGAGAGTCCGGGTTGGAAAGCATAGGTCGAAGGAATGCGCTGATTCCCATCTTCTTGTCGAGTTCATCGCCTAGGCCACCAGTGATGGTGTCGGCCAAGTCGCCCAAGGTGCCAGATACATCAGTCGGGGCTGCAACAGGAGCGGCAACAGCAAAAGGAGCTGCAACGAGCAGGGAGGCGAGGAAGTTTCTTAGGATCGCCATGATGAAAGTTGAATATTTGTTTTGTGTTGAGTTATAAGTATGTGCTGAAATGAGAGAAGTGAAGTGGTTCCAGCCGTTTCACTTAGTTGATGCGTCGATCGTTTAATAAATCGGTTTCGAAAGCCAAGGACAAAGCAATAAAAGAGTGCTATTAGAGGAGTTGGGCGATCAACGCTCCTCTCGTGTTATTGAATAAGGACTGGTTGTGTAAGTTCGCAAGATCGCGATACACTGTTCTTGAATAAACAATGAAAGGATGGTGATTAAGCCAAATGGGACTGACTAGCAGCACAAAGAGGAAAAAGGAAGAAAGGGAAAGGAAGAATGAGAAATAATAATGAAAGACTCAAAAAAGAGCTTTTCCGACAATGATTAACCCGAACAATAGAATGAGAATGGCTGTCCGGCAGCTAACAATGGGTGGGAGATGTGGGTTTAATAGGAGAAAACGAACAATAGAAGCTTGACCTCTGACTGGTGGCTTCCAATATTCAGATCAAGCTTCAGGAGGGAGCCGCAAGATCCATGGCGGGGATGGGGCACTAGGGGGCCGTGGACCCAGGGTTTCGGCGTCAGGGACCAGGGACCAGGGGTCGGAGTTGTTTAGTTTAGTGTAGAAGTCGGAAGCCTACCTATATCAGTGCCCTGCACTTGTTCACACGACTAGGTAGGTACACTATACCATAGTCGCCAAGTCAAACGCCTGGGCCTCACTCCAAGAACCCCTTGGAACCAGCAGGATATTCTGTTTTGGGTGGGTTTTCAATGCTGAGGTCGTACCTGTTTGGTAAGCTCGTCTACTTGATTCACTATGCTTTAGTACCACAGGCCTTGCGAATATACAAAAACCTGGGACACTTCAAGTGGCAGCTCATCAAGCACGAAACCATAATTGCTTTGGGGCAGTTATAATACCGTTTGTAACTGCATGGGATTCTGATGAATAATCACCTTTCATTGGTATATCCAAAATTGGGCGTTTGATTGCTGTTTCTCGAGAGTACCGACATAACCGCACGTCCCTCTATCTTGGCTGCAATGCGTTGGGTGAGAATGGCCGCCGTTGTCGACTTGTCGTTGCCCACAAGCCACAGGCCCCAGTTGAGCACCACCAATAACACACAGCCAATCCCGCCTAATCACTGTATTCAAGAGCTGGCGCGTCTGAAGTTGTACAGTAGTCGGCCAACGATCAGTGCTTTGGGTGCTAGTAGCGGCAAGATCAGTGATAAGCTAGTACGGAGTATTGATGCCCTAAGCAAGGGGGTAAGGAAAATCCAGATGCCTCCTTCTCGATCGTGCCGAGAGAGGTCTTGGCCGACTCGTGATGTGGGCTTGTCAGCTGGTCTCTACATGCCAACCCCAGACTGTCATGAAGCAGCTGCATCTTGAGATGAATCCGCGTGTACTAGGTCAGGGCCCAAGGGTGATACCGAGAAACATCATGCACTGTTAGCATCAAAAACACAACAGTTTTGTTCCTCACATGAAAAAGCTTGACGATGCAGTGTCATTGGCGGCAGATACAAAACCCCAATGTCACATCATCACGGAGGATCCACTGACTGGAAACCAGCCAAGCCCACCTAAGATTCGGCGCTTGAGGGCCCCTGGACAACCCCTGTCAATCCCAGCTTTGAAACAAGTGACGCTAGGCTTTGGCGTCTGAACCTGTCAGGTACGAGTCGATCTGGTTGGGCTATGAAGTCTGTTCCCACGCGGCGTCTGATGTTCAAACGACTTTAATCCCAAGCGCCTGCGAATAAACGCTAGATATTGACTGGTCTCGGGGTGTTGCGTATGCGAAGAGAATGATTTGTCCTATTTCGCTTGCCATGTACTGGAGTAAACAACAATTTCATCTTGTTCTGTATTGATCTAGATGCGCCCCTTTGCCAGATCGAGTTTGCGCGGCTCACCGTTGTGCATCACCCGGGGGTTGTTTTGACAATCCTGAAAGGGCTCCAACGGCCGAATACAACGGACGATGAGCTTCGTGGAGGGTGACAACCCCGGGCAGTCGGGGATATAACAGGTAGGGCGCTATCATCTATGCAGGTCACCCTCCAAACGTGTCTCGAAGATTGGCGGGGAGCAAGGATGTCTGTGTCAAGTTCTGGTGTGGCTCTGTACGACTCGGTACTGGAAATTTACCATAGAGCATGGGGTTTAGTGGCCTCGGGACTAATAAAAGGAACTGACCTTCTCGAACAAGACAAGCAGTGAAAAGCTCTTCACGCATCTTATGTCATTGATTCATGGATCGCAGATTGGATCATGGACATTGGCATGGGAAGAGATGACCGTTGAATAACTCCGGGGTTGGCACGGTTGAAACGCGGACTGGGAGGTGAAGGCCTCGGTAGAAAGATGTAACCATTGTCTCAAAGTCGAAAACTGTGATCGATAATGGTTTGCAGCCTCTATTCTTCACATCCATGTTTAATCCAAGCGACAGTGATAAGTTTACGAGGGAAAGGTGCCTGTTGGCTGTTGCCGTAGACAGCTGTACTCATGTGACTTCCGCTTGGGTTGTGATGTACGCGCATTCTTGGGAAGGAACAAGCTCTGTTTTCCTTCTCAGCAGTGAATAATAAAACAGCCCAGTAAAATAAAATTTGACTCGATCAAAACAATAGCTAAAAAAGAATAAACATGTGTTTACGTTTACCTCACTTTATTATTAACATAAAACACAAACGGTACGCGAGCCCCGATGATCGCCCTCGGGTAGGACTTCGTCTGTTTTAGAAATACGGTGCTCTGAAACCCGCAGAACCGCATCTACAGAGTCTAGATCATCACAAGAGACATCCTTACAGCGCCGGGGCCCTTGGCCTATTCTCCATCCTGCTATTGTCCACGCAAGGCCCGTTCGTTTTGACAGGAAACTTTGACATTCGATAGGGTGGAAAAGCGGCAGCTTTGTTCCCGATCAGGATCAGCCGCGGAATAATTCTGTCTCGAGTATGATTTATCGTATTATGAGTAGTGACTGTATATAATCGGCTATGTCCCGTATTGGTCTCTATATTCCGTTGCTAAATCTATATCTCTAATATCCGAAACCCCACCAAGAGGCCGGGAGATGAGTCCAAGACACTATTAGATATGCATGCTTTGTGTGCTTTGATGAACCTGGCAAGGATCACTAAAGGATCTGAGCGGAAGATCAACCGCCATAGAAGCTTTAATATCTATGCATTGCTAGAACTGCACAGATTTTGACCACGACGATTTCACGTGGTAGTAATTGTCTAGTGTAGGGAGTACAGAGTACGTGGATTATAGAAGACAGGACAAATACATATAGGAGCGTCGGCAAATTTCAAGCGAGCACTTTCTAAGTTATATATACCAATGACTAATGATATCGTCTGAGACACTTTGGACCTTCCAAATAGGGTGAAGAGTTGTCTTCATAATAAGTAAAGCTACTCGCAGCATCTCGCTTCACGGGCCCCCTTTCCCTGTCATTTCAGCCAAGACGGCATGCTCCCAAGCCATTTATCGACACAACGGTTCAGTCAAATCAATGCGACAACTTATTACAGGTAGGTGTTACTGCATTGGCTGTTTTGGGCCGTTCTCATAATCGTTTCTACCATAACCCCTTTTCTGATGGTTTTGCTGAGTCGGCTTCCACTTTGTCTCTGCACAATACCATGCTTGCCATTCAGCATTCCAAGAGCGAGAGCTTAGATGCTGTGTCATAGCATTGAATTATGATATGGCCTAAGCAGACATGAATTTCATCATATCTGGTGTTCTTATGAATTAGGCCAACTCTTAAAGCTTTCAAGGTGTCAAACCACGGAACACCTAGGCAATATCAAAATCAATCAAACATATTGATATATAGGGGGGCTCTCATAATTGTCGATTTATTTCCAGCTTCCTGCCGCAACTTTTCTAGTACTGCGGGTTACAGAAAAGCTTCCTACAGCAACTTCGAAGGGTCTTCAGAGTATAGATATTGACGAGAATCAAGTCCAGCTCTCAACCAGTGTCCAGGCCTCCGACAGGCAGCCTGGGAACGAGGAATGAGATATTGTGTGATACAGTACATTTCAGACCAGATAGTAATTGTCCACCCATCCACACCAGCATAGATACCTATCGAAATCAAAGGCAAGGAAATAGCCACTAATGCTAACAAAACTGGCGGCCAACTGTTTAGAAGTCTCAAAACAAGCGAGGAGCGTTAGTTTAGTTTACTCAACAACGCATACAGGTAAATGGTCGAAACTCAAAGACTGGGGAAGACTTAGGGGCACGATTAATGTAGGGAAGCAACTGAATTATTGGCATATGGTACACTTTCGAGCCTGAACTTAGCCATAGTCTTCATCCATATTTGGGACTCAACGTTGACGAAGCATTTAGTGGCTTATTATCGCCGTCTATATCGGCATCTTCCAGCTCCTTTGTGACTCATAAGATAGTGTATCCCGATGTCCGATGCCGAAGAGCGGGGTTTGTATTCTTCCAAGACTCCAAATCCCCCACATTTTGATTCCATCCTCAACATCAGCTGATGCCACTGTTGGATGTAGTCTGGTTGTTCAATCTTTTGATCAGCTCGTATAAGAATCATCTGTATCCCTAACCGAGTGGTTCTCTTGATCTTTATATAACTTCCTGTACGTTTTCCATCTTCAACATGTCTGACTATTCTACTATCGAAACGACACTGGCTTCTATATCCGCTAGCTCCCAGACCATCGACCTTCTTCGGAACCTTCACAAGCAAGCTCTCGATGAGCCAGCCTATGTCAGCACAGATGGACCGGCCTCTACCGCCCTTGATAAGTTTGTTGCCTTGGACCCTGACAAGTGCGCCTTTGTCTACCTCCTGCTGCGATCTATGAAGGCGCGATTTGTGGTTGAAGCGGGAACGTCTTTTGGTGTGAGCACCATCTACCTCGCTCTAGCAGTTGCACAGAATGCCGGTTCAGGTTCGGGAAGGGTAATCGCCACTGAGAATGAGCCTGCCAAGGCTGATCGGGCTCGCAAGCACTGGAGTCAGGCGGGTGATGATATTCAAAAGTTTATTGAATTACGAGAGGGAGATTTGCGAGAAACCCTCAGGACAGATTTGCCAGAGCAAGTAGATTTTCTCCTTCTTGATAGTAAGTGTACTTCCGTGGTTGTGATAATGATCGTTGCTGGATACTGTTGCTAATCGAGTTCAAGTTTGGACCCCTCTGGCTCTGCCTACACTCAAGCTCGTCCAGCCGCGCATGAAACAAGGTGCTACGGTTGTAGTCGATAACACCGAGGCTGCCAAGGCTGGTTATAAGGACTTGATAGCTTACTTAGATGAAACTGTTAATGGTTTCAAGATGTCGACCGTACCATACTCTGGAGGTCTTTTAGTTGCTGTATACATGGGAAACTAGACATTTGATATTTCTGTATCGCAACCTGTAACAGATTTTTGTGTACTGCCTCATCCTATACACTCCTCAAACATATTGAGTACATCGATAGCTGAGGCTCGACAAATTATTTACAATACTTGATCTGATATTCCTCAGTTAGATTTATGCAGACTCAGTCTTAGATCTTATATGAAGAAAACAATCAGCCAGATGAATGTTTTGGCCTAGTTAAAAAGTTCGGGTGTGGTTATCAGTACTTTCCAAACCTCTTGGGCAATTAAAGGGAGGGTTCGACGCATCTGAAAATCTTCGTCGCGATGTTTTTCGGTACTGAAAGTGGGTTCGGCGTTTGGTTATGGAGAAGCTGCAAGAACTTTCCCGTTTCGACATTGATCATCATGCAGCAGAATGATCGTCGGCAGATCACAAACATCTCTGAAGAAGTCGATATTTTTTGAATATATGTAAACACAAATTTCTCTTTGTGACCGTGAATTGTTCAAGTCCTGATTCTATCGCCAAATACTTTGCAAAGGTGATATACCTCTGGGGTATGTCATGAAGATCAAAATTTGCGCCTACACTGGCGACAGCCAATGAGGGATGAAAACAGTGCACGTCGTAATATTGAGTGCCATCCTTTTCGAGACAATAGATTACAATAGGTTTCAGATAGGAGACTCTGTCGATTGCTCCCCTTGACTTCATGGATCACGGAATGAATCATCAATAGCGTGTGGGACTATCAAAGCGATAACGATAATTGTCAAAAGGAGAAGAAGGGAATAAGCAAAACAAGCCCAGCAGCAGCAGATCGCGCCTGGCGCGGCGCTAGGATATAACCAACTTCAGGGTCTTGCAGGGGGTCAAGGCTGTCAGGCTGTCGTGGGAATATCGGGAGTTGGATCGAGCGTGGGGTTTTATGTATACGCGAGGTGAGCTGGTCGAAAAGCCTGGAGTCGAAGGACGTGGCCATTGGGTTGAGATTGATAAAGTTTAGACATGTCTTGCGCCCAATGACGTGATAAAGTTGCTGATTCAGTTGCACATCTGGGCCAAAGTGAGGCGTTGGCTTAGGTGGATGTGATCGCCTGCGGTTGCGGTTGAGTGAGGGAGAGTGGAGGTGCTATGCTACAGTACAAGGTTTATCTACGGACGGAGAAGCCCGAGCCTCGACTGAGTTGAAGATTTGTTCATCACCAGGTGAATGAGAAGAAAAACAACCTCGGATTAATCTCTCTGGGTGATGGTTTCTGTTGTTACAGAGCCGTTGCCAAGTGGTTACCTGCAGAACCGACCACAAATTCCTTCCAAATGTACATCCGCATACTGCGCATCCCCTTCGCATGCCCTTCAGCTTGCTGTGGACTGTGGAGATGGGTAATGCAATCTGCAGACTGCGGTGGATTCCCCCGTTGCCGCTAATAAGCACGCGACCTCCACTAGGTTCTTTGATAACGATCCATCCTGTCCATACAATCAATTACCATGCCATGCGTCAACCAGATAATGAATGCCGTTGCTACTACGGATACAGACAACATACAATACGTACTGCGGTCATGTGTACTGCTTGTTCTGCCTCAGTCTTTCAAGCTGGATGTACTGATACTGCTGCCATGGACACGTCGTCACCCCAGGGATCACCACCAAGGCTCTCTCTCGTTGCACTTAAAACAAAACAAAGCCTGGCACGCTTGGGTACATCGATCGACATCCTGTTCTTGGAACCGTAGTTTACACACTGCTGAATAAACTAAAAAGAGAGATCCGTTAAAAGCAGATCTGAGTTTAGCTGCTGAAGCAGAAGCCGTAGTGATCGTCTCATCTATAACAATAATAATACGGCAGAGCAAGGCAGAATGAGGGGAGAGTGAGGGGGTCGGTCATTTGCATTCGCGCCTACCTACGCTGCCCTGCGCTGTGCTGTGCTGTGCTGTGCTAACCAACGCCTCCCAATCCCAACGTTAACTCCAATCCCACTTCACTTCGTTTCTTTTCCTTCTCATCTGTTTTTCTTCTCCCCCATTTATTTCCTTTATTTTCTTCTCCCGCTAAATTAGTCAAGACGAGCATCAATCTCCCCGAAATCACTTTACTTTACATTACATACTGTACATTGCATACGATACTCCATACCATTACTCCGTAACCGCAGACGAATCGACCCTGGCTTCGGGATTCCCAACCCAGCGGGTGTCGTATCGCAAGCCGTCATATTTCCTTTTTTTTATTACCTTTACCCTCCCTGGAAATCACTCCAGTTCAGCTTATTCGCCTGGGCTGTTTCTCATCCCTCCCGTTCGTTCCATCCCCCGTCTCTACGTGAACCGACCATCGAGGGCTCAATTTGCAGCCAAACTTCAACCTTTTTGTATCGCCAGCTTTCTGTCCACACGCATTTATCTCAACTTTATCTTCATTCTCTTCTCCTCCACCGAACAACCGCCACTTCAACTATCCTCTCCTTGACCATCGCTTTTCAACATCGGCCCGACCCTTGTGACATGCACTGCGAGCCGGCCTGGGAGCCATCATATGGAGTACTTTAAACTGCAGCCCGATAGCGATATCGATATGGAAATGGGCGACTCGACTAGTGAACCCATGGATACTGCCGACGACAGCCATATCAGCCCCCGAGCGCCTTGTCCTACCTCTGTTCCTGCATCCGCCCTTCTACCTATCCGAGATGGTTACCCACCACGAAGAAGCGACCTTGGCGATAATCGAGGCGAGGAGGTGGACTCTGATGCCGAATTCGCCTCCATCATGGCCTCATCTATGATAAACGGCATTCATAATACAACCTCCAATCCTGTTTCTCCTGGCTCTTCCAGCCCGTCTCTCGACCAAGCCAAGACGTCCGATTTTGTTCCTCCGACGAGACCGAGTAGCACGCCGTTTCCTCATCCTGACCATCGGCACTCAAAGCCATGTTGTTTTAGCGGACCTTCGGACGGCTCCGATGATGATATCACGATTGACTCTACACCCTTTCCCGATAACGAGCCTGTAGTCCTTCCCCTCCCTGTCGCCGGTTTCAATCAGCTACCAATCGAGGTCCATGAAGCTATACTAGACCACCTGTTTGGGTACCGCGTTTCCGCAACATCGCGAAGCTCGATGACCGTATCCAACATAACCAAGAGTTGGGGAACAGCACTAAGACATTCAAGAAGAAGGGAATTGACGAGATTGGCACTTGTGAGTGATGTCTGGCGGATTCTTGTCCAACAAAGACTTTATCGACACATCAAACTCAAGGCGACGGTGAGCTGTCTGGAGAATGCCATGATTCACCTTGCTTCGCATGATCATCTACAATCGTATGTGAAGCATATCGAGATATGGTTTCCTGTTTTCCAACCAACTTACGGGCCACTCGCTTCATCATCCACCCTGAACTTGCCTACAGTGACAATAGACGGATTCACTAATGCAACATATACTTTGCCTAATAACAACTGTACACTCGAGCAAGTGTTTCAGTTTGTCGGACAGACCTTACCTCAAACTAGAGTTTTGACACTGGAGGGTGGTGAGCGACGCAAGGCACCTAGAGTTCTTCACTTTCCTGAACAGAGAATCGATCCGGCCATTTACAAACCGCTACCTGTTCTCGATTCAGTACAGACACTAGTGACTCGGGGTCAGTGGAATCTCATGAGGGACAACCAAGACTTTGCGACAGTTCTGAGTGCGCTGCCAGCACTCAATGAGTGGCAGGGCTCATACAGTAAACCAAAGTCAAAGAGCTACATCACTATGGCCGAATTCCTTCCGCAAATACCACGCCACATTACAAATTTGAGTCTTTGCCTCGAGAGCGACTACCGGCGAGAGGGAGTCATGCCACCATTTTATATGAAAGTGGCGCAGAAGACACACATCTGCACCAGAATGGCTGAAGCATTACCATCGTTAGAGCATTTTGCCTACACTGGTCGTGTTTGCCACCATCTTTTCGACCAGGCCGTTCGATCTGTCGACCCACGCACTTCACGATTAAAAACGCTCGACTTGACTGTCAAGAATTGCTGCAGGTACAATATAAATTTCCACGAAGCCGGCTCTGGTATTCAAGACATGGGATTCATTGATGCCTTCGAGAAATTGGTGCTATGGGCCATTCGATCACTGGGAAAGCTCAAAGAGGTAGTCTATCTTAGGATTCGTTTTGTCGACCTCGGTATGTGCCACCTAGCATGAAGTTGGATTGTTGACTAATTAATGTACAGACTCTGTTTTACCTCCTTTGAATCCCTTCTTTATTATGCACAATGGCGCCTGCTCTGGTGTTTGGAGTGAGAGAATCTTGGCCGAGATGGGGCGCGTCCGCCCAAGCGTTGTCTTCACAGAGCTGAGCGAGTCTTTTGGCAATATTGTCTACAACAAGGATGGAAGAATGGTTATAACTCCCGAACCTCCAAGGACCAAGATCACGTCACTGAAACTGTCAAATTATCGATCTCTCGCGACAGGCATCACGATTCAATAAGAAGTATGTGCCTTGTATCACAATACTACAGTGGGGAGTAACCTGTATGGGCCAACCGATACCCGATTTGATCCGAGATCAGAAATTTTCACTCTTTGTGTTTTTGAGGCGTTTGAGGCTGGAACATAGGTGAAAAGGAGCTATTAATCGAACCGCATACCCAGGAGATGGGAGTTACGAAAGCGTATGGATAGCAGTTATTGCAATTAATAGGGAGTTATGAAGGCTTATGGTTGATTGGTGTTAGAATTGTCACAGCGCATGGAAATTTAGTATTACAATTTATGAATAAGATTGTCTGAAATATCCGTGTTTTTATCTCAAAAAAAGCGTGGCGTCTGGTATTTGCTGATTTGTGTGCTTCCAGTCTCTGAACGGAATATGCCAAACCCCGCCCTATTCAACGTGAAACTTGACAGTTGATCTTGTTGACTGAGCGGCTCCGTCACTGATAATGATCCCCAGAATCCAGCAGTTGACCAAGAAGAAGCCAAGAGAGGCAAGCCAAAGACCGGGGAAGAAGGTGCTAATGCCGAGGAACTCTAGCTGGTATCCTTGTTGTAACCAAGCGGCTTGGGAGACAACCCAGAGCAACAGAGCTAAGACACCGAGCTTGCGGTTTCGAAGAAAGGATGAGTTGGGGAGGTAGAGTGGTAGAAAGACCATATACCAAAGGAAGTACTGGGGGAAATTGTTAGTACAAAGAAGTATGGTGTAACCACAGGGGTTGCCTACCTGAGATGTACAAACTTTGTTAAATGTTACAAAGGCAAAGGTCTGAGCCATCATGGATGTCGCAAGGTCGCGTTTGGCGATGGCGACAGGGATAAGAACGCATGACAGAAGGAGTTGGGGGAGAAAAGCGAACGACTCGATACGGAATGTAGGTGCAGCGCTGGCAGGCGTGGCGGATGTGAGATACAGCAGGACGTTGTAGGGCGAGAAGTTATGACGGTGATCAATTCTCGTAACGTGGTGGAAGTAAGTATGCTCAAGGAATGGTGTGTTGTAGCTATGGATTAGTCAGTTTTGCCGGAAGTAGAGCTGTTTATAGACTCACATGGAGAACATGATGAGGTTGAGGATCATGAAAGTTATAAGACTGAGAAGACCAAACTTGAGGCGATCCGAGGTAAAGAAGTTTGAGATGGCCTCTTTGGCTGACGAAGGTCGGGCAGAAGGCCTTGTCTCATTTCCTAGACGTGCATCGTCCATCCACCAAACGATAGCTGGTGCGTAGATGAAAGGGTATATCTTGAAGTGAACCGACAGACCCAGAATGATCGCTGCAAGACTGAGTCTTCGCCTCTCAACAGCCCATAGCAAGCCCATTGTCAAAACTCCCAGCAGGCCTTCCGAACTTCCACGGGTGCTGATAGTCGCAACCATAGGGTTCCATAGCCACAAAGCAGAAAAGCCCCCAGCTGTGGCCTCGTCCATGCCCCTCCGTCTAAGGACGCGCAGGATAAGCCATCCTGCTAGTAGATCTGCCGCAGCAAAGACCAGCTTGCCAAAGGCAGGAAAACGGACAGTCGGGGTCAGAAGCCAGGCGAGAAGTGGCGTGTAACGGTATGTGTCCCGGGCATAGGGTGACAAACCCTCTGCGACGAATCGGGAAGCGTCCGTGAAGACAAGATAGTCGATATCTGTGTATTTCAGAGCCGAGTGGGCATCTTGGTAGATTCCGTAGAAGAGTAGACCTAGGCGGAGAAGTAGGGCTATGGTGAAGAGGGGAGTTGTGCGTAGAAATGGGGCTATTGAGGGCATTGTGAAGGTTGAGTGGGATGAGATGAGATGGTGAAGATGACAGCTGGCGGTGAGCCTGTGTGTGAAGTGAGAGAGCGCAGAGAGGGATAAAGATATTATAAGACCATCTCTTATTAGAAATCTCCTTTGTCTATGGTTTCTATCCGTTTTGCCCGGCTTTGTTTGTCCAAAAACGGGGTATTCTTGTGTGCCAGTCAATGGCAAGTCGCTGAAGGTTTGAGTAGAGGAGGTTTAAGCTTGCCTTCCAAAAATGGAGAGCTAGACCAGCGCCGACAGTAACAATTTCAATTTCACGTCATCCCTGCAAACCCGCACTAACAAATCAGGACCCGCCTCAACCAACCTCCGACATCATCGACCACCAACACCACTATTCTTATAGAACTACACTGCAAAAGCGCCTGTCAGAAAAAACGATCACAATGTCGACCGGAGTTAAGAGAGACCGCGACGGCAATGCTCGTGCTAAGAACACGGCCGGCCCGAAGCAATCGGGCCCGAGGGGAAGGTTCCATGATATGTTTGAAGGTTTTCGAGATGAGCTTGATGAGCATCATGATCGACGGGAGAGGATTGTGAAGGCTTCGCGGGATGTTACTGCGCAGAGTAAGAAGATGTGAGTTATCCATGAGGGTTTTCATAAGTTGGAACAGTTGCTAACCAAGCTATAGTATTTTTGCCCTTCAGAGGTAAGCTCAATCAATCTACCATCAATCTTAAGTGAGTAGCTGCTCACATGTCACAGAGTCAAGCATCTTAACAAAGACTTCCCACCTCACATTCAGCAAGATATGGACACACGCCTTGAAGAAATTGCCAAACTTCTCAACGGCATTGCCCCCGATCTGCAAAACGTCAACCGTTACCGCTACACCTCCCCCCTTCGTTGTCTGGAAGAATTCGTCGAGGCCCTCTCTTTCGCACACTATCTCCGCCACCAAACCCTCATCACCCTCACGCAAACCCAAGCCGCAATGCCAACCGACATTGCTCTCACCACAAACGACTATATTTACGGCATTTTCGATATCTTTGGTGAACTGATGCGTTTTGCGACTGTGACGACAGCCCAGACGGGCGAGTTGGCTGGTGAGGGGGGACGTAACATCATGAGCGACATCCAAGAGCTCGGGTGCGCGTTTGAGATCTTGCCGGATGTGCCGACAAAGGACTGGAGGGGTAAGATGGGTGCGATGAGGCAGAGTGTCAAGAAGGTTGAGAAGCTGGGTTATGGCCTTGTGGTGAGAGGGAGTGAGAGACCTAAGGGCTGGGTGCCGGATATGAAGGATGATGCTCACGAACCAGCGTCGCCATAAAACAGACATCTGAGATCTATGTGAGAGGAAGGCTTGGGGAAAACGGTTATTGTCGGGCACAACATAACACATTGCTATATGGTTGAGCTGCTAGAGCTGGTCTGATATTTGGGGACCTGCTAGCTCGCATCGAGTGGGAGACTGTCCCTATTGATAAAAGTAAGAACAATGGCTTGATACCAAAATATGAAACGAAATAGCTTCCTTTTACTCAGGGTTCGGCTTGCTGGTCTTCAGAAGGCTTGGGTTGGTGATAGTGCCTAGATTGCCGCGTCGAAGCAGGCGGGGCATGTCTTGCGAACGAAGCCATGCTCAAATCAGGTTTTTCTTTGATGATACTGTTGTTACTCTTCAAATCTGCATGCGCAAGATACACCAGATAGAGTTCTGCTATACAGACGACGAGTTGCAAAACCAAATAGCGGTCACTAACTAGCCAAAGTGATCAGTCGGATAATCAATTTACGCACTGCACCCGAGATGCTGTTCTCAGCCGAGGCTTCGTTTGCTCTGTTTGCTTTGTCGATTCGATTCTAGTCTAAAATTTCGGTCTCATCTGTTCATCCCCCCTCATGCAGCTCATGCATCCCACCCTTTGCACACAACACCCCCTCTTTCATCCTAAACAAGGAGATGAAACTTTGATTTGTTATTTACTCGAGAAGTCTTTCGAATCTAGGAGCTGGAAGGGAATTCTGATAATCATCGACGCTCTTGGCAACTGAAGTCTGTTTCTGCCTAAGGTACTTTTTCAGGCCGCTCGTTTCTTTACCTTTCACCTCCACTCTTTTGAGAACAACAAAGACCTTCTATTTTCCAGAACATCACTCATCACTCAGGCGTTCGTGCAGGTAGGCCGCCAGTTACATCTGCTCACTGATCGAGACAGTAACCCTGCTCTACTCACAAAAAAATCCAATAATATTTGACTTGGTGCGGCGTCCAGGATTCATATCGAGACCTCTCATTCTACGGCGGACGAGCCACTATCGGGGTTCAAGATGGAAGGTATTCATTCCTCCGGGGGCAGTAGCCTTGCAGAAGACTGGTCAGGTGCTCCAACGCCCTCTGATCACCGTCAAAACAGTCCACAAAACGATTCTGGTCTACCAAAAGCACACAATCCCGAAGTGGTAGTCGAGGAAACCATGTCTCGTCGATCGACCTTCTTCGTTAACGTTGACTGGCGCATGGGCGCGACACTCGCGACTGTGACAAACATTGTTGGTCAGATGTACGTTGAGTGCCTCGAGCCCGCCCGCAGACTCTACCCGTATCCCATTGTGCTCATCCACGGAGACTTCCACACTGGCCAGGTAAGCATAGTACCGTATGTTACCCCTAATTACCTTATAATAACTCTCTGCAGGTCTAGACAACCAAGCCAGATGGACAGCCGGGGTGGGCTTCATTCTTTCTGAACAAAGGCTTCCAAGTCTATATCGTTGACTTGCCTCCTTCTGGTCGCTCCAACTTTCTCACGCCTTCTCACTATCTTCACCGCGATGTAGGCACAGCTTCGAGTTTGATCTCGGCGAGAGCCATTGAGACAAGCCTTACGGCGCCGAGTATACCCAGAGAGCCCAATATACCTCTCCAATATGAGAAGGCAGCATTTCACAACAAATGGCCAGGCGTAAGTGGAAGCTATTCGAGCCGCGGCATACCTAGTTACTAATGTCGCATAGACTGGCCAGCGTGGCGACCAAATCTTTGCCAAATATTGCGCTTCCCTCGCAACACTCCATCTCAACAAAGTCGAGCGTCAGTCCCTAGCTCAGAATGCCCTCCAGGCACTCCTGGGCCATATTGGAAAGTCAATTCTCATTGGAGAAGGGTCTGGTGGAAACATGACCTGGCTAGCTACCGATGTCGAACCTGACCTCGTTGCCGGCACCATCGCTCTTGAGCCAGCAGGGCCACCTTTTGGAACAGCGTGCCCGAAAGAGGGAAACCCCTACCGTGAATACAGCCCCTATATCCGTCGAGAAGAAGGAGTACGTATTTATGGTTTGGCTGATATTCCTCTCACCTATGACCCTCCGTGCCATCCCCACGAAGGCTTCGATCGTCCTGCGCGAGACCCCCTCGACGTCGTTCGCGTCCTGGCGCCTGATCGGAAAAGCGAGTGCTACGTGCAAGGAAGCAAAAACATTCGCAAGCTCATCAATCTCGAGAAAATTCCCACTACTATCGTCACCGCACACGCCAGTTCGCATAGCATGTATGACTGGGCCACCGTGTATTTCTTGAACCAAGCTGGAGTCAAATGTAGCTGGACTAAACTTGAAAAAAAGAATATTTTGGGTAACGGACATTTGATGTTCCTCGAGAAGAATAGCGACGAGATCGCTCAAGTGATCTTGGATTGGATCCTTGAGAATACCATCCCGAAGACATACCTGGACATTTTGTTACAGCCTTCCACGCCACCAGAGTCAAATGAGGTTGCTGAGTTGATCAAGCAAGCGCGGCCACGAAAGCGATACAGTATCGCATCTAGCAGTTCGCAGCTTTCAGGTCAAGAGACGCACTGTCTGAGCTCTCAGTCGACGGATGAAGAAGTCAGTCAGGCACTGTCCCTACGAACACCACCGGTTCCGAGCTCCCAAGCGTCAGCTAGTCGCGAGAATGAGATAGGCGAAGCATCAGGTCAACGATTGATTGGCATTTCCAACCAGAGAGCCCCTCCGTCATCTGGACAGTCGACAGTCAGCATGAACGGACAATCTCAATCTCCCTACCCGCGGTCATCATCAGCACAGAACTACAAACGACCTCGACTTGGTTATTCGACTGCCATGTCCACCTCATCGGCTTCTTCGCCCTCCCTGCCGTCGCCGAACCCGAGTGCTACCATCCGGAGTGTCGCCCAACAACAACACCAGCCAGCTCAACATCACCAACCTGCTCAGCAAAACTACATGCAGCAGAGCCAGGTATCGAATGGAGACCACCCTGCCGCTCCTGATATTTCACTACTAAGACCTGCTCATCCAGGAGGAGGTCCCCCGCAATTGAGACAGCAAGCCAGCACAGATAGTCGATCTCCCATCGCAAGTCCTGCGCTGAGCCACATCGGCCAGATACAAGCACCCAAGCCCTTCCGCCCTCGACAAAGCAACATGTATGATCATCTGCCTCTAGGTCAACAGATCGGGCCGTCTCAGAGAGAGAACCAGCGCAATTTCAACTTCAACAACGGCCATACGACGGCTCGGTTCGAATGCCAAACTGGAACAGCTGAAGAGTCTATTGCGGCAATGACCATGTATAACCCAGGGCGCCCCAGTTCTGGCTTGGCTCATCCAGCCACCATCACAGGCCAGCAACGCCGCTCGCCGATGGTACAACCGCAGCAGCATAGTCCTCGTCCTGCACAGATGGGCCAATCTCCCGCATTGAGTAACAAAGGAGGTCTACATCAAATTTCTGCTCCGATGTCAACTGCAGAATCGACGGCTACGGCAGGTGTTTGGTCCCCTTTTACCCCTGTGCCTTCACTCTTGGGCGGCCGTGTACAGACTCCTTTCAATGGATGTGCGCAGTCGACACCTCCGAGTCCTTCTCCGGCTCCCAAGCTGTCATTCAAGCCTGATCCGCATGATCATAGCACCGGGTCACCCATGCCATCACGATCGCAACAAACACCAACACCCAAGTAATTTCTTTGGAGTCTTGAGCAACCCCGGGGGGTTCATGGGTATTTTTGGAGTCGATAGAGGTTGGTTGGAACATGGATTCAACTTGAGAAGGCTCATCTGTGCGTGCAATCGGCGGTTATATGGGCGCTGCAGGCAGGGGCTAAGATGTAACTTGACATAGTTATATAGTTACAACTATAGTAAAGATCAAGGGAAGCAGGTAGATTCAAATGCCCTGCAAGCTCTTGATATAAATTACGTATGCTCTTATTTGCTTTTGTGTGCTGTATTGTAATTTGTATAGAAGTGCTCTGTGATTCAAGTTATTTGATTGGTCATATTGATAGCAATGCCCCATATATCATAGCTCTTTCGCTAGGCTTCTTACTTACAGAGGGAGGTGCCATCTTGAACTCGACATTATGCTCTCTCCAACTAAAACATGAGCTTATCTTGTCATTATACAAACATCCCCATGGACACAGCGGCACTGGATCTTGGCAAGGGCTTAGGTCTTGTCTCACTATTTGAGGATGATGCATCGCGATGGGATGCGGTATCCTCACGAAACACCACCGCCGATGGGTCCTTCGTCTACGCAGTGCGCACCACAAAGATATTCTGTCGACCCATCTGCAAAGCCCGTCTTCCACGCCGCGCCAATGTTTCCTTCTTCGCAAACGGGTACGACGCCAAACAAGCTGGGTTTCGCGCGTGTAAACGCTGCAAACCAGAGATGGCAGGGTTCATGCCTGAAGAGGCGGCTGTGCGAAAGATCCGTGCCTTTGTGCGACAACAAACAGAGAAACAAGGCGATGAAGATGCTAGATTGAGTTTGAGTCTAAGTCAAATGGCGAGGCAGACCGGGCTGTCCAAGTGGCATTTCCATCGTGTGTTTAAGAAATGTGTTGGAGCCACGCCGACCGAGTATTTGAGAACACAGCGACGAGGTCAAGAAGCCAAGAATTTGTTACAGCTACCGCTTGGAGAAACTAGTTGGCTTGATCAGCTAGATGAGGAGGCCCTGGGCCAAGACTTTGGGTTTGCGACTTGGGATGATTCTGTTGTCGGTTCAGGGTACGCTACCACAGAAACACCATCAACGACTCCCAACGACAGCCCATGGTCAATCGATGAATTCTTGATCTGGCCCGAAGACAATGGAGTGGTATATTTGAAATAAAATACTCGATGATATTTGTTTATCAAACTTCTGTTTGCGGTCAGACACTGGTTTTCTGTTCACTCAATCCGACAACTGTCTGGGAAGAAGTCGTTCGAACTTCTAGCACAAACACAATAAACAATTCCCAAAACTCGATACTAGCCGCTTAGCTTTGCGGGGGTTATGTTCGTTGTTTCCAGTCATCCAAACTGAAAGCTCGTGGTTTCGGCAGTGTTTCACATCTCCCACACATTTGGTTCTACTATTTACATGGATGTTGAAAGCGAGTCTTGCCCGAAACTCCAAAACCACCGGAATTCTACTTTGCCGGTCGCAGTCTCTGCACGACGATCTTACCGGACGAGCCATATTACCAATTTCTCAACAATTTGCGCGAGCGAGATGAGATATTCACAGCCCATGCACATGCGATGCGTTCAGGTCACTGTTGACAGAAACAACTTTGAGCCTAAGAAGCATAATCCCAAGCACGGTTCACTAATTCTACGAAATAAAGAGCTGATATAACCTATCCTCAAATTCTACAGTATTCTCAACTCTTATCTCAGCAGTCTCCTCAACTCTGTTAGTCGACGGGGTTGGCCAGTTTGCGACAAAGGGGACGGGAGTTCCGCATCCGAGACCTGTGATGCTTCGGACTCCCGGAGGAGACTTTTTGCGACATATGCCTGTCACTTGGCTAGCTTGGCCACGGCCAAGAAGTCTAGACACTATATGCTATTGTGTTAAGCATCTATAGCCTATTTTTTGACAACTATACTCAACGATCAAGCATCGGGCCCCAGTTCACGGGGTCTTGTCGACCCGGGGAAACATCAAACGGGGGATGGCGCTTATTATCATTATGGCTTCTTCAAACAACACCGTAGCAGGTCGCGTATGATCGCTGTAATGAGATCCAAGCAGTTTGCCATGTCGCATTGATTCAAGCTTATTCGAATTTAGCTACGAGATGTCAGCGGCAGAAACATCTATATAAGTGAGACGATCTATCATCTAGAATTATACTTTCTTCTCATCATCACTCACACAAGCCTCTTCTCAGTATCTCCTTCGCCTTCTTTCTTGCTTCTTTCGCCCTCTGCTGTTCTGTGAACGCATTCGCTTCTTCCACTCCTTCTTAAGTTTAATACTTTCTTTTTTGCACCGCTGGTTGGTTGCTTCATTCCTCTCTCATACTTCAGCAACCAATTCTACGTCTCACTATCACTACTACAACATTCATCATGGCGATCGCAAAGTCTATCATTATTGCCGCTCTTCTGGCTTACGCCGAGGCTCGATTCGGCCAGGAGCAGGAGCCTGTCGCTGCTGTCCAGGCACTTGGTGATGCCGGCTTTGGTGACCCTGGTGTTGCTGCTACCATTGCTGGTAGCATCCCCAGCTCTCTGCTTGCCGCTGCCAGTCCTTGTGACAAGGTAAGAGACACAGGCCTCACTTTGAATTAAATTTACTAACATACTCTAGCTTACCATTGCCGATCAAATGATTGATGAGCTTGGAGATGACCAGGCGGTCGTTGATGCAGCCATTGGCCTTGTCGCTGCCGAGACCAACTTCAACCCTTCAGCCGTTGACAAGCCCTTTGTTTGCGCCGACCCCGCCCTGCCAAAAACAGCTGCTCTGCGAGGTATCGTCCCTCTCGTTGACCCTGCTGTCGACGGTGCAGCCACAGCCAACGCAAACTCTGCCACATCTGTCACAACTCCCTTTGACGCTGAGGGTTTGTCACAGGCTGAGGTCATGATTGCCCAGGGCTTCAGCACTTTCCAAGCCGTTGGTGCTGATGGCGAGAATGTCCAGCTTGATGGCCAAGACGGTGCCGGAGCTGGAGCTGGAGCTGATGCTGGTACCGGAGCTGATGCTGGTGCCGGAGCTGATGCTGGTGCCGGAGCTGATGCTGGTGCCGGAGCTGATGCTGGTGCCGATGCCGGTGCTGGTAACGACGGAGCTGCCAATAATGGCACCGCTGGCGCCGACCAAGGCGGAAACGGTAACCAGAACGACAACCAGAATGATAACCAGGACGATGAGGATTGTGAGGAGGATGACGCCGCCAATAACAATGGAAACCAGAACAACAACAACGGTAACGCTGGTAACAACAATGGCAATGCCGGTAATAACGCTGGTAACAACGCTGGCAACGACAATAACAACAATGGCAATGCTGGCAATAATGCTGGCAACAACGCCGGTAACAATGCTGGTAACGATGCTGGGAATGATGCTGGTAATAATAACAACAACAACAATAACAACAACAACAATGGCAATGCTGGCAACGATGCTGGCAATGATGCTGGCAACAACGCCGGCGACGATGCCGCTGGTGATGCTGCTGGTGACGCTGCTGGTGACGCTGCTGGTGACGCTGGCGACAATGCCGGTAACGGTGGTGCTCTCGACTTCGGTGTCTGCCAGCCCACCATGGCCCGTGTTGGTGGCCTCAACGGACGCCCGGCTGATGAGTTCACCTTCATTCCTCAAGATCCCCTCGTCGCCGAGGGCCAGCAGGAGGCTCTCAACCCCAACATCATCACCAACCGCATCTGCGATCAGCTCACCAACGTCTGCAACGCAAGTGCCGATGCTGTTGCCGCTTGTGAGGATGCCCAGGCTCAGATCGAGGCCTTAGGAACTCGCGACCAGAGCACTGCCGACACATGGAATGCTCTGCTCGGCTTTGCCGGTGCTGACTCTACCCAGCAGCAGGTTTAAGAAGACGAGGTGAAGGGATCCAATACATGCTGGTCATGAAGTTAATAATCTGGGACGAGGCTTGGTGTGATGGTCACTACAGTACAAGTTTAGCGTTGCTATAATACAAAACTAAATTGCCAAATACCTTTGTCTGATTTCTCACGTGAACTAGAAAATGATACAGTGTAGCACCAGTAGTTTTAGGGAGCACAGTCAACAAACATGAGTTACTGGTAGCAAATATTATGCCAATTCGTTGTTTCTACTTAATACGCAGCGCTCTCTTCCTCTCCGCCATCATGTACAAGATGATTGATCTTGTGCCATATTCCCCTTTTTAAAGCTACAAGTCAAAGCACACTGAATGACATTGCAATACATGCCACAAAGCTTTGGGACACCACCAATTCGAACTAATACTACGTTATGGTATACAGAAGTCTATCCAGCTTCCCAGGTAGTCCAGTCTGTTACCCTGGTGCTCCTGGCTCTTGTAGATAGCCTCGAATTCTTCAAAGCTCAGCTTACCCCAGCCACCTCTCTTGATCGCCTGCGCTTCAGCAATGTCAAGTTGCTTCCATTGGCGCAGCGTATCAGATGTGGGGGCGCCGTCTGCGTCCTCGTCCTCGTCTTCCTCGTCCTTCGACCCGCCCTCAGTAATGTCGTATAAGGGCTGTGTAATAGGATAGGATACACGGGATGAATGAGTAACCTCGTCGTCCGGTGTGTCGGGCCGGAACTGAGGAAGGGTAGAATCTTCAATTTGGGAGGTGGGCAGCGCTGCCTCGGTCTGCGACTGAGTAGCTGATTCCGCTGGTCCATCTTCGTGTATGATCTCAACTGTGGTTTCTATTTCCACCCCATTGCTGCCTTCAGGCAAGGCGATGGAATATCCAGTCTCAGATAGCAGCTCCTCAAGGGTCTTATCCGTAGAAGATCTGACCTTTGAATCACGCTCCTCTGCAGGTTTGGAATTGTCGTCATCGCCGATTTCGATGGTATCCAACACGTCCTTGTATTTTTCGCGTTGCTGTTTGGTTTCAGCGGCTTCTACCGCAAGTTCCTCTGCTGGTTTGAAGATGGTGTCGAGCAATTCGTTGAAGGCTTGCTGGGTGACCTGGTAAAGAATCTCCTTACCAGCATCACGCTCAGCAGAGGGTATTCTCCATCGTGGAGTATGTTCAGAGGCACTACTGGGAGACGTTGTCTTGTCATGATCCTCATCTTCAGTACCATCCCCGTTGACGAACCGGACCTTTGAGCCGTTGGGTACCGTAGAATCATCTTCTTCGTCATCACTCGAGGCTTCATCCATCTCACGGAGGTCCATTAGAATATCTTCACTGTGAGCCCAGTCATCTGGGGCAAAGCCGCCTTCTTCTTCGTCGAGATAAAATTGGCGCCTTCGCCATCGCTCATGTAGTTGCTTTCGTGCCATATCTCTCTTGCGCTTGTCCAGTCGAGGGCCTCGGCTTCGATCCTTCGCAATAGTCTCTGCCCTAACCTCGCTTTCCGTTCTCGAAGGGCCTGCAGTCTCGTTCTCTCCTTCGCGAGTTCCGTTGATACCGCCCGTAACTCTTTCGCCGTCATCGTCTTCATCATCTGAGGGCTCTTCGATCTCGGGGTTAAGGGTCTCCATTATAAGGCCTGGCAGCTCTTCCAGGGTTGACGGCGGCTCCAATAGTGTGACCCAATATGTGCGATCAGCCTCACTTCCGCTCAAGCGGCGCACCGTTCGCCAGTTGCTATCAGTATCATTCCTAGTGATGAATTGTCGTCGAGAGCGGAAACGATGGTCGGTTTCACAAGCGAACAAGTTTGTCAAGATATCGCCTCGGGCAGCGGTATCTCCACGATCCGGAGCAACGACGTTTTCTTGTCCTGCAGCAACATCCACACTACCGTCTTGATGATATGTTTTGCCCTCGTGCCGGAACTGCCCTTCACCAGGCGGGACTCTACCCTCTCGTCCAAAAAGGCTGCTGAGGGGCTGCCGACTGGTGACAAGTTGTTGAGCTTCGCTACTAGCGAGTAATTGATCTTGTAGGCCGTCCAGGATGTCCTTGTGCATTTGCTTATATAAAACATAGTACGCGCGGAACATGCGCAAAAAGTCTTTGCGGTCGACATATCCATCGCCATCTAGGTCGTAGCCAGAGAAGATCTTTCGAAGCTTGTCCTTTCGTTTTCTGTAGGATAATCCGTGAAGAAATTCAGTAAAGCCAATCAGGTCGTCATTGTTAGAGTCGTAAAAGGAGAACATTCGGTCATGAATAAGATTTGGTGCTGCATGCCGGGAGCCTCCTGTAGGAACAAGACATCGCTCAAAGGTCTTGCGATCCATGGCAACACAAAGCTCGTCAGGGTCATCTCTCCATTCGGAATTGGCCATGAATGTCCACTGCTCCCAGAATGCCTCCAACTCGGGCCGTTCAAAACCCGTGTCCTGCGAGAGTTTGGGGATTAGGCTACGGGGCAGTGTTCGTCTGCAAGTATCTGGGTCTCCGGTGTACCACACCGACTGCATCTGCCTAGGACCAAACGGTGGCGCCGGAATTCGAATTTTGTAGAAGATATGAGTTTTGATGTGTACACCCTGAGCTTCGCAGGTTTCGCAGAGATCAAAATCAGCACAGTTCGCGCAGCGATATCGAACACCTCGAATGGGAACCATGCCGCATGAATTACACTGGCAGCCCCTATGTACACATCCGTTTCTGCGCGCATTATCCTCAGAAACACGAAAGAGAAGTGTCACGATGTTATGCCCGGTTCGTTGATTCGAGGGGAAGCCGCTGGGGTCGTTCCACCACTCGTCCCCGCCATCAACTACTGTCTCCCCATCGCCCAGAGGTTGAACGGGATCAATATTGGCATTCTCATCGCCAGCTGCTTCTGATGAGGAATCTGATCCATCTTCGTTTCTCCGGCTCCGGCGTTGGCGTCGTACGGCATTACTCCTATGTAGACCACCACTAGGGAGGGACTCGAAGCTTTGCGATCGGACCTGGTATGCGTAGTATCCAACTGAGAGCGCCGCTATAGCAGACACCACGGCCACAGCCAATCGTGGCCGGGTTATGCTCTCGACGGACGACGTCGGCAACCACATTGTGGGCTATATCATATGCGTAGCATGATGCTGAAGCTGGGCATATCAGGGGAAGTTGCAGGTCGTAAGATCGGTCGATGGCAGTTGTGGGAATCGCAGAAGAGTTTAGTTAATTCTATATCGCGTTGGTTGATGCTGCTGAATTGCTGTAGAGTGGTTCGGAATGCTATAGTTGGATGAATAACAAAGTTGTTGTTGATGATGACAAACCTACATCCAACTCATTAAGCTCCATGCAATAAGAGCTGTGAAGTTTTGGTGGGGAGGCCGCTAAACCTACAGTGTGATAGTCGCTGTAGTACGTACCCCAAACATAAGTGGGGCTAGCCCGTCGGCGAGAAAAGTGATGATGCTTGTACGTATGCGGATGCACTTAATGGAGCCATCATGGGTACCTCTGTAAATCCTCAGCCCACTCTCTCACCAGTTTTACTGCTCTTCTAGTCAAGCTACCGAGTCTACACACCAGCAATCGTCTTGCCTGTTGACACAATGGCTGACGCTCCACCTTCTCTTCCGGGTCCTATGCCCTCATCTTTTGATGGCGACCAGTATGCTTCACCAGCCCCAGCTTGCTATACCATTTAGTCCCCGCTCATGCGATAGTCCAGAGAGTTTCACAATGAAAGGCCGATGCAGAAAGTTGTTCGCAAGATCAAGGAGGAGCCCCTGATCCCTCTCGGTAAACTCACTCGGCAGAATGTCTCGGTCACCAGACAGCTTCTAACAGCTCTGTACAGGAATTGGCCTCACGACTCTTGCATTTGTCAATGCCTACCGAGCCCTCCGCCGTGGTGATTCCAAGCAGGCGAACCGCATGTTCCGAGCCCGAGTTGCAGCCCAGGGATTCACCGTCTTCGCCATGCTTGCCGGCAGCATGTACTACCAGAAGGATCGCGAGAAGAGCAAGGAGCTCCGCCAGCTTCAGGAACAAAAGGATGCCGAGGAGAAGCGGCAAAAGTGGATTCGCGAGTTAGAGATCCGAGACGAGGAAGAGAAGGCTATGCGCGCAAAACTCGAGAAGAGGAGACAAGAGGTTCAGGCTATGCGAGCAGAGGAGGCCCAGGCCACCGCAGCGCCTACCGAATTGAAGCCCGAGGGCTCCGAGTCATCTGGCAGTGGAGGTATCCTGAACCGCATCGGCCTGTGGCCTCAGGGTAAGAAGGATGAGGAGAAGGTTGTTGAGCAAGCTGTGGAGGAGGACGCAAACACCAAGCAGAAGAAGAAGAACCCCAAGAGTTCACTCGGCGATCTTGGCGAGATCATCTCCAAAAAGAAGGACTAGGCACAAGCTTGTACATTAAAGCGATTGGTCATGATGGAGATTTGTACAAAAGATTCGTGCCCATCTATATAGAAGCACGGTGTGTATAATAGGAAACTGGCGTTGCCTTCGAGCACAGCATGACTCTTCTTTGAAACTGGGCAAATGTTAATGATTGTTGATGTCGGTTACTATCGCCAGTGATCTTCTGAACTGCCCTGTTACTTCACCTAAACCTCGCACAAAAGTATTGACGCTGTATGATACCCAAGTTTCTCAGCTTGCCTCTAACTATGTCATAGATCCTCCGCTTCTGTTCCCTCCGATCAACCCCGCCATCTCCAATAATGCTCGATCTGCTTCTATATCTCCGTTTCCCAGATTGATCTTGCGACGAGCTTCAGCTTCTCGTTCTTCCCAGGCCCATTTATCGGCTTGCGCCTGTGCTTCTTTATCGCCACCGCATCCCCATACTTCGAGACTTTCGATCTGGAATCGATCCTGGAAATCGTACTTTCTCACTACACTTGAGTGGAATGCGCCGCCACGAGAGGTGTAATCATGGTTGAATACTGCGAATTCAAATGAGTCGTCAAGTAACAACGACACGGGTCCAAGGCGGAGCATATCGGCCTTTCGATGAGCTTGAGACGGGTGCGGATGGGGACACCCAAAAGACATCATAGGATGGTGGGCCGGTGCCTTTGTAAACGTAACATAGTCCTTATTGATGGTTGACGCTGGGAAGACATCGTGGATTGGTTCCAGCTGGAAAAGGGTTGTCTCTGAACCGCCAAAGCATTCACGATGAGTGTGCTTCCAGGGCTCTTGAACATAGACGCCAAAGGTAAGTCTTTCTGACTTGCTCCCGTGAGGAAACCGTTTTGGTGGCAGTGATGCCGCGAAGTTTGTTTCTTGGCCACCATCAGGTTGATCTCCCAATCTTGTTCCACTTACTAGCAATAACGTAGGGGCTTGCCAGTTGAAGACCTTTGTTTGAAAACTTCCCATCGAGAAGCCTGCATCATTCCCCGAGTACAGTAGCCTCACCCGCCGGAAAAGATCGGTACCGGGAAGGAAAAGTGACATCTGAGACAACGTATTTTGATTCAGTATATCGCCCGTGTCGGTCAATAGAGGCTGTGCCACTTTTGACGGCGAAGTAGTTGCTGGGGTATCATTTTGGTGTTTAGAAAAGTCTAGGTTTTGGGAGAAAAGGAAACGCTCAAAGAGACCATTGAAACCGCGGAAAAGATTAGGGCAAATGACAGGTATGATGGTTTTGAAGTGGTTATACTTGATACCAGTAGAAGTTTCAGCGTTGACGAAGGAGGCAAGAATGCATTCGGCAGCTCCACGGAGGCCCTCCAGTTCTTCGCCTACCACTCGGCTCGAGTACATTGACAGGCTCTCTTGGGGATCCAAAGGAGCTGCCAACAGGAGAAGCATAATGAGTTTTCGAAAGTTGTCGGTCGGGATTGTCGCACCATGGAAAATTGGTGCATGTCCTTGGTCCACGGCTTCTTTGACATCAAGCAGTTCAAAGGCTGTTAAAACAAGATCATCGTCTTCGTCTTCTTCTTCATCGTCGCCTGCTTGGTCCACCGCAAAGCCAGCAGCATTGGACTTCGTCTCCCCGAGATCTTTGGATGTGGGAGATTCAATGTGTGAAGTGTCCGGAAGGGCTCCGGCTTCGGACATCTTACGATCAAAGACGGCCAGGCTCTTGAATAATAGCTTGGTCCTATCCGAAGAGCCCCGCGCCAACACGGTCTTGTAGCGTTCAGTCATGATGACGACCACCATAATCATGCGTTGTAGTTCCAGGACGACAGGCGCTTCCTGCAGAAAGGGGAATGCGCCGATGAAAGATAGCATTTGGAAAATGACTGGCGATGTGCCGAGTATGTCTGGTATCTCTAGGTATCTGGCGATAGTATCCTCTTTGAGATACCTGATAGAATCCTGTTGATCCGCAAGGCTCTTGAAGACATCTCGAAGTGAGTATAATTCAAGAGAAGTGAAACATTTCTTTTTAAACTTCTCAGCCTGTGCGAAAGTGTTAATTAATCTTTTGTTGAGAATTGGTCTTGGTCGTAGGAAACGTATGATGGCAGTTCACTCACAAGTTGATGGGTTAGCTCTTCATGCGACCGCCGTTGCGGATGCTCATCCGAAAGACTCTGACCCATTTTGCGAGGGCCACTGGGTTCTCATCACTCCAAAGATGAAGAATTGGTCTCTGACCAGAAGAATTCAATAATTGCCCGGAATATGTTGAAGTGAAGCTGGAAGTCTGCCTAGACGACTTCATGACATTCCGGTGGTTGAACTTGCTGACGAGAAAGGTACGTACCCATACGTAATGATTTACTCTTTCCCCTGTCGCTCTCTTAGGTACTTTAGTACATTGCCTGATTGTGCCAAGCGTCAATGACGGCGCGTCTGGGTCTGATAAGCACGTGAACCGGCGAGATCATCGGCCCGAGATTCTTCAGCGTCGAAGTCAATCACATTATCTATCACTTCAATATGCTGCAGAAGAATTTGGTTCAGCTATCAAGATGAAAATTGGCTAGCTAGATGATGAAACATTCTAATCCAGTAGACAGGTTCTGAATTCATCTTAAACATCCATCAATCCAAACCCTCCTTAATCCTTCTTCTCCTTGACTTCCTTTTCAGACACATTCAATGTGTCCTCCAACTCACCCATGAACTCCTTGCACCACTTCCCCTTCTTCTGCTTGTTCTCTCCCAATGAGATATTGACTCTCTCTTGGTCGTAGGCAGCTTGCTTGGCCTCGTGCTTGTCAACAAGCTTCTTAAGCAGTTTTCGAGTCTTTGGGCTTGTCTTTGTCTCCTCGAGCGCCTTGTTGAACTTATGGACCACCGAATTGGTCAGCTTCTTGGCCAGGACAAACTCTTCAGTTAGGGATATGTCAAAATTCAGCTCCTTGGCAATATGCTCGCGAACTTCCTTCTTGACTTTAAGCAGTTCTTTGACCTCCTCATCAAGTCCAGAATCAACCTCAGAGCCCTCGCGGTGGGAATCTATGCGGACGCGTTTGTTGACATGTTTTTCGGGCTTGAACCTAGTTGGTCGATCCGGCCACCACACGTTGTTAAGCCGCTCGAGGAAAGGATACTTCTTGGGGTTCTTGAGGCAACGAGCATACTCCTTGTTAAGCTTCTCAACCAGCTCAGGTGTAAACTTGAGGGTATGGACGAATTCCTTCCTGAGTTCTTTCTTAAAGCCAAGATTGAATGCGATCCGTCCCCGGTTGTAACTATCATGCCTTTCCCAATCTGCCAGTTGATCGGGTCTGATCCTGGGCGATGGTGGCTCATATCGCTTCCATTTGACGCCTATCTTGTCGAGCACTTGTTTGTACTTCTCGCGGTCCTTCCAAACGCGGGCATATTCCTTGTTCAACCTTTCAATCAGCTCGGGTCTAAACTCTTTCGCAGTCACAAACTCCAACGCAATGTCCTTTTTCATGTCAAGCATTCCCGCGAGCCAGCCACGTTGGAGTCGCGGGGCTGCTATAATCATGTTAAGTTGCTCTTGAGTGAGCCTGGGCGGCTTCTCACTCTCAGGTTGCCTCTTTCGTAGTCCGGTGCCGCCGCTAGTGTATTTTGACGGTCTATTGAGAAAGTCCTTGACGTTCCTGTACTTTCTGTCATAGAACATGACGGCATACAGCTCGTTGAGCTTGGTGATCATCTCTGCGTCCAATTCCTTCTTCTCAATGAAGTCCTTCTTCGTTTCCTCATCCAAAGGCAGCTTCTTAGCCACGTACTTCTTTTTCCACTGGGGGATTCCTTCAATGTTCAGAAGTTGATGTGTCCTGAGCCTCGGGAGAGGTGCATTGGGGTCGATTACGGGCTCCTTTCTCTTGATTTCGCAAGGCGCCCTGCGTTCGTACTTGCTGCAGCCATCTTGACTGATAGTTTCTGTAATCACGCTATGAGAGTAACTTGTGTCACTGTGACTGTGACTGTAGTTATCTTGATGGTGCGATTCTGTGGTAGCCCCGTGACCATATGTGTCACCGCGCTTGGCGAAACCCTTTCCATGGCGATGTATGAACTTGTGCGCATGTTCATCCTCCTCAGACTCATCATGTTGGCTCTTGGATGGGGAGGGTGTAGCTGTGGCTGGGACGATGGTGTACTGGGCGATGCGGGACACTCCGTTCACAGGGGGTAAGTCGTACCAATGGCCTTGGGGGCAACCGTCAACGCTGGAACAAGGAGTCTCGGTCACCACATTAGGTCCAGCCCACTCATAGCCCGCGATGACATTCTCATAACCGGGCTTAAGGGACTTGGTTGCGTGAGGTTTGTCTTCTTCGTCCTCATCCTCATCCTCTTCGTCATCTTCGTCGTCGGACTCATCGTCGGATTCATCATCAGATTCATCCTCCCGGTCTTTGTGGAAGTGTTCACGCTCGCCTTCCTTCTCAGCATGATTCCCGTGACTGGGGCTGAAATACCGGTGCGTGGTCACCTTGGTCGTCTTCTCGAACCCCTGGTAGTGCTTCTTGTAGGTTTCAGGAAGCTCAGAGAGCTGTTCCTTGTGCTTGTAGGCCTCAGGGGGTATGGCGTGGGACAGCCCCATCGACGCTTGGAGGGCAACGAGGACAGTAGAGGTCAATCTCATGATCAAAGACTGACTCAGTAAGAAAAAAGATATCTCAACTGAGACCTAGGAGAAAGGAAGCAAGTGGGACAAGAAATACTGCGCTATTTATACCTGTGAATGGGGTTATGTCCTCTACGATTGCCTATACTCCTCTTTATGGTGATATCATGACTTCGGAGTTCCCTAAAGTTGGTTTAAACCCTTCTCTTGTAAATGAAAGGCCACTGGTCGCCCCCTCATAAGGAGAGGGGTTTGTTTGGAAGCCATCTAGATTTTGCTTCAATAGGACGTCATGTATCGGGGTCAACGTGGGCATCCTGCGCATTCGCCGCCAGTAACTGCCATGGCGTTATCCATGGGAAGAGTAAACACGATTTAGGCTCGCAGGGCTTACCATACGAATGTCTTCCCAAGTTCCGGTCTGAGGAAAATATGACGTGCTCTAACATGTTGAGCGCCATACTGATCATTGAATTTTGAAGAAAAAAAAGGGGTCAAGGTTCTGAATAGGGGAAGCAACAAACTTTTCCTGTACTCAATACAAGTGGCTCGTACGTAGCACTTCAGAGCGGGGGTTCGATCGAAGCAAACTTTCACTGATCCATCATATGAGTATGAATAGGATATAATGTGTCAATGAATAGGGTTACTCCCCAAGCCTACGGTAGCAGTGTGCATCAGGCCATGGCAATAACATAACAAGGAAAAGGTTCAGACTGGGCTTGCACAGTCTGCTTTTGATTGAGCATCAATAGTCTATGTACCTAGCCAACAATAAATGACCCATGCAGCGCTTGTTTATCCCAAATGATGTCCTACACCACGCTCCTGACTTCGCCAAACTTAGAAATCCCCATATATATACGCCTAATAAAGAAAGGGCTTACACAACATACAACAGAGACCCGAGACGCCGTTAAGCTTCAGTATCCTTAGCCGCCACTTGGTTGATCAAGCGCTGGTACTTGGCTTCCGCCTCCTGCTCAGCGTCTCGGGCCGGCTTTGACATTCGTCCTTCTACCGGTGGCGTCTCTGAATTACCCTTAGTTGTCCAGAGCACGCCAACCTTCGGGGCAGGTTTTGACTCGGTCACGTCAGGCTTTGGAGTGGAAACATTCGTTCTCGGCTCCTCCGAACCTGTGCCATCTTTGTCCACATCTGGTGAAGTTTTCGGAAGTCTCATGGCCAATAAGACATACTCAGCACGTGTCATATTATCCATGACATCGTCCATGTAACGCCGAACCTCTTCTTGAGGAGCAACAACCCGTGCTAGATTCTCCAAGTGGCGACCTGTCTGGGTAAAGAGACGTATCGTCACAGGCTGGTAATAGTCCAATTTCGGGTCTCCTCCGTACTCCGAAGTGCTACCCTTGCGAACAATGAGAAATGAAGCCACTACTTGCTGGCCAGAAGTGGCAGGCAAATACTCCAGGATACTGAACTTTGGGAAGAGATATCTGTCTCCAGTTCCAAAATCAAAAACAACTGCTGTGACATCTGGTTTTGGCGCTGGTGGAGGACCCTTCGACCGTAGCGCCTGAGGGTTTGGGGGAAGTCCAGATTGGGAAGCTTTAAGCTGACCGTTCGGCATGCCATTCGGAGTCTGTTGTCGAATCTGTGCAGGCGCAGGTGAAGCTCGTGGTGCAGTTTTCATATCACGATGCAGCCTGTCCAGAATTTCCTTAAGATCTGTAGCATCAGTGAAGCCGGGTCGACTTTCTGCAATCCTTCGAATCATATCCCGTGTCCTTGGATCCTCTAGCGCAGTTTTCACCAGCAAAACAACCAGCGGGTCACTACCTTGCGGTGGTCGCAGCTCGGATGATTTCTGGTTGGGGTTTGATGCCAAGACAATGTCAAGTATAGTTCTGACTTCCGTAGCAAAATATTGAACTGTCCGGCCGTCTACCAGCAGTCGATCTGCTGATGGTCCTTGTTGGCCCCCTCTACTCCTGTATTCGGCATTTAACTGATCTATAATTTTCTGAAAGTGGGCCAGCTCGCCCTCTTTTGCTTGTCCTACAGCCACCCTTTTCATTAGATCGCGTAGCTCCGCATCTCCTGAAGCCTTCTGCGCAAGTAGGGCAATAACCGGGTCATTGGCCGACGGCTTCGCTGCAGGAGCGGGACCTGGGGCCGGACCTGAGACAGGCTTCGCGAGGCCAGTTGTAGTCGGTTGAGGGTTTGAAGGTGGCCGTGGTACTGGGGACATGGCAGGAGCTGCCATTGGCCCGGTCGGAGCTACTGTTACCATGGCCGGTGATGGTGCAGCGATATTTGAAGGTGTGTTTGCGACTGGGGGCGTTGGTGGTGGTGCCACAGGTCCTCCTACAGCTTGAGGTCTCGGTTGGAAGCTTGGACTTGAGGATGGTGTCACGCTGTTCGGTAGCGGAGCGGTTCCAGGCTTCGCGGCTGTTGCTAGACCAGCAGTCTGGTCTTGTGGAGCTCGAGGAAGAGGTTGCGGTTGCTGCGCCGGACTCTGGGCTGAGCCCTGGGATGGACTAGGCGGTATAGATTGTGTCGCTGACTTATTCAGAATAGGCGTGCCAGCTGTCGATGCTGGAGGGACGAGCGGTGGAGGCATCGTGCCATTTGGAGGCCCGTACTGAATAATCGGACGGTGTTGCGGTTGCTGCTGTGGTATCGGCTGAACCTTCGGTTTTGGGTCTTTAACCACGTACATCGTAGCTTCGATTATATGAGGCTCGACTGTAATCGTTACAGTTCCAACCTTTGACATGGTCTCTTTGGGCGGGTTTTTGGGATCTTCGTTGAGAACGCCTTTGCGCTTATGCGGTTTTGTCCAGTATTTAGCAAACAGACCTTCACTAATCCATTTCTGACGGGATCGTGAGAGCGACTCTGCCAGTACGCCGCTTGAGACGCGTCAGTTTAATGTCAGTCATATAGCTATGGTTTAACATGACGTACCTTTCGCCAACAGTCTGATATTCCTTCGATGACAGATCTTCTGGCTGCGCGACTTCAACCGTAGGAAGCGGTTTACCCGCCTGTATCGACTTGGGTAACGGCGGCGGGGGAGGCTCTTCAGGTTCGGGAGCTGGAGCGGGAGCTGGAGCTGGCGGGGGTGCAGGAGTCGCAGAGTCCTCTCGAGGTGTAACATTACGCTTCTTCGCAGCATTTTCGCCTCGAGCAGCTGCCCGGGCGGGCAGCTTGCGCTTTCGCTCCATGGAATAGCTCGTCCGGTAGGTAAACTACAGAGAGCGAAAGGGAATTACACAGCGAAACGGAAGCTAATCATTATATAAAGGCCATACAAGGCGCGTTTCGGGAGCAATATGAATGCGTGTAGCTCAATGGTCGGGGTATTGTAAGCAAAAGATAGTCGGACAAAGATACAAAGCTAAGGCCGGGTCACGAGGGAATGTCGAGGGAGTATGGAGGTGGAAGATGCAAGATGAGAATGGAGGCTCCCATTGGAAAAGAGAAAGGAAGTAACGTTAGTACTCTGTAGCACGGCCAGCAATCCGAGGCTCAGTGGTCCATGTTCCAACACACCTTCATGATGGAGCATGTAGACTAATGCAGGGATTTGATTGGACGTAAAAGGCGGAGGAGCCAAGCGCTGCCATTTCTGGGTTGGGCCAAACGCACTTTTAGCGACTGCAGCAGCACCTAGAGTCAAATAAGAAGCTGGGGCTCAGGGGAGGTTACAGGCCCACTGGTGGTTTTTTTAGAAGCACCGCGCAGCCGATATGATGGAAGTGGAAAGATTACGAAATAGTGTAAACTTATTCATTTCTTGAGAAGCTTGTCGTTGGTTTGTACTTGACTATAGCTTTATAAGTGTTGTCCCAGCACTCCACCAAAGCACGTGTGTATCTCATCTAGTCATGTCCTCACATTCGAGGCTCAAATTAGCCTGAGGTGTTGTCGATTCGCGGCTCTTCCCAACAGAGTGGGTGGAGCTACCTACCTACAGCCGCATCAGACGCGCCTGAAGGTGTGTAGGTACTAAGGTACTCGGTACTTGTTACTTGGATGCACTCGTAATCTTCCCCGCGTGATAAGTTCCATTGATCATCGCCCGTTCTTAGCGCGCAAAGCAACGTCCTGGTTCGACGTCAAGCCTTGATGCATTCTGCCTTGTAATTAGCAGGAGGGATATTGCTCACGTTTGTGGATGTAGCGTTTCATTTTCTACATTTCTTATAGATTTCTTGCTTTCTGATTCGTTTTTCCTCTTCCATCACCAACCCAATCATGGCACATCTACATCCCGCGTTGCGGGCTGTAATCATAGCAGTAGGGGCGCCACTGGGCCTGTATTGCGTATTCCTGGGATTAGGCATGACGCCTTTCTTTCAGAGACAGTATGTTTGGGCAAGCTCGATCACAACTCAGTCTCTGTGCCTCTAACACTCATTACCAGTTTCCTTTATGCTCATAAAATCCATACATTGTTCTGGAGCAATGTCAACCAACCACAACGGTGGGGTTTCGCTCGCATGTCATCCTCTCATACATCACATTCAACATTGGAAGTCTAACAAAATCTTAATTCAGGAAACCAAGTAACTCCATTCTCACTTAAAACTCCTGACGGAGAATCTATATACGCTTGGCATATTCTTCCATTGCCGCTGTATCTTAAGAACGAGGCCACAATTGAAGCTCAGGAACCGGGGTTCTCACATGACTTCACCAAGACCGAGTCATTCCGTCTTCTAAAAGAAGATCCAGAATCCAGGCTTGTCCTTTACTGTAAGTCAATCATCATGTAGTATTCTTGTGTTATCACTGCTTACATCTATCTCAGTTCATGGTGTAAGTGGTATCCACCGTATCCTAATCAACCTCAACTGACGTCGCAGAACGCTGGTCATGTTGCGCAAGCTATCAGACCTCTTAGTTACCATTCACTGACTGATACTTCCTCTTACCATGTCGTCGCAATTGATTATCGAGGATTTGGCCACTCTACAGGCACACCTACTGAAACTGGTGTTATTCAAGATGCCGCAACACTTGTTGATTGGGCTACCGATGTCGCAGGCATCCCAGCCAGTCGCATCGTTCTTCTAGGACAGAGTCTAGGCACGGCCGTAGTCAGTGCTGTTGCAGAGAAGTATGCGCTTCAGGGTGTTGAATTTGCTGGTGTCACCATAGTTGCGGGATTCAGTGACCTGGCTAACCTCCTGCTGGGCTACCGTATTGGAGGCGTCGTCCCCGTCCTAGCACCCTTTCGTATGTGGCCTTCACTTGTACGCTTCATTCACCGCTTCGTCGTCGACAGGTGGCACTCCGATATGCGACTGGCCAATGTCGTAAGACATACCAAAACAAGACTCAGAATCAACTTGATTCATGCCAAGAACGACAAAGATATTCCGTGGACCGAAGACAACAAGCTGTTTCGAGCAGCAGCTCAAGAAACAGTAGGAATCATGGATGACGATGAGTTTGCAGCTTGGAAGGAGGAGCGTACTGTTCGCAAGGGAAAGGATGCGTTTGTCACCACTTGGAAAGCCGAACCCAACATGATTATTCGTCAAGAGCTTTTCCCATATGGTGGTAAGTAGGAAGTCATTTGTTTGACAGTGATCCACTGCTAATAAAAGAATAGGCCACAATGATATTATGGGATATGCGCCTGTTGCGCTCGCAATTATGAGAGCGTTTGACCTTGATGGAACCACTTACAGCGACGATTAGACTAGCAAATATCAGATCTTAAAAGTCAACACATTGGTTTGTAGCATATTGTACGTTGTAGGCGGGTATTTTATCCACCAGATTTCATAGTTACCTACTAATTTAGCCGCACAATTGTCAAATAACCGAATCTTTTGTTTTGCTTCCTTATTTTATCTCGTAAACTCGAGAGTACTCTATTATTTCATCTCTTGCACTAAAAGGCATCAGGCAGCCGGTCGTTTGACATGTACCTAGTTCACAATCCCATTGTCTTATTGCCAAGATAAGGTACTTAGCTACCTGGTTGGTTGAGCCTGTTGGTTTGCTTGGCCAGCTTTTGAGCGTGACATATTTGAATAGTTCACTTACACAAACGAGTCGAGGAGGCTCAAACATAGATAGTCCTAAACCTCAATTCTTCAAAACGTCGTTTGTATTTACAAACGGGGGCTGTTTATATAATGTCCTTGTGTTCAAGCTGGATATATCTTAGACCCCGCCTAGAACTTACACATGTTACCGTACATCACCCACTAGTTAACGATTACCCCACCAAAGAGCTCCTTCAAGTAATCCCCCACCTCACGTAATTGTTAGCACTGACACCACGTACATCAACAGTGCTATCTCGAACCATGTCCGAGGAGTCTAAGCCAGTCGAGCCCGTCGTCGACGAGACGAATGCCGAGCTCAAGGGCAAGGCAATCGCTCAGGACGACCCCGAAGCCGAGGACCACGCCGAGTCCGGATCCGAGGAGGAACACGAGGACCAACATGCCGCCGAGGGTTCCAGCGACAAGAAGAAGAAAAAGAAGAAGAAGTCCAAGCGCGCAAAGGTCAAGGAAGCCTTGACCGGTTCCAAGTCCGCCCCGACAGATGCCGATTTCCACAAGGCCCTCGATGGCCTCACTCCCCAGCAGGTCAAGGAGTTCCTCGCCCTCAACCCGGCCCTCGCCCAGGAGGTGTCCAAGGCCTCTAACAGCGAGAACCCCTCCGCCAACCAGGCTGCTGACATGCTCAAGAAGATGTCCCTCCAAGACATCATGACTGGTCTTGCTGCAGGTGGTAAAAACGCCAAGGACATGGGTTCTTACAAGTTCTGGCAGACACAGCCTGTGCCCAAGTTTGGTGAAGAACCTACCTTGAAGGAGGGTCCTCTTCGCATTCAGAAGGTCGAGGAGGTTGATAAGGAGCCTGCGGGCCTCATTCCCGGCTTTGAATGGGTCACTATGGACTTGACCAACGAGGAGGAGATCAAGGAGGTGTACGAGCTGCTCAACAAGCACTACGTTGAAGACGATGAGGCTATGTTCCGCTTCAACTACTCGCCTTCCATCTTGCGATGGTAAGTTATGGACCTTTCTGGGCCTTTCTTGAACCGCTATCGTGTGATAAGCTCCCACTAACACGCGCAGGGCCATGATGCCTCCTGGTTGGAAGAAAGAGTACCACGTCGGTGTGCGCGCTACTCAGTCTCGTCTCCTTGTCGCTTTTATCTCTGCCATCCCGGTTCACCTACGTGTCCGCGAAAACGTAGTCACCTGCTCCGAGGTTAACTTCCTTGCCATTCACAAAAAGCTCAGAGGCAAGCGTCTCACTCCCGTACTCATCAAGGAAATCACACGACGCAGCAACCTTGACGGAATCTGGCAAGGTCTCTACACTGCCGGTGTCGTCCTTCCCAAGCCCGTCAGCACTTGTAGATACTTCCACCGTGCTATCAACTGGCAGAAGCTCTACGAGTGTGGTTTCAGCCCTCTCCCTCCTAACAGCAAGCCTCAGTACCAGGTTCGCAAGTATGCGCTGCCGGACGACACCACCATTAAGGGTCTGCGACCGTTGGAAGAGAAGGATCTTGATGCTGTTATGGATCTTTACAAGCGCTACAATTCGCGCTTCGACATGACACCTGAATTCACTCGTGGGGAAGCTCAACATTGGTTCTTGCCCAAGGTTGGAACCAACGAGCCCCAGGCTGTGTGGACATACGTTGTCGAGGTGAGTCGCTTTGAAATAATGCAAACGGGAAAAGACTGACAAGATCCCTAGGACGAAAACAACAAAATCACTGACTTCTTCTCATTCTTCTGCATCGAGTCCACTGCCATCGGAAACTCTAAGCATAACGTTATCAAGGTTGCTTACATGTTCTACTATGGTACGGAGGTCGCTCTGCAGGACAACTTCGACAAGGCTGCTCTCAAGAAGCGTCTCAATGACCTGGTTCATGATGCGCTTATCATCTCCAAGCGTTACAAGTTCGATGTGTTTAACGCTCTGACACTGATGGACAATGCGCTCTTCCTGGAGCAACAGAAGTTTGGTGCTGGTGATGGTCAGCTTCACTACTACTTGTTCAACTACCGCGTCAACCCTATTGCCGGTGGTGTTGACCGCAAAAACCAGCTTGACGAGAACAACCTCAGCGGTATCGGACTGGTGATGCCTTAAGATGGAAGCTGAAAAGCTATCCGTAGAGAGGCGCAGAATTTGGGTCAAGGATTAGGTCTTTGCAAGATCCAGAGGAGTTCCTCTCGGGAGAAAAAAGAACGAGAGGAGATGTGACACTCGAGAAACAATCTGAGATGAAGATGAAGATGAGAACAACTTGAACAAGTACTAGACTTGGCGGATGCGGCCTATAATGAAATGGCAGTTTGTGACTTTGTGTAATTGCCCGATGGTCCAGTCACTAACTAAGGCGAAAGAAACGACACAAAGCTGACGAGGCCTTTAACCAGGGTAAATATAGTGGCCTTAAAGTATCTTGCCTCATGATGACTGTCCTCTTGAGACTGGAATGTAAAGTAGGTGTCTTGAGCATACCATGTTCGAATTCCATCACGCTCGGCATGTGGTCTAGCGTACTCGGGCCTGGAGGTGCCGAGGGATAATGTGACCCCAGTCCATTTGTGTTAAGATCAATATCCTCGCTGTCTTGCATAGCCTAACGAGTACCTCTCTTGAATTCTCTCCACATTTCGCGGCCCTGTCCTTACTGGGGTGTCTATGATATGAGGAGCACTCTTTGCTTTTTTCTGATATATCATTAACAGCCTCTACGCTCACTCCCGTGCCTCTCGTTCATCCTCGAATTTTGCTCGCGTAGTTCGTGAGTGACGTCTCTGCCTTTTTGTGACCTCAGAGATCGCCAAAGGGACCTTCTTAGAATAACACAGATAATTGCTGTTGGTGAGCTTGGAAGGCAAGCACCTTACACAGACGTGTTTGCGCAGGAAGTACCAGTGTTATAAGAACAAACATCACCAAAGCATTCACCATGGTGTCAGACATGTGAGTCCTCGATCAACGATCCCTCAGGCACGATCATTTCCCTCCTCCTCTTTCAATATCACTATTCTCGCTTTCCTTTACCCTAGTGTGTTGTCATGTGTGGTTTCAAGTCTCACTTACACGCCATACGTCGTCGCAGACAATACAGATATCCTTCTGCCGAGGAGACGCTCAACCATCCAGCCTACCCAAGCACTATCTGGGCGCTAGAGCCTCACTCCCATGGCAGAGTCTCAGTAGCCCATGGCCGTGGCGGTCCAGTCGACATTTCTTGGGAAGTTCATGGCCAAGGACCCGTCAGACTCGTGGTACGTTGCTCCCGTTAAATCTCCTTAATCTCTCCGGTTGTGTATTACCTCTTGCTTTACCACCTGCATCATGTTTGCTCCAGATTCTATCAAGTAATCGTGACATCAAGAGACTGACTGACCATGCCGTAGCTTATTATGGGTTTAGCAGGACTCAAGGTTGCATGGCAGCGTCAGACCAAGTACTTTGGCCATGATCGAGGCGACAAGTACTCTGTCCTGATCATCGACAATCGCGGTATGGGCGGCAGTGATAAGCCCATAGGTGTCTACTCTACCAGTGGCATGGCGCTCGATGTCATCGAAGTCATCGACCATGTTGGCTGGAAGGCTGAGCGTGAAATCAACCTCGTTGGTATCTCAATGGGCGGCATGATTGCCCAGGAAGTCGCTATTCGCATCCCAACACGTCTGCAGTCGCTCTCGCTCGTCTGCACATCAGGCCGTGTTCAAAACACAAAGGGTTACTGGGATACTATCACAGAGCGATTCAGCATGTTCGTTCCTAAATCCATGGAGCGCAGCATTGTTGACACAGCTCTTCGGCTCTTCACTCCCGAGTGGCTCGCTGCACCAGACGACGAGGTCTTGCCTGAACCTGGCGTTACCACGCGATGCAGTCCACCATCGCCGGAAGCTGGTGCAACGTATCGTCTCTTTGACTCCAACTTCCAGCGGTTCCAAGCCCAGGAGCTATACAAGAAGAGGAACCCAGAACTGTTTTCACAAACCATGCTTATGTGTCAGCTTGCGGCGGCGGGTTTACACAACAAAACAGACCAGCAACTGCTCGAGATAGCAGAGGCTGTTGGCTCTGAGCGAATCATGGTCATGCACGGGAGACGTGATGAAATGATAACTTTCCCCAACGGCGAACGACTGGCCAAGTTGCTGAAGCCAGCAGCTGTGCGTTTTATGGATGATATGGGGCATGCACCCATTATGGAGCGGACACAGTGGTTTAACAGTGTCTTGGAGGAGCACCTGAATATGTTGACCAAGCCGAAGGAGGAATGAAGGTAGACTGCGTTTTGGTAGTGTTAGCGATCGATGGATATTTGATAATGCAATATTTAGCAACAGCACGTTTAAAGAGAGCATGATGAAATTGAGGGCCTACGAGGTAACAAGGTTTCGCTAATGAAATGGCTGAGGCACATGTCTCAGTTCCAGAATAGCAAATACATCATGACACAAATCCACATGTTCAAGTCTAATCATCATTGGGCATGGTCAAATTGACTCGATTTTTGGTGTCTATCAACTATACATCCGTTTTGTATGCCTCAAGGTTGACACCCGTTCATCTTCTTAAGCCGAGTCATTTGCCTCGTAACCTTTGATCCTTAGATTTCTGGTGTTGAAATAAGCCCTAGCTTGTGGCATCTACCATGCACACGCTCATAGCTCTTATTGAGGCAATGGCTGCTTTCGAGTAAGAGATCTATCTTCTACTCGCTCCCTGCTTTCACCGACTCAGGAGCACGTACTCAGAAATCGGCCAGTCTTCTATGCAAAGCAGGTACTTTTACTCCTCGTAAAATCAAATTACCTCTCGCCAGCAATGCGACGGGTCTGCACCTCGCTCAGAGCCTTGCTTCCGCTCAGAAGGGCAACGACACCAAGCGCAATGACAACGGGCAGAGACTTGAGAAGGTTCCACTTAGTGTAGTAGAGGAAGAACGTTCCCTCAATGGCAACGATGGAGCCAAAGAAGGCGGCGTGGGAGATGGGTGCAGCACCCAAAGCCTTGGGCAGGTGGTTGACATTGGCACCAAGTATAATCCACTACATATATGTTAGTTATAGATAACATTATAGAAACAATCATACGTACGCCAAGGAAGAGAGCAGGAACACTAGCGGCAATGGCCAGCACAAAGACAAGAGAGATGACCATAGGAGGGCTCGTGTCGCCGACCTTGAAGATGTGGTCGATCCCAGCTCGGGGGCCGTATCGTACGGGAGCGGTGTACTCGGGTCGGGGAGTGTTGGGATCGAGACGGATCTCAACTTCGAAGAGGGGAGAGATGAGGGGGTCGGAAGAGCCAAAAGAACCAAGCACGAGGTAGGCCTTGATGGGGGTGTCGGAGAGGAGTTGGATGGGGAGATCCTTTTGCGCCTAGAGGTCTCGGTTAGCCATGCCATTGATTCGGAAACAATACAACATACAAAATTGACTGTGCCCTTTCCAGATGTCTTCATCTTGAGAGGGAAAGGCGCCTCAAGGCCGGTCTCCTCATTCAGGATGAGGAAGGCTTGGTGAGGTCGCTTCGCCTGATCACCCTCTGTCGTAGTCAATGAGACCGTGACGGTATCCGTAGGACCCAAGACAATGGCATCCTTGACTGGCTTCTGGCTGGCGAATCTGTATCGATTGATCAGGTCAGCGCACACTCTTCCCCAAATTGTTCAACCATGATAACACCATCATGGCATCACTAGCTTACCTGGCAGTAACCTCCTTCGCATTCCTAGGGCCGACAGCGACAGTGCCATCAGTAAAGCTCCAGGACGAGGCGGCGCTAGCCACGCTCGTTAGGTAGAGAAGGGACGATGCGATTGAGAAGCGCATGTTTTCGACGTTGTCGCAGGTCGATTTAGGATTTGGTAGTTGAGGCCAAGTGCAAGTAAATGGGACAGGACAGCTTAAGACTACTCGAAACGGTACCTGGCTGTAGCTTGCGTTACGTGGTGGGAGTGGAGGTGTTTGATTGGTCGAAGCTATGAGTAGTGGGGACGAGGAGAAAGCTCATATCTTTAGGGTAAGTCCCCGTGTAAGCGATAACCTTGACTCGCATTATGTTGAAGAGGCTCAATGAAAGGCAATGCTGGTCACGGACTGATTTCAGTTCGGTTCTTTATTTTTTTCTAAATATACTAGACTTGAAGTTTGATGTTGCTTTATTGATACTTGACAAAATATGGCCTCTGTATATTATGTTTAGGTACCTAACGAACGATCTTGCAAAATATCCTCTTCAATGCTTAGGCCGTATCAAACACAGATCCAAAGATAAGGGCTAAAAGGTGATCGAAGACGACCCAAACCAAGAAGGCCATCGTCTAATAACGTACTAGGTACTTCAATGCTTCACAAACTCGTGTTTTCCACGGGTCCATTGATCCATAGGGACAAATAACCGTTTGAAATTCATTGTTGCACTTAAATCGTAAGCAAACTGCTGTAACAAAACAACCGGTATATATATCGTCTACTGGCTCTTAATCTCAGTTTGGAATCCTTTGATAGCATCTCTTTCCTCCGCGGTAAACTCAATGCCGAAATACTCCTTCAACGCCTCCACCCTCTCGGCCTCTGACTTCAACTCCTGAAGCACCCTCGTCTTGCCGCCAGGGTTCTCTTTAACCACATCATTGACCAGCATGCGCTTCCCGTAAATCTCTTCACCCGTTGGTGACCTTTTGCTTTCTCTCAGAAGGAACTTGACAACCAGTACCGTTGATGTCTGGAAGCTGTGTGGGCTTGTGCCTGTGAAGCAATTGGATATCTCGAAATCGGCGGGTAACCACTCGACCGAGTGGCTGAAAGCGTAGAAGCTGATCCAAGACTGGTCGGGAGAGTTGCGGCATTGGTAGATCCAGAGACGACGGCCGGATGTGAATTCTGTTTGGCCGGGGAGAAAGTCTTTGATAAGACGTGCGTCTTGCGTGCCCATGTTGCGCCACTCAGTGCCCTCAACTAGAGGCATAGGCTGTGTTGGACCGTCACCGCCAAATGATGCATCGATAACCCAGCGGGAGTTATCGGGTAATGTCACGATATTGACAATATGCACCCTATGTATGGTTAGCGACTAATAACTTGACAATAGTAAGCGTGCAACTGAGCTCACCAGCCGAGATATCCACCATGAGGAACACCATCTTTTCGTAGACGGACTCGTACACCAACAGGGTATACTTGGAAACCCAGAGCTCGGAGCATGTAGCAGAAAAAGAGGTTACTTTCCATACAATAGCCTCCTCTGCCGCGTCCATCCACTACGATCTTCTGGTAAAGAGCCTGAGGCTCAAGTGTAATATTGCGATGCGGCGAGTAATGCAGCGTCATGTTATCATAGGGAACAGTCGCGATCATGTGCTGATGCAGCACAGTGAGAAAGGCATGGTCAAGAATAGGCTCATTGCCCACGTAGAACTCCTGCGGGATCTGAATGTGCTTAAGAAAGTTGGCGACTTGGGCCTCAGAGTATATGGCCGACATGGTGAAAATTGACGATGAAGGTTGGTATTAGTTGCGCAGCTTTTCTCGAGATTGAAGAACAACGCTTGTAAGAGCCAAGCAGGGCATCGGCTGACACTTAAATAGAACACTAGCTAAACTTGTAAATGAGTCAAGAGGCCGAACTACAAACATGATAGACAGCACCTTACTCGTATGTCGCGCAAGACCATAACCAAAAACAAAAATGCCCGGTTGACCCGTCCCTGGAATTTGGCCGTAACGTATCACGAACCACGGTAACTCTCAAGACTCCATAAAAATTGTCCGGGGCTCGATTATAGAGAGAACAAATCACTCAGACATGGACGATACAGACGCCCTCCTTTTACAAGACGGTGTCAGAGTTTACGTTAGGAACAACCAATCAGGAAAATTTTGGCGTTTACTTCGGGAGTTTTTGTTAGTCTGGCTGGCGCATTCAATTGTAAAAATGCCCCCGCCTTGGACGTTATACATGGAACCATGAGCGTTTTCAGGGTTCTTTTGACCTCCAAGATAGAGAGGCTGTATCGAGGAAAATCCAAGAGTGAATTCATAGCTAATTTCGTTGACCAAAGATATCATTGCTCCAGCATTGGAAAAATGGCCATTACATGACTCTTTCCATGACATAGCACCTGAACGCCAAGACCCAAGAAACCCACCGATATTTGCATTCATGTCGTCTAAAGCTCCGTCCTCTTGCTCGGTGTGGTTGTTGCAGCTACACCATTCCTCTTCGCTTTGGTTCCTGCCAGCTTGGGCATGAAGTCTTGGATACCCATCCAGTCCACCGTGAAAGCAGTCATGATCCTCGCCCAGTCTCGCACAGTTGGCAAATCAAGATGCTCGCCGTCATCTGTCATCTCGTGCCACACATCGGGGAAAGGCGATGGGATAAGGTGCAGAATGTCAACGCCGCGCTCCATGAACGGTCGGTGATCATCATCGATATAGCTACGAGTGAAGCGGTTGGCTGTCTTGTTGCCATCTGGCAGAAATGGGAACTTGGGCTTGGACTCGAGAATGTTAAGCTGTCGCATGCGCTGCTCCAAACCTGCTATGGCCCGGTACGCCCAATGCGTGGTGAGGAAGTAAGAAGGAATAGTAGGATCCTTAGAGCCTAGAAGATCGAGAAGAACAAACAGACTGATTGAGTCAAGAGGAGTCCTGTAAGTTGCAGTAGAACCGTGGAATTTGAATTCCCATTCCTCGGCAAGGGACCTTCATATATGTTAGCAAGTACTCCCACTTCCCATAAATATAAACGAAAATTTACCTTGCTCCGTAAAGTGAGTCGTCCTCCGTCCAATGCTTGAATGCTTCTTCGCCGTCCAAGAAGATGATCTGAATTCCTTGGGTTTCCTCGAGTCCATCGTCCGTGGCACCGTCTTTCTCCATTTTCTCCCACTTTGCCTTGAGCGCATCCTCAATACTCCTTGCGATATGCATCAACATGGCGCACGGCGCGGCGCTGTCGATTGCGCCAATGAACCCCTCAGGCTCATACTTGCTGTCGTAGTGCGCAACCAGCGTGAGTCGACTCACATCCCCATTCTTGGCCCAGGGAGGATCTCTTCTGAAGATAAGGTTGGAAAAAGGAACCTCCTTGTTGCCAGTGACAGGTGTCTTTGAAGTCGAATTCTGCCACTCGAGGACCCATTCGGGGAGGTTTTGCGTGAAGAAATCGACAAAGTGTTTCTGAGTGCGCACTTGTCCTTCGGTGCCGGGTACGCGAGGGATCAGGATCGGAGCAAGCAGTTTGCCATTCTTGATATCGAAGTCGTCGCCTGGCGAAGGAATGTTCTCGAGGGCATTGTCGGAAAGCGTCATGGACTCGGCAACCGTCAATACGAGGAGGCAAACGAAGACGAGTAGCTTTGCGAGGAATGGCAACGACGATGGCATTCGAGGCATTGTCGAGGATGCAGCCATGGATGGACGGAGACCAATAAATACTGCTTTGAACCAGCGAGAAGCGGGTTATGGTTCGGTTTATCGTGGGGCGCAAACTAGCTCATTCCGCCTGGAGGATCAGAATTGGCGTTACAGTATGATAGGTCGATAAATGCAAGCAAGAAGTAAGCGTGAGGTTGCCAACAAAGAAGAATGGGCAAACAAATCGATTCGTGTTAGGAGTTGAAGCTCTCCAGTGCAGTTCAGACAGCCCATGCAAGGGATGAGCAAAAGGCCAGGTACAAACCTAAAGGCAACGGAAGTGGGGAGATAATACGGAGTAGTACTTCTCCCAAGCCCCAAACTGCAGGCGAAATTTTTGTATCTTATGAGTTGATTAAATAATATCAAAGCAAAGCCACTAATACAGCAGGTCAAAGCTTCGTATTGTCATCTACCAGCTGTTTTCAAGAACAATACATATGCTGGCAAGCCATCATAGGTTACTCAAAATGCATTAACATGTTGGTTCTAAAGTGGAATCTGGTCTTTTCTACCCATGGCGGGGAAGTTTAGCATAGACCCTTTAAAACAAGGGGTCGGCACGCTACGGTATTGGACTATCAGAGTCCCATTGGTAGCAGATTAACTAGCCTATGGACTTGACGAGTTTCACCAAGTTAAATATTTGTTGCGGAGGACCATGTGTGGGAATTGGACAAAGTTATTGCGCATGTCATAGTTCATAGTTCTGAAACATGGAATTTCAAGACAGCGTTTTTCTTTTGTTAATATGAAGACATTGTTCGCTGTCTTAAGTGTGTGTAAGTCAACTGTATACTGCGAAGCTGATTCGATATCATGGTATCAAGACAAAGATTTCAATGAAAAATAATTCTGATTCCCCTCGACAGTTCAGTAAAAATCCATTTAGAAACTACTGTAATGACTCCAACAAATTCTGAATCTGTAAGTTTGCGAGTTTGGGTTATTTACCCTCCTATATTGATTGATAACTGTTTTGAAGCTAGAACTGCTCTTCCGACTTGGTTTTGTATTGTATCACATACCACACCCAAAAACGCCATGCCTGGAGCAAGAGCATATATACATGTAAGTACTACGTACTCACATCGATTAGGTACCGGTCAAGATCTTAGATTTTAGCACCAACAATACTTACTTGTCTAAACGACCTCAATCCTCTGAATCCAAGCATGCAAGGCGCGAGCTAGCACAGGGTACGTCATCCCGACACTCCATGTTCCATATTGAGAATGTGTGAAGCTAGGTGCCGTATCATGGTTTCAACGATATTGGGGGGATGCGTAGCAACAGCAAACAGGCACGTTACAAGAGAATAAGTGTAATGTTGAATATATTTATGTTGGCTCTAGCTTGCGTCCCTTGCGCAAGAGCCGATCCTTATCCAAAGGCGGGCTTCCCCATCATCAACACATGCTCCTCGTTTAAATCTATTAGAATGAATATACTCCAACGGTTCTTGACGCGATACAAGGCCCCATGTATCCTCATGTCGAAGAATGCGAGAAACCGGTAAATAAACACCAAACGCCCTCCACCATGCTTTGCCTCTTCGGCCTGTATTGCTACACCAATAATTTTCTTTTTTACCATAATTTCTCTCCCAAATTGCTGCGCCTCTCTAGCTGGATGCTGATTAGTGTATATGTCATTCGATCTATCAGGGCTTCGCTGGTTGTTCCAAAACAAGATTTCATAACCGAAACGGCTAATTCCGGCTTAATGCAACTTGTTGGCAGCCTGTGCCGCCTTGTTGGCAATCTGCTTCTCCTTGGGAATGGTGAGCGCGTTGATACCGAGGTAATTGCAAATGCTGGTAACGACGAGCCAAGCCCAGCGGAAGTAGACAACCATGGAAAAGATGAGGTATGCCCAAAGGTAGAACAGCTCGAATTGGGCGCTGACCTGAGGAAGGCCAAATCGAGGCAGGTTTCCGAGAAAAGCACCACCAACAAGAGGATACAACATGACAGTCCACCAGGGGAAAGGCTGGCGTGTCAAGTGAGCGAGAATAATCTTGGTTGTTAAGCGGCCAAAGACGAATGACATGATGAAGCAGAAAAGCATAAGGTGGTTCTCCTTCATGATAGTGCTGTAGGGAGAAAAGACCCAGGCGGAGATTGAAATAGTGAAAACGGCCATGGGAATCCACTCGAGGAAGACAGAGAGGATGGGCTCTCCTCTAGACTTGCGGGCCTTGGCAACGTTGAGAACACAGAAGGGGATCTGTGTGAAGATGAGGGAACCAGCGATCAGGCCGATCCAGACGTCTCGGAAGGTCGTCTCGCCCAGAAGCTCAGCAAGTCCGGGAAGGCTGTCCTGAATACCATGAGCCAAAGGAATGGTCCAGATACCGGGGCCCCAAATGCCAGACATGATCATAATTGCACAGGCGATGAGGATGCCCTCCGTAGGACCGTTGATCACACCGAGGTAGAGAGTATGTGTGTGGTAGGTTTCCCAGGTCGAGAAGAACATGGGCAGGCATGGGCACAGCGCGGTGAAGATACCAGCGCTAGAGCAACCCAAACCCATGGCGGCTGTTTCGAGAAGACTGGCCAGCGTGCAGTTGAGCGAGTCGATACCGTGGTCGAAGAGTTCACCGAGTCCGCTTGAGGTTCCGGTTCGTCGAGCTTGCTTTCCGTCGAGGTTATCCATTGTTTGGTACGCGAAGAGACCGAACGCAAAGCTGAAGTAAAGCCATGAGGGAGCCTACACCAGTTATCGCGATTAGTATGTCGTCCCCGGGGGAAGTCTGATACTTAAACATACCGGTCCGATCAAATCGGGCATCCAGATTGCGCAGAAAGCAACATTTATCAAGATGCAGCAAAAACCCAGCAGAGTGACCATGTTGGGAGCAATCCATAGTGGGAGGAGGTTGACAGAAGCATTCCACTACATGACGACAGAGGCACGTGTTAGCTATCGCGAGCTTCAAAAAGTTGGCAACCTGCGGCGCATCGCACTTCAGCCAGCCAATTTCTGGTCTGATAATATTGGTAAAGACGATAAAATGCGCGTAAGACGGATGAAGACGTAGGAGGAACGTACGAAAGGACCAAGGACGTATTTCGAAACTGGAGATAGGTCGACGCTTGAGTACTTGTATGACTTGAAGTGCACAAGTGCGTCATCGGAGATGCACTCAGCAACGTTCTTCTCTGTAAGAAGAAATATTAGCTATTGATCATCCTCTCTAATTACGTAGAGCTGAAGTGATCAAGGTGCCTCTTTTTCTTCTCAACTTACTCGTATTGGGAGCCATATTCGTACCATCCGGGTCGGTTGCCGTTGGGTTGTAGAGCGGAAGTGTTTCGCTTGACGACATGCTGGAAGAGAGGGGCCGGAGGAGGAGGGGCAAAATGGGGGTCTCCTTTAAAAGGGTACGAAAGGGAAAGCAGAGGGCGAAAAAAAAAAGCTGTCGGCAAAAACGCCCAAGACAATTACGGCAACGCGGACGCGCAAAAGTGTCTTGTGCAGCAAGACAGGGTATTGAAGATCCGCAACTGGGAGCTGCCGTTATTGATCCTCGGCTTCTCTGAAGTTTGATCCTAACAGAAACGGGCGGTGCGGCACGTGGGCGACAAATTCAGTGGGATAAAAGACAATCGCAGAACAAGCGTGACAGGCCTTCTTATCGACAATGGCAGACGAGTTTCAAGCCAAGGTATAGTGTAGTTGATCGGGAGGGCTGAGACAGAGTAGAACAGGCCAAGAACATCGGTGAACCGTCGGTCAATAATTAATATGTTGAAAGGATAATTATCGCCAAGAAAGGCTTATGTTTGTTTGAAAAAGAAGGAATTGAAGAAGGTTTAAAGGGGCAGGTTCTGGCTGCTCAAGACTTTTTTACTTGAAATTGGAATCGAGCGTTCAACTCGCACTGGTGTCGTCGTACCGGTCCAGCCCCTGGATCGTTAACCCAAGCCCCCTGCTAAAACCAGCGATCCGATCCACTAGAGTCTCCGCTTACAGGGGAAATACGCGTCTAAAATTGGGCAATTAGCAGCTCCTTCACTGAAAGGCTCCAATCATCAGTTTGACAGCTAACAAAACAGGTCGTTTTCGATGACCCCTTTTCTCGTACTCGAGTCCTTGACTCGATATAGACTGCCATCTAGCTATGCTAACAGGACGCATATACATGTAGCATCAGCCCTGCTCCTTTACAATCTTCCTTCCTTTAAACTGCCCAAGTTGATAACTCGTCATAGCTTTGTTTCGACTTTGTTTTGATCCATCAGAGCCGCAAAGTTCTCAAGGTGCGATGCATGAATAGATATAGTAGAGTGACTTTCACATGCCCCTCGGGGCTCGTGAGCGCGTGACCATCGTCCGGAATACCGGCAATGAGAATACGAGTCTCGAGGAAGAGGAGTATGAGTCGTGGTAAGACACTGTACATAACGGCGGCATGATTGATCCGATCATCCTGTTAGACACACCAAGACTTCCGACAACCCGGAATGTGGAGTGAAGATCAAGTGATCCCTGGCCGTCATCATTCATCTAGAATCTTTGAATCTGAAAAGCACCTTGTCCGGTGTGAGATCAGGTCAGGATATCGCATTGTTCACAAATAGCGGGACTCAATTGGTGGTGGTTTAACTGCTTCGTCGCAGCCAATGACATGTATTCTGTCTTGTTTCTACCACCTAAATAGATCTTTCTCTGTCTTCGACATAACCCTTATTAATACTGTAGTAGGGCCTTTCCCCCAAGTCGATATCATAAAACCAAGAATGTTCACCAGAAACGACAAACCAACACCTAGACTTCCGAGGCTTTAAAGGAATGTACGGGAAATAAAAACAAGAGAATCGAACCAATGCAATAAACACATGGGTGAGCCGGTCTCACCCTTCCACGTTGTGAAGCAAACCATCAAGCACCTCAATGTACTTATAGCATCGCGAAGCCGGCAAACACAGCGCCGAGAACGATAGTGAGGCCCCATGTTTGGCCGGCCTCGATAGCGGTAGCAGCATTGGACTTTGTTGAAGAGGAGCTATCATCGTCATCGTCATCCTCGCTTCCTGGGTTGTTCGTGTAGACCACGTTAAGATCATCAGTAGCGCTAGCTGTTGCCTTGACGGCAGCAGTGCCCGTAGCTGTGGAAGTCACATTTGCCTTCGTAGGGTTGTTGGCACCACATGGGTTCTTCTGGCGGCAGTCGGAGGCACAAGAGGCACTGCCGGCACAATCATCAACACACTGGTTGCCCCATTCTTGACAGACGTAGAATGGTAGAGTCAGGGAGTATTGAGACACATTAGGTTGCTTGCCATCTCCGCAGATGCAGCCGTAAGTAAGAGTTTTCTGAAAAGATACAGGTCAGTCTACGTCAACCTCGATGGCTACATAATGGGACTTACAGGATCACATTCGTTGACTTTTGTGTCTCCCTTGCTTGACTGCTCGCAAATCATGGGGCAAGTCTCTACCTCGTTATCACACCAAAAGCCTGGGATGATGTTAGTCTCTGGAAACCACGATCATTGTTGCGTATATTACTTACGTCGAGTAGCCAAAGGCACACTGTTGGGGTCGATCACATAGTCGGCGTTGACAACAGTAACGGCCGAGGCAGCAACGGCCAAGACGATTGTTCGGAAAGAGGGCATTGTGATTATGTATTCGTGTCTTGCGTGTAAACTAGTGGTGTTGTATATGTTGGGTAGAAATGTATATGGATCTGTACTTGAAGTCCAAAAGTTCGTAAACGGTGAATATTGACAGAAGATGTGGATGTTCTTTGGAAAGGAGTCAGCGGTTTTGTTCTGTTTGGAAGTTGAGACCTCTTATTGGGAAAGATGGGGAAATTGCAAGTATTCGTAGGGAAGGAGTGGCATGTAAGAGGCTATCCCCAAGACAACAGAGGCAAGAGGCGTGGTCTCGGCTTATTTGACTTACAGATCAAGGGCAAGAGATAATTATTTGGACAAGGACGAAAAAGTAAAGCAAGAGCGTATGAATAAATAAAATAACGATGAGGTATTAACGACTGTCAAGAATCAAGACTAGGTCTGATAAAGCGAGCGTATCAAGTGCAGTTGGGAGAGAGAAGAAGAGGATGAAGGAAAAGGTCGAGGAGGTCCAAGACATTTCAATAACTGACAACACCTCTAGAAACCCGCTCTCTTCTCTCCACTGGACCCCAGCTACTAAGCCTCGAGGTGCATCTCGCTTCCGCCGGGTTACAGCGTTGAAGAGACAGGATCAGTAGCAAAAGTGGCAAGCTCATGGCGAGACCCGAGGCTGGGCAATATCACGACCGTCAAAGGCGGACAAAGTAGCACCAGTAGCACCAATTTTCCCCAATAGTGAGCAGGGGCCTGAGGAGCGATATCAGCTAGATTTCTCCTATCCTAGTAGCCATGGGCCTTATTTGCTCCATATCGTCCACCACTCGGCGCATTTGTACCCAGGCGTTCCCGGGATCCTCCAGAGGCTAGGCCTGATAGACTCGACTAGTGCAGTTGGCCGCTGGAGCTTGGGCTTCTTAGGGCGGTCTGGAGAGGTTTTGCCTGAGTGTAATCTCCAATCTTCAAGGTCCTTGACTTTAAGAAGCTTTATTAAAAGGAGTCCAAACCGCATACTATCGATATTGTGTCAATAACCTGGTCTCTGATCTTCAGATGATCCCAATGGAGATCTTGCCAGGCCGCTTCTGCGTTTTCCCATAGATTATTACCCCGTACTCCTCCTGTCAGATGTCTTATTCCCTCCATCGTGACCGTAACAAGTGGAGGTTTTGGTTCGCCTCTCTTGAACCACTTGTGTCGAGCTTGGCTTTGTGGCGCGAACGGTCGACTGTTACAAGCTCCACAAAGTCATGTAGCAATATGAGCCCACTGCTGCACATTTGTTATGGTGGGTTTCTCCTTGTGCATCGCAGAATGCATCTTGGCTCACGCGAACAACGCGTTCCAGTTGGTGGTTGAGGTCGCCCATAACATGTACGAGCCCACCACGATCACGTCGGAGGATTCTTTACGGAGGTCTGGCCACTCGGATGCGAGGATGGTGCCCAACTGTTCCCATAAAGGGTAACTCTGTTTGGTGCTAAGGCATCTAAACCTCCAACACTTTTCGTATTTCTTGCATATGGGCGGGGTATGTCACTGAACCCTCACGACCCTTCAACAACCCCGCGCAAATGCGCGCCGACGAGAGCATGATGCTGTCGATATCGTACCAATCGTCGATGCCAATGGTATGTTATTGATGCCTCTGAACGGCGCTGACGCGGCCATAAAGACACTTGGCTCGCATCTTGGATGCGCGCTTGAAAACAGAGTCAGCATAGTTGCACACTTTTGTGAGGTATCACACATGAAAGTCAAAGAATCATTGTTCAGAATCCCAACATCGCAGGTGGATCGACTACGCTAGGAATCTAAGAATACCCAAAGGCGGAGAACCTGTCTCTCAAAGATAGGACTAGCTAACCGAAGACGAGATTTGCTCGTACAAGATAAGAATTACTCCGTATTGTTCCTTATGCTTATTGCACCTGCAATGGCTTATCTTTTTTGATGGTTTGAACAGTGGTATGAATAACTGTATCAGAGTATCGTCATGATAAGCCACGCTTTGAAGAAAATTGTTGAGATACAGCGAGTTGATTATGAAATGGTAACTAGATGTCACGATCATCCATCTTTCTCCCGTGGAATGTTTGAGATTACTTTTGTGGAAGCTTAACCTCCCTATTTCCTCTCTAGCATACACCAAAGAGTCTCAAGGTCTCTACCAAAACACACCAGCCTCCTCGATTATCTCCCACTCCTTCGGGGTGGTTTGATTTATAGTTTGGCATGGAGCATATTACAAGGTCTCATGATATTACAAGAGTTCAGCGGCTTGCAGCAAACCTACCGAAGCCTCATGTAGTTTCATCTCGATCCTTGGTAAGCCACAGTTAATGAGATCTGGAGCCGCTCAGCTTGGTTCTGCTGTATTTCGAAAGCTTAGGCGTCCGGCATCCGACTCTCGGGACACGGAGCGGACGTGGCTTTCCATCTCCGTGAGTCAGGACGAAATGCCAGCCGTGGAGACGGCGGTATGGTGTTGTGTCTCGTGAGTCACGTATTTGCTCTCTTCGTTGGATGTGGATGAAGTAGACGACTCGTGGATTATCGACATTAGAACGACTGGCTTTATATGGTAAGAAACTCACCAAACATCTTATATAGATCAAACAACAGCTACACTAGACTGTGTTATATACAATCTGACAAAAGAGTCCAGATAATGGATTCATGGATAACCGCCCTCAGCAACAGACTACCTATGCACGCAGGAAAACCTGGCAGTCGGAAGGTAATAAAGTTTACCGGTGCACTGGGCCATCCACCGGGGCACCGGCCCCTCCTTCAGCCGGAAAAGAACATGGAAGGAGCACCGGTAAACGGCTCCGTAAGGCTCTGCGAATTTCAATTTCTACGACATCACCTCTATCCTTCCAATCGAAACACGTTATCGCCACCTCTAGACATATGCAGACACGATCCTAAACCCTAGCTGGACCTCACCCTCTCCTTGCGCATTAATATCATCATTGTTGTCGCTATCATCTCTTAACGACTTGTACGAAAGTCATTGTTTCGATACCTACTGCTCCGCAATCAATCCTTGCATTTTGTCAACTAAAAGCAGGGCTGCGATTCATGGGCTTTTATTCCGACTCGCCAAACAACTTCGACCGTTCATCACCGTTGGCAGCACTCTACTGGATCAATTAAATTAGAGCTACAATCCTGCGACCACCGATATTTACACATTGAAGTGCATATTTGACTATATCACATCCATAATCTCACTCCGCCACTGTCGAACGTCGGAGCCGTACTGTTAAGGGCCATCGCATGGTTGAATGGCGACAGCAATAAATCAAGCGCCTGGTGACGGCAATGTCGGCGCCAACACATCATCTACAGCTAATTCTGAGACACGCGCCGCAACCGAAGTTTTTGAGACACCACGTACATCATTCGATTACGACCTAAACGACGACAGCAATTATGGACGGCACGACACTGCATCGTCAACTCTCTCCCCGAGTTCAATAACTTCACCGCCGTACTGGCTCAACACACGCAACGGTCACCAGCGAACTATTTCCAACATGTCGGCCGAATCTGTTCTTCCCGCTGGTGCCATTACCCTTCGTGATAACGAAACGAGCGACTTCGACGACCGCAACAGTGCTTGCTGGGCCAAGAGTGTTGAGATCGTCAGCCACACTGTCGTCAATGGCAGCGCGACGAATATCGGAGCTTTTGTAGTATGGAATATACGTGTCGAGGCTCTCAATGTGAGTGATTGGATGGTTCGCTGGCGGGGTGCTCGCCTCGGAGTTGACTGGAAACTGACCCCACGGATAGGGAAGTTATATGAACATTCGGAAACGATACTCAGAGTTTGACGAATTTCGATATCGGCTGGTGCAGACCTTCCCCGGATTCGAGGCAGCGGTTCCGGCACTTCCGCCTAAAAGTGTCATCTCCAAGTTTCGCCCTCGATTTCTTGAAAAGAGACGGGCTGGTCTGCAATACTTTCTCAAGTGTGTATATTGAAGCTGTCGTTTTTAAAATCATGCTGACCTCCCTAGTTGTATATTGTTAAATCCAGAGTTTTCTGGCTCGCCAGTACTCAAAGAGTTTCTCTTTGCATAGCGCTACTGTCGTTTTAGCATCTTCTCTTCTTTGGATATGTTTACCGGTCTTGGTGGTATAGGAGGCCCTCTTTGTACAAACGTTATGAGTTGCTATGCCGGGCCTCACGCGCATATGCAGCTGTCAGCAATCCATATTAATGATAATGAATTGGATGATCTACCCGTCGTGGCCCTACAGTTGTCATTTTCCTGTCCACAGCTTGGCCTTGGTTCAGTAGCCAAGGCGGGACCAAGATTTGGCAACGTCGCACGAAACCATTGACATGATAACAGAGTCATACCATTTGCTTGCCAAGGCAGTATCTGCACCGCCCGGCGGTAAGTCAGGTCTGGGCATTTAAACCTTCGTATCTGAAGAGTGGATATAGCCGCCAGGGCGCAGAAGGAGCATTCAACCTCTTCGCTCAATTGACGAAACTTAATCAGGCACTAACCCAGTACAGAACAGTCCAAGATGAATAACCTGTCTACCGGTGTCGAGCTATTTGAAGCCTAAATCATAACTATACGGACACTGCCATCACTCCAACCATAGTTTACGGCGTAACCAGTAAGTAGGTGCTCATTATTTTGTCAACGAGACGCTATTCTGACATATGCCAGCCACAAGTCTCTGTCGGCATTTACCAAGCAATGCCAATGGAGTCTGCAGGTTGCCAAGTGCCGCTCTTCCGTAGTAGGAGCCTGCTAGTTCTGGACTCTGACTGCATCAATACTGAAGACACACTCATTCATAAGAAGGACATGATCCGGCCTTTGAGCTATGGAGATTTAGAGACAAGACCAAGTCCAAATGAACTTGTCCCTCTGGTTCATCCATATGTTTAACGACCCTGCCAGGGCCACAATTGCCGTCATCACCAACTTTTGCTTGCTTTCACCCCCACATTGAACCAAGTACAGCCATTAACCCCACGAACATGACGCAACTCGATCTAGAACGCCATTCTGTGATGTTCCCGGTTTTAGTGCCAACGTCAAACGATATGGATAGGACCCCGCGACAATCACCGTTAGCAGCTGCAGCACCACTACCGGCCCGTACTGACTCCAAATTCTCACTTGTCAGCACTGCGTCATCTTCCACAGCGACTGGTTCGCCATTCACCACTAAGACCAAAGAATACATGGACTCTTTACAACCTCCTTCACCAAGACAATTCGAACGAATTGCGTTCGTTCAGCAACAGCGCGAAGAAGAAACGAAGCGTAGAGATCGCGAGCGCAGGCGTTGGTCTCGGGAAGTACAGCGTCAGCGCAATAGAGCTGTCAGCATGTCTACGGACGCCCAGGAGCAGGCGCAAGCTGCGCGCACTATTCAAAAGACGTTTAGAGGATATCGCACAAGGAGAGAATTGGAGGGATTTGGCTTGGATGCAGGCACACGATGGGTTACTGCGATACGAGAAGCCCAGTTCCGACATGCAACACTACCGCGACCGAAAACAGCATCCAACGACGGTACTTCTAACAACCAAGAAGCGGACGCTTCTCTAAAGCATAACTCACCCAACGCTCGAGAGAAGTGGAAGAAGGCGAGCGCAATCGCCCGACGAGCTGGTCATGATGATCTCTTGTCCGAGTCAGAATCCTCAGAATCCTCTTCAGACGAAGATGCATCGCCCGAAGACCGAGCTGCTGCAAGAGCGCGGCGCGAGAAAGCTACTGCTGCTCGCAGACATGAGGCGCGCATGATGGGTATAAGATACTTCCTTGAAATGGTCGACCAGAAACACCGTTACGGAAGCAACTTGTGCCGATACCACGAAGTATGGAAAAAGACAGATACACACGAGAACTACTTCTACTGGCTTGACTACGGCGAAGGTCGTAACGTTGAAGTAGACGGCTGTCCGCGTGATAGACTTGAGCGAGAACAAGTTCGGTATTTGTCTCGTGAGGAGCGCCAGTACTACCTTGTTGAAGTAGACAATGAAGGAAGACTATGCTGGGCGAAGAACGGCCAACGCATTGATACTACAATACAGTTCAGGGACAGCATGCTCGGCATAGTGCCTGTAGACGACCCCACGCCAGTGTTTAACGCGGCAGCTCGACTCGAGGACTCTCATCCTCTGGAATCTACTGATAGCTCCAGTTCCGATTCATCAACGGAGTCGCAACGAGAGGCAGACAGGGCAGCCAAATACGCAACACCTGGGCTCGACAACAGCCAAGGGATGCACAAGGTTTCACAGATTTCGGCTTCCACCGTCTTCAATAAGTTGATGCGAAAATCTGTCAGAAAGAACACATGGATATTCGTTGCAGACACAAATTTTCGAATGTACGTGGGCATAAAGGACTCGGGCGCTTTTCAGCATTCTTCTTTCCTCCAGGGCAGTCGAATATCCTCAGCCGGCCTCATCAAGATCAAGAATGGCCGGCTTTCGTCCATCTCTCCCCTCAGTGGGCATTACCGCCCTCCAGCTTCAAATTTCCGTGCGTTTGTCCATAGCTTGAAGCAATCGGAAGTGGATATGAGCCACGTCTCCATCTCCAAGTCATATGTGGTGCTCATTGGCTTAGAGACATACATCAAGACAAAACGCAAGGGTAAGGACTTTGCGCAGCGCGTGGGACACAGGAAGGACAAGATCGTGGCTCCTGAGGAGGCGGCACGCAGAGAAGAGGAAGAGAAGGATAAGAGTCAAAGTGCGGCAAGAGAGCGAGAGGTCCTGCAACGGGAGGAGGCGGAGAAGCAGGAGGGAAGACCAGTGAAGAAGGTCTTGAAGAAGCTTGGTATCAAGCCTACCAAGGAGGAAAAGCAGGCTGCAAAGAGAGAGGAGAAGGACGATGTCGAGAATATGTACGTATAAGAAGGCTTAGACGGGTGACAAGGTGTTGGTTTTCTGGTATGATACCCTTAGCATAGTGCTCGAGTTATGATTCTACGAATAATTACCCACGAATAACTACCATATTTCTCTTCGCTTTGGTATACACTTGGTTCGTGGACGTGAATACCTTCTGTTGAGTTTGGTCGTGATCTAGATCCTTTGTGCATAAGTATCCAAGATACAAATAGCTAGTAGTTGTTAGTGGAGGCCTATAATACCTCCCAATGGAGACTCAATTATTGAGATGCGCCAAGCATGGATACTACTAGATATCTGGGTTGTATTACTAAATGTATGCTATTTGTTGTTTGTCAATGAACTCGAGATGGTCAAGTTGAGCTACCCTACAACATTGTGTACCTCTCTTGCTGAAACATCCATACGCATTTCTGAAATGCTTCATCAAACGGTCGTCCACTAAGGTAGTTCATATGAGTGGAAAACAGGTAAGAATTAAATAAGTTAAATCCCAACTTGAGCTCTTGCAGAATTACTTTCCCGCTGTAGCTTCTCGTCCTGAGTCAAAAAGATTGAACCGGGCACCGAACCCTCGAGGGACCACGCTGCGCGCATGATCACCACAGGGTGTCTAACCCGGAGGGTTCGTTCTAGCTTTAGCACGCCGACGCCCTGTAAGTCAAAATTTGTCAGTGCGTCGTAGAGGATTCAGCAGTGGCACACCCCCTAAAACCACTCAAGAACCCCCTCAAAACTTGGAAAGTGCAGGCGCGAGATGGAGCCAAGCTTCCATTTGACTGCAAACGTACAGGACTGATTGATCGCACTCGCACCGAAGCCGCGCAGCAAACCCATCGAAAAACCCATCAACATCGAGCGGCGCCATCGCCAAACTGAGCCGGCGGATCTATAGAAACGTAGCCTTGAAACAATGCCAGGCATCTTCACGTCTTTCAATGGCTTCCGTCACCCGTTCGTCGCAGCGCGCTGAGGTTCCGCACCAGCATCACTCTCACCACCACCTGCCATCCCCAGCAGGCGTATTCGCCCATGCCCAGGGCGGAGGAGGAGCACCAGGAGGAGGGCGCAACAAAAGGCCACTCGACGCCCACGATCGCGACTTCGACGTAATCAAACCCAAGAGAACCCGCATAACGGTCGAGATTCTCGCAAAGGGCTCTCACGGACTCCGTGACGCCGATTTCGACAACAATAGAACGCCGCCAACTACGCGCAAACCTGCTGCGACGCCCACAGTGGCGACTGCGACGAGACCGAACAGCCCCCCTACCACGACAGACAACGCGACATCGAAGCCCAAAGAAGAGCATACCCTCACAAAGCACCAGAGCAAAGTCTCTAATGGCATAAAACACGAACTCGACCGGTTACAGCCTCAGCCGAGCGATACCAATACCAAGGAGCAGGGCCGCAAGCTTCGCTCACAGGAAGCCACCCGGTTCAAGAGCGAGCTTTCCGCCTATTTCCCGGAATATGACGAAGTGATTGGTAACGAAACAAAAAAACAGCGTACGTTCATAAAAAAATCCCTCCACTTACCTGGATGTCGCTATCATAATACAATGTTTTCTGACACTTTACAGAATTGTTCAATGTCGACACGCCGATTGTCATCGTTGACTCCAATCCGCGACGCGCTGTTGCAGACACCCAACGCGCAATTTCGCAGCTTCCCCACCCCGCAACTGAATATCCTGTGCGAGGATATGGCGATGCTCTCTTCCACAATGTCTTCGATTGCCAGAGAGTCGACTTAGAATTTTTCCAGCCGAAGAACAAGACAGTCGAAGATCCTTTACCTGATAAACTATTCCAGCCAATCCATCGCCGTGCTGAGCGAACGGAGAGAACGATACGTAATGCTGAGAAAGGCAGAGCCCAACATGAGAAAGACCAAATCATTCGACTTCTTGAAGGTCTGCAAGGCCATGATTGGCTAAGAGTGATGGGTGTAAGTGGTGTGACAGAAACGAAGAAGAAGACTTTTGAACCCGCTCGTAATCACTTTATCAAGGGCTGCCAGGCCATCCTTGCAAAGTTCCGAAACTGGGTTTTGGAAGAGAAGAGACGAAAGATGGAGAAGGATAAAGCTCGAGCTGAGAAGGCGGAAGAGGATTCGAGTGACAACGACGAGGGCGGTTCCGGGGATGAAGCATTACATGGTGAGAGAGGCGATTCAGCATCACCGGCAAAGCAGCTTCACGAGGAAGCAATGGCAAGGTCCAAACCTTCTAAAGGATCAAAGAACCGCAAAGCGACCCCTCAACCAGCTGCAGCCAAAGCTCCTCCGCGTCCGGCCAAGGCACCACCAGCACCGAAGCCACCAGAGCCGCCCAAGGAGTTCAAGTCGTTCTTCAGTAAGAGATATGAGCGTGAGAGTGCTTTGCATCGGCACAGGCGTACAGGAAGGAAAGTAATGGCATGGGGTTTACCCATACCTGATATACCAGAGGTTGATTTTGATTTGCCGGAGGAATACCGTGACGAAGATACCCTCAAGGTTCGGGCGAGGAAGAAGCGCCGGGACCGAAGACGCAGCAAGCAGTAAGTGGTACATGTTTGGCTGTCTGTATTATTACCGGGGCAAAGACTGCGAAAGTCAGTTATATATGGTTTGGCGTTTGGGGAAGGGTTTGAGTTGTCCTGGCAAGGGCGACGGTATCGCGGTTATCTGATCGAAGTGGTGTGTCTTCATAGCTGTCACAACGTGTTGTGCTAGAAATCATATTCCGTTGCAAACATGATGGAGCTAATAATTGTGACGTCCGTTGGTGTTACCTCAGTTTGGGCCAGATTTGGTTTGGTGATGGGTGTGAAGATGAGATATAGCTGCAAACAAGAGGGATTGGCATTCGTTGAAGTGATAAATGGATCAAGCTGTCCTCTTCTAGGATAAGGCAGCCTTATTGAACAATTCGAAAGCTGACTTATCTGATGCTATCTTGTTGAAATTCAAGTACTAGATAGGTACCTAGTCATTGGAGCTATTTCATCTCATTGTGTTATACGGAGTATGAGTCTGGAAAGATGGCGTTGGCGTAGGCTGTGGATAGGTTGGTACGTACTACCTACCTATCATAACCCGCCCGAGAGCCTCACACCTCATCAAGCAAGTTGGTCCGTGCACGCAGCTTGCTGTAACGCGCCGCGAGCTCTGTTCCTTCTTTGCAATATTCACGGCGAGAGGCTTTGCACAGTCTTTTATTAGCTTTGCGCGTGTTTGCGCTTCTCCGGCATTTGGCTTTTCACAATCATCACTTTTCTTTTCTACTTAATCACTCCCATTCACTTTAATAATAGCTCCCTCCGCACCAACCGACACCTCACCCGCTGAACCATCTCCACAAGCCCCCCGTTCAGATTGCGCCGACGCCTCGAACGAAGCTTATGAGTACGTGACGAACTTCGATTGCGATTACAAATACGCCCAGCGAACTCAAAGCTTTTAGTACCTCGCGCGTAAGGCTGGACTTCCCATCGATGCAACACCTGTGAACACGAGCTCGCAGGGGCCTTCCGGCCTTCATTTCCTCAACCCTGCCCACCATCAGTCAAAATGGCTACACTTGCCATGCCGCAGGAGCCTGCGCCTGTGAATCACTCTCTTTTGGATGCAAACGATGCGTCAACCTTTGTGGACGATGAGCCGGTGCTGGACTTTTTCGTTCTTAAGCAGGAAGTTAACCTCGAGATCAACTTTCGCGACAAGCGCATCGACGGAACGACCAATATTTTCATAGCAACGTTTAACGACAAGATAGAAGATATCTCCTTGGACGCTGCAGACTGCGATATTGATACCGACAACATTTACGTCTCTGAACTTAAGGAAAACAACGGCGACATTGTCGAGACTCTGAAACGGAAAACAGATGCGACCTACAACGACCCTTATGGCAAACTCTCTTATCCGGCAAGCTGGAGTTTGAGAGCCGACCATCACGACATTCGCCGCAAACGAGCCCAGTCAATATTTCGAAGCCGTAAGACCGATGTCCCCGCCGAGAATAGAGCATTCGAGGGGTGCACACCAGTCTATAGATCGCTCAAGGTGAATCTGCGCCGCAAGGCAGAGGATCGCCCAAGGCTGATTATAAGGAAATCCATGTCAGGTCTTGATGGGGCCGAAAAAAACAACAGGCAATACAAAATCACTATCCCTTTTACCAACAAGAACCCACGCGATGGAGTACAGTTCGTTGGTGTCGACCCCCTGGACAGCCGATTCACACATATGTACACCCGAAGTTCAATACACCCGGGAACGGCATCATGTATCTTCCCATGTGTGGACGACCATGGATCACGCTGCGACTGGAGGATCTCAATCAAGTACCCCCGAACGTTGGGCGACGCTTTACAACAAGCTCTTGCTACGCAACAGAATGGCAATAACCCAGACAAAATGCAAATCGACGGCCAGGAGCGCATACACAACCTTGCCGAGGAAGACAAACTACGGGAGATGTCGGTAGTGTGTTCAGGATTTCTGATGGAGGAGATTGTAGATCCCGATGACGACCACAAAAAGATCATGACCTTTGAGCCAGAAAAGAAGGTATCCGTTCAGAAGCTTGGCTTTGCTGTTGGGCCTTTTGAGCACATTGATCTCTCATCCGAGTTCCGAACGGAGGAGGACGAAGTGAAACTCGGCATGAACGCACTGAAAGTACACGCATACTGCTTACCAGGTCGCGCCGATTGGGTTCGCAATACTGCAGCAGCAACCACCATGGGAGCCGACTTTTTTACCTACACATTTGCTCGATATCCATTCGGCAACTTCAAGCTTTGTTTTCTTGATGACATGATCGAGGACACTGTGTCCCTATACTCCATGGCTTTCATCAGCAATCGTTTGCTATTTCCAGAAGATATCATTGACACTGAGATTGATGTTACGAGAAAGATTGTGCAAACTCTGGCTTACCAATGGATTGGAATCAACATGATTCCCAACACTCGAAATGATCTTTGGCTGATCGTTGGTATCGCGCACTTCATGACCGATCTTTTCATGAAGAAACTTTGCGGAAACAACGAGTACAGATTCCGGATGAAGTCATTATCTGACAAGCTTGTTCAAGTGGACGTCGACCGACCTTCTCTTTACGATCTTGGCGCTTATCTCCACCTGGGAGAGTTTGAGATGGATTTCATGACTCTCAAGGCACCAGTGATCTTTTTCATCCTTGATAAGCGGCTCATCAAGGCTTCCGGAGGACACGGCCTGACCCGTATCCTCTCCAAGATGCTTACGAAGGTTCAGATCGAGGCCTCCGACAAAGCCACTATTATGGAAACAGAAAAGTTCCGGGCAACCTGTGAGAAAGGAGCCAAGTACAGACTTGAAAGCTTCTGGAGCCAGTGGGTTTATGGCTCAGGCTGCCCACGATTTGATGTGAAAGCAAAATTCAACAAGAAACGACTATGTGTGGAGCTCACGTTGAATCAGATTCAATATCAGACGGCCAAGAGGCCCCCCTTGGAAAGAGATGATTTCCTTCGTGTCGTGAAGGAACGCCGGTCTGGTGTCACAGCCGGAGAGGTGCAGCCACTGTTCACTGGGCCCATGACGGTTCGTATACACGAGGCAGACGGAACTCCTTACGAGCATATCTTGGAGATTCGCGAGGACGCCACGAGATCCACCAAGTTTGAAATCCCTTACAATACGAAGTATAAGCGATTGAAGCGAACTCGCCGTATGAAGGAAAAGCAGAATGTTGGTGCCAGCATGGATGCAGAGAACCTGGACGATGCTCTACTCTACTGTTTGGGCGACGTCCTCCAAACACCCGATGAACAGGCTCAATGGGAGTTGATTGATTGGGATCCCGAAACAGAACGAAAGATGGATCAGGAGTCCTACGAATGGATTCGCGTAGATGCAGACTTTGAGTGGTCGTGTGATATGAAGCGGACCCTCGAGCCATACATGTACGTGTCTCAGCTACAGCAGGATAGAGACGTCGTTGCTCAGCAGGATGCTATGCTGTATCTTACTCAAGGTCCGCTCCATCCCATCGCATCAGGATTCCTTACCAGGACGCTTGTTGACCGCCGCTACTTTCATGGCATTCGAACTATGGCTGCTGAAGCTCTGCCACGGCAGGCTAATATCAAAGATCTATCAATGCTTGGTCTTCGACAACTGATGAAGGCTTTCAGCGAAATGTTTTGTCATAAGGGGACGAACCAGCCAAAACCCAATGACTTTTCAGACAAAAAGCAGTACAATGTTCAGTGCGCCATCATCAAGGCCATCGCGCAGGTCAGGGATGCGCATACCTACAAATGTCCGCTTGAAGCGCGTCAGTTTATTCTTGACCAACTTCTTTTCAACAACAACGAAGATAACCCCTACTCCGACCATTTCTACATTGCCACTCTTGTCGAGGCACTTGCTACTTCTCTCATCCCTTCCAAACAAGACGACTGGTTTGCGATGCAGAACAAGATCCCCAATGAAGAGGAGAAGCAGTTCCTTGAAAGGGCTATTGAGCAGATTGAGAGAGTCCTACGGCGAGACGAGTGGACGCACTCGTATCAAAATGTCTGGACCATTGCTGGCCTGAGTGCCAAGCAGCGGTTGATGAAAGCAGAAGTGATTCCAAAGAAGTACAGCGACTTTGGGCAGTATCTTCTGGATGGAACTAGAGATCTCATCCGTATCAAGGCATTTGAGGCCTTGATTGACCTGGGCGCTATGTTGGATCCGACAGTGTTCTCGTTTCTGACGTACTCCCTCATTACCGACCGGTCACCATACGTGCGGAACAAACTCATCGAGGCCGCTGCTTCTGGACTTGCAGCTATCGCTTTTGGAGAGCACTCAAAGGCTGCTAAGAACGAGCCTCCTCCAGAAGATGAAGAAGGAGATCTCCTGCTCGTGCAAGACAGTGCACAAGAGATCGAAGCACGAAAGGAGATGTTTGCGAGAAAGGAGAACCTAGACGCAGCACTCAAAGCTTTGCGGAGAGAAATGGATAAAACATACGGAAGCGATGAGCGGCATTACAGTATTGCGATGCGAAAGGCTCTGGACCACCCAAATCTTGGGCGAGGCGAGATGGAAAGCATGTTGGATTTAGCGGCCATGATGTTCGAGGAAGCTGGCGACTGGGTCATCACAATTCCTTTACCAAAGGGTTGGTCAGTGGAGAGAGACAGGCTACCGTCACAGCTCCCTAATCGCGTAAGTCCTATTCTCTGTGTACCGACCGAAACGAGCTCTGACGCTAACTTTAACACAGTTGATGATGAGATTCAAGTCTTACTACAGGACGAAACCCAAGGCCCCTGCTATTCAAGCCCCGCCCCCTCCACCTCCAGCTGCTCCCTCCCTTCCTTCTGTGCCTACTCTTCCTACCCCCTCCGCAGAGCCCAAGCGACCTGCGCCTCTGCACAAGACCTCCTCTATCAAGATCAATACCCACAAGGCAGCTATTCCTCAGCGCCCGAGTGTACCCCCTCAACGTCCGAGTGCTCCCCCCCAGCGCCCAAGTGTGCCGCCTCCTCAACGTCCAAGCGCTCCGCCTCAGCGTCCAAGTGCTCCTCCTCCATCGATTTCAAGCCCAAAGCCAAGCCAGCCCAAGGGAGAAAGGGACACAATTGTTGCGTCACCGGTCCTCTCCCGGCAACCAAGTGTCTCGTCTTCGTCAGGCTCGAAGCCCTCTTGGCCCCCTGAGCCATCCTCTGCCTCCAACATCAAGCGACCACGTCCAGACAAAGACGAACATCACACCCCAGCACCAAAACGCCCCAAGGTCGAAAAGCCCTTTGGGACTGACTCAGGTGTTCCTAAAAAGACGAGGCGGATGGTTACTTTACGGGTCCGACCGAGCCGGCTTTCTTCCATCCTTAAGAAGCCAAGCAAATCCGGTATGAATGGCAGAGCCCCTCTGCCATCGGGCTCGTCTCGAGATGGCCTTCCCTCTTCAAGCTCGAAATCAGATTCAATTACGGCCAAGCCCGCAAGAAAACCCCTCCCATCCGGGGATGTTGTACGAAGGCCTTTGCCCGGGGGATCCGCGCCTTCACCGCAACCTCCACCAGAGAGAAAGTCGTCACATGGCATTGCCGCGCCGGAGAGGAAGATTTCTCTCAATACCCATTCGAACTCAACACCCAAGCCTAAGTCTGCAAGCCCTGCAACGAGTACGCCACCTCCGGGAGAGCCGCCTGTGCAACGGCGTAAGATCAAGATTATTCGAAAATCAAACCCAGCGCCGGCAGCTCCCTAGAAAGAATCAAAGGAGTTTTCACTAAGCACGCTCCCGAAGACCCCATTGTCATCGAATGCCGCTGAGGCATCCGATGTTGAGGCACCTCCGAAGCGAAAGATTCGAATCATTCTTAGAACACCAACAAATACACCATCGTCTCATTTAGGAAACGACAAAACCCTGCAAGGAAACGGAAAATTGTGACGTGGATTGAACTTCTGGAGCGCATGACAAGGGAAACGATTTTGGGCCATGGCTGAAGCGTGGAAGAAAGTGATACTGCTTTATTGAAGCTGGTGTGTGATGTCTTGAGTATTAAGTATAGGAACGGGGGTCATTGGGGACTGCATTTCCTGGCGTTGGGGGCGCAATATAGCTTTTAAAAGCGCGCTGACGGGCTAGAAAGGCACGCAACGAGGTGTAATGAGTGTACAGGCAGTTTTTGGGTTGTATTCTCACGATATCACTTCCACGTTAGGTATGCTCGTGATTGTGGTGCACAGTGATTGCAAGTTTTGTTCCCTTAAAGCTAAGCAACTTCGATCTTAAATTGGGTATTGAAGTGAGTGATATACAACCCCTGTACCTAAACGTAGCCTCCATGCGCCGATGCTTCTACAGAAATTCATTACAAAACCGTTCAGGCTCTCCCTCTGTACTCAGATCTAAGAAGAGTTGAGCCACTGGATAGGACACTAAGCTTCCATACCATATCCGCCCTCTGTTGTCTGGGCATCAAGAAAGACCTTCCTTAACTTGAACCTTTCGAAGCCGTGCTTTTTAATAAGGCGATTGTGAGCTTTCTGGGCGCGTTCCTGCTGGCGCTCTTCACTCTCGCTAGTAGGAGGGTTGTCGAAGTCTATACTTGATACAAACTGCAGGTCTGCATCGTCGCGGTCTGTCCAGATTCCTTCGTAACGGGTGGGTATCCCACGACCATCTTTCAAATGCTGCATGGCGGTAAGGGCTAGGTTTCCTGGTGTGAGGGTTGTCCGTTTCAGAGCTTCCACAACAATCTGGCGCGAGAATCCCATTGATTCATAGTGTGAGGTCCATTTCTGGATCTCGCGAGTGTTGGATTTGTCGGATTCTTGAGGATGGCTGCGCTGTGGAGTTGAGTTCCGACCAGAGTTAAATGAGGCGGGAAGAGAACGACGAACAGCACGTTTAGCGATGGTTGTTGGATTTGGCTTTGTCGAGGAGACCGCTCGCTTAGGGGCAGTCTGATCCTCAAAGCTGCTATCACGGGGTCTTCTTGATGCTTCGATATGTAGTTCTTTCCTCCTACTGGCAGGCAATATCTCTTGACGTGGTCTGTTTAAATGAAGCGGTATCGGTGTGGAATCCATGATCTCGCGGGTCGGGATTGGAGCGAGGTCAACTGATTGATGTCGAAGGTCTTGCCTTGGAATTGTACGTGTCCCGAGATCTTGGGATTCGTACTGTATCGGAAGAGGTGGAAGATGCTGCGAGGCCTCGCTTTCACCGACATAATCTGGCCACTGCGAGCTCTCAAGAGCACCTAGAGATGGTTCATGGGTACGAGGCAGCTCGGGAACCAGTTGGGGCTCGGGTGTTGATGGTATCTCCATATCTTTGTGATAGCGCCTTCTCTTATTCAAGTGGCCAGACGAAGATAATGGGTGACGATTCGCAGATCGCTTTAGATCTTTAACAGCATCGACAGGGGGCGAAGACGGCACATAGCTTTGCGGCAAACCGCTGTCTTGGCCATCTTCGAAGTTTATATCGTGGCTGGGTTCCGTGTCGTGAACTGCGTCTTGAGGTTCAAAAGCCTCTTCCTTGTCGTCAAACCCCTGCACCATTTCGAGGAATTGTCTTAGGTTCTGAGCATAACATGAGACCAGCTCGCCGACGGTATCATCACCTGGGTCATCGAAGCCTAGATCTTCGGCAACCCTGTACCAATCTAGCAGCTGGCTTTCTGAATTTAAAGATTCAGTAGCCCTCGCAAGATCCCATAACTCGATAGTCCTCCCACTGATGGTGTGGTGTATCTTGATGTCTGCGTTCGTGACATTGATGTACTCGCTCAAATCATTATAGAAAGTTTGTTTCCCGCTGTCGTTTGTGTCTTCGAGTGTAGCTGGGCCGCGAGGCTGAGACTGAAGATCTTCCCCGACAGTTTGTGATGGCAATACTGGGCGTTTACGCTGCGGTGCCTTGTTCAAAGGGCTAGGCTTTGTGGGATTGGCGATTTGTTCCGTAGGTGGTTGCTGCATGGTAGCCTTCTGTGTCGTTTTTCTGACTGCAGGACGTTGCTCTTCTGGCTGAGCAGCAGTGTTCTCAATCGGCCTTGCTTCATCTTTTGCCTGGGCTGCCAATCTCTCCAAATCGCCTCGGCCCAGTAAAAGCAACTTCTTGACATATCGATCCCGCCATGACTGTGCAGTATGCCTAGGATTCTACAATTGTGAGCTTGATCCTGACCAGCTGTGAATCTTAACTTACGATGCGCTCGTATTCCTGCCATATCCTGTTTCCCTTTTGCTCAGTTGGATGTTCCAGTGCCCACTTGGCGATATTCGCGTCGTCCTCAGCACTGAATTTTGTTCGGGTTGACCTTGAGAGCTGGCCACTGCCCACGGGCCTTAGCTCGTCAGGGTGTCGTCCTATGAGGTACCGATCCTTGAGTTGAATGATGCCATTGTTGATAGAGTCCTCAATGAACTGCCAAGAATATGATCCGGGCGGAACATCCTTTCTTACATAATCCGCGATGAGCATATCGGCTTGCTTTTCCAGGGGCACTACGGTTCCGCCATTTTGCTGTCCCATGTTAGAGTTATTGCGTAGATAATAATAATAGTGTTGACGTACTCTGATCAGGTCTATCCATCGCGATCTTTGGGGAACTCGTTGTGCTATCCAAAACTTGCAGTCCTTGAATATGGTTCCTCCTTCGGATGCTTCGACTCCATTGTATGTCACTGTTGGCGCCATGACGGCGAGTATACTTGACCTTCAATACGAAGGGATGCGGCTCTGCTCACTTATAGATGGAATATCGCGTCAGAATCCTCGGCCTCAGAGGAGCCACAGGGTCAGAGTTGTAGAGTTATTAAAAATTCCAGCGGCCTGTTTTCAAAAGACGAGATATTCATCGCATGCGAGGAATAGCACGAGATTCTGACGCTTTTTGTTGTATTTCCGCCTGCGGCTTTGATGTTCTTTGTCTGTAAGTGTCTTTCTTGCCTCGCGTTTAAGGGTATCGGGTATCGCGCGTTCACGTGTGGCCGTTAAGTGGTATTCATCTAACCGCAATGAGCGATATGCATAAGCGCATAGCCGTCGCAGCCACAATCAGGACCTCGTCAGGTCAATATTGCGGGTAAGGCTGATAAACAAGAGTCTAAAATGGGGAAACAATTCATCAATGGCCAGAAACCCTGGTCTACGCATTCTCAAACTCACCCAACATCTCTCATGCAGGCAATGCTCTTTGTTATGTCCAACCTCAAACTCCCAACATCCACTCATGCTATTCCGCAAACAGATCGACGTCACCTGTTTAGGTCTTATCGATAAGAACCCTGCTGGGCTATCCCCGGTCGCTAACAGCTTGGACCTTTGGTTGCCATGGTAGCAGCGAAGGACTGTTTACTTCCAATCAGGACCGAGGCCGTGGGACGAGTGGCCGGGATTATTTGGGCCTAAGCAGCAAGTTGCACGAACAACGCAAAATAGCTCCATCGCCTGCTGAGGTACTTCAAGCTGGACCTTGCTTTCTTCCCTCCTCCTTCTCCTGTTCTCTCTCACTTCCATTTTCAGCCTCTCTCGCTTCGCTATCTCACTACTAACCACAGCAGGTTGTGTTTGTTCTTTCTCGTGTCTTTGTTTCTATTCTACCTATATTTCACAATCTCAAGCGCAATTGCAGTAGCTGTTGCGTTCACATTTTAACGGTCGAGCGAGAATTGTTCGGTTGCATGGGTTGAGCTTGTTTGTCGACCGTCAATACCTTCATCATGTCTTCCGAGGACAAATACGAAACGCTGGAAAAGATTGGTAAGTCTATTCTACAAAGGCTACATGCTGCGCCGCTGCGCACTCTCGATCGATCGTGAATTTTAACTCACCGTCTTCTTCCAGGCCATGGCTCCTTTGGCATCATCCGCAAAGTCCGCCGCAGGACAGACGGCTTCATCATGTGCAGAAAGGAAATCTCATATCTACGCATGTCCCAAAAGGAGCGCGAGCAGCTTCACGCCGAGTTCCAGATCCTGTCACATCTACGCCACCCAAATATCGTCGCCTACTACCACCGCGAACACCTCAAAGTCAGCCAGGACTTGCATCTCTACATGGAATACTGCGGCAACGGTGATCTCGGTCGTGTCATCAAGGATCTTGCGCTCAAGGGCCAGCGAGCACAGGAAAGCTTCGTCTGGAGCATCTTCAGCCAGCTCGTCATGGCACTCTACCGCTGTCACTATGGTACTGACCCCCCAGAGGTCGGCACCAATGTCCTTGGCTTGACGCAAGGAACTGTCGGTAACGGCCCCAAGGTTCCTGCTGGAACAATGACTATCCTACATCGTGATTTGAAGCCCGAAAATGGTAAGAATTTGCCTGCAAATACGTCTATTAGTGGTCCAATGTGACTAACAACCCCTCAGTCTTCCTCGGAGAGGACAACTCGGTTAAGCTTGGAGACTTTGGTCTGTCCAAGATGATCAAGTCCCATGACTTTGCTTCCACCTATGTCGGCACTCCCTTTTACATGTCTCCCGAGATTTGTGCTGCCGAAAAGTATACCCTCAAATCCGACATTTGGTCACTAGGCTGTATCATCTATGAGCTCTGCGCACGCGAGCCTCCTTTCAACGCCAAGACGCACTTCCAACTGGTGCAAAAGATCAAAGACGGAAAGTTTCCTGCCTTGCCCGACGTCTACTCTCCCGAGCTTTACCAGGTTATCAAGGACTGCCTCCGAGTGAACCCTGACCGAAGACCTGATACTTCGGAGCTCTTGAACTTGCCTGTGGTTAAGCTTATGAGGAAGGAGAAGGAGGTTGTCGACCTAAACAAGTCTCTTCGTCTCAGAGAGGATGCCCTCCGTAAGAAGGAAAGGGATCTCAACGAGAGGCTCTCCAACATGGAGAGAGAGAAGGATCTTATTCGCGAGGAGCTGGACTCGTCACTACGAAGAGAGTGGGAGGTAAAGGCGCGCCTCGAGATAGACCGTCTTGCCAATGCCGAAATTGAGCTGCTTCAGAACCGCTTCGAAGAGGAGGTGCAAGCACGCGTCGAGGTTGAGCTGCAAAAGAAGACTGCGGTATCGTTTGCTGGGTCAAGGCCTGAGAGCCGAGAGGATGAGTACGCTTCGTCAATGGGCAAGTCAGATCACAAGTCTGACTACCCTCACTCATCTGTTGGCGGCAGCGAAGCCGAGTTCCCCTCCACAACGGACCTCTCCGAGTACTCCCTCGATAGTCCCGAGGCGCCTCGCGAGACTAAGAAGACCGCCCGCACACCTTTCGGCCGTGCGCAGACTATGTTTGTCGGCAATCATGGTACACCCATGGATATCGAGATGAACTCACCCAGCCCTATCGCCATTGCGTCACTGTCTCTATCGCCACGCCGCAACGGAAACACCAAGGCCCCAGTTGCCACGTCGGGCAATATCTTCACTGCTAATGCCAACCGAACCTCCGCTGATTCACGATGGGATCACCCTCATGATACATTATCCGATTCCGAAGACGAGGATGTCATCCCGTCCCCCACGCGCAATATCAAGTCGTCCAAGAACCCGTTCACTTCCAAGACGCGGCCTGTCCTGACTTCACAAAAGTCGTGTCCCATCAACCGCTTGAAGAACCAGCCTTCAACCTCGGGCTTTGTTTCTAAGCAGATGCCTCCACCCGAGGCTCCGAGGTCACCTACCCGCCGTCTTAGCAAAATCCCTTCGGCAGCGAACCTCCAGGAGGCCAGCAGTCAGGGCTTGACGCGCCAAAACTCTGGAAACAGCAAGAAGAGCAACTCGGACGACGGCCTAGGCAAGGTTGCAGCTAAGAACAACATCCGAGGTCGCACCCTGGTCGAGCTACAACAAGCTCGTGCTGGTGGACGTCCTATGAGTGCTATTGTCATGCCTAGCACAGGCGAGAACGTTAGCCCTAAGAGGGCCTTCCGAGACCGCATTGGTGCTGAGCGCAAGTCGAGCGGCGATGAGCCCGTAGCTGTCTGGGATCCGGAGAGGGACGAGATGCCCAGTCCTTTCCTGGTCCGACAGCGACGGATTGCTCGGGTGTAGTCCGCCTCTGTGCTAGTCGCATGAAAGAAGTCATGATTGAGAAGAAGCATTGCTGTTGTAGTTGTCGTTTGTTTTTTATGCATTAAAGGCGCGCATCATGATATTGCTTTTGGGGGTCTGCGTGACCGTTACCCTTACATACCTCTTCTCTCTCGTTTTATTCCCCTTTCATTTGTCTTCTTGTGAGCAGAGAGAGAAAGGAATGAAGGGGCTTCTCACTCCCCCCTTATACGTGAGGGTTTGGAAACGAAATATGGAAACACTTATGGGCGTTTTTGGCGCGATCACAAAGGGATCATGGCATGCATGGGATGGGTTTATTTTTTTGCTGCGTTGATATACTTGTTTTACGAGACAAGCATGCTTAACGTGGTTATCATGATTCTTGATTGATGAAAGTGGGCGTTAGACATCTCCCTATTCGGTTCAGTGGGAGATGATGGTATTGGATTGAATTGGGTTGGATTGATTGATTGTTCTTGCGTATGTTAGTTCTTAGACGCTGTACAAAGATAATGAATGACACTCACCGATATACTTGATATCTCTTGTTTGGCCCCCAACCCTCAAAGCCGAGTAAGTCTTGTCATAGGAACGCATCGATAGCGAACGTCCAATGAGACTATGAGCCGTTGAGGTGTAGCATCATCTGCAGGTAAGCTCTTGTCTATTGGAATAGAGCGAGCACCATCATTGGGCAACTAACACATCGTACGAATAAAGTGCATGCCAACACGATGCATCATGAACCCAATTCAACACTTCTTTCTCTCTTCTCTCCTCATTAATTCAAGCCTAATGAGCCAAATGCATCAATATTGCTATCATATCTCATCATAAATCATTATTTCAATTCACCTCTCGCAGCCAGCCCTGTTCGTCTCCCACGTCAGCAGCGATACTACAACCTCTAGTGTTGGGCATCATTGCGTCTTCCCCCCATAGTTGATGCTTCAGCCCGCCTACCCGCCTTACATATGCGTCTCCAGAGCTGCACCCCAGAACCAGTCGTGCAGACGAGGCGTTCAACGACGCAATGACACGACTCGAGGCGCTCCAGAGATGTCGTGTTGCGGTGAGAGACAGACATAGTGGTAAACCTCGCTAATGACAGGGATATCCATGCCTCTCAATATTGCTATTACAACGTGAGGAAGCTAAACGAGGTGAATATTTGCAATGCTAGGTAAGAACAAAGGGTATTTTTTTAATCTCCAAGCGCGAGCTTCAACACCAAGTTTGTCTGAGTAAGGAAAAGCTCCAAACAGTCAATCAAAAGTTAAATGCATGCATACACATATCCAACAGGCGCTATTCAACGCCGAACAGCTCCAAATGAACCCAGATAAAAGCAATCAAATGACAATAACAACAAAAACATTAAAAATAGGCCAGGCCGTGAGGCCAATTCCATCTTGCGTAGACATAGCGTAGCGTATTGTAGCCGTGAGGCACCAATCTTCCCAAAATCTCCCACGTTCCAGGCGCCCTTCCTGAATCTTTGTTTTCATCATGTTACAGGATTGAGCCTGAGCAGAATCCGTCTCGCGATGTGCAATGAGCACGGTGGTCCTGTGTAACCCGCGCAGGACTTGTCTCTTTTTCCGAATCGGTTCCCTTCTCCATTTTGAATAGTTTTGTCGTCTTGAGATGTTTTTTTACTGTACCACGAAATATAAAGGAATGGTTTCTAACCACAGTTTTCTGTCGTTGAGAAATTGGGTTGTTTAGTGTCGCGAGCGGTGAGAGCTGCTTTGGCGATGGGAGTGACTACGATGGGACGAAGAATGGTGCGATGATGAGTGCCGAGAATGGTGATGCCGGCTGGAGCTACCACTGCTCTCCAGATCCCGCTCCAGGCTTTCCACTCTTGACCTATAGCCCTTAACAATTTCCTTGATGTGGGCTATGCGGTCGAAATCCACCTCTAACTCGTCCAGTTGCTGAAGAATCTCGGTATAACGAGCAATTTCTGCGTCGGCACCACCAATGATCCCATCGGCATCATCGTATTGCAGCTGGGTAAAACGCTGGGCTTCGTGGCTCAGGTAATTGATTCGTTGTTCGATACTGGCCATGAGATGATCAAAGTAACGGCCTAAAGCAGAAAGTGAGGAGCTGTCAAGTAACAGAAGACCTTGGCTACTTGCGCGGCTGGCAGCGCGCGAGCTGCTGGACCCCCCTCCCAGTGCCGCCTGCCCCTGGCGAAGCAGCTGGATCTCCTCATTGGTGAGCCCTAGCTGGGTGTCCGGGACAGCCTGTGAAGACATTGCGGGCAGCAGCTGGAGGGGCTGCTAGCTATAGCGTGAGGAGACCAGGCGAGTCGCAAATCGGGCGGTTACAGTTGAGGTCCGGGGGGTCACGTAAAGGTTTTGGCTTTCGGGATCGTCGCAGAAGGGCGAGTGAGCTGAGAATGCGATATGGATCGAGCAGGCGGCCGAGGCGAGATTCGGTTTGTGTATAAGACGGCTGCAACGACTCGGGACATGGACTGTACTGAATCGAAAACGGCCGAGGGGCCAAAGAAAGCCCACCGGGGCGATTGTATGAGGGGAACCAAGTTGGTGGTGATGGAGCTTCCAGGATTGACAACGGCGGCGAGAGTAGAAGCGAGGATGACAGTTGATGAGGCGATACTAGAATGGGCGTGAACTGTGCTGCGCAGAGCATCATGATATTGCGACCAATGCGATCATGAGCATCATCGGCGGATCTAGATGGGGTTTTGCTATTTCGGGGTAGCAGATGAATTGTCTGGAGGTTCCCAGACCTCAGGGCACCCGGAGAAAGAAGAGGAGGAGAAACAGAGCGCGGTAGAGGAAGTCGAGTATCTTTTGGGGATTAGACGGACGGAGCGTGATTGGAGAATCTGGGGGATAAACCCAAGAAGGTGGAATTGGGCTTGGGATTGGGATGGATAGCGGATAGCCCAGAGAGTGGAGGGTGGGGGGAGTTGGACTCGACTCGGCTCGGAGTAGGTAGCGATGTACTGGTACGTATCTATCGTCTCGTAGGTCGATTCGGTGAGAGACGCAGGGATGATTCGACGAGGGTGTTTACATGGAGATTTCGACCCAAAAAGACGATTATTTGACGGCAGGACACAATGCAACGCAACCTGATGCAACAGAGCCCAATGTTAACAGATTGTGTGTTTCTTTTTGTCGGCAACTGATAGAGGTAGAGAGGAAATGTGCGTTAGCCCCTGCTTCTGATTTGAATTAGATGATGGTGTTGAATAAGAGAAGAACTAACCTCCACGAACCACAGTAGCGTAGCGTGATATGAGAGAGAAGGGGGATAAAGGATGGGATGGGATGAGATGGGGGGACGGGGTGGATAAGATGGGGAAGGAGGATACTGGAAAGGTGAGGAAGGTGGTTGCACAATCCGGTTGAAGGTGCACGTGCAATTCAATTAATGAGAAAGCAAAACCAATTACCCATGAAAGCCGCGGCCAAAGACGGTACTTTATAATGGTGAAGCAGAGAGAGAGAGAGAGAGAGAGAGATTGATGATGGAGAGCTGATAGATAAGCAGAGATTGGTTTGGGAGCTGGTACCGACAGAGCGGACACTGCTGGAGCTGGAGCTGGAGCTAGAGCTGGAGCTCTTAAACTCCCAGTAACTGCCATCAGTAGCGCGCGCTAATTGGAGCTCCCTGTCGTTAAAATGACGATCCCAGAGGCCCAAGAGCATGGGTTTTGCTTTTCCTGCCTTGTCTGAGTCTCTCCACTCAACTGAGGAATAAAAAAGAGACAAGATAGCAAAAGCAAACAAAGGACATGAGATGGTATGGACTGGGCAGTAAATAATTATTAGCTATTGATTGTCTTTAACCCTACCTAGTAAAAATACTCACTGCTCTGCCGCAGCATCAATACTGCCAGGCGTGGCTCTGAGTACGTTCTAACACGGCGCTGAAGTTTGAAGCCAGGACGAAGAAACTGAGTTAGAGAGAGTTCTCAGTATGAGATCTCGATGGATTCTGGATGGCGTCTTACTAAAGAGGAGAGGAGGAATCAAAGGGGGAGAGGAAGAAAAAGAAAAGAGAAAAGTCAATAGTAGAAACAAAAGAAAAGAGCGGCATATTTTGTCCAAGACAGTGGAAGAATGACACTTCCCAAAGACAATATCAAAATGTCAGGAGACGGTCGGTACATTTCCATGATGCAAATGAAACAAACATACGACAAATTGCGAATTAACCATAACGACCATGCCCGAAATTTCGGATCATGAGCCGTGTACAAAGTAATTCTCACTCGGTGAGACTTTGAAGCTCACCTCGGCTCGGTTCAACTTCCAGTCTCGATACTAGACTCGCGATGTGATAATAGATGGCATTGACCGCTTCCTCCATAAACTCTCTGTGCCTCATTACTCTGCTCTGCTGACCTTGATGGATGGATGGGATATAGGGTTTATCCTGGTTCGTGATCCATGTCGATGTTCAATATTGGTGGAGGCAGCCACCGCGGGGAGCAAAGAAGAGAAGCCGCCCTCATGAGATGTCAGGTCAGAGGGGATATGAGTTATTTCATTCAAGTATCTATCTCCATATCCTCGGCATCCCACCACCACGTCTTTAATTATTGCCCAGATCGGTAGGTGCTAATGTAAAGCGCACGTGTATCTCCTCATCTATCTCCCTTGAGACCCCTCCAAAGGTACTTTACACCTCCAACACCATTAACAACGGGTTCCGTCTGCAACACCAAAGCACATAATAACAACATCAGCCGGCGCACGAGGCCCAGCGCCTACTGACACGGTCTGAAACCCCCCATCATCGCCGTGTCTCATTGTAAAAAATAAAATAAACAAAAAAGATGACTTAATTTATCTTCTTCTCACTATAAACAAACTAACGCTTGCTCTGTCGATCCGGGAATCGGCAGCTCGCTCCCCCGAAACACAACCCCCCGATGGGCCAAGAGTTGGGTTAATTGGGTGCTGTGATATCTGTGGCGCGCGCCTGACGAAACACATCCCTGGTAATCGCATGGCGCACCAAAAATAAAGAGGATAAACCATGACAATCATTGCCTATTATCCGTTTCTTTCTGCCGATGGGAATTCAAGGAGTTCGTCGCTTTACCTGGCGTAGTTCGTTGCGCTGTCTATTACTGCACCTGCATCTCGTCTGCATTTGCATTTGCAGCTGCATCATGCATCTCCCGCTGACCTGCAGCACCTCTTCAGCCTCAGAATGACGTCTATATCGATATCACTCACTGGAAACACAGGGGACTCAAACTATACATATGCACATCTCTCTCTGTCACTCTCTCCAACCTCCAGAACCCTACCGTCCTTCTACGCCTCCCCCGCCCGAAACTACCATGCTAACGTTATGTACTCACCCTTATCCCAGATGATTACCTCTCTTCCCGGTCAAATTTGCCTGTTCTCATCTTGCGTTGCATCAGGTGGCACGAGGACAGCCAAAGGATCGCTTTGAATGCAGCTTGCCGCTGCAAGTAATACCACCCATGTCTTTCGTTTGTGCTCGTGCTTGTACTTCGGTCGATCCAGCCACGGCTAACCTATTCTCCTTGTACGCAGCAATCGTCCGGAGATCCGTTGGGGGAAGATGCTGTGCGACGTGAAAGCTTCTCTCATTAAAGTCTCTTGATGGCAGAGTCGCACCATGCTGCTCTACCCTCCCACAATTGCAGCGCTGACGGAAGCATGTAGATCTTATTACTACGTCGGCTTCCTTTGCAAATTATCCGGAGTGTCGTGACTATTAAGTACCTAGGTTTGATATGTGGTTGTAATGTGCGCATCCATCCAGTACAGGTTGCCAACCAGCTCTCTACCTCTTTGGCCAAGGGATTTATTAATGTTACAGCAACCCACGGACCCAGGATAGAGCGGAACAGTATACTCTGTTACTCCGATGCTATCAAACAGTATTCGATACCTCATTCCCGTGTGTTTCTCATTCACAACATGGCGGTATATACTACCCACAGTCCCACGTCAAAGTTCCGATAGTCAGTCTGGCTGCACTAACCTCTACCGAAATAATCAGGAGAGGAAGACTCAAATATCTTACATGTTTCAATAAGACTCTATCTTCCTACCTCGGTACATTTATCTAGAGCTTTTAGTCTGGGTTTGCCACCCACATTAGCAAGTATGGCGTGAAACGTGCCAGAATGAGTGTTTCAGACAACAGTCTTCCAAAAGCAGTCTTGGATATATCGGTATCATCATCTCTCCAATGGGAAGTAGCAAGCAGGTCATCGAAACTTACAACGCTCAAGAAACGCTCTAGAAACTTCCCGAGTTTATGCCGGTTTCACTTGACGTTATGCTCATGCTCCCAGGGCGCAATAGTACGCTTGCGATCCTCACCTGAGTGCCTCAGTAATTCTATGGATATGTTAGATCTGAGCGATCTAACGCAACCCGATGCCATTTTCCCCTGGAGCAATAGGTTTTCTATGAATGCCGTTGGGGGCTGCACTGTGTTGATATAGGACGGTCGGCTGGAAGTAAAAACCCGCGGATATCATGATAGAGGATTACATATAACCTCTTAGAGCATCACCTCTAGGCTTCTGTCATCTTCGTATATAAAAATACGTTCTATCATATTATCTCATGTATTGTATACATGCTCCAGACATCTTGTGTTATGATGATGGATTGGCAGGGCTCTTTTCAGGTCTTCTACAACAAGTCTGCACCGGGATGATGACAATTCAAACAATTACACCATATCGAGGTAGCAGACGAAGTGATGTTTCTCTGAACGTAGTTTGGACGGCGCTTGCTTCACCCCAGTGGAAGATGATGGCCACGCAGCGAGTAGCCACTGGGGTGGGCTTAAATATCCTTTTGACATATCATCAGTCGCATATGCTGCCCGTGTCTCTTTGGCATGGTTATATATGTACTTTCAATTGCCTCACCGAGATAAAGGTACTGCCGAGTCTGGTCATCGATATCCATATAAGGGCTCAGTCGTGTAACATCAATCCAATCGCTCTAGGCATAGGTTGTCCAAAGCCCTGATTTCTCTGGCCGTATTCATGGTATCATCCGAAGTTAATTCTTGTCACGCCCTATATTTCTGGTTACTACACCATAGTTTGCTCCATGTTATTTCTTCGTTCATTAATCACAACACTCCCCAGTGTAGCCCTCGTGTGCAAGTGAGGTTAGCCCCGAAGAGAAAAGGTAAGAAAATTGACAGAATATATATTTGTCTGTAACTAACTCGTTCTTTTGACACTTCATGTAGTCTGTTATCTATG